AAAAGTGCGATCAAAATGCTGCCTTGGGTTGTTCATCGACAAGCACATTTATGGGGTCGATACACCGATGCGGGTAAGATATCAGTGTAGGTTAGAGCAAGCCCTGATAGGGTCTTTCAAGCAAGTTGAAAACTTCACTGATATGATTATCTGTTATTGTGTTTTTTCTGTTCTCCTCAATCGCATGTGAAAGTAAACCTGCAAGGGCAATAACAGCATTCCCGTAGTTAACTGGGTCGAGGACTCTGGATTCAGCATCCCGCTTGACTGTCACTCTGAAGAAGACACCGACGCTAGACGCCAAGAACTTTTCATGATAAGTGTTGAGAGTCTTTGAGAGCAAATTAATCTTCAGACGAATAGAAGGATAGGCAGACGATTCAGGATTAACAAGGGCCGAAAATTGCGACCTTAAAAAGGAGACAACCACGTTATCAGCATTCTGTTGTAAAAAAAATTTGCTCAAAACACTTAAAACAGGTAAACTTTTCTTTTTAGAAGTGGGATTATCATACTTCTTTAAAGGACTTGACGTAGCACTGATGTCGAATGCATTAGGCTTACCATTACCAGCACACTCAACAGAGTTACCGAAGATAAGTTTGTCTTCCTTGTCCACTTGGAATCCCAAAGGGGCTTCAGCTGCTTTGAGTGAATCCAGAACAGCTTTAAGTGCATCCATGTCAGCTTTCGATCTATAGTTAATTCTTGAAGTGACATCTTTGATAACAAGAGAGCACTCATCCAAAATTGCGGTCCATATGAACCCTCCTTTCGAATGTGAATTGAAAATGGAATTTCTGATTTTTACACCTTGGGCATCGGTGGTGCTTGCGAGATAAGCCAATTCTTGAAACGCAGATAACCGACTCAATTGTTGTTCTGGAGCTAAATCACGTAACCCCGAGAGCAATGTCTCAACTGGGTCTGGACTGTAGCTGCTGATTGTCTTCGAACCATCTAAGCAACCAATAGTGGAATAAATGGCGTACACATGATTGACAAACTCCCACGCGCAGTAGACGAAGAAAGATATGAAGCTCACGTTAAACGAGAGTTCCAAAAGAAATGTGGAACCTTGGAATAGAAGAATCAACGGAAAGAATTTTGAAAACAAGCCAGTTGGCCTTATAGACTGTGGATCTTGCTGAAAAGTATACAAATGGAGACACCACACTAGTAAAAATGTTGAAAACAATTGCATTTCCAAGAAGACCTGCAATATTCGCAAATAGAACTGACTCGGGCTTGACAGAATTAACACCATATTTGAAGTTGAGTCTGTTTCTTTGGAAAACGACATGTTGGATGGAGTAAATTAATGCGATGAAAAATGCATGAAACCAAAAGAACACATATTCGTCATTAATGGCTGGCTTACGACGGTATTCTTTGGAAATGACGCTGAACTGGTGTCTTAAAGGAAGTTGAAAAATGAAAAGGGTGAAAATGGAGCAACTTGAAGCAAGATAGAAACCAAATGTAATGAGGTACTGGCGGGTTGCAACGCTTCTAACAATTTGCTCTGCCAAGGTTTTTGCCCGGGAGTATTCAACAGTGGAGTTAAGCTTCCTGCTGCATTTAATCAACCATAGAGATAAATATATCACTGGAGCCCTATAAAGGGTAGCAACCAAACTCCACCAAAAACCTCCATATGGTAGCTGGATCAGCACACTTAACAATATCGCTAATAAAACGTTGATTTTGTTCACATATCGTAACCTTTTTGTAAGCACTTTATTAAAATAGTAATTGTATGACACTGGCATTCTTCTCGGAGGATCTGACGCACTCATTGAGGGCAAGCAATGACTATGATGTATACTCAAGTTGCACTTATTGAGAGAGCGAGATGATTCTGAATTATATACAGGCCCAACCACTCTTGTCTCATGAGTTAATAGACAAACTTGGAAGAAAAAAAAAACTACAGGCAGACGAAGGTATCGCAAAGGTGTGGATATGTTCGATTCTATGTACATGCATCTGCTTAGCTTAGTTGTTGTGGTTGAGTCTTGCTTGCGCATCACGTCTCATGCTTTCAGCTTCTCCACTCAAGGTTTCCTTCACAGCATCAAGACCTGGCTGGCCATCAATTTCTCCAAAGGCAGCATCTTGGATCAATTTTTCGCCAGTCTTAGCGTTGTTGTAAGAGTTGTGGAAACCGAAAAGCTTATCTTCAATTAATCTCTCAGAACTCTCGAACTTACCAACCTTGACTTCAAATGCATCTTTAATAGCAACCTCCAACTCTTCTTCCGTTGTGATGAAAGTCGATGCTGCGTGATACAAATTTAACAAGTCAGTCGCCTTGCTTTCCATCACTGCCAACTCCGTTGCTTTTCTGTTTAAAGTTCTCTTTTCGTTGACAATAGCTTGTTCTTCAGGAGTTCTGTGTCTCATAATTGGTCCCTTTAAATACGAATCAATAGTTGGTAACGTCAACTTGGTAGCAACAGATTCCTCAAAGTGTTCCTGCTGGTCCTTGTGCTTCTGCTCCTGTTCTTGCTTCTTAGCTTCCAATTGTTCGAGTCTCTCGAGTCTCTTGGCCTCTGCAAGAAAAGCATCTTTCAAATGTTGTCTTCTAACTTCGTCTCTTTGAAGCTCCCATAACTCTTCTTGTGATAACTTTGATTTGTCAACATCAGGTGCCCTGTCCTCGATGAACCTTTTTATTCTTTCCTCAACAGTAATGACTGGTCTTTCGACAGGTTTGCGATGGAACACAAATCCCCTTTTCTTGGGCGTTGGAATACCTTCAGCGTAGCCTTGTTCTATTTGTGCTTCTTCGTGTTTTTGATGCTCTGATTTCGGCTTTATTGGGTTTCTTTTGAAAATAGGGCGGACCTCAGGTAAAATACCAGACTTACCTCCATACTTAAGCGTTCTTTTTCCAAGATTAACAGGAGAGGAGCGCATTGTGTTACCGTTAGCAGCGATTCTAATCTATGGCCAAAAAAAAAAAAAGATGAAAAACACAAAGTCGTGCACAAAACAAATTTACAACCATGTATTCTATAATTTCCCCCACGATTCATACAAAGCTATCAGCGCAGCTTTGTTAATTTTTTTACTTCCAATTTGACTTTGAAAGAGCTTCAGAATTAGTAATCCCTTCTCGGATTCGGAAAGCAGCCTATTCTCGATCAGATAATAGTCAATAAGTTTTTTAGGTGTGCCAAAATGACTTTGAATCACCACAGCCTTTTCTAGTGAGATTCCCTTAACCAGCATTAACATGAGGATAAACATTTCTTTTACTGTTCGCATATTTGACTTAGCTAAAGTAGCTTGGTAAACTGGGAGCATGTGAACGCATTCGTAAGCTTGCTCTTTGTTGTCAAATTTCTCACGGAACTCTTGTAACATGTGCAAGTATTCTTCTTGGGAATGAATCGTTCTCGGTTTTATGACTATTAGTCTTTTTTGGCTGTATTTTTCTTTTAAAATATTAGACATCGTCAATAACCAGTCTATGGTGTCGTCGGTTCGCCTAAACCGATGTAAAAAGAGATTGGAAACGGTGATCACCATGGAGATTGATGTTTCGATCGATTTCCTCATTTCCATTATTCTCTCCGTATCTGCCATTCCGCCTTCTTCAACTAGGTAGTATACATTATTTATGCCAGACTTGCGGAGCCTATTTTTCTGTTCTGAGAAATCTCCCATCTCGTATCGACATAGCCAAATCATCTAACCTCTTTCTCTCGCAGACATAATTTAGGGCAACCTCTTTTCCAGTTGTTTTATGTTTTGCCACCCACAAGATATCTCCCACAGACAAGGACCGCACATCACACTCAACGTCCTTCTCTGTTATGCGCCTTTGGAAAAAGTCTCGTTCATTCTGTGACCTAATCTCTCGATTATCAACAAGCAAAACAATATCAAAATCTCCGGGTACCCAAATATCGTAGCTGATGCCGTTGACGGTTTTATTAGCGGCATCATGACCTTTTTCCACTATTGAGTCAGAGACAAACAATCCCTCAGAGCCCATACATGGCGAGTCGGAGCTGATGCGTATTCCATTATCAAAAGAGAAGTCTACTTCATCTGTTGGCGCCGACTCAATGCCTTCTTGCTCTATAATCAACTGGGCCATTTTTTTTCCGGATTCCGTTAAAAAGTACATTTTAGGTGCCCTACCAATGCATTCAACAAGCTCCCTCTTAAGCAAGGTCTTGATACCATCCCATGCTGAATAAAAGTCACGCGCAGACGGATTGGAGGTGAACGAACTGTCACAGTATATGCCTGCATCCAGATATGATATCATCTTTGCTTAAGCCTTTTCCAGATTCTGTCATTGATATGTAAAGATACCAGAAATTGCCCACGATCCAGATCTTCGTTTTTGGTACCCAGTTTGTCACTCTTCGCTTCTTCTTCTGATTATCGTCATCAAGCTCTTGATTTCTCTTTCCACCTTCGCCTGCAATGATGTGATTGGAGAACCCCAGAGGAATCGAAAGATCGTTTTCGATGCAATACTTCTTTAGCATTGAACATAGAAGCAGAAAAATCTTTTCTCCTACGAACTGAATACTTCGAAGTTGTTTAGACGTGACAATCGGCTCTTGATGGGATCTTATCTTTTGCAAAGCCTTACCATAGGTATGGGAGAGTTTGGATCCCTTTTTGATCAACTCATTGGTTTTCGTCTCTAACCATTCTTCGAATAATGCATTTAAGTTCAAATCGGACATGGATTCGCGTCAACAAACTAAAGAAGAGCAGATGCATCTGGGGAAAAGCACACGAGAGAGGAGTGCATATATACGAAGTTATGGTTCAGGCCCTTCGTTCTAAGGACCATAAATTTTGCTTTGCATTCAAATTTGGAAAACGTTATAGATTCATACGTTAGAAAAATTTGCTTTACTATCTTGATTACTGACGATAAATGTAGATAATCATTGTATTATGTGATGAGCTGTGTTCTGCACACAAAGGGAACTAATACATGTGAGAGGATATACTCCAATGCTAAACAGAGCCAATGTCTTCGAAAAAATATAACAGAAAGAGAAGACTAGATTTATCCGATGAGGAAAAGGTGGATGAATCAAAAAAGCAATCGAAAGGTGGCTTGAATGTTGACATCCATCCTCTCTTGAGAGAAATGGTAAGTTTGCCAACAATTCCAAAAAACCATAATCCTTTAAAGCAGAATGCCAGGAGCATTTTTGATCCTACAGCACTTAACCCATATGTGAGCCAGGAGAATATACATACACAATTTCACAAACCGAGACCTTTAATTATCAACCCAAAGGGGAAATATGTTTCCAAGGGAAACGAGATGAGAGCTAAGTTGATGGAGGATAAAATCAAGGAACAAGAAATAGCAGAATTAAGAGCTAAAAACTTGTTGGCTGATGAAAATATTCAGGAAGTTAGGTATAAGCCCCAGCAACCTCCACTAATAGAATGGTGGGACAAACCCTATATTCGAGCTCGACTGTACAACGAGTTTAAAGACAAGAAGCTCGACTTCTTTTTGGAGCACGAAGATGCACCTGTCTCCATCTACATACAGCATCCTGTTCCAGTACAACCTCCCTGGGAAAAGCACATTGTTCAAGAAAAGGCTATGTTTTTGACGAAGAAGGAGATGAAACGTGCCCGCCGGAACGAAAGACAGGCAAGACATAAGGAGAAACAAGATCGGATCAGATTGGGCTTAGATCCGCCTCCACCACCGAAAGTGAAACTTTCAAACTTGATGAATGTCCTCACGAATGAAGCCATCAAGGACCCAACAGGAGTTGAAATGAGGGTACGTAAAGAAGTGGAAGAAAGACTTGAGAAGCATTTGCAGGAAAACGAAGCAAGGAGGTTAACCCCAGAGCAAAAACACGAAAAGATCAAAGCTAAACGTGAGAATGATTTGCAGCGGGGCTACTTTACGACTGTCTACAAAGTGAATACACTCGAAGACCCTCAACACTTTTTCAAAGTGGACATGAATGCCAAACAGCTTGATCTCTTCGGCATAGTGCTCATCAACCCTCGATTCAATCTCATTATTGTGGAAGGGGGTGCCAAAAGCATAAAGTTTTACAAAAAACTCATGACTAAGCGTATTAAATGGAATCAGTCGAACAGTGACGTTGATGTCAGCAACAATAAATGTACAATCCTTTGGGAGGGTCAGCTCAACGAGCTTCTGTTCAAAAAATGGTCTCCAATGTATACACAGGATGATGAAGAGGCTTACAAAGTTTTAAATAAATTTGGCCACGAGAACTACTGGCGAGAAGCATTTGATGCTTGATGGGGAATTGGGAACTGGGACTTGCACCCGTACACCAGCAACAACCCCACCAATCTGACGTGCGCATTGGTACTTGAATCTCCTTTCATCTTTTCTTTTAACTGTCTTATCACATACATCAGAATGGGTGCAGCTTACACTATTTTCGGCAAACAGGTCCAACCACACATTGTATGTATCACAACTAAGAGCAATGGCTGTTCGTCATACTAATCTCAGCTTTCCATCTTGACATTGGGTTCAGTGGCCTTGATCGCTGCATGGCCAAGAGAAAAAACCGAAAAGCCAGCTGCTCCAGCTCCAGCTGTAGCCGCTAAGGATGAAGAGTTTGACTTGGAGAAAATAATTAGGTATGTTGGTATTCATAATACGTTTTTTTTTTGCTCACACTAACCTTTCAGCGACTTCACTAAAGACGAAGCTAAGTAACTTGCCAATGCATATTCAATCGCAATAAAAATAATTGTAAAACGCAATCATAGCCAAACCGTAGAAAGGACCATCGGTAACATGGTTTCCGAGTCGGAGGTATCACACCCGTACACCACTCATAATATCTGGTAAGGAGTCCAGGATTTCAGATGTATTTACTTTTTGTGAACGAAGATGTAAGGTAAGAGCAAGTAAATGGGAAATAGAAAGGCTTTCCCGATTCGCAATCTTGTGTATGCACTTTGATTATTTACCTTTTGCAGATTCCGGTTCGGCCATCTGCCTGTTTCAGCCTACATGCGAGAAGTACAAAGAATCTCTTAGCAACAGTGCATATTGATAAGCAAATCAAGAGGACAATGTTTCGACACCAGCTTTAGGATTCAGTAAAAATCAAGCAGTCGACATATATAATTTGTACAATGTTGTATTGATTTAGGCTGAACAGCTTTGAAATCAACCACATAATGACTTAAGAGGTGCGTCTTTAGGGCTGAACGTGTCCGCTGATTACTAAGACGCGTGTGCGTGTAACGCATACTCCTGTATATAAATCGCCATCCTCTGACACGTCTTAGTGTAATATGCTGAGAGACTGGAGCTTTCATGAAAGCTGGTAAATAATAGAGTGGCAGAAGTATCTCCAGCCTCACCGGATATGTGAACACAGAATTTGTATATAGAGAGTAGGTGTACTTATTCTGCGTGTTGGATTTCATTTCCATGCGCGTCGTATGCCGTTTGTTTTGATTCTCTCGCTTTTTTTTTTCCCTTGATTTGCACGCGTATCCACTATATATTCGACGCTCTCGCACTTTTTTTTACTTCCTCTATTTCATCAGGTCCAACTTTTTCTCTTTTTTTAAAATGTTCGTCATCAAGAGAGATGGCCACAAGGAGCCTGTGCGCTTCGACAAAATCACAGCTAGAATCCAGAGGTTATGCTACGGGCTTGATTCTGATCATGTTGATGCTGTTGCTGTTACCCAAAGAGTTATTTCTGGAGTTTATCATGGTGTCACCACCATTGAGTTGGACAACTTGGCTGCAGAGACTGCTGCGTACATGACAACCATTCATCCAGATTACGCGATCTTGGCAGCAAGAATCGCCGTTTCCAACTTGCACAAACAGACTACGAAACAGTTTTCGCAAGTTGCAAAGATTTTATACGAGTACATCAACCCAAAGACTGACTTGCACTCACCAATGATTTCAGAAGAAACATACAAGATCATCTGTGAAAACGCTGACGAGTTGAACTCTGCCATCGTCTATGACAGAGATTTCAACTACAACTACTTCGGTTTCAAGACTTTGGAAAGATCATACTTGCTCAGAGTCAACGGGAAGGTTGCTGAAAGACCACAGCATTTGATCATGAGAGTTGCGGTTGGTATTCACGGGAATGACATTGAACGTGTGATCGAAACTTACAATTTGATGTCCCAGAGATACTTTACTCACGGTTCTCCAACCTTGTTCAATGCAGGTACCCCAAGCCCCCAAATGTCGTCTTGTTTCCTTGTTGCCATGAAGGATGACTCCATCGACGGTATTTACGACACATTAAAGACATGCGCTTTAATTTCCAAGAGTGCTGGTGGTATTGGTTTGCACATTCACAACATCAGAAGTACTGGTGCTTACATTGCAGGTACTAACGGTACTTCTAACGGTATCATTCCAATGGTGCGTGTTTTCAACAACACAGCACGTTATGTCGACCAAGGTGGCAACAAGAGGCCAGGCGCTTTTGCGATTTACTTGGAGCCTTGGCATGCTGACATTTTCGACTTCATCGACATTAGAAAGAACCACGGTAAGGAAGAGATTAGAGCCAGAGACTTATTCCCTGCCCTTTGGATCCCTGACTTGTTCATGAAGAGAGTTGAACAAAATGGTGACTGGACTTTGTTTTCTCCAAATGAAGCTCCTGGTTTGGCTGATGTCTACGGCGATGAGTTTGAAGCTTTGTACGAAAAGTATGAGAGAGAAGGCCGTGGAAGATCCACCGTCAAGGCTCAAAAGCTTTGGTACTCTATCTTGGAAGCGCAAACTGAGACTGGAACTCCATTCATGTTGTACAAGGATGCTTGTAACAAGAAAACTAACCAAAAGAACTTGGGTATTATCAAATCATCTAACTTGTGTTGTGAGATTGTCGAGTACTCTTCTCCAGAAGAAGTTGCTGTCTGTAACTTGGCCTCCATTGCTTTGCCTTCATTCGTTGAGAAAGATGCATCTAGTTCCTGGTACAACTTTGATAAGTTGCACGAGGTGACCAAGGTTGTTACTAGAAACTTGAACAGAATTATTGACAGAAATTTCTACCCTGTTGAGGAAGCCAGAAGATCCAATATGAGAAACAGACCTATTGCTCTTGGAGTTCAAGGTCTTGCTGATGCATTCATGTCCTTGAGATTGCCATTCGACTCCCAGGAAGCTAAAGAGTTGAACATTCAGATATTCGAGACCATTTATCATGCTGCTGTGGAAGCATCTATCGAGCTTGCTCAGGAGGAAGGTCCATATGAGACATATGAAGGTTCTCCTGCGTCAAAGGGATTGTTGCAGTACGACTTGTGGGACAGAAAGCCATCCGAGTTGTGGGACTGGGATACTTTGAAGCAAAATTTGGCCAAACACGGTCTCAGAAATTCTTTGCTTGTTGCTCCGATGCCAACAGCCTCTACTTCTCAAATCTTGGGTAACAACGAATGCTTTGAACCTTACACATCCAACATTTACTCCAGAAGAGTGCTTGCCGGCGAGTTCCAGATTGTTAACCCACACATGTTGAAGGACTTAGTTGACTTAGGTATTTGGAATGACAATATGAAGAACAACATCATTGCCAACAACGGATCCATTCAGTCTTTACCAAATGTCCCAGATGAAATCAAGCGTTTGTATAAAACCGTGTGGGAAATCTCTCAGAAGCATATAATTGACATGGCTGCCGACAGAGCTGCGTTTATTGATCAGTCACAGTCGTTGAACATCCACATCAGAGAACCTACTATGGGTAAGTTGACTTCCATGCACTTTTACGGATGGAAGAAGGGATTGAAGACGGGTATGTACTACTTGAGAACGCAAGCTGCTGCTGCTGCGATCCAGTTTACTGTTGACCAAAACTCTGCTTCTGCTGCAGGCAAGACGATTGCTTCTTTGGAAAAGTTGAACCAAAGGAAGTATGTCATTAAAAGTGGCACAAGAAGTAGCTCTGCTTCGCCCAATATCAGCGCTACCTCGGAGTTGAGCGGAGTCTCGACACTCCCATCGTCATTGGAGAACTCTGTTGCGGAGTTGAAGATTGAAGACAAGGAAGATTCTGCGAAAAGCAGTGCCGACGAACCTTCGGAAGCTGATATCTTCAGTTCCAAGGTGATTGCTTGTGCTATCGACAACCCAGAAGCATGTGCTATGTGCTCTGGTTGAACGGTAAATTGGTTTCCTGGTGTACATTACAAGGACTTTCGTCCATCTACTTAGTTTTTCTTCTTGGGTAATATAATATTTTGACAAACGGAGCCCCACAACACCTCTGTAGCGGAGATAAGATGTCGCGCCAGGCAACGCCAAACGATGCCTTGGCTTCTGTCCACACCGCCAAGCCATGCGGACGTTTTAGGAAGCCGAACAAAATTTCCCTTTCCTTTTACAAACGGGAAAAATAGATACATACGGTTCCCTCCCTTGTTAAATCATGCCACGCTGAGATCAAATCTCACGATATTGATAACCATGACAGGGGATAAAACAAGATAAGAAGCACAATCAGGGGCATGCACAGTGAGAAAGAATGTGCCCCATATCTCCCTTCTATTTTTTTTTTTTGATTTTTTTTTTTTGCATTATTTTTTTTTTCGCATATTTTATTCTGTTATTTTTTACTATTGTTGTTCTGTTTTCATATTTCAAACGGTCGATCAGTCAAAGCCGCGCGGCCTTTGAGTCGTAAGGCGATCATATAGAGCCACATGCACGGCATTTGGTATCGCTTACAGTTGTCATGCATGAAATTGACGCAGTCTGTATACAGTTTGCATCGTCTCAGCCTCCAAAAAAAATGATACTGAGGGGGAAGTGCTAGAAACTGACAGAAAATTTTTAGTAAAGATACGAAAGATAAAAAAAAAAAAAAAGCAATAACTGAGGATGCCCACAAGTAGTACCAGATAACAGGAGTTGCGAGTGTGCTTGCTGTGGTACAAATGCACGGGATCATATCTTAGAGCGCATGATGCCGTACGAATGTGAGGCACCAATTCTTCGCGCGCATGTGCATGCGTACGGTGATGAGTGGGGGAAAGAAAATGCGGACCAGGAAGACCAGCAAAGGATGAGGAACGCTTTTCACAGCATTTGAGCTTCGAAAGACGACACAAACGTAAACTTCTAAATCTCGGACAACATCCAGGTTGCTCCGAGTGTGTTCATGAATGATATCCGGTGGTTGCTTATCTGTCGGGTTATGTGAACATGGCATTTTTGCCCATCCGCGTCATCTTCCGATTTCTTTTGATCCGCGCGTTGATAGGCATGCGAGCTCGTCTGCGATTGGGCGTAAAGCTTTATCTACACAGCTATCGTTTGGCCCTCAAAACTACCTATATTAATCGCTCTGTCCCGCAACTTTTTGTGAACAGCTTTGCCTCAAAACTTTTGCCAATGGAGAAGATAAAGCACATTCTCAGTTCTGAGCGTACTGTTCAGGACGAAAAGCTTGTATCAAGTGATGTCCCAGACGAGTTGGCTCTTTCCGTGTCCAAGTCAGCAGAATATGATCCAGTTGACCAGACTATTGCAGCCCAAATCTCGAATGATGAGTACGCTGCTATCACCGTCGAGGATGACTCTCCATATCCCGAAGTGAGAGCTTCTGTTCCTTCTACAGATGACCCATCTTTGCCTCAGGGTACCATTCGTATGTGGGTTATCGGTTTCATTTTGACTACCCTTGGATGTGGTATGAACATGCTTTTTTCCATGCATTCTCCATCTTTCTCCATTACCACTTTCGTCACTTCTGTTTTGGCCTATCCTATTGGTAAGGCTTGGCAGTGGTGGATGCCAAAAGTTGATATCTTCGGTTTGCCTTTGAACCCAGGGCCTTTCAACTTGAAAGAACACACTCTTATTACTGTCATGGGCTCTGCATCCTTTGGTGGTGGTGTTGCTTACGCTACGGATATCCTCTTGGCCCAAAACAGATTCTACAGCTCTGACTTTGGTGTTGGTTTTGGCATTTGTGCTATTTTGTCTACCCAAGTTATTGGTTTCTCTTTGGCAGGTTTGGCTCGTAAAGTTTTGGTTGATTCTCCCTCTGCCATTTGGCCATCTAACTTGGTCACGGCCACTTTCTTGACCAATCTTCACATCAACGCAAATCACGAAGCTAACGGTTGGAAAATTTCCAGACTTGCGTTCTTTGGTTTGATTTTTGTTGGAAACTTCATCTGGTACTTTTTCCCGGGTTACATCTTTACTGCATTGTCTTACCTTGCTTGGCCAACATGGATTGCACCAAATAACGTTACTGTTAACCAGGTGTTCGGTGCTTCTAGTGGTATGGGTTTGATGCCTACTACTCTTGATTGGAACCAAATTGCTGGATACATTGGTTCTCCTTTGATTCCTCCCGCATCAACTATCCTCACTATCTTCCTGTCGATTGTTCTTATCTTTTGGATTATCGTTCCAGCAGTTTATTACTCCAACACTTGGTATTCCAAGTACTTGCCATTTTCCAGTTCAGGATCTTATGACAGATACGGCCAGACATACAATGTTCTGAAAATTGTTAATGTTGACACTTTGAGTTTTGACAAGAAGGCTTACGAGAACTACTCGCCATTGTTCATTTCTTCGACTTTTGCTATTTCCTATGGTTTGTCTTTTGCTTCTATCATTGCAACTTTAGTTCACACAGCTTTGTTCCACGGAAAAGATATCATCAACCAAATCAAACAGAAGGAAAAGCCAGATGTGCACTTGCGTTTGATGAGACAAAACTACAAGAATATTCCTGAGTGGTGGTTTGGAATTACTTTCCTCTGCTCGCTCGCCCTTGCAATTGTCACCATCAGATGCTGGAACACTGAAATGCCTGTTTGGTCTTTGTTTGTTGCTCTTTTGATTGCCATTGTTTTCTTGTTACCTGTTGGTGTTATCTATTCGCTCACAAATATTGCAGTTGGTTTGAACGTTGTTACCGAGTTCATTATTGGTTACATGGTTCCAGGTAAGCCATTGTGTATGATGTTCTTCAAGACTTTTGGTTACATCACCAACAGTCAGGCTGTTACTTTCTCCCAAGACATGAAATTGGGTCACTACATGAAGGTTTCCCCACGTCTTATGTTCTGGGTTCAAATGCTCGCTACCATTTGGGGATCCCTTGTGCAAATGGGTGTTTTGAGATGGGCTTATGGTGCTATTGACAACTTGTGTGACCAACACCAAAAGAACCACTACAGTTGTCCAAACGGTAGAGTCTTTTTCAATGCTTCTATCATCTGGGGTGTTATTGGCCCAGAAAGAGTTTTCGGTGACGGTGCAGTCTACCACAAGATTCTTTTCTTCTTCCTTTTGGGTTTCTTGCCTGTTGTCAACTGGTTGATATTGAAGAAGTGGCCAAACTCTAAGATTAGATGGTTGAACTGGCCTGTTTTCTTCTCTGGTACCGGTTACATTCCACCTGCCACGCCATACAACTACTCCACTTACTGTGTTGTTGGTATGCTCTTCAGTGTTTTCATCAAAAAGAGATGGACTCACTGGTACTTCAAGTACAACTACTCCCTTTCCGCCGGTTTGGATATTGGTTTGGCCTATTCTACATTGATCATTTTCTTGGCTTTGCAATTGACAACTACTGACTTCCCAAGCTGGTGGGGCAACAATGTTGTTAACGGCACTCTTGACACCAATATTATGACTAACTCGTGGACCCTTGCTGAGGGTGCCTTCTTTGGACCAACTAAGTGGTAAGCTGTGGAAACAGTATATAATGTCATGACCCTTCATCTGGTCATACCCTAATACCTTCGATCTGCACATACAGTAAATTTAATTAGATGGGTGATCTGACGAGTAGGCTAAAGGAGATCACCTCGAATAATTTGGACTCTTTAAACGGTTTGATGAAAAGGATAAAAGAAAGGTTAATTCGGCTTTGATAAATGACCTCGTAGTTCCAGAGACAAGAAGTCTTCTCTTACTGTAAGGTTGTGCAACCTAACTTCCAGGTGCATAATGACAGAACATAAGGTTCCAAAATAAGATGTCACCTAAGATTTTACTGAGGCGATAGTCTAACTCGATCTACATTTGCTGTTCTCCTGGTTTAACTTCTATTCATACTGGCAGATATCCGTTCTGATGTGATAACGGATGTGAGTATGCAAAGTGCCGGAAGTATGCACGATGGATTTTGTCTATTCTAAGTTATGTCCGCGAGCGCGTAATTCCGTTTGCACAGTACGTATTGGATCTATCCGGGGAAATATGACGGATCTGATCGAGCTATCAGAACTCGGGGGTTCTCTCATGAAGCGGAGGTCTCACTCGACTCAAGATTCTCTACTCGATGCTCCGCACGATGGGTTAGAGAACATGGATGCAGATGCTCAAAGTTCTCTTGGAACGCTGACGTCTCCACGATGGCAGAGTACAGCTCTGCGCAAGGAGAAGATCAAGAGATTTTTCATTGTGGCTTGGGAAGGTCCAATTCACCCTGTTGATAATCCTCCACAACCTATTGGATGTTTACTGTGGTTGGAATCTCTACCGCTCGTATTCAGACAGAAAACTACTGCCGGTGCAAGAAGGATAATATTGGGCATTTATCTATTGATATGGCTATCAATATGGACTCGGATCCAACTTCCATATCTTTCACAACCTCCAGAGGTTTCTGGTATGGACACTGAAGTTATATCGCTCACTTGTGAACAATCGGATATGTTTTGGAAAGGCAAGAATGCAGCGTGCGGACTAAATGCTGAAAATTGTCCTTCACTTGACACAAAGGAAGATATTTTTATACGGTGCCCAGCTCTCTGTGATAGGGGTAGCTGGTTATATTCCCTGAGAGCAATTGGAGACCAAGTGGTTAAGTATAGAGGCTATTTTGTGGGAGGAGGAGAAACTGCGGGTAATGAAGAAAGGTTGTCCCATCCATATCGTGCTGATTCGTTTCCTTGTGGTGCAGCTGTGCATTCGGGGATAGTGTCACCTTTCTTTGGTGGATGTGCTCGAATTTCATATTCCAGTGGCGCCCAGACGTATTTCAAAGATACTAAAGGTCATTATGGAGTGTCTGACTCCATCAAGTTTGATACTTTTTTTCCGTACTCCTTCTTCTTTAAAGGGCTTTCGGCTAAAGTTACTCAGTGCTATGATCCAAGATTTCCAATTCTTTTACTCAATATTTTTATGGGGATGCCCATAGTGTTCTTTGGTTCCGGTGTTACCTTCTTTTGGATAATGTCAATAGTGGGCTATTGGACAATTGCTTTTGCCACAGACCCTCCTGTCCTAGTGGACCCTCACGACAAAGAAACCTTCTTTCAGCTCATATCAGTCGGACTTGAGAGATTTCTTCCTACAGCATTTGTCCTTCACTTTCTTTGGGTCGTCAGTGTGAAGCAGACCTTTGGGTCGTTGCATGACTATGTGAAGCTTCGCATATCAGAGGACGAGGAGCGTGGTCCTCGGGGAGAAAACTCCTCCAACTATTCCACGGTTACGAGATTGATTCTTTGGTACCCTTTCTTCTGGCTTGGCGTCCTCAATAATGTAACGTTCGATCGTCTTCCAGTTGATAGGCTTACGTGGCACGATTTACAAGTCCAACCAGGTGCGCTTCTTACGGTTCTGATAGTTGCTCTTGTTTTGGTTTTCTGTATCATAGCGCAAGCCTACTATGTATGGCTTCTGGGCCGTTTCTGGAAATTGATCCTGGTTTATGGCGTTATGTTCATGAGTTTGATTTTGATTGCCAACATTCCCGGACTAACTTTACGCATACATCACTACATTTTTGGTCTCATGTTTATTCCAGGGTGTGCTACAAGAGGAAGAACGGCATATGCTTTTCAAGGCATTCTTCTCGGTTTTTTTCTCTCCGGTGTTTCAAGATGGGGATATGCATCGATTGCAGAAACAGACATATCATTGTTACGAGGAGAGCCTATTGGAAAGCTTAAACCCCCGGAAATATTTTCAGTGAACGCAGGTGTTGTTTATTGGAATGAACCTTCATTTCCAGGCGATTCGGATATGCCTTCTCGATTATTGGAGGACTACTCAGATATATCTGTTTTGATCAATGATATAGAGAGATACAGAGGGAAAAATATTGGCAGTCTCAATATCACGCAACTCATAGAAAACAACACAGACCTTGGTGATTTGGTGAGAAAATCAATGGAGCTTCTTGCGCCTGATGCGGAGATTCCATTGTATTTGAGAATAGCAAAGTACTCACCACAGAAAAAGAGTCTTGGTGACTATTCTAGTGCCTCCACTTTGCTCTTACCATCATACAACCTAACAATCGGTGAATTGGGAATTACATAGTCTGATTTTTAGAAACAAATATACGAAATGTAAATGAGTGAGTACTGCACCCATACACCACTTGAGATTTCCAAACCACAAACAACAGGACACTTGGTCTAAATCAAACTACTATACAAAGATCATGAACGTTTTCAGTGACTCTGGTGAGTTGTACACCATTAGAAATGAGTTTTTCACCAACCAACACAGAAAGATTCTCTCATACAGCTTGGACCTGTTTTCGGACGAAACAAAGTTGAAAGTCTTGGAATTCAAAATTAGATCCGCCGTCTCTTTGGGCGAAGATGCATCCCTGATGATTGAGGAAGGAAGATTTCTTTTCCCGGGTAATGATGAAATTTTTAATGCTTTGCAACTGTGGAACGACTTGAAAACCTTTGGCACCGACGAGTCAACATACTTTGATGATGTCAAGGAAGCCAAATTCGAATTGCAGGCTGTTTTGACCGCTTTTTACATGGTTAAATTCCACGGTGATTACGATCTGGCCATTTCATTATTGGTTAACTTCAATAACCAGAATCCCAACAACCTCCACGAGTTGGAACCATACTTAGTGTTGATCCAATTGTATTTGATTCAAGAGAACTATACCGAAGCCAAGAAACTCTATCAAAGTTTTCAAAAATTCCCACCTAGCTCAAGAGACAGCATCATCTACCAGGTATTGGAAAGTTGGATGTTATCCATCCAAGGCGGCTCAGACAACATAAGTAACTCCTACTATTTCTACTATGAATTATTATCCACTGAGTTTGAAAATGATCCTCAAGGTAAATTCCACATCTTGAGTGTTTTGTTTGCGTTGACTTTACAAATGAAACATTATCCTGAAGCGCAGGAGTTGGCTGACCAAATTGCGACTTTGGGTTACGAAGGACCACAACAAGCTGACTACATTGCCAACCAAATTGCATTTGACTACTTGACCAAAGATGGTGATAATGTGGGCGCATTGTTGAAACAATTATATCAGAGCAACCCGGAACATCATTTGTTGAAGGATTTGAAGGCGAAGAATTATAACTTCAATGAAATCATCGCCAAGTACCAAGCGGCCTGATCCTTTTTTCAGTCTTACAATAGCTTCTTGAAGAGTACAACAAAAAAAAATGACTGTAGCTATATTTAACAACGCATACTACTTTTCCTAAACTACTTACTCTTCGACTTTCACCAATTCTCCATCTTCATCCATCTTCAAACCTTCAGCAAGCAATCTCTTTTCGATTTCTTTCAATTCGCTCTCTCTTTCCAAAAGTTCCTTTCTCTTGTTCACCAAGTCTTGGTGCACCCTTTCTTCAAATTTTCTTAATCTCTCTTCTTCCAATTTAATCTGCTCCTCTTTCGCTAGGTAGTCTGATCCTGGCGCATCGTTTGAAGTAGTGTAGTCTTTCTCCTCAGTGTTGTATTGGAACTGCTTACCAGACAAAGCCTCAGTTCTGTAATTTTCATAGATCACATCATGAGTAAGGTCCTTAAATTCATTCAAGTGGGTAATTAGAAGCACATTCTTCAAAATTGTAAAGTCGTTGAATTCGGGTAACTCGATATTAATCGGCTTTGAATGTGCTGGATTCAATACTCTCAACTTTAATAAATCCTCCTCATCGTTGGTCTCTCTGTACGTGTTTGCTCCAATAACGGCAAACGGGATTAACAGGTTCAAATACTTGTTGTAAGCAACGATCTCGTCATCGATGTAATCTTGTTCATATTCATATTCGTTGAACTTGTAGTAGTTTATGCCATAATTGTTCAAGTCTTCCAAAATTAATTCTTTGTTCAACTTCATTTCTTCAGGGGTCAAAGCATCCGCCTTTGCAATGATAGGAATGACATTTACAAGCCCGCTGATGTGCTTCAAGAATTTGACATCTATTTCTGAAAGTCCGTGGCCTGTGGCATTAATCATGTACATCAAAACGTGAATACGGCCATCTTTGAATCGAGGATTTCTCTTCACCCTGCTCTCTTCTAACAATACTTCATCATACTGGTGTCTGATGAAATCAACAACGACTCGGAAATCGTCGTCGCAATTCAACCCATTAGCGAAGTTAGGTGTGTCGATGATATTCAAAGAAATTTTATGTCCCTCATTGTCTTCCAACTCGACATTCTCGTGTCTTAAAGTGAGTTTCCTGGTATATGGGTCCTGGGTAGCAGTCAGGGAAGTAGGCACGATAGAGTTTCCGCCACACAAAGAGTTGATCAAGGTGGACCGGCCAGAGCCACTTTCACCAACGATCATGATCGAAAAGTTGATCAGCTTTTTCGTGGTCTTACGTTTCCTCAATGCCGCGGACGATGTGTTATAATCTGGAATTGACATGGCAAACAACTGATATAGATCCTTCTCTTGGACGAAACTATAACTTTTCTGGTTGTTTACTCGCAAATTAGCGACACGTCTGGATCAGCGACTGCATGTGACCAATGGCCAGTGTCAGCAAAGAATTTGCTAGTTGCAAGCCTATTAACCGAAAATACAAATGAATTAAGAATGACACTAGAGAATAATACATAATATTGTGACTAGGGCTTGTTCGCATCATGCTTTTTCCTTAGACAACTCACCAGACATACTTTACAGTAGTGGTAACAAGGAGTGCAGATACCAACTGAGGACACTAGCGTAGGAAATTCGAAAGCTAGTTCTGGTTATCCATACCATATCAACGCTAATTAAGCTACACCACAAGTTACAAAGACATAAAACTACATTCATATCACAAAATTTCCCAATTTTTTCGCTACAAACTTGCGACCTAAAGACACACCTGTGCTCATCTAATCAAGCCATCTTCTTCTTCTTGCCGAGCTCAAGCTTGCTTGAGACACTCTAGAGGATGCGGGATAGTAATAAGTAGGATATGGAGCAACAGGAGCAGAGTTGATTTTAGAAACAACAGAATAACTCCATCCCGGTGTGATGGTAGAGTAGACATTAGGAGAAGGACTAATGCTCGTGAATGGAGTATAGGCCGAGGAAGGGTGTCTTGTAGAATAAGCAGTGTGTGTAACTGTGGTACCTGGCTGGAGCTGCATAGGAGCAAATCTCCATGTGCCAGTTTGCAAAGTGTAAGGAACAGTGAAAGAAGCGGAGTTAATCGTCTGAGAAGAACTGGAAACATCAATCTGCGGAGTTGGCTTGTCACCCGTTACACTGAACAAGCTTCCTGGGAATGTGAAGCTACCTGCTGATCCGGACATACCTGTCAACTTGAACCTGTTCGTGTAATGAATGGTGTAGCCGTTTTTGACTTTTGCAAACACCTGGACAAAGTATTCGCCATTAGGCACGTCAGACGCTTTGATGGAAAGTTCGTACCCCGTTTCGGATCCAGATAAAGAGGTTGTGTAACTCTTAACAGGCTTGATGTTGTTGTTTGGACCCGTACACAAAACGATGGAATATTTTTCAACGTCCTTCAAAGGCACCTGATCGTTTCCGTCATCGATCCACTTCACGCTGACGGTAGCGGTTCCATCCGAGCCATCAAAAGTTTGTCCTGTTGAAGGATTAGAAATGGATACATCAGCTAAAGCTAATGATATGAACAGCAAAAACGTCCATAAAACTGTGATCTGCATTTTTCGTATGCTTTTTCGAACAATACTCTAGATTGATCCCAATAGAAACGGATGTGGCCAAGTTGCGGATGTAGGCTCAGAATTTGATTTGCAAGGTAGTTCAAACAAAAATGTGTGATACAAGGGACAAGGAGAGTTCCAGAAGGCCGATAAGTGTCAACACTCAAGAAGCGAAGTGAAAAGTTTTCCTTTAGGATTTGCTTGCACAGCAGTAGATGGCAGAACAAAGTTGAGGAAAAAAAAACACTGGACATGGCAGTGCCTTAAAGGAAACCTGTATACAGTACATACCAAGCCCAGAGCGTGTTTCTTGGTGTGATAAGGTAAGTATAACGCAGTTCGAGAAGACAGAAAAGTTGGTTTTTTACAAAGATAATGGAAACGCCATCCTACTTACTGCCCGAAGACACTTTCACGGAATTTTTAGCTGCTTTCCTACTTGCTATGGGAACTAAGGGAGTATTACGTAGGAGCTTTGTAGATGCAGAACACGCACTAAAGTAGCCAAGTTTTTTCTATTTTTGTTTGGTGGTGCGCTAATTCAGCCGAACTAACTTCACATAGGCTGAGAAAGAAACCACACAAAACATGCAACAAAATGCTAAACCGAAAAGCATGAATTCAATACTCAAACGAGTAGGTAATAACCTATTATTTCAGCTGTGGCGGATTACAAACTATTTACAGTAACCATGGATATTGTAAACATTTTATCTCTCTTTGCCTCACACTCCTTTGTGATTGTAACCTGCATCTACAGAATCTCTTCTGGAGTAACTTAAACATCTACACCGTTCCCTTGAAATGTTTCTGGTACTTAAAAGGGCACCATTGCGAGTGCAGTCTGTTCGGGCATTCACTATGGTCCGCCGTGTGGCGCCTTTGAAGAAACCGGCTGCAGAATCTACGGAAGAAGACGCAACGTCTTTCGTGGAGAAAGCATCTGTCCCCACGGCGCAAGAGCGAGTATCTTTCCACGACGCCCCCGTTATTTCTCAGAAGGAAGGGATTGATTGGTCTGATTCTTTCCATGGTCTCGGTCAAGCTTCCTTCTCCAAAGAAGTGACCGACATTTTGTTGGCACCTTTGGCTAACGAGGATATAGAGATCAAGCCTGATGGGCTTCTCTATTTGCCGGAGATCAAGTACCGGCGTATTTTGAATAGAGCATTTGGACCTGGTGGTTGGGGGTTGGCTCCAAGAACTGAAACATTCATCACTCCTAAACAAGTAAGCAGGGAGTATGCTTTGATTTGTCAAGGCAGGCTAGTTTCGGTGGCAAGAGGTGAGCAAGACTATTTTGGAGGAGAAGAGAAACTCACTACAGCGTTGGAAGGTTGTAGAAGCAATGCATTGATGAGATGCTGTAAAGATTTGGGAATAGCGAGCGAGCTATGGGATCCATCATTTATTCGCAAATGGAAGAAAAAGTATTGTGATGAAATGTTTGCTGAGCATGTTGTGAACAAAAGGAAAAAGAAGTTGTGGAAGTTGAAAAGTAACGACTTTGAGTACCCGTACAAGGCCTGCTGATATAGCCTGAACTGTGCTACAATAGTTCTCTTAAATAATGTATATAGATGTCAAGATATGAATATGCAAACTACTGCTTGAAGATACCTCTACCTTCGCCCAAAGCCTCCACTGTTTGCGACAAAGGTCTTCTCTTCCAGACGTCCCAGAACTGTTGTTGTGGTAACTCATCTCCGGTGTTTGCCTCGGCAAATCTAATGTCTCTACCAGCAAAGCTGGGAGATTGCGCCCAGAAAGCATGATCGATAAAAGCTGTGATGGCAGCTCCGGAAATACCAGCCAAAACCTTGTGCTTTGGAGGCATGTTCTTGAATCCGATAGTCAAGCACGCCAAGTTACCTGCAGCAACAGCCCAAAAGGTGTTCCATCCATCGTTTTTCTCTCTCAAGTTGGCGAGCGAGCCTCTCACACCAACAGCAACGGTTGCAAACCCAGCAACAGACAAGGGCAATCCAATTTTGAAGGTGGTTCTTTTCCATAGGTACAACCAGGCGTAGGCACCAACGGTAGAGTAGAATGAAAATTTGAAAACTTGAAGCGTCTTCTTCTTGGTGTCAACAGGTTCCCATTTAGGGTATGCGCTGGCATTGGCCAAGTTGACCAACGGAGTAGGCCACTTGTGCGTGGAGTCGGGGTACGTTTTCTTTTCGACTTCAGCCATTGTGAACAAGAATTCCCACTAACGTTTACTGAACAAAGTGAGACGGTGTAGGCCAATCACCTTAGTGGGAAAAAAAAGCTTCCCCGTGTAGGACACCCGTACCTCTGATACAGGCTTCGGGGTTCCAAGTACCAGAATCGTTTAGCTTTATTATTCTCTGTGTAATAGTGAAGTATGCAACCGATAAGTCAGAATTCCAAGATATGTGTTTGTTTGGCCTTTTTTTTTTTTTTTTCTTCTTTTTTGTCTTTTTTTCCTGGTAATGCTTCTGTAACATTTCGATTGTGTGCGTATATTGAGGAGATAGATGCAAACTCAAGTGTGCTCATAATACTGTAGTGCACTAGTGTTATAGGCAAACTAAATAAATTACGTACAATGATGCTGATAGCATCACATACATGGGAGAAGTTGCTTGTCTTCATTTACGTTGATAGTTCATATTGTTGTACCTTTATATCGTCCACTAGCATATTGCTATCAACAGGGGAAGATGACGCGCGCACCAAGAGATGTTTGGAGAGACAACTTCCTTTGTTTCAAAGACAAAAGGAGAAGCACATCTCAAATAGTACAGTCATGTAGATAAACATAGTTTCCATCATTTATATCATTGAATTTGGCCAACGACGTTCCCAGTGATCATATTCTGGTGATCGCACGAACATGCTATTGCCAGAAAATTTTCAACTTCTCAAGTACAACTTCTCCATCCCACTCTTCCTCAAACAAAATCACGATGAACAGAACGTTGACTTTTGCCTCCATCGCTGCCGCAGGTGTGCTTGGATATGCCATTTACTTCGATTACAATAGAAGAAACTCTCCAGAGTTCAGAAAGCAATTGAGAAAGAGAAGAGTTCACCAAGAAAAGGAACAGGCCAAGGCTCAAGAAGAATCCAGAAAATCCAAAATGCTTGCTGTTAAGACTGCTTTGTTGGAGGATTTGGCCCAGAACCCTATCCCAACCGACTTGACCAAGAAAGAAGAGTTTTTCATGGAGCAAGTTGCTTCCGGTGAGCAATTGGCTAACAATCCTTCCACCAAGATCGAAGCTGCTTTGCGCTTCTATAAAGCTTTGGCTGTCTACCCTAACCCTACCGATATCATGGGTATCTACCAAAAGACTGTTCCAGAAGATGTTTACGAGTTATTGGTTATGATGATTGCCATCCAGCCTCCAGCTACTATCACTAACATCATTGGCGGTGCTGCTGGTGTCAGCGGAGCCGCTTCTGCTGCAGGTGCTGCTGCCGCTGCAATGGGTGAGGAAACCAAGCCTTCCGAAGTTGATTTGGATTAATTGATGATGTATACGATTTTACTAATAGAAGGCGCCGGCTTGCCAGTACTTGAATCTTGATGCCTGATGTTGATTTACATATTCGAGTTATGGTTACAATGTATCATTTGATAGGGTCTCAATTGCTCATGTATTCAGATCTTCCTTTTCTCCTTTGCTTTTTTTTTTTTTTTGCGATGTTAATTCCTTAAGTCTATCTATAACCTTATACTCGTGTATGTTGTCCCTACGCGCTGTGTAAACACACCTTGTCCATATAAGTCCGCTATTTTCCCTCACTACCTTTTTTATCCATAAAACATATAATCCTATGTCTCTGTGGCTAACGGCACTTTTCGGAATATTCTTATTGGTCCCCCAAGTCTTTGGCTTGCGGCGTGATTTCAATACTAGTGCATACAATTCGACCACTTTCGCCAATAGTTCAGACTCCTTCCCTTACAAGAACTCATTCACATCCAACAACTTTCAATTTAAGGGAATAACCTTAGGTGGATGGCTTGTTCTTGAACCATACATCACTCCGTCTATTTTCGCCAAGGTAAATGGGACTACAGACCACAAAATTATCGATGAATATCACCTTTGCAAATACTTGGGAGATGAAGCCCATGATATTTTGACACAGCACTGGTCCTCATGGTATAATGAGAGTGACTTTCGTGACATTAAGAATTATGGCTTCAACATGATCCGTATTCCGATTGGTTACTGGGCATTTGAGAAATTGAAAGGTGATCCATACGTTATGGGCGCCCAGGAATACTTGGATCGGGCCATTGATTGGGCCCACAAGTACGACTTAAAAGTGTGGGTGGACTTGCATGGAGCTCCGGGCTCACAGAATGGATTTGACAATTCAGGTTTATTTCTTAATAATACTCCTACCTGGCAAGACAAACAAGAAAAATATTGACTTGACTTCGCGTGTACTTCAAAAGATATACACCAAATATGGTAGCAAAGAATTCAGTGAAAAGTACGGTGACACTATACTAGGAATTGAGGTATTGAACGAACCTCTCGGTGGTAAATTGTCAATGGATAAACTCAAAGACTTTTACAAAAAATCCTATTATGATGCAAGACTTTATCAGGATACAAACAATACAATTGTTTTGCACGATGCATTTCAAGGCCTTGGTTACTGGAACCATTTCCTTGACACTCGCGGCAACTCGTCTTCTCGTTTAAGCAATTACAATATATTGATTGATCACCACCACTACGAGGTTTTTACCCCATCACAGCTAAACCTGACCATTGAGGAGCACATTTCAAACATCGCCAATTATGCTCTGGATATTAATAAAGAAATGGAGTACCATCCTGCAGTGGTTGGTGAGTGGAGTGCAGCATTGACAGACTGTACCCCATTCCTTAATAGCATAGGCTATGGAACGAGATGGGAAGGCACGGCTCCCTACGACAATCCACCGGTAAACAATACGGCTTACGGAAAATGTGCTGATATTAACAATTGGGATACTTGGACCAAAAAGCATAAGGTGGACACGCGAAAATTTATTGAAATCCAGTTAGACAGGTATGAGAACAAAACTATGGGCTGGATTTTTTGGTGTTACAAAACTGAAACCACCATTGAATGGGATTTTGTCCGCTTGACAAAACTTGGATTATTCCCCCAACCCTTTTCTGACAGAAAATACATCCGCAATGGTCACGATACAAAACCAGATTCCATGGGATCCAAAAACTCTTTCAGTTTGGGTGTCCTTGTGGCTGTCTCTCTAGCTCTTCTTATTTAGTTAGCAAACACTGCATTTGATCAATATGACTATGACTCAAAACTTCACGTGCTCGCACTCATTTTTTCATTAACAGTATGTAGTTCTCAAACCTGGAGTAACGCATTCTTTCGACAATGAAATCCGTCAACGTTGCTATTATTGGGTCCGGTGTTGTTGGCTCGGCCTTCATCAACCAATTGAAGAACTTGAAGTTTCCGATCAACTTAAATGTTGTATACTTGGCTAAGAACTCTAAAGAAGCCCTTTTCTCACAAGACTACAAACCTGTCGATTTGGCTTCGTATGAAACTGCGGTTACCCAGCCAACATTATCTTTAGATGAATTGACTAAATTTTTGAAGGCTTCAGCAAAACCATCTCTTTTGATTGACAACACGTCCAATGTCGCCATTGCTGACTACTATCCAACTTTCATCAAGGAAGGTATTTCCATTGCCACACCAAACAAAAAGGCATTTTCTTCTGATTTGAAAACATGGAATGAGATTTTCTCCAACTCTGCCGCTCCAGGAGGTGGTTTGGTTTACCATGAAGCTACAGTTGGAGCAGCTTTGCCAATCATTGGTTCTTTGAGAGATTTGGTTACAACCGGTGACAAAGTGCACAAGATTGAAGGTATTTTGTCAGGTTCATTGTCCTTCATCTTCAATACCCTCTCTACAAGTGAGTCTTCAACCACTAAATTTTCTGATGTTGTTAAGACCGCCAAGGAATTGGGGTACCTTGAGCCTGATCCAAGAGATGACTTGAACGGTATGGACTTCGCTAGAAAAGTTACCATTTTGGCAAGAATTGCTGGTTTTGAAGTGGAATCGCCAACCTCTTTTGCTGTTGACTCTTTAGTCCCTAAAGAATTGGAAGCCTGTGCTACTGGTGTTGAATTTTTGGAGAAGTTGCCTAACTTCGACGCTGATTTCCAAAAGCGCAAGGATGATGCTCTCGCTGAAAACAAAGTCTTGAGATATGTTGGCCAAGTGGACTTCAAGGCAAATAAGGTTTCCGTTGGAATCGCCAAATATGATTTTGACCATCCATTCGCTTCTTTGAAGGGTTCTGATAACGTCGTTTCCATCCAAACAGAACGGTATGTGAACCCATTGATTATTCAAGGTGCTGGCGCTGGAGCAGAGATTACAGCCCATGGAGTGTTGGCAGATGCTTTGAAGATTGCTGAAAGAATTGCTCAGTAAATATCTAAGTAGTATATGTGTAAAAATAGTTATTACGTATAAAGTAAGAAGTCAGCATTGTACTCCTCCTTCAAGTTTTTGCTTGCTTCCCGAAATACTTCTCTCAAGTACTTCTTGCTCCTGCAACTCTCTCGAAAATCAAGCATGACTTTCTGTGAATCAAGAGCGTTGAACTTGCTGCTCAGCTCAGGCATGGAAGAAACGAGAGTATTAACCCGTAGGATATGAACATTGTTAGGTGCCATGAAGAAATCGCCATTGTCTCTCAACTCCACGATATATGATCCTGTCTTATGAATGAACTGGGCATACTTGAATGAGGGCATCCCCCAACTGTAGCATATTTCGACGTTATCCTTCTTAAAAAACCTTGTGCCGCGGTTGTCCAAAAGAAAGCCAGCTTTTTTTAGTAGATGCAAGTGGTAATAGAACTTATTAGTCTTGAGCACGTCATTGTTCATGAACTCCGGATCAGTCAAAGGGTTTAGCACGAGCTTCAAATCCACAAATGAATGGAAGGGGTTCAAATTGGGGATAATACATAACTCACTCCAAGGGGTTTCCACTAATTTAAGGCCATACCGTTCGCATACCCGGGACCAATTGATGATTGTTTCATCGATAAATTTGGTACTGGTATTCAACCATTGTAGCCGAATGTGGTAACAGTGCTCAGGATTATGCACACAGTCATAATGGACATCTAATAGCTCCGGTCTAAAAGATTTTCGTAATGGATCGCAATTGTATTTGACATGCTTGCTTATCATAAACTTCTTTTTTCTTCTCAACTTTTGTGAGTCGGTTAATGAAGAAGAATCGCTGTCAATTTGCAAATTCTGCGAGATGACACGACGTAAATCTGGATTTGACTCAGTGCCTGATAAAGCTGATTCATTATCAGAGTTACGTCTCTGGTTTGCATTACTGCTGACTGGTGTTGTAGGCAGTGGTTGTGACTGATCTTGCCCATCGTGTCCACCTTTTTTCCTAAACCATCCAGAAGTGCTTGACCTAGATTTGTAGGAATTGTCCACATAGTCATCTTCAAACTCGTAGAAATAGTGGCCATCTAAGAAACCGTGCCGGTTTTCCACGTGTCGGAAAAGGCCCCTCTCCATTAAACTTTGGCCGTATTGTGTTGCCTCCTCCCTGCTATCAATGTCGTCGAATGCTTCTAAAAGCCAAGATACCATCTCATTTCCAAGGAAACAGTGCGGATGAAGTTTGAAGTGCCAGGTTCTATCAACCAATCTAAGACCAGCAGGGGCGGGCGCTTGTAATTCTTGTGCCAATGATTGAAGTTTAATATTCGTGTTGAATCTCAGTCCATCTACCATCAATGAGTTGTCGGGTTTTGTTCCACTTACGTTGAAATATTCAGCTTGCTCTCCAAGGAAGTCATACAAGTTACCCGTATAGAAGAGGATTTCGGGGAGTATCTCTTCTTTTTTAGACTTCTTCTCCTGTTTTTCGGGCTGTACGTACTTTCCTCGTTCGATTAGAGCAATTAGTTTCCGGAGGCCCTCAACTCTTATCTCTTCATCGCTAAGGTTCTCATTGTTTATGTGGTGAGCATTTGGAGGAATGTCACCGGGCATTACCACAAACTTCATCTTATGATATGCCTTCTCTCCTGTGATTGCATCATCATACCCAGCAAGTAGCTGATCAAATTGATTCCAATTGAAAGTTGGTGGTTTGATATTTTGCAAGTCGATTTTTAAAGGAGTGTACTCATCTGCATATCTAGTTCGAATGACGGCATTTTCATCGCTGTGAGGTCTCCTTGATCCCAAGGATATTTTGCTAGGGTCTTTTTTTTCAATTTTACGATACATTTGTACGTTCAATGTCCCGTCATAGTCACAAAAGATGCTGTGTACTTCATCATTTATCGACAAGTACATCTTCTTTCCCGTACAGTCGTCTGTTGGGAAGTACTTTATGATACTCGCCGGGTTCCCAAGTGGTTTTCTCTCGGCTTCTATTCTATCAATATTCTCGCCGAAGCAAACTTGAAAGCCCATAGCGAGCCGCAATCCAATCATTTCTCGCATTAATTCTCGAGTCGTCTTAAGCTCAAGGTTGTTCTCAAAGTTCAATGTAATGATGTAGTTTTGGAGAGTGTAGTCCGTTTGCAATTGGGTGCTAGTGGGAAATAACGAAGTCGATATGGGAAGTGCCGCTGGTGCCTTTAAGGACCTCCACTTGAACATTCTTCTCCGAATTTTTGGGGGCAATACGTGAGACCATCTTCCCCAAATATCAGCATAAGACAGCGATTGTTGTGATGGATTTTCAATATTTAGCCAGTATTGGCTATCCAAGTCGCTTCTATAATCTGTTGTATCTGTGAAAGATTTCTTTTTTGCAGTAGCCTTTTCCGCATTGCTTCTCTTTTGACTCCTTATTTTCTTACTTGAACGAATTGCATCAAGTGTCGACGACGGTGTAGTTTTGACTTCCATTAGTTTCAGTTGATGTTGGCTGTTCATTTGGAGTGGTTTTGAAGGGAGGGCTTTAACACCTGCTGTTTTTTGATTAGAATCATCGTTGGATTTATTCAATGTGTATAGGGATGATAAAGCTGAGTTTGTCGTAGACGTATTCGTCACAGTACCTTGGACGGAAGAATGCGTCTCGGAAACATTAGTCCTGGATGATGATATGTTTAATTTTGAAGGAGCTGGTCTACTTCCCATTAGAAAGAGAGAGCCCGTGGCTTCTTTCTTAACAACTGGTTTTGAAATCTTACCCTTCATTGTGCTTTCTGAAAAAGAGTGGAGGGGCCTGGAATTGACAGGTTTGAATAGTGCTTCGTCATACTTGTCCATCGATTCGATTACCCTGCTATTGTCCTTGAAGTTCAATCTCTCAATTTGTATTTCATTGATCTCATTCTCCATGACACCCATCATTTGAAGTTCGTAGATCTTACACCTAGGAATCCAATGAAATGAGCTCCCGACTTCTCCGGCGTAGTAAGAGACATCGCACCACTTGGGAACACAATGATTTACTTTCCCTTCTGCATCTCTGTATCTGAAAAGAGGAACTGTATGCAATGGTTGTTGGCTCAAAGAAACGATATCCAAAGCGATATCAAGACTCAACATCTTTCTTGAAGTATCGCTTAATTGATCAAAATCAACATCAAAAATTCCCGTTCCAGGGGTAATAACCACCAAGTGGTTCACGGAATGTCTGAGGTCTGTATTTCGAAATCGGTCCGACACAAGGCTCAAACTTAAATTTATCGCCTCCAATAAGTTTCCTTTCACTGCAGGGCATGGTTCTCCCTTGATTTGATACTTGTTGTCTTCAAGATGTAGTAATATGTCTCTCTTAAAGTTTGCAAATTCAAGACGTAGCGCTGCCATTATTTTATCCCACACAAACACACTGACTTGATCTACAACCACACGGTAGTAATCTTGACAGTTCGATGGTCTTTCTCCTCCACCCAAAGATATCCAAGGTGTGTATGTCAAATCCACACTAGTGAAAAGCACAATTGTGATGGAATGATGAGAATTGTTGGCCCTCCACTTCTTAAAAATTTTGGGAAATAACGCATTCACTAGCTTGTGAAACATTATCTCGCCGTTTTCTTCAAAGTGCCACATTTCTCTTGACATTTGAACTAGAAAGACTAGCTTTGCACTTTCGGAGCGAAAAACGATATTCGTCTTGATGCCAATGTATCCGCTGAATAACAGGCGTCCGTCCTTATATAGCGTATTAATGTAACCTATCCGGTTTCCAGAAAATGACACTCTCTGATTGACGTAGCAACAACTTCCAACCATGGACGATGCGAGACCCCATTGCGAATCTCTAGGAAAATTAACGTCCTTGAGATATATTTCGACTGTATCAAGCATAACATCTTCTATATTTGAGATACATTTCAATTGAACAGTAGAACGTGGAGGAATGTCCAATAGTTTCTGGAAGGTCGAAAGTAAAGAGATTTGAAAATTCGTTTTGGCTTTCGCTGTGGAGACACTTGAAGTATTCGGTGATTCTGTCACATCCTTGCCCAATATGTTGGATTCTCGTACAAGAAAAACGTACTTGTTTGGCCGTTTTGCGTTTGCAGTCTTCTCCATAGGTTCCAATTCATACAAATTTCCCACTCTTAGGTTAGGAATAGCATTCCGGTCAATAATCACATCTTCTGAGTAAGATCGGAGTTCATGGAACCACACAGGCATCTGTATAGGAGACTCTGCGTCCGAATCGCTAGATGATGGAACGTTAGTGGTATGTGTGGGGGACTTGACTCTGGCAAACTTTGTTTCTAGGTTTGCACGATTGTGGTGGATTCTGTGTCTGTGTAGGGGATTGGACGAGAAGTTTTTAGCTCCAACCCCTCCAACACTGGAAGTGACGCTGTTTTTCCCGACTATAAGAGTGCTACCAGTGGTGTTGGTACTCATGTTCCCCGCAACAAATCTAGATCTGTTTGGTGCCCGATGGTTCATTGATATTGGCAGTGTTGGGTTTTGCCGTAGAAATGATGATAAATCACCATCAATGCTTTCTTTCTGTTTAGCATTATTGCCGAGTCTAACGTTTTGCATTGAGGTATTTCAAGACAATACTAATAGGCTTGAGCTTCTCTCTACAATGTGGTGCACAGGTGTAGGAACACCACACTTAATCACCTTCTTACATGTTTTTTTTTTTTTCCGACGTCACAAACTGCTTAGAAAATCACTATAACTGAAATGTTGGGGCATTAGTAGAATTAGTTGCTAAAGAGGAAAATATACATTACAAGTTATGCTATACGTGTATTCTCACGGGAAGACACTTTCTGAATGTTCCACTCCAAAGTCATATTGATGCTGCTTAGAAATCTGTCTTTCGCTTATGCCAACACGTAAAAGAAAATATTTGCCCAATCTTTCAACAACGTTTGATATGCATCGTGTAGTTCGAGTACATAGTACTGAATTCCATGAGAATATGGTTGTGTAGCTTGTCAATTTAAATGTGCATGAAATACAGTATAGGATAGCACGTTCTTTAGTATGAATGTTTCTTCAATTCTTCGCACTATGTGAATGATCAAGATAGGACATGGAATCGTCCAAAGTAAACTTTTCCCCAAGGTACAAAATTTACGTAGACCATCATTCTTGGTTGCACCGCGAGAATAATTCGATCATCACCGTAGACCAGCCAACGGCAATCGTATCATTCTGTTAAAAATACTCAGATAGCACTGTACGTGCTTTATCCTTTTCCTGGTCAATCGTAACAACTTTCCCCACGAAACGACCCAAGTCTTTTGGTATCTGCTCCGTGATACCCAAATCGTCAGTGCACACGATCAAAATATCTGGTCTCAAATTTTTAAGGAGCTGGAAGTATCCTTGCATGTTCGAGCATTTGAGTAATTTGTAATTATCCTGAAGGATTTCTGGAACAACCATGCTTCTCTTTCCACTAATGTTGCATTGTAAATCGTCGACTGAAAGGTAAGGAGGAAGAATGAATGTGACATTGTTTGAATTCAAGAGAATCTCTTCAAGACTTGAATCAGAGTTCAAGACCGAATGCAGAAGTGTTAAAGTGACAGACTTGTTAGCATATTTGCTTTTGATTTTCTTCACGTTTGAGCTTTCACGTTGCTCGTCTTCGTTGGGTAACCATTCTTGGTATATTTTGTATGCAACAGCGGCAACCGATGTTGCTAAAGCCAATGCAACCCACGTCCTCGTGTTCCTTTTTCTGGCCATTTTGAATTGTTTTTAAGATCAAGAAAACCAAGTTACTCGAATGTGGGGCGATAAGAAATGGTTTTAAACTTCTTGAAAAGCCAAGTAAGATTGTTGGTTGGGGAAGCAAATCCGGAGAGCCGGGGGGAACGCGCGCCAAAGTTCGCTACATTGTGCCCTCGGTTGTTCTACCCTCGGTTCTCCGTAACCCAACAGACCTTCACTCCGCATTCATCTAAGGACATATGATAGGACTACCGCATACCCATTTTGATCAATATTATTGCTGTTCATTAAAATTTATTAACTCAGATGCTCAATGATCTTGAGACAGTAATTCATTTCTTCTTCATCGAGTGATTTAATGTAGAGACATTTGCTTAAGAGCTCATCATCAATGGAGAAATTATAGTTTTTCGACCATTCTATGCACTGCGATAAGGATTTCACAATATGGACAGACGTCCGGAAGCGGGAGAAGTTGATTAGACGGTCGCTGTCCATGTGAACTGTTTCAGACTCGACACTGGAATCGGCAAGTGTCAGAGCCCGATCAAAACTCTCCGAGAGGGTATTAGGTGGTACAATAGGCAGTGGCTTGTTGGGCTTTTTGACATACTTCGGCCTTTCAGCATTGAATATCAAATCGGAAAGATACAAGCCCACAAATGGAATGCAACCACGTGAAGGTTGAACTTGATTCGTGCATAAGCGGATGTTGATGAAGTTCTTTAATGGTGAAGTCATTTCTTCAAGATTCTTCAACGTTAAGATATCCCCTGGGCGTAATGCGTTCCATGTTTGCTTCAATTTGGTTACTTTTTCGCTAGTTAAAGCTAAAATTATTTGCATCAAAGAAGCAAAGTTTTGCAAAACTAAACAGTGGTATGCAACATGGATAAATCTTGAGACCACCATTCGTCTTTCCTCCTCGGATTTAGTTAACAAGATTTCAGATATGATCCAGTTAACCATTAAATTGAATCTGGATATTACCAAATTAACACCTTTGTTCTTACTATAGTATGTCTCGTTGACGATAATCTCGAGCCAGCTGTTAATAGGACTAAGGTCTTTATTCCACTGAAGCTCAACAAGTTCTCTCCAATCGATCTCTTGTAACATGTCTCGTTCAATAACGGTGAAGTGTTCTGCCAAGTCTTTCGACTTATAGCTAAGCACAAATGACACATGAGACCCTTTCTCCATGACTTCCTCCACAGACAAATATTTAGATGTGAGCGAGTAACCATCCAATATCACTTTGGGATTCAAAATTGATAGTGGACTTGTGTTCTCACTGCCGGAAACGGACATTAAAAAGGCATTCATATTTGGAGTAGACAATGATGGATTGAGCGCGGTTCTAGGCCGTGTTTTGATAGGTGTAACTGGCTTGTCTCTTAACTCTTTCTCAACTTCAGAAGAATATTCAATGGCATCTTCAGTGGCTGCATTGTTTATCTCCGCAAGAATCTCCTCAGTATCATGAATTCCTGACTTTTCTTCATATTCTGATCTATGGTTTCCATAGGACTCGTCAAGATTCTCAGTGCTCTGAGGTTTACAAACAATGCTTCCTTCGTTAAAACTTTGTGGCCTTTCGGGGCCAGAAGTTTTATCTGAATTAGGAACACTTTGAGTCAATTCCACTGATGTATCAGCACTATCGCTAGGCTCTTGGTCCTTACCTTCGAGTTTGTACAATGCAAATTTGACAGGGTTGTTCGAGTCTAATTTCTCATCCGGAATAGAGGCAAGCTCTTTAAGCACATAGCTGCTTATACCAGGAATTGCCACAGAGCTGGCTGATGATTGTCCACTTACCTTCTTAGTTGCAGACGACTTGTGCTCAGCGCTGGAAAATACTGAACTGTCTGCCATCTCAGACAGTTTGCGATGAGAATTGGTGTTGTTGAGTAATAGTACACTATCGCGGCAATCATTAAAAGGCAATTCAGTCAAAGCGCATATAACACTAAATCTGACACTTTTTCTTGTAGAGGAAGACCTAGAAGCCAACGAAGTCGTTCTAACTTTGAAAGGGATCCCCAAGGCACGATCCTGAGCGCTAGCGTATAACACGTCCTGTTCATCAAGTTGGTCATTGAAGTCATTCAAATTTAACTTAGCCAATTTTCTTAAGTTCTGGTACCCGTTCTTTTTTCGAAGATTGCTATTTTCTGGCATGTCAGTCTTGAGATTAGAAGAAGTTGATAGCGCTGAATCATAACTAAGGTATGACTTAGCAGAATCGCGTCTGAGTAGAGAGCCACCTGACGCTCCCGAAAACATCGAGAATCTTTTGCTGGCTGCATTTGTATTGAACAGGTCGCCAAAGCTTATTTTGTGTGCTGTTCGCTTCATGGACTGCGGGCTCATGGCAACACTCAAATCTGCTATTTCAGCATTATAATGGTCGATGTCACTGGGGAAAGAAACTGAGGAGTTATCTTGTGATTCTTGTTTCTTGGATGTGGATAAATCTGAGCTAACGTCGAAGTACTGAGTATTCCTCTTCACAAGTCGATCGGTCTTCGTATTATCTTTCTCGTCTGCGGCAATCGGTGATTGCACAAGAGAAGCCGAATTTTCAAAATCAAGATTTCCTTCATCATTCCAGTTAATGCTAGTGACTTTTCTGAAAGAGGACTTTCCTGACTGTGAATCTTCGTCAGAGAGAACATCGTTAAGCGCTTCAGATTCGCTATCGGAGTCCCTCTCATTTTCAATATTTATGGACACGAAAATTTCATCTTGACTGAAAATGTTATCAATCTTCTCAATATTTAGTTCTGAGACATCCTGTATTGACACGTCGTCTCTATGATCCAGAATTGTCTTCGATCTCTTGATTATCCCATCGTGTAATAATTCACTGTCATCAGAGTGTTTCTTCTTGCACGATTGTGCTTTACTGAGTTCTGACTTCGTTGTGGGTTCACGTGAAAGATTCTCAACATTCACGTCTGCTTGGCTTATTCTGTCTTTATCCTCATCTTCGTTGATAGTACCATTATTGTCAACAATTGAATTTCTGATGATGTACTCTAATTCATCAATTATCCTAGCACTGAGGGTATCAATCCTGGTACCAATTGCCTTCTGTGTTGATTCCTCAAAAGCGTCAGGTATGTGGAGGCTTCCTGAAGCCTCTACAGTAGTTTTATCTCCTTTAAGATCTGCCGAATTGAAAGATTTTTTCCATCCTTCCATGAATTTCTTGATTGAGACTTTCCTTCCTAGTCCATCCACATCTGTAGAATCCGTACTGTGGAGAAAAGATTTCCTTTTGATTGGCACATGGGTTTCATCCTTCAAGGTATACTCCATTTTCTTGACAGGGGTTGGGGGTACAATGTAACTGATCTTTGAGTTCGGAAGCTTGACCTGGCCATTAGTGGAGAATCCTGTTGCTACAATACTATCTTTCTTCGACTCGCTTCGTAAAGAGTCCCGCATTGCTGCTGTCTTCTTCAAAGCGAGAGACGAATCTGTAAAGTGCATACACTTTGCCTTATGCGCATGATGTTTGTTGCTCGGTCCCGGTTTCGTCTCATCCTTTCGATCAACTTTTGAGTGGAAGTCACGCAATTTATCGTTCAAAGATGTCCTAGACGATTTATGTTGCGCGAGCAAATTATTGATTGAAAGCTGGGGATTCTCGTCATTTGAATTGGATTCATTGAATATTAAGCATTTATGGTGTGTTTTGTTATCGTAAAGTGAAAGCATAGCCGAACGTCTGTATGAAGGGTTCGTATGAATGGAGTTATCTGTGGTGGATTTTGTCAACTTATTATAGTTGACTATGCTTGCGACCATTGGAAGGTTGTTCTCATAAATTGTCTCCATGGCAATGTTAGCGTCAAAGAATTCGTTAAACTGAGACAACCAGTGGGTTTTTAAGTCCGTTATGATCTTCAATTCGAAGACCATATTACTTCTTATAAGAGTAGGGCCCCCTGTGATACGATTTAGAATCGTGGAAAATGTGTCACATAAGTCGAAATCGTTTTGAAAATCGTCAATAAAGTAGTTCAATATCCAGTGTCTCAACACAACAAATGTTCTCAAGAGTACTAGCTTTCCCGTTCTCTCTGTTTCATCTTTAAAGGAATTGACATACTGCAAAGACCAAATTAACCGTGTGAGTAGCAAGGACATGACGGTATGAGAGTCGGTGAAAAGTCTGTAAGTGAGAAAGAAGTCGCAGATAAGATTATAGTCAATAACCTCGGGGGAGGTTAACTGAACTATTAATGCTTTCAATGTTGCATGGTTTATGACTTCCTCGTTGTTCTGATCAAACTTAACCACACTGTCGTGCTCAGGCTTCAAATGGGGGAAGTATCGATAATCGTCAAAAATGCTTTCGTTATGTTTATTATACAGAAAGATGTTAAATTCATCTTCCTGAGTAATAGTGGAATCGGGTATATCCCACTCACTGTTGAGCTTTTCCTCCATATCCACCTAATTTTTGTGGGGGTTCAAGTAGATGTGTAGGGTGGAAGAGTAGGTGCAGTAAATTCTAAATGGACTGGTGATGGGGATTCTTGCTTTTCCTGTGGTTAACATCAACATGTTTTTGTTTACCTCGATAATATCCTGTATATAGTACCGACACTACCGCGATTTCTTTACACGGGCGCATCCATTCTGGGTATGCATACGGCTCAAGTTTCCACAAATTATTTTAAAATGCATAATATATAGTTGACTGATTTATTATGTCACCACTTTCGTCAGAGGCTATTTTTTCATGTTCTGGCTAATTGCCTGCTTCAATGCGCTAAATGGAGTGCACTTGAACTCTTGGTTCTGAAGGACCTTATTGAAATGTTCGTTTTCAGTTTTCAAGAGCTTAGCGTGCCCCGTCTGTTTCTGAGGGTTCGGTAAATTAGCCGCTTTCGTCGTGTGTTGGACATACGACGGCTCTCTTTCATTATTCTTCTGCACAATGTTCACTGTCAGTTCAGGTAAGCTCAGCCATAAGTCTCCTAATTTCGGCTTCAACTGCTCTTTTTCCTTTCTTTTCCTCCTCCTCAAAGCAGACTTAGAAATACCTCCGCTAAGATTGAATGTTAATTTCGAAAGAATTTTTTCATTGAACTGACTAGATTTTGCTAGTTGTTTCTCCTTTTTGGTCGTTTTCAGCAACTTTAAAAGCGGATTCTCGTGATAGTCATCGCTCTGTTCTTGCTCTTTCTTGAACTCTGCGATTTTACTAGATATCGTAGACCTTTTAGCCAGCTTCGCCCTAAGTCCCGATTTCTTCTTAATAGCCTTGTAATTAGTACTTTGTATAAATTGTGACGGGTGATGTTTTAACGTACCATTCTGCCTTGGTTTAAACAGGAAGGTAAATTTATGACTTTTGTGCTCATCAAGCTATCTTACCCTGCAGGACTAGTTGATTCTGATTTATCATATAATGTAATAATCATGTCGGAAAATCAAATGCACAGGGCTGACAGTTCCAATAGGTCGTATAAAAGTTTGCTCTTTGATGTTTCGGATTTTGCTTCTCTTTTCTTGTGGGTCACATGTTTTACGTTTGATATTCCCATAATCGATTGAGGAAGAAATGCGATTAATGAAGCAATAAACCCTTTTCGTAGCGAAGATGCAAACCGAACATAGTGCACCAAAAAAAGAAAAAAAAAAAGACAAACGTAAATATAATAATCCACACTGTTAGATACTTTGCAAAACTTATTCGTATAAATTGCCCAGTCTATCAGCTATCCCTGTTTCTTTCTCCTCATTCTCGATGGGGAATTTGCCTACTAATCATCTCCTGTACGGAACCTAGAGATGAGCGAGAAAAGACAACGCGAGTGTACCCTTAATAACTAACATACTTTGCTCCAGAGAACCGGTCTCGCTTACAGAAGCCAGTGAAACTAGAATTACGCGAGGACTCTCGTGTTACGGTTTTTCTTATTACGTGAAAATCTACTCAACTACGAGGATTGTCCTGTTCCTGACCTTCACTGACAATGAGCTGGCCCACCAGTGAACATGCTCAAAGCAGCCCGAGAGCCATACCGAGCAATACGGCTAAGACCAACGAAGAGCTTGCAAAATCATTTCCTCTAACGGAGAGCTATCTAAATCCGACATCACAATCACAATCCGATTCGATAGCGGACTCTGCTCAAGAAGCACTAAACAAACAGGCTGTGATTTCGCCAGCCGCAGAAGCATCGGAAACAGAGGATGTCGATGGAAATGCAGCTGCATCTAAGATTTCTGCTTATGCTCGCCTAGACTTTGAGAATTATACTTTCTTCGTACAAACTCTTCAGGTTGTACTAGGGAGAAATTCCAATGAGGAAATACAATCATCACAACACTCTGTGGACGTTCACCTCGGTTCAAAAAAGGCTATTTCGCGAAGACATGCAAAGATATTTTACAATTTTGGAACCCAAAGATTTGAAATATCCATTGTGGGGAGGAACGGAGCGTTTATAGATGATCTGTTTGTTGAAAAAGGTATAACACTTCCGCTTGCGGACGGCACTAAAGTTCAAATAGGAGATATTCCGTTCACATTTGTCCTTCCTACCATAGAACCGAGCGAAGAGAACGAAAAGAAACAAAAGCCTGGGCAACTAATAAATCCCAGCGATGCGATCAACTTGCGAACCAATTTGTACCAGTCATCTACGTCGCCACAACGAGAGAAGAAGAAGAAAGTACAAATCCTGATGGAAATGAAGAAAGACATTGCTCGCAGAAATTCCAAAGCAGATATTGTCAGACGTTTGTCGACTGCTAGACGTAAATCGAACGCAACCACAAATGATGAGATCAATGCATTGCTCAAGGAACTTGAGGAGCTTGAAGGTGAAAATGGTGAGGAGTTTGATCCAGATTCGTTGGATGAAGAAGTCCGCGAGCTATTAGCACAGCAGAATTCTAAGAACTTAACGGAAGAGCAACTAGAGAAAGAAGAAGTTGAAATCGATGAATTGGTGAAACAGCATAATCTTCAACAAGGAGTCCATCTTGATGAACCTGAAACAGCACAAGCTAAGAAACATACAACTTCTGTGACTAAACCGGATGTCGATATTGACATTCACATGCTTGACCAAGAGATTGCCACTCTAGCGCCTTTGATCGACGCACATAACGAAGTTTTAGGAAAAGATAAAGAAGGTGAATTGAAAGAATTGGAAGAGAGAAAAAAATTTCTCGCCGCAAACGGATACTCCCTACAATCAAAGTACAGCTTCCCCAACTCGAGCAATGCTTCGTTTTATGATACAAACACGGAGCTTCCTCTTCGCACTGCTCCTCTTATGGGCAAGCCTGCCTCAGGTCCTCGAATGGGAAAACCAGCCACAATCCAACCTCCAGCTAATCGTGTTTATGGTAGACAGCCTACTACTATGGGGCAAACCAATAGTCCTTATCCTAGTGCATATCCATTGAATGCATCACCATATTCGACGTATAATAGCTATATTGGTGGAGCTAATACGTCGTTGTATAACCCGATGTTAACGAGACCACCACCACCGAAATTGGAAGTTCTCGTTGAGACTATAACCAGAATTCCTACCATAAGCTCAATAGTACCTTTTAAGGCTATTACGTCAACTTTCGATTCATTTGAAAAGGCGCCTATTTGTGTATTCAAATCTTTAGATCCACCTTCTGCAGTTCCAAAAATACCAATAAGGCGCAAAGACGGACTACCTCGGAAACCACCTCGTGTTCAAAGCTTCAAAGAGGTCCCTGACCAATTCAAGAGCAAGCCCTCAATCAATATTCTGGCAATGGTAACGGCTGTTCTAAAGCGGAAAGATAAAAAGGGCTATACCTTAGGAGAAATTCACGAGGGTATCAAAGAATTATTTCCTTATTACAAATTCTGTCCAGACGGGTGGCAGTCTATGGTCACACATAATGTGAGATTCAACCAGATTTTCAAGAAGGTGTCTTCAACAGGACCTGAATCTGAATGGCTCTGGCAAATTGACGAAGAATATATACTCGAGAAAGAAAAAGTCAGAAAGCGGCAACAAGAGCTTGCCGTATCGAAGGCGAAAGAAGCGGCATTGAAGGCGGTTGAGCTCCGTCAAAGGCAAAGATTGGACGTGCCGCAATACAATGCTCTCGGTCGGACTTACATGAACGGAGAAACAGCATATGGTTCGCGATATTCATCACCTACCCCTACCAGTAACTATAGCCTTCAAAGGCCAAAGTCGATCGCTGAGCTTGCCAGTGAAATAAAGAGAGATGGAACGTACTCGAGTGGGAAGAGCCCAGCCTACTTCCATGGGCAATCGTCGCTGTACAATTCCACGATACTGACTCCAGAACCAGAGCGGCCATCTGGAACTACTATAAAAGATCAGCTAGCCGCAAATCGTGCACGAGCGTCTGTATCTCCTTCTCCGAATCCCGTATCGCAACTGGGCTCTCCTCCACCAACTTCTCTTCCTGCAATGAATGCAGACACCAAGAAGTCATTGACATACTTACAAAAGGAGCTTTTCACGTTGTACAAAGCACGAAAACTCTCCTACAATACGGCGGTGACGACAGAAATTATCACCAAGGCGCTAGCCACAACAATAGCACAAGTGAACATCATTGGATCGAAAGCTGGTTGTGGAGACAACGCATTGAGTTTTTTGGTGGAGAAGGCTCCACAACAGGTGAGCAAGATTTTAGACATCGCATTAACAAAGTCTATCAAAGAGAAACAGGCTGCTACGTCTAAGTTACCAAGCCTAGACCAGTCACCACAATCTACACCCGGTCCTAGTACACAGCGAACAGTTGAAACCAAAATCGATACGAGCTCGACAAATACAGAGAGCTCAAAAATGAAAGACACAAGCGGGCTATCAAAACCTCCTAGTTTCAGTCCAGGCCTCAGCCGGCCAACATTCTCTGGGAAACCGCTGGGTTTGGCCAAGCCAGGTGCATTGGCCAAGCCTCCACAGTTCATTTCGAATAAGCCAAAGCGCCCAACAGAGGATGCCGATGAGCCGAAAAAAATGCCTCGTTATGGTGACTAGGTCTTTCGTATGAGTAAGAGCAAAACATATTAGTCCTTATAATAGTCTGTAAATACACGAAAGCTCTTTAGCGGTTGGAGACAAACTACAGTAAAGGTCCAACAGGACACCATGCAGTCCGCACACTAAATCGAGCGAGTGGCGATATCAACATCTAATACTACACGAAGTATTCCGACAGCCACCGTACTTGAACTATAGGCCATGAATACTATCGCCAATCAGTTCTCAAATGCGCATACAAATGCACTTCTCAGTGAAATCTCCTCTGCGAGAGAGAATCTCCACCAACAACCACAATTGGCATTGGCGCCATCCATCCAAGTTCCGCCAATCTCGCACCCCACGGAGTTTTTAAGAGCTCACACAGACGACTCAAAGAACCCAGATTGCAAAATCAAGATTGCCCACGGTACAACTACATTAGCTTTCCGTTTCCAGGGCGGTATTATAGTGGCTGTCGATTCGAGAGCCACGGCAGGAAACTGGGTAGCATCCCAAACTGTGAATAAGGTTATTCGTATTAATCCATTTTTGTTGGGGACTATGGCCGGTGGTGCTGCGGACTGTCAATACTGGGAGACTTGGTTGGGTACGCAATGTAGGTTGCACGAGTTGAGAGAGAAGGAACGTATATCTGTTGCTGCTGCGTCTAAGATCTTGGGTAACTTGGTGTACAACTACAAGGGCATGGGCTTGTCCATGGGAACAATGGTCTGTGGCTACACGAAAAAGGAGGGTCCAACTATTTACTATGTGGACTCGGACGGAACCCGATTGAAGGGTGACTTATTCTGTGTGGGGTCAGGTCAGACGTTTGCATACGGTGTGTTGGACTCGGAGTATAAGTGGGACTTGTCCGTAGAGGACGCGTTGTACTTGGGTAAAAGAAGTATCTTGGCTGCAACCCATAGAGATGCGTATTCCGGAGGTTCTATTAACTTGTACCATGTGACTGAGTCCGGGTGGGTTTACCATGGGAACCACAATGTCGGCGACATTTTCTACGATATCAAAGAGAAGGAGCAATCGTTCAACAACGTTGACGGATAGGTATAGATGCCGGTTACCATGTATACATCAAATGAAGAAGCAATTAGAGAACGTTCGAGTAGTTTCTGTGTACGTGGAATCAAGTTCTATGTAAAGTACTGGGTCCTATGGCAACCGTTAAAGATGTCAATAGCGATCTCAACACAGATACCAATAACGCTTCCAAATGAATCTCGTACAAAGACTTGGTCATTTGAGTTACCATTAATCCTTCGTCTGGTGTGATGTAAAGGGGAGGGGGCGAAAACCCTAAGCAGAAGCTCTAGCACGTGATCAAAAATCCAGATTCCGCACGTGACACAGACACAGCCTGCACATAATTGATCCCGCGACGGCTGCGCTCCTACTGAAAAATTTTAGGCGCAGAAAAACTTTCTCTCCTCTGAGTACTAAACACAACAGCCCAAAATGTCTGCTCAAAACCCTATGCGTGAGTTGCGTATCGAAAAGTTGGTCTTGAACATCTGTGTCGGTGAGTCCGGTGACAGATTGACCAGAGCCTCCAAGGTCTTGGAACAATTGTCTGGTCAAACTCCAGTTCAATCCAAGGCTAGATACACTGTCAGAACTTTCGGTATCAGAAGAAACGAAAAGATCTCTGTCCATGTCACTATCAGAGGTCCAAAGGCTGAGGAAATCTTGGAGAGAGGTTTGAGAGTCAAGGAATTCCAGTTGAAGAAGAGAAACTTCTCTGCTACTGGTAACTTCGGTTTCGGTATCGACGAGCACATCGACTTGGGTATCAAGTACGACCCAGGTATCGGTATCTACGGTATGGACTTCTACGTTGTCATGGGTAGACACGGTGCCAGAGTCGCCAGAAGAAAGAGATGCAGAGCTAGAGTTGGTCTCTCTCACAAGACCAACCAAGAGGAGTCTATTGCTTGGTTCAAGCAAAAGTACGATGCTGAAGTCTTGGAGAAGTAAATGTATAAACCATCCCAATACACTTAATTCGTTGTCGTAATTTCATGTAGACTTTACGAGCTGGATATTTACGAGCCCTCGATTATCTTGGCATAAGGACGAAGAACTTCACAAACGAACGTTCGCACACCCATAAGCGACCCAACAGACTAGATCGGTGAGTATAGCTCATTCTGATGTGATTCTAACTTTCTTGCGTTCACAGGAACCAAAAAAAAGTACAAGCTAGGTTTTCTTCCCAGTATTCGTAAATGACACACCTGCATCTTGTCCTCAGTTTCCTCATTTGTCGCATCTTCTGGCCGAGGCGAGTTTCGCTATAATTCTCCGTTCTTTGTTGAACGGATCCAAAGGAAAGCAGATTAAAAAACAAAAAAAAAAGAATCATTCTCCGTTATGGTTGTTGTCAACTCGACTGAGTTGGAGCATCTCCCATGTATGTAATATTCTGAGGAATCTGCTGAAATATAAGCAGGTGAAAGTACGATACGTACACTTATCTCTATCCTCATACTAACAGTCAAGTTATCGATGGTGATATAACACCTCAAGAAAGACGTGCAGTGGAACTGCTTATACAAAATGAAGCGGCCCGAAACAACACAAACCAACCACATCCTTTGGTAGACCAGATTCTTCCTCTTCACTACTCGTCTAACTCAAGCTTGATGCGGGACATCGAGCGCTACGAGCTGGAAAATGGCGAAGAAGTGGGCGAGGGCATCCTTGAGCACACTATTTCTATGGACAGATATACCGATTTTGAGGGCGAGAATGGGGTTGACTACAATAGAGTGTACACTACTTTGTCATATTCTATTATGCGTGAGCGTTCCGCTTCGTTGATGTCACAGAACCAACAGCAGCTTGAAAATATGCAGCGGGCACATTCGTCTTCTTTATCAGAGCTTGACAATGTGTATTTGGCAGAAGTTGGTCGTAAGCGTCTGCGTGTGGATGAAATTAACGAGATACGGAAAAAAAGGCAACTTGAATTTGAGCCCATGAATAGGTACCTCGAGCAGCGGTTTGACGAAGGCGTGAACTCCATGATAGATCTTGGAATCGAGAGCTTGGAACATAAGTAGCACAATATATGCAACAATCACTGAAATATTGAATAACAGAGCGCCTAATGAGCTCCATAGGCCGCTGGAAGAAAACATAGAAGCTCCAACTTGAATACAGCGTCAGTTATGTGATTGCTTTCCTCTTTTTGTTGAATATCATGTCTGCTTTAGAACTGCCCACGTTCGTAATCCTTGGACAACCTTCTCTATGTTTTTCTTGAACGACGCATTCTTGACAGTAATAAGCGGGCGATCCAAGCTCTGCATTCTCACCGAGATGAGCACTGCAAATAATACATCGTTTTCCCAAATGACCATAGGAACAGGCATCGCATATTCTAACTTTCTCTTTAGGCTTGACCATGGAATCACATATAGGACATTTGCCATCGCACAGCAGACATAGTAATGCAACGTGAGTTCCTGGCCTTTTCATGCACTGTATAAGATCATACTGGTGGCGGGACATGAAGAAGAAGAAGTAGTAGTAGTAGGTTATACAATAATATAAGTCACGTGCGTAAGTGGAAGATGATCAAGTGTAGAATGGTGGCGGTTCATGCCAATATTAGCCTCCAATTTGTCGCTTAAAAGGAGAAGAAAAAAAAGGAAAAAAATAATAATAATCAAAATACTTGGTGGATTTCAATAGAAAGATCCGTAACTAATTTTTATTAGTGCTGTGAACTCTGCTAGACCATTTCTTTTTCTGGTGCGTTCCATATAGGGATGCGAATAGAGTTGCAGTCTGCAATCTTAAGTGGAATAGAAGTGTGCCATTATACCCAGCAACGTTTCGTCTGAAGACATTCGAGGAAATGCACGAGTGTCCCATCTGTCTCGAAAATATCCAGACATTTGCTCTGCTAGGAAGGGTGCTGCCATGTCTCCACACTTACCATGAACAATGCCTTATCCAGTGGTCTTCTCACTCCAACTCATGTCCCACCTGTCGCAAACTCTTCCATAAAATCGATATCATTGCAAGTCATCAACCGAATTTAGTTCAACGATCGATTCCCGTTAAAGACAAGATCATTGAGAATGACGCCATAAACGAAATTCCCCAAGAGTTTATTATCCCGCCACAAATTTATGGCGAGGTGAGACCAGAAGAGCCTGACCGGGGACACAACGGCGTATGCACCATATGCTCAAGTGCACAATATTCTCGACGCAACAAGGCCATGGTTTCATGTATTGGATGCGGTGCAACCTTTCATACACTGTGTCTTGGTCACAAAGACGAACCTGATTGGTATTGCCCAGTGTGCGACTGTCACCAAGAAATGCCCATACAATCCCCAATTCGAGTTTCTAGACGGCTGGTTCCGGCTCCTCGGCGGGGACTCACGATCTTCAATGAAAACAATGAGATTGAGGATTTTGATGATAGAGAGCACCCGACTCGGTCAGCCTCGGTTTTGAATGGCGGGGTGCTATTGCGACGAGAAGCAAGACAGTTGGAAAGCCTAACCAAAGAGGAGGCTGACTCATGGAGCTTGTTGGAACTGGTGAGGCATGGCTCAACTAAGGACATTGAGGTGTCACTCCAACACTCAACATCAGAGAAAAGAAAGAGACGAAAACGTACTGATCCGTCAAGGGTTCTAGATTCTACTGGTCCTTTGGATCTTAAGGCAAGCAATTCTGCTCAAAAACCATCCCGATTCGGCTCTTTAATGAACCAAATTAGATCAGGTAGTTCTTCTGTCCACATGGAGACAAATCCACCTGTTCAAGAGGTTGTACTGGTCAGTGAAACTATACCATCTTTACCTTCAGGAGGGGAGAGGTCATTGACCAGACGTACTGAGTTATCATTTGAGCAGAAGCACAAGGTGCAAAAGTATGTACGCGATAGACTCAGACCGCGATATATTCCCAACTCTGAATCGCTGGACCCTACTATCATTAAATCCGAATCGGAGTACATCAAAATCAACAAGGCCATATCGAGAAAAGTATATGCTGGCATCTTATCATTGTTTGCTGCGAATCCGGACCAAATGGATGAAATCTTTGAGAAGGGGGATTTGCAATTGAGAGACTTGGTGAATGAATACGCAGATCGGAGTTTAAACGTTTAATAGATTGTATTTATGATAGCTTGAAACAAAAGTTTAGGAAAGAAATAGATAGGAAGTTCATCTTCTGCGAGGTCCTTTTGGCTTGGAAAACTTAAGGTTGCTTTTAGTAGTTTTCGAATCAGATGCTTCTGGGCTTGCAAAAACAGAAATATCGATTTCATCTAAATCACCCACTTCTAAAATTTTATCGAGTTGCCCTTCTTTAAAATAGTCAGACGTCAAATGTGCAAGCAAGCCTTTCTTGTTTGCAGCATAAACCATTCTGTCTCTAACTTTGGAACCAGACGGGCACAGATAAATGAATGAGACTTTTGAATGGGTATATCCAAAGATGATATACAGCGGTGTAGACTCAGTTACAGCCTGTTGCGCAGAATGCACCAAGCTTTCCACAGAAACATTCTCTGTTACATTGGCTAAAACCAAATGCTCACTTGAGTCTATATTCATCACCACGAGATGGTTCTCCAAGTTTCCCCGAAGAACACTATCAAGCTTGGAGTCAACCTCGAAAAATAAAGCATTGCCAGAATGACCTTGCATCGATGGAAGCTCTTTTTTAAACGCAGAATTTGGATTTTGGGACACACTTAGTGTTTGCAAAGAGTTGATGCTTTGCAAGACTCGCTCATCTTCAGTGAACAAACTTGGATCAGTCTCGGTAAGAGTTGCATGAGCAAAATGTTCTGGTGTCAATTCCTCAAGTTCCGTGAGTGCTAAGTTGTATTTTTTCCCAAAGAATCCGGACCCAATTTGCTGAATTAAGGTATTTTTAGTAGAGGCATAAAGCATTTTGTCTCTGATAGGGGCCAGGTCAGGAATGAACGCAATGAAAACAAAATCCGACGCCTCTGGACGAGGGAATATAGCGTACCCAGGCTGAGGATATTTTTTGTGGAAATGCTGGTGTAAGCCACTGAAGATGGAAGATAAATCACCAGACGAAGGTTGTTCGTACGATTCATCCTCAACCAATTGCGTTTGGTCTTCGGAGATGGTGACAAGCAAAGTCTCACCGGAGAGACTCAGAAACCTTTCAAGGAGTTTCTTGGAGGCGACAATTCCTGATTGAGTAGACATGAGGTTGATAGGAATCTCTATTATGTCAGAAACCTACTGATGTATATTCTGCAGGACCCGTATGTCCAATAGATTATGACTATAATAAGTCCAAAAATAGTAAGGTAATCGTTCATCTACAATTGTTTGATGCTCTATAATGTTTTTTTATTCCGTTTTCTTTATGGAAGACGATTCGAGTGTAAGTTTGTGAGTGGTTTCATGAGAAGCATGAAGGTAAGCACTGTTGCAAATTGAAAATCAACACTCCATTAATTTCGTATTTTCTTAGTAGAGTACAATAATTGAAGGCTTATTACTCATGAAAAGCTGCCAAGTGCTGGAAAATCTGCCATATGATAAGGAGAGGCAACAAGATCTTCCATATCCAAATCCTAGAAGTTTGCTTTTCAATAGCTGTGACTGGAAGAGGCAATTTGTCATTCTTAAAAGATACCTGCTCCGAAAAGCTAGCAACTCGCTTAGGTATAATCATACACATGTGCCATGAACTATGAGGATATCAAATAAAACTTCACTCGTGAGATAGAAAATGCGTGCGTCTTTTCCTGTCCATCAATACTAAATGTAAACAATGCGGCCAAACCCCACGTTGATGATTCCTCAGATTGAAAATTAGTGCTTTCGATATTGATTTCTTGCGTTTCCTATGTTTTACTCTGATACTATACTTTCATGTTCTCTCCGATTGTTCAATATGAAGAACAATACGGCTGCACGTCAAAGCATAGCCTGTACATAGTCTTCCGTTTAGAAGCTGGTTCTGTAATCTTCATATGATCTACGCCTGGTACCATGGGTCTTTTTGATTTTCTACCTTCTAGAACCAGCCTGGAACTGCCACCTCCTTTTATACCTCATAAAGGAGAGAGTCCTGAACTCCAGATGGAATCGCTCCTTTATCTTTTCAAAAGACTACGAATCAATCGGTTGTCTTCATTTTCTCAGGGAAACACCCTCAAATATTCAGATAACAAAGAAGAATCCATTCAAGACTCAGCCCAGGAGCCTGAAGTAAGCCGCTGGGACAAAATTTATCAAACGACAGAAATGAAGCGTCGATTGTTAGGCCAAAAGGAAAGGGTTTTGATCGACTGGCTGAAAAATAAGTTTCGGTCTTTGTGCATACTTCAAAGGGAGCCGGGACCATCACTACGAAATAAAGACTACGAGTTAGAGGATGGCTTCCCAGTATTTAAGGACTATAAAGATAGGAAAACGGGTTCATTTGTCTTCTTTGTTATTCCTATCGATCAGCAATTGAACTTCACAGAATTGGCCTTTGAATTGGCACAATCTACCCTATACGTTGAGCACCATTCCTACGTCTCTGTTGCAGCCCGAATTCAATGTGCGAAAGAAGCAATTAGCAAATGTTTAGGACAAAAGTTCACTAGTGAATCGGTGGTTATACTTTCAGAGGAAACCCACACGCAAGTAATCTCCGCATATGTCTCATCATTAGCCTTTATCGTGCAATTGTTTCGGATATATGACCTGCATATCAAACATAATAGTGACTCAAAGGTATCTGCTAAACCTTCACTATCTCTGAAAAGTTCTTTCTCCTTTGCTTCAAAGGAATCGCCATCTAAACCACAGTCAAGATCAAACTCACCAGTGAAAGCGAGAGGATCATATGCAGTATACGAGTCTCTGAATGATACACCCTCTTCTCCAACAAAGACATTAGGCTCAAAAAAATCTCTTGCGAATTTGCGGAATACACGGTTGGAAAACAAGCCGTCTATATCTAATCTTCGGGCAAATGAGATATACAACCCAGTTGCTGCCCCTGTGTCTCCAGAAAGAAGAAGTTCCCCAGGCCGTATGCAGGCCCTGGATCATTCTTCACTTTATGGTCGTGAAGTCCAGCCCGAGTTGTGGGAAAAGTGCAAACAGTCGATAAACGAGAAACTTAGAATAGAAGCTCAAGTGATAGGGTGATATTATTTTTCAAGGGAAAAATCAGTATTGTCTTTTACGTTCATATGACGTTTACGACTGCATACAGTAATCACACTGAATTCTGTATATTCATGAAATAGATAAAGTTGAACTGACGAATATGATCCGTATTCAGAAATGTGCTTTCCGAAGATTTAGCACTTCAGCACTCAACAGAAATTTGTTTGGCGGCGGCAAAGTTGTCACTACGCCTCATGCAGCACCTTCCAACAAGCTGGAGACTACAAGCAATCCTGCTGATCTTTTTAAAAAGAATGATATTCTCATGTACTCACAGAAACCCATCAATTACATTGAATCAGTGAAGCAGAACGGTTATCATTTGGCCAATAATATACTTATCACTTCGCCCAATAAAGAGGGCCATGAAGTGGGTACTTTACTTCTAGAGAATGAAAGTTACGAGGTTAATCTTCTGAATGGAGGGTACAAGGTCATCAACGGATTCATAGTCGAATTCAGCGAAGAAGAAGTTCTACAGATATTTAAAAAGATACATCCAAAGCCTGAAATTGCTGTCGTTGGCTTAGGTAAGAAGTCAAGGATGCTTTCAGAAAAATCGAGGAAATATTTCTCGCAGATGGGCATACAACTCGAAGTTGGTGACTCGAAGCACGCCGCACAAATATATGACTTGCTAGCTACAGAAAGACCAGGCGTTATTGCTGCTTTGTTGCTACCTCCGAACGTGTAAATTAAATGCAAATAGTGTGTATTAACGACATAGTTAACAAAATTCAGAGATTTGACAATCGCCGCGAACTTAGTAAGTTATCAAATCTCTGAAAAAAGGCGTCGAGGAAACTTTAAGTAGTAATATCATGTTGATAATTCATGGGGTACTCATTATAAAGCCGGTCATGGACAGATTTTGGACGCCCTGAGAGGAAAGCTGACGAAACTGCGGGTCGTGAAGTTGTTGATGGTGTTGTTGACGATGTTGTTGATGATGATGGTGTTGTTGTTGTTGTTGATGATGTTGTTGATTTTGATGTTGGGACTGTTCCTGTTGGTATTGTTGCTGCTGTAATTGTCGCTGGTTTGTTGAATGATGCAGATGTTCGTGTTCTTGCTGAAGTTGAAGATACTGTTGTTGATGATGAAGCGAGACATTATTCTGACTCTTTGGGGGAAGCATCTGATTCTGCGCATCATTAGACTTCAGGTACATGTTACCAAGTGTACAATGGCGCATAATTTGAGGCGACTGCTCATCAAACAGGTTTTCCAACAAAAATTTCCCGTTAGGAGTTGAAATCATTCCGCCATGCATAAGATCAAACGAGTGCTGGTCCGATGAAGAGTTAAGATTATTAGCTGTTGTGTTGACAGTTGAGTTGTTCGCAATGATGCTGAACTCCTTGGAAGTATTCATGGTGGAGTTGAAGTCTTGAGATGCTGAAAGATTTGAGGACGTATGATGAAAAGATGAAAGATTTTGCTGCGCTCTTGAGTCCGATAAAGCCACTTTGGAATACTGTGGACCAGGTGAATAATTTTTCATATTTTCAGCCTTAGTTGGTACCTTTTTCTTATCCAGCTTCTTGTCAGCTTTATCTGGTTTCAAAGTATTGCCAGCACTCTTTTTCTTCTTCGTGTTCATAAGCGTATGCACATCTGTGAATACAATCTGAAATCTATTCATTCCATTCGGTTTCTTCTGTGACTTCTTGTTTGAGGGTTTCAAATCCAGAGCCTTAACAGCGCCTTTTCGTTCAGAGAAGATACCCATCACCGGTTCAGTGACTTCAATTTTGTCTTTGTTTGGGGTGGGACTCATGGGTACAAGGCGATCTTTCCCCTCTTGCTCGGGAGACTTTGTAGCACTTGACATGATGACAGTAGAAGGAGATGAGTTAGGGACTTTTCCTGGAGTTTGATAAGGACCTTTGTTATTATTCAATGGGGTTGATTTCAATGGAGTTTTGTTTATCATACTCGCAGATATGTCATGCAAAATGTTCTTTTTTGAAGGTGTTACAAATCCTTCGTCGTCATACTTTTTAGCATTTCTATTCTCATACTCTTCGTCGCCATCAAACTCAGCATCCTCCTGCTTGAAGCTCATATTGTACTTTTTGAATGGCTGCCTAGCAGGAGTTTCAAGCAGTGTTATTGATCGTTTATGTGTTTGCTCTGCTTGAAGTTTAGCCTTGATGTTCTTTGTTGAAGATTTCGGATCGGTAGATATGAGAAACTTCGAAGGCGTAATAGTTTCTACCTTCAGCGGGGTCTGTCTTATCGGAGAATCCATGAAAAAGTCATTCAAGTGGAGAGATTTATCGTAGAATGGGGTGAAGTTGATGTTGTTCGACAAGTTGCCAGCACTGTTCGGATTGTTTAAAAGATTCAAGTTATGAGTCAAGAATGGGGTTAAGTTCAAACTCGGATAGTCATACTCGGAATTGATGACGGTACTGCCTCCTCCATTAGCCAATGCAGCTGAGGACTTTGATATACCGGGAAACATTTTGGAACTTGGTGTTGAGTTGTAAGAAACGACTTCATTAGACAATGTTCTAGTTATAAGAGGCGTCCAGCCTGTGATTGCGGTGTTCTGTTGCGCCGAGGAGGATGCATTTAGAATCTTCGAAGCAGGAGGCAAAGCTGTTGATGCTGCCGATGGTTTGCCCTTCCCTGTTTCCTCATTTTCGGGATATGTGTAGATTAAAGGGTCTATAACCTGTCGCGAAGGGGAAGACATTTCTCCGCACGCCAGCAAGTCAGAAGGAGGACAGTTTAAAAGAACGAAAAGAAATGACGATGTCTGCTTCTCCAGTGCAAGAGTCGTGGGATGTCAGAAGTGGACAAAGTAGGTCTGAGATGCGGAATGGTCGGGTATTAGCAATGTGTCAGCAAGATTCCACAGATAATATGGTGTCTTTCAAGTGAAAAGATGGCTGGAAGATAAAGGGCAAGCCAAACCAAATCAACAACAAAATAAGAGATCTATAGAATCAATACTTTGAAGGAAAGGAAAAGATAGGATAGTGTGTTTTGTTTTTCGCGAGCACGCTTGGAATCAGTCTGCACATAGACTAAGATATTCGCGCCTGAAGTTTTATGAGGCAGTGAGAAGCGTGAGGGGGCTTAAAAAGCGGCAGCAACCAAGTGATTCGCGAGTAGGGTTTCTTAAACAATCTGTAGCATTTTCTAAAGCGCGTTTTTATCTACATCTGGGTCGACTCGCATTTGAGACACAACAGATATGTGGACAATTCTCGAGACTAAAGTATTGCAGACACCAATGAAAATAAAAGAGTGTAAGGGAAGGTTCGGTCTGCCGGAAACAGTGGATACCGCTAAGGATAGAAGGATAGAAGGATAGACTTTAAATGGTGCGATCATGTACGTAACCGTCAAAACATCAAAACAAGTGCGTAGACTTATAGCTGTGGCATTACAAATTTCGCAGAGTTACGACTCTTCTATGCATAGAGATAGAACTTCACGTTTATTATGGGGAGAACTAAGCAAGTAAACAAATTTTTCGGCAAGAGTAGCTTCAAAAAGACCGTAGTGATACAGAAAATGAAAGTCCAGAATTGAATATAAAATTGCCACACTTAAGCAGTGGCCTTGTCTTCTTCGTTCCACTCGCTTTCAGTCACCTTCAAGTGCTCAGCCTCGTCAGCCAAGTCATCAGCGTCGTACTCTTCTTCTTCGTGAGCAGCAAAGGACAAAGTTGGCTTCACGACAGCAGAGTCAAAAGTCCATGTAGCCAAGGCATTTTCAGCGTCAATGATGATTTGCTTAGAAGCCTCGTAACCGTCGTAGGCTGGTCTGGTTTCACCTGGGGTAACTGGAGACTCGTCCAACAATTCCAACAAGGCCTTACCGTAACCAGCAATCAAGGCAATTTTCTCAGCGTGCTCACGAACAGAGTCGAATTGGTAGTTGAAAGCAGTCTTCAACTTTTCTCTGGTGATGTTGGACAATTGTGCCTCAGCAACCAAAGACTCGGCTTCGGCTCTGACCAACTCCTGTTCCAAGACGTTGATCTTAGGAGATTGTGGGTCCTTGTACTTCAAGTAGGCAATTTGATCGGTGATCTTTTGTTTTCTCTCTCTAGAAGGTTGCACGGAACCTTCAATGTCTCTAATGGACTTCATGGTGATTCTGTATTGGTCATATCTGTCAATGAATTGGTCTTCCAATTCACCAATCTCATACACCAAGACACCCAACTTGTCGGTAATGTCGGAAATATCATCGTCATTGGTTTCACCCCAAAGAGACAATTGCTTAGCAACCTCTTTTCTCTCTCTAGCGGTGATTTCAATGGATCTCATCAAGTTCTTCTCCATCTTGATCAATTGTGCCAACTTTCTGGCCATCTCTGGACCCAAAGCGCCAGCAGCATTTTTTCTGATGGTGTGGGAGAGAGAACCCTTACCGAAAAACTTGGACTTGGTGGTGGATGGTGGAGGAGGTGGAGATTGCAATTGAGCAGCAGTTGGTGCTCTCTGAGATCTCAAGGAGTAAGTTCTATGCATGGCGAAAGTAGGTTAGTGTAGGTTCGAAACAAGAATGAAGTAAGAAAAAAATTCCTCAGCACGGAAAAGCCCATTATATTGGGCCGCAATCAGGGGGCCTGGAAATGGACGAAGCTCTGTTCCTGTGTGCAGGACATAGCCAGCCACCCTTGTTATCATTATGGGGCTTTAATATGAGGCAACACAAAGAGAATGACCAAAAAGGCAACTGGAGCAGACAGGATAGTATAGTTGCTTCCTACAAGTATCCAGCATGGAAACCGAGGGCTCGAGCACCCGAAGATGCGAGAAATGAAATGTGCCATTATTCTTGCCTCAGTGCATATGACTTGGGCCTACCGTAAATTAACCAAAAGCTTCGCGAACGAAAACACACATCCTGCAGTTTTACGTGTTCGAGAAGGATGTGCTTTGGGTAAAATTGAACCATGGTCACGTGACCCGAAAAAAAAAAAAACTTCTAAAGAATGTATTGAATGAATGGTGTAATCACTGGGTAACCGTCTGGCATGTGAGAGCGGTTTATATGCTGGCATTTCTTGCCACTTATACTTGGCTTTCGGCTAGATCCGTGTGCAGGTCATCAGATTGACATAGCACGCGACTAACGCCAATCGAGAGTCTTATCGACAATGACCTGCATATTATTATACCCTAGCACCCTTTGGAACCCTTGGTTTTCCGTATTACACTTTCATCCGCACGTATTCGGCACTTTATTAGGGTCGGATTTTGAAACAGCCGTGGTAAATATGGGTGAGAAATATTTTATCTTGTTCCATATCTCTTTGATTGAATAATGGCGGGCGCAACCATGAGATGCCTAGTATGCGCATTTTTTTTCTCTTTTCCGGATTATGCGGTGGCTCCTCAAGCATCTATCTGCGAACATCTGTAGGTTTAGGAAGGTCTCGCCGATTCAACTCGGACTTTGAAGCTGGTTTAGAATGTTTAATTTCAAAAATCAAAGGAATTCATAAGTTCGTGCATATCCACGAATAACACTTGGCCCATACAGCAATCTGTATCGGATTTTGGCATCATTTTGCATTTCCACGGGACAAAGGCATCGCAGCGCTGCGGAAGTTAGAGTCCGAAAAAAGATATCGCTCGCACCTTCTACATCGGAAGCTCTGCCACATTTTCAGTCGGAATTATATATAGTTTTGTAACGAAACCGTTTTTCTGGGCTTCTGCTTTTTCTCTTCTTTTTTTTTCTTCTTTCTCTGGCCTGCCTTTCTAGCTCCACCCATTCTTCTGAGCCCATTTCTCACCTTATTTTGCATCCACAATGGCACTGTTCTTTCGAACATATAATCATCTTCTCAAGACCCACCCATACAAGACCAATATGTTCACCACTAGTGTGCTCTTTGGCGCAGGAGACTGCTTGGCTCAGGGTCTTTTCCCACATCATGTTGACGATGATTTGAATAAACCTACAGAATTTCATTCTGATCGACTCGTGAGAGCAATGATCTACGGATGCTTTTTTTTCGCTCCCGTGAGTGTGAAATGGACAACAAAAACATTGCCTTTCATCCACAGCCCATTTCTCTCGGCAACTAAGCGTGCCACAAAGTCATTTCTGTCCATCAATGTTCATGACAATTTGTACAGGTTAGTGGTGGATTCGCTATTCATGCCTAGCATTGTGTGGATTCCGATGTACAATATAGTCATGAGTGCATTGGCACTCCACGACGATCCGCTAGCTGTGGCGAGAGAGAAATTAGAAAACAACTGGTGGAACGTCTTGAAAGCTAACTGGACCGTGTGGCCTCCTTTACAGCTTGTGAATTTGTTTTTCGTTCCTATTCATCTTCGCATTGTTGTCTCAAATGTGTGGTCTATTGGGTGGAACTGTTACTTGAGCTTTGTTCACAACACCTTGGGTCACGGAAAGGGTTCAGGACATCTTATTGAGGAGCTAGTTGACATTGAGACTGCAGACGAGGAACAGACCATGGTCTATGCATAATGATTGACTGAATTATAGATATAGAGATGCAGTCATTTAGGCGGCGGCAGGAGCTCCGTACATACTTATTCACTCGTTATGAGATTATATTAGGGTTTTCTTGGGCCGGGCGAAGGTCCGAGTCTACGGCAGGGTTTATTAATGGATAGACTATTGGGTATTGTGCATTAAGCATATTGTAGCAAGTAGTGCTTCTTTTAGTCTCATGTGGAATTGCATTTTACTTTGATGCAGACACTTCGGCCCGAGTAGCTTCATCTTGACCGTTTTTAGTTCGACGCAACTATATGCCATCAGATAATAAGGCAGCGTGGGCTCTTTTGTCTTGTTAATTTCATATAAATCAAACCTTACCCGGGCCAATTCCGAACAATCATGAACGAACAAGTTTACGGACACGCTTCAATGACACCGCATATAATATATAAGAACATACATAAAAAAGATAATAAAACAATTTAGTCGGCTTGCAACGACCATAACTTTTTGTCATATTACAGAACGTCAGAACTTATCCGGTGCACTCGGTTTCGCACCCAGACTCAAATGTTCAGTGTACACTTTTTCTTCTCGTGGCTCGTCAAACAATAATCAAAATGGAACACAAAGCTAGCATTTCCTGGTTCCCTTTTATAGTACATTCTTGCTTTTAAAAATATCCTTATCGTAGCTTTAAGGTGTAGTCTTACATTAAAACCGAAAGATATGTGTCGTGCAATAACCGTCGTGCCAAGATCAAGTGTAGAAACCGTAACAAAGCAAGGAACGGTGTTGACCTTGATACTGAGCGCTCAACGAAAAAAACGCTATTCAGGATTTTTTATCATCAACTGATAGTGTTCCCGAATTTATTTGGCTTCTTTCTTTTCTACTACTTTCCAATCTGCTTTGAAGCTTAAACGGCCGATTTTCTCGTTTGATACTATAGTTGCACTCGTGGACAGTCTGTCTTGAGGAATCGTGGTTGTCTAGTCGATTTTGCAGTTTTTTATATTCTTTCAGTTGTTTTTCTTTCTTCACCTTTTCCTTTTATAGCTTCCAACTTCTGCGGCAGCTTTTACTTCCGAGATCGATCGCTCCGGAACCCATTGGGCTTGTTTAACATCCTCGATTCAACTGTTTCCTCGAGCCTACGCTTCATTGTTCGTGAATTGTGAACCTAGCCTCAAAGCATTTATTATTTCCCTTGTTTGTGTTTCTATTCACATTGAAAATGATGAAAGGCTTCAAAAACAGACTTACTCGCAACAAAAACCCGAGCTCGTCAAAAAAGACAGACAAGAAGGATCTGAAAGACTCCATGAAGGACAAGGAATCTTCCAAAAAGGGGCAATCGCTTTCACTGAAAACAGCTAGCTCGAACTCTTCCTTGAAATCAAACTCCCCTAGTCCCTCGAAGAATGAGACTCTGCTGACTTCCGATTTGTCTTCAATTCTGAAGCTGCTGGATCAAGCGAAACAGCTGCTGGTAAATCCGTCAGCAGTTTCCCAATTTTCATCACAAACTGAACATCCTAACACACCGCCACCTCCAGACGCTATTGCAGGTGTCGATAAACAGGCAAGTTCTCCCAAAATTGTTGTCAACGAACCGATACCAACAACTGTTGGCTCCACAAATCCTGTGTCTCCTACCCCGAGCTCACCAAACGCCCAGAACCCTGCATTCGGACACGGTAGCCTTCACCTTGATGGCAGATTGGCTTCTCACTCCCAACATCAACCACACTCCCCTTTGAACCTCAATATATCATCTCCTGGAAAGGATTCATTTGACATAGATTTGATTGTCACTCCCAAAAGACATTCGTCTTCTCGTTTCGAACCAACAACGTCGGACGACCACAGGGAAATCACGAAGCTTCCTAACTTCGACGAAGTGGCTCCAGAAGAGCAGATTTCCCTCTTCATCCAAAAGGTCGATCAATGTAACATCTTATTTGACTTCAGTGATCCAACAAATGATATCCGGGGCAAAGAGATAAAGCGTATCACGTTGCAGGAGCTAATCCAGTTCATCGTGAGCAATCGCTTCAATTACACTGACGAAATGTATAAGCATGTGATTGCAATGTTCAAAAAGAACTTATTCCGTCCTATTCCACCTCCAGTTAACCCAGTGGGGGAGCTTTTTGATCCAGATGAAGATGAGCCTGTGTCCGAATTGGCCTGGCCTCACATGCAATCCATTTATGAATTTTTTTTAAGGTTCGTGGAAAGTCCCGATTTCAATCACCAGGTCGCTAAGCAATACATTGATCATGATTTCATCCTCAGAATCTTGGAATTGTTTGATAGTGAAGATCCCAGAGAACGTGACTGCTTGAAAACTACGTTGCATAGAATTTATGGTAAGTTTTTAAGTTTGCGGTCTTTCATTCGTAAGTCTATCAACAATGTGTTTTTGCAGTTTGTTTATGAAACTGAAAGATTCAATGGTATCGGTGAATTGTTGGAGATTTTGGGCTCTATTATTAACGGATTTGCGTTACCTTTGAAAGAAGAACATAAAATCTTCTTGATCCGAGTTCTCCTTCCTTTGCATAAGGTCAAGTCATTGTCATTATACCATCCTCAACTAGCTTACTGTATCGTTCAGTTTTTGGAGAAAGATCCATCATTAACTGAAGAAGTTGTCATGGGTCTATTGAGGTATTGGCCCAAAATCAATAGTCCAAAAGAGGTCATGTTTTTGAATGAAATCGAAGACATTTTCGAGGTTATGGAACCAAACGAATTTTTGAAAATTCAAATTCCATTGTCCGCGCAGTTGCTGAAATGCATTGCTTCATCCCATTTTCAAGTCAGTGAGAAAGTGTTGTGTTTCTGGCAAAATGAATACTTTTTGACTTTGGTGACTGAAAATGCTGAAGTTGTACTTCCAATTATCTTTGCCTCGTTGTATGAACTTACTAATGCAACGCAGCCAGGAATAGCTAATGGTATCGTGCAGCAAAAACTCAACGAGAATCCGAACGCGATGACAGACGCTAATGGCAATCTAATCGATAGTGGTTTGGTATTGAATAACAATTATGATTCCAATGGGGATAGAGATCATAATGGGGGCTTGGAAGATGCGCATATGATCCATGACATGACGGATGAAGAGTACTACGACTCTTTTTCCTCCCCTCATCAACATATGGACATGGACGATTTTAGCAACATTCCCCCACACAACCTGGCCACATCTAACTGGAATAAAAGCATTCACCAGTTGGCATTCGGCGCATTGAAGGTTTTTATGGATCATAACCCTATTTTGTATGACCACTGTGCTATGTTGTATCACCAATCTGTTGAGGAAAGAAAGATAAGGGAAGTTTCAAGGAAAGAGGGATGGAAACGAATTGAGCAGTATGTCAAGACGCATAAGCAGTCGGGCTCTCCTCCTGTCAACGATGCAGAGGTAGATGCTCATTAACCAATCATTGTAATGATTTCTTGATGTTTCATGACTCTTCAATTCAGAATATCTTTCCGCTCACTCCGTGCCCATTATGATGCTTATCTTTTGAAGACTTTTTATATGTTGGTCTAGCATATACGTTACAAAGCAAATTACAAACCACTTTCTTAAATCGTTCTAGGTGAACGACATCGTAGTTACAGACATTGTTCACATAACGAATGTATGGTACGAATGCGGGGTTTCTGGAAGATGCAAATTAGTCATTACATCCTACATCGGAAACTTATCCTTGGGATACTTAGATCATAGCTTTGGGTTGGGCACAGGGTTGGGCACATTTTCTGATTACACGGGAATGCCTTTGTTAGCCCTCCACTCTGATAAAGCAGGTCTTGTCTTCGAAATTGAAAAATGGCTTGACCCTTGATTCAGTTTGTGCTATTCTTAGCTCATAGTTTAGAAATTATATGATCAAAAAGATAATTATATATAGGTTCTTTTTTATTTCCAACGGAAATGACAGGTTTGAAATAAATTCAGCTCGTAGTTGCTTAATTCGCAAATATCTTTAAGTTTGCAATAAAATGGAAAATCATCAAAAAAAAAAAAAATATAGTACATACTAAAATTACTTTTGACTGTCAATACCTATGGTCATCTCTATGATCATCTCTTCTTATTTCCCAAAACGCAGTATCATCCAGTAAAACCTACCATCCAGACATGAAGACATTTCCTAATTTAGTTAGATGCAAGACAGAATATTGTGAATTATGGAGTTCAATAGGGTCAGCTACAAGTACACCGATCTTCCTTGCTGGTGGATCGATAACCCAAACCAATGGAGTCATTTAAGGACGAGCTAGAGTGAGGATCTTCAATAGGACAGTTGGATTGAGCATCTTGATGAATGACGTTTAGTTAGGATTGATATTTAGGGATGGGGCGATTATTGAAGTGGAATCCATCCAAGAGGAAATCGAATGATCTTACTTGAGTCCAATATGAAGTATCCTTATCTAAAAAAAGAGGATAGATTATCCCAAAATGAATCCGGGCTAGTCCGAGAAGCCGCGGCGATGCCGAGGCATGTCCGCGAGACATTGAAGATAAGACCTGAAGAGCATAAAAATGGTGTGCATATACCTCTCAGCAGTTTGTACGCAACAAATATTACCTACAAGGCCCGAGTCAAAAAAGTCTTATGTGCCAATGAAATGACGATAAACAAGATGAAAACTCCGTAAACATCAAAAAAAAAAATCATAATAAGACACTGGAAAAATACAATATTGAGATCAATTGTCTGGAAAAGTGTTAAATTCAAAGTTGATGGAGATTTATTTGTCATCGCTTTTTCTCATCAAATTTTTTTCGCCGCTTACATAATAGTATAAATACTACTGCGAAGACGCACACTTAATTTTTCTCTTTTTTTTTTTGGCTAATCTTGCCCCTCTGCTCTAACAATGGTTTTGGACTGCTCTTCTGCTACTTCTCACTTGAAAACTTATCCTAAGAAGGACGGTTTGGATATTCGTTCGTTGATCGATTCCTCTAACTTTGGTGGTTTGACTTACAATGACTTTTTGATTTTGCCAGGTTTGATCAACTTTCCATCTTCTGAAGTTAGCTTGGACTCTAAGTTGACTAAGAAGATTACTTTGAAATCTCCTTTCTTATCTTCTCCTATGGACACTGTCACGGAGGAGAATATGGCTATCCACATGGCCTTGTTGGGTGGTATCGGTATTATTCACCATAACTGCAGTGCTGAAGAACAGGCTGCTATGGTCAAGAAGGTCAAAAAGTACGAGAATGGCTTTATTAGTGACCCAGTTGTCGTCTCCCCATCTGTCACTGTTGGTGAAATCAAGAAGATGAAGGAGAGAATTGGTTTTTCTTCTTTCCCTGTTACTGGTATGTGTATCCTATTACTATTGTGTTTTTTTTTTTTTTTCCTGATGATTCCATTTTTATTAATAACTTTCGTTCTACCGAATTACATCAAACGATGTTGAGGAGACTATTTTCCCTGATTCTTGACACAAATTATCTTTGTCTGCGATTATACTAACAATTTATAGAAAATGGTAAAACTGGAGGCAAACTTGTTGGAATTGTTACTTCCCGTGATGTTCAATTCCATGACGATGATTCTACTCCAGTGTCTGAAGTTATGACTAAGGATTTGATTACAGGTAAGCAAGGCATTACCTTGACTGAAGGTAACTCTCTTTTGAGAAGCTCCAAGAAAGGAAAGTTGCCTATCGTGGACTCTGAAGGTAACTTAGTGTCTTTGATTTCCTTGACTGATTTGCAGAAGAACCAATCATACCCAGACGCTTCGAAATCTTTCCACTCTAAGCAATTGTTGTGTGGTGCCGCTATCGGTACCCTTCCAGCTGACAGAGAAAGATTGGACAAGTTGGTTGAAGCCGGCTTAGATGTTGTTGTTTTGGACTCTTCTAACGGTTCCTCTATTTTCCAATTGGACATGATCAAGTGGATCAAGAACAAATACCCAGACTTGGAAGTTATCGCCGGTAATGTTGTCACTAGAGAACAAGCTGCTCTTTTGATTGAAGCAGGTGCCGATGGATTGAGAATTGGTATGGGTTCTGGTTCCATCTGTATCACCCAGGAGGTTATGGCCTGTGGCAGACCACAAGGAACTGCTGTTTTCAACGTTTGCGAATTTGCTAAGCAATTTGGTGTTCCATGTATTGCTGATGGTGGTATTGGAAACATTGGTCATATTGCTAAGGCTTTAGCTTTGGGTGCTTCTTGTGTTATGATGGGAGGTTTGTTGGCTGGTACCTCTGAGACTCCAGGTGACTACTTCTACCGTGACGGACAAAGATTGAAGACTTACCGTGGTATGGGATCCATCGATGCTATGCAACAAACTTCCACCAATGCCAACGCTTCCACATCTCGTTACTTCTCTGAGTCTGACAAGGTTTTGGTCGCTCAAGGTGTTTCAGGTTCGGTTATTGACAAGGGTTCCATCACAAAGTTTGTTCCATACTTGTTCAACGGTTTGCAACACTCTTTGCAAGACATTGGTGTCAAATCTGTTGATGAATTGAGAGAGAAGGTTTACGAAGGAGAAGTCAGATTTGAGTTTAGAACTGCTTCCGCCCAATTAGAAGGTGGTGTCCATGGTTTGCACTCCTACGAGAAGAAGTTGCACAATTAAGTCCTATAGCTGATTGGAGTGCTTGACTGCATTCTTCCGATTATAAAAGTTTGTATTTCTAGGGTATCGTATAAATTCACATAGACCATGAAAATGTATGCAGGTAAACGGCGGCTTGAAGGCTGAGATTTACATGACTAAGATGCACCCCATTGTACTCCATTGTCATCAGCTTCTTGACTCTTTAAAATGTCTTTCTACAACAATCGATCTTTGCCTATACAAGAAGCATCCACAAACCTAGATCAAGATCTCCACTCTTCGCGTGAAGCAAAGTATCAACGTTCTCAAGCTGAAGTCGCCAAGTGGATTTTCAACGTTTTGCGTACACTGCCCGAAGAGCAGGGAGAATATCATAAGAGGGGGTATGATCTAATTGAGATGCTCAAGGATGGTTCTATGTTATGTAAATTGGGAGATCTTCTAGGGCTTCCAAATAGTCCTACGAGAAAATACAAAAGCTCAAAAATGCCCTTTGTACAAATGGAAAACATCCTGTTCTTTTTGAAGACTTGCGACATGATTGGAATTACTCACGATGAAATATTTCAAACTGTGGATTTGTTTGAGAGGAAAGATCCTTATCAAGTTGTTGTTACTTTAATTTCTTTCTCGCGAAAGGCGAGCGAAATAAATCCAGAAGCGTTCAAGGAAGCTATTGGGCCCAAAATTGTGAAAGTTAAACCTCCAGTTCCCCATAAGCCAATAACTCTTAGAAAATGAACATAAGCAGAGGAGCTTAATCAATAAGTAATTCAAGACATGGGATTCGTCAAGATGCGAGAGTATCACGACGTTGGTGCACAGGTGTAATGCGCGCATCTCATCTCTGCTAGACATTTTTTTTCTTAGGATTTAGACATTAAAGCTACTCATCACCTAAAGCACAAAACCTAATTTACGATAAACCTTTGGTAGTAGTGACTTGAAGAACACTCTACCTACATTATTATTTTTGCATTCCCATATACTCTTCATTGAATTTGCATAGATGTCGTCCGACGAAGTGATTTGGCAGGTGATCAACCACTCCTTCTGCTCTTTCAAAATCAAGCCAGGGAAAGGCCAGGATTTTTGCAGAAACGAATATAATGTTAGTGGTTTATGTGACCGAGCATCTTGTCCTTTGGCAAATGCCAGATATGCTACTGTGAAAAATGTGGAAGGTAAATTATACCTTTACATGAAGACTGCCGAAAGGGCCCACATGCCTTCGAAGTTGTGGGAAAGAGTCAAATTACTGAAAAACTATGCCAAAGCTTTGGAACAGATTGACGAGAACTTGCAATATTGGCAGAAGTTTTTGATTCACAAGTGTAAACAAAGATTGACCAGATTAACACAAGTTGCAATTACGGAACGCCGACTTGCATTGAGAGAGGAGGAAAGGCATTACGTCGGTGTGAAGCCTAAGGTCAAAAGAAGAGAAGAGAACAGAGAAAGAAAAGCATTAGCTGCTGCTAAGATTGAGAAAGCTATCGAAAAGGAATTATTGGAAAGATTAAAGAGCGGAGCTTACGGCGATAAACCTTTGAATGTCGATGAGAAAATTTGGAAGAAAGTCTTGGGTAAAGTTGATGAGGTTGAAGAAGAAGAAGAATTTGACGAAGACGATGATGTTGTTTTGGAAAGTGGAGATGATGACAGCGATGTTGGCGAAGTCGAGTATGTCGAAGACAGTGGTGACGATGAGTTCGTTGATATGGAAGATTTGCAAAAGTGGTTAGGCGACTCCGGAAGTGAATCTGAGAGCGAATCGGAAGACGAAGACGAAGAAGAAGAGTCCAAAAAGGGTAAGCTGCGTTCTACGAAGAAGAGCAGAAGACCACATGTGGAGATTGAGTATGAGGACAACATTCAAACTAACATTGCTACATAGATGTAGCCGGGTCGAGAAAATAAATACATTCATTTTCATAGTACAATTATTTGATAGTGACTATTGTTGTGTAATATTCATTAGTCCATGAACAAACCTGCCTTATTTACGTTGCACTCGAGCCGCCATTAAATACTCTCTGGTTTGAGCCTTCGTTGGATTTCATTCGCTTTGACTCTTAGCTTTCATCAGAGAATGCAGATGTCGTTAATTTTCCACTAATGCATATCACGAAAAAAAAACTTGTGATCTTATTTCATGTAAATTACCAATAAATGATCTGTAGTCCAGACTAGATAACGTGGAGTTTTAGAAGAACTCTACAGAAAATGGCGCACATTTTAAGCTTATTACATTTTGCGCATCTTCGACTCTACATCTTTATACTTGCAACGAATAGTAAAAAAGCATCAATGTAAGCAAATTAACGATTCGACAATTAATTATCATGATCACTAAGGCTTATATAAGACTAATTCTCTCGATGTACGCTCAGGTAGTATTTACTAATCATGCATATTCGACTATAGAAAGACAGTGTTTGGTCCCTTAACACCGAGCAGAAGGTGCATCCACTTGGCGGCTCACAATCAATTTTCCATGCAAATAAAAAACGACACAGTCTATTAATACCCTTGGTTGAGCCTGTTCTGTAATCATTTGGGATTTCAAAAAACAACAACACAACATGGCACCTTAAGAAGGGAACGAAAATAAAAAACTAACTTGTGCATTGAAGTCTTCTGGTATCCCTCGGATAAAATTTCCGATCATTGAGATACCTTTATTTAAATTCAAGAGTAAGAGAAAACTTATGGAAAATAGAACGGCATAGCCCCCGTATGGGTCTTAGTGTCATTTGCAGATAAATCTGCATCCATAAAAGATTCTGGTGCTGTGCTGACTTCCTCGTTGTCCGAAGCACTCTCTTGCCGAAGATCTTGCCCACGCACTTGATAAAACTCTCTAATATTACTAACAAACAATGGGTATAGAAGCTGATCAACCCCTTCATTCCTTGCAATTTCAGAAGCACGATGAAAGGGAATCCAAACTCCTTTCAAATTCATTGGGCCATTTCGGACAACGATACGTCCTTTTTCAGTTTTTAATAAGCCATCTCTCTTCCCCCGGCTCATACCCGTAACATTAAGTAATTTTGTACCATTCACATAATCGTCCTTTTCTCTCCTTGAAACCACCACTTTGCCCGCTTTCACTTGAAAACACGTTGTGCTTTCAGCCTCCCAGTAAATCGTTGTAATCCTCGGTTTTGAGATTTTTCGTTGATTAGACTTAGGCATAGAAAGGGTAGGCGAAAGAGACAGTACTGAACCAAGAGAATTTTGTGAACGATGAATCACATTAGGAGAGCCCACATGATGCATATGCGTCGCCATCTCAGAGGAGCCACCTACCTGAGAAGGACCCAAATACATGTTGATTCCATGTGAGTTCCACTGCGAGGACGAATAATGCACTGAGTCACGAGAGGATTCATTTGATTTGGGTTCTAAAAGTTCGTCACTGATATTTTGTGCCATGGGAACAGAGTTGCTCAGCTTTTCCATAAATCTTGAGTATTCGCCGTGTGCCACGTCTCCAAGATGATTTAGCACTAAGTGTTTACTTGCAAAAGCTGTAGACGTATAGTTAGGGATATTATCGTAAGAGGAGGTCATAATTAGTAGGTTGGAATTAACACTCGGTTTGCTTTAAATGATGGGAAGAAAGTCAAGTATGTAGAACCACTAAGCCACCAGTCAGAGTAGGAAGTTATAGGTCTTATAGTTACTCTTTGCAGCTAATACTCCTCATCTGCAAGATGATGATCTAGATTCAAAATATCAATTGAGGAGTTTTAGATACTAACCAAAAGTTAATCTTGATGCAAGTTCATGTATCCTGATGTATAGACAAGTTTAACTTCACCCATAGATATGCATGATTGTATTCATTATCTTGACTAAAAGAGTTACACTAAAATATAAAGGTCCACTTTAAGGGTCTAGTTCCGGAGATATGGAACCATTTCCCATGGTCTGAGCATTTAAAATTGGATACTTCTGGTGGAATACAATAACATTACCATTTAGAGCAGTCTGGTTCCCCTAAAAAAGGCCATCACACACCGTTTCAGTAATTTCATGAAACCGAGTAAAGGATACCAGACATAGCGTACGTGATGTTTGACCCGCTTTTATTAAAGATCGGCCAACTAACCAAATATTCACGCCACAGTATTTTTTATCTCATATGTTAAAAAATGGGAGCATGTTCTGTTCTGACTCGTATCAGACCTCGGCTACAAACCAGGGAACAATTACGTAATGAAGGAATTAATGAGAGTCACATTTGGAAAGTTCAACTTCCCCGAGGTGCAGTAGTTTCCTTCGGTGCACTTGCATATCGTCTGTATTGACTCGTATTTTAGCTGCGTGAGAAGAGAAAAAAAAAAAAAAAGGCGACTCGAACTTACACAAGAAAAGACTTTACTTCAACCGAAACCGAGTACCCATCCTAGTGAATTATCGGCTAGGCTAATTGTCCACTAGAAATATTCTATTTAGTTCATTTCTTTGATGGCCTCTCCGACGCCTATTCCGCACCATGAGACGAGAAGAACATCCTTCTTGGACCTTGGAGGTGCCAATTCACTCAACAATTTCGCATCTTCCTTCAAGCGAACACAAAACTATATTGGAGGCTCTCTTGTAGAGAACACTTTGGGCGATGATATTTCTCCGTGCACGTCACCTTCTCCGAGATTGATATCGAGCGCAAGAGACTCTTCGTCATCCACAATGTCAAGAGAAACTGATTATGGCGCTTTTTCAGCCACACCTGGAACCCCACCGACAGGAGGATCGCGTGGTTATGATCACATCAACTCTTTCATTTATCCTGTTGATGATGAAGCTGGAACCTTGCATCGTACTGCGAGCAAGTCTAGTATCCATTCTCGCCATGGAGTTACTGGATCATCGACCAGCTATCAGACAATTTTCAACGCTGTCAACACATTGATGGGGGATTGCGATGCTCTCTCTTTCTTTCGGTATGAGATTGTCTGGCTGGGTGGCTGGAACTGTCATGTTGATGGGGTTTTCTTGGGTCACCAACGAGACGGCAAAGATAATCGGCAACATCCTAAAAAAGTACCCTCAAGCATCCACATATGGTGATATTGCGTATTTGTATGGCGGAAAGAAGTTTCAGGCTTTGGCAACTTCTATCTTCGTGGTTGACCTCGTGGGGGCCTCTGTGTCATTGGTCCTTTTGTTTTCGGATTCGTTCCACCTTCTTTTCCCAGATGTGAATGTGGGCATTTTCAAAGCTTTAATTATATGTGTGACATTTGGAATGTCTTTTATGCCATTGAGCTTGATTTCCTCATTCAGTGTGTCAGGAATTTTCTCAACTATGGGCGTTTTAGTTCTTATCATCATCTGCGGCTTGTCGTCACTGGAATCCCCTGGATCATTGTTCAATACCGCAGAAATGAACTTATGGCCCAGATCTGTGGGAGAATTGATCTTGAGCTTAGGTATTTTTATGGCGCCTTGGGGAGGACACCCAGTGTTTCCAGAATTGTACAAGGACATGCGCAATCCGTCGAAGTATGCCACATGTTGCAATATCACATTCATTTCTACATTTTGCTTAGACTTTTTGATCGCAGCAGTTGGATATGTTATGTTTGGAGTTAAATGTGAAGACTCTTTAACAAAAAATGTTATGTCAGCCACCACTTATCCAAGCTGGGTGAACCCATTATTTTGCATCTTCTTGGGTATTCTTCCTGTTTCTAAACTTTCTCTTGTGACGAGACCTATTATATCAGTTTACGAGAACTACTTCCGCATGAATGTACAGAGTGACATTGTCTACAAAGATGGCCAACGAATTTACCCAATGACGTTACAGAAGTTAATGGGCCGTGTGATTTTCATGGGGATGATTCTCATCCTTTCCTTAGTCTTTACTTCTTTCGGCAGAGTGATTGCTTTCCTCGGTAGTGCCATTTGCTTTACTATTTGTTTCACATTCCCCCTCCTTTTCCACTTGGGTCTCAACTCAGAAGACCTTTCCTCCACTCAGCGACTTATTGCTCGTACTGGAGTGGTGATCAGTATGACGGGCGCCATTCTTGGGACTTGTGCCGCTCTCGCGTTTCAAGAGTCCTGAGTCGCAGCCTTCTTTAGTCTAATACTTAATACATGAAATGAGTCATTTTACCCTGATGTGTATTGCTGTTTGATGTAAAACCATTAACTATCACATTTTTGTTTTTAAACGCAATCTTTCTCTTCATTCTGTAGATTTTTGAGTGTTGCATTTTCCATGCTTCCTGTATTCCTTGACATCATCCACCGAAACATCGTTATTCAATATGTTTGCCGCATAAACATAGTTTTCGTGTTGTGACCTCGCCAAATACTGCGCCATGACTTGTGAGCCACTTGCCAAATATGATCCTTTACTTCCCATCGCCAGGATAGGATTCGTGACTTGTGGATACATCAGACTGACAGGAATAGACTGCAGCGGAACGCTGTAATATGATGACGGCTGGGCTTGGACAAAATAAGGTGACTCTGGAGGATAGAACACTGCTTGGGGGTATCCGGTACCATAATTCGCAGGAGGGCAATTATATGGTGGTGGGTACCCATATGTAGAGCTCAAAGACAGTACCGAGTTCAAAGAAGTATTATAATCAAAAATGTCAGCCAGCCCAAACTTATGATTATAGATCTTGTCATGTTTTCTGCGAGACCTCTTAGACTTAGTTTTATGAGATGATGTGGTTACATCTGATCCAATAATGATGGAAATGTCATCGTCATCATCCTCGTCCTCGTCCTCATGTTCAGGGTCCACATTAACATCCTTAACAGGTTCATCAATTGTGTTCGATTTGATATCATTCTTTTCCGTACCTCCATGCACTTCTTCAAATACAGATTCAGTACTAGTCACGTTCGCACATTTTATCTCCTCGTCAAGCTTTTCTTCTGTCCCACTTACCTTCTTATCTGCATCCACAGACTTATTTTCGTCGCCCGTAGGATTATCCTTTCCATTTGTAGCCGCTTTCTGGTCATACAGACCATCCAGAGAATCTTCAACAGGCATTGACTTCTGACCAGAGGAACCGTTTTTATCATTCTCGGAGTCATCACTCAGTGTTTGAAGAGCGGGAGCTGGATGAGAAGCGTCAGTACTGATACCGAAAACCATTGCTGCTTCTTCACTGATTGGATTGATTTCGTCTCTAGTTCCAACACTTGCTCTTGTCGGATGACTTCCGAAAGGTTCTCTAAAATCCACTGAGTTGATTTTCTTTTTATAGTTGAATTTAGGAGGATTCCCACATCTGTCCTTACCAAAACTGATTTTGAAGTGCCTGTAGTGTTCATAAAACTCCCCATTATCACCAGCAATCTCATTAATCTTGTCAACATTCTCACTCTCAAACAATTCGACAACTTTAATAGCATCCACAATGTTCATGAAGTTCATAAATCCACAATCATTATTATGATAGAAATTAATTTGCTCCAAATCACCGAATTTTCCAAATGCTGACCTCAAGGTTGGTTCGTCAGGAAGACGCATGGTATTGGCGGCTTCTTCTCCATCACCTGCCAGCCTTACACCAATGTAAACGTTTCTGGATGCACCAGCAGTGACGGCCAATGAAATTTCTCTACTCAAAGGACCAGAATGATTCTTACCCCAACCGACATTCACTTCGCTGCCATGAACAATCAACTGATGCAAGACTTGGTGGTTCAAATAAAATTTCAAAGCAACTGCTGCATCAACGAAGGTAATGAAACATATCCTCTTGCTTTTGTAATATTTGAACGACTCAACCAACCCACCAGCTCTTACGTTATTCGCAATCTCTTCAACGGAAGTACTAGGATGCAAATTGCCGAGATAGAGAGTTCGGTTACCGACATTAAAGGGATCCGGGTTGAATTGATATGCATGTTGGTAAGATGGGACGCTAATTTGTGGGCCTTGTTGGATAGGTACAGCCATTTGATAAGGTGTAGTTTGGTAAAGCAAAAGTGGGTCAGAGGCAGAATAATGTTGCGCATATACAGCAGGCAAGGACTCAGTTGCTGCACTCGGGGAACTTGAAGAGATTGACTCTAGTTCCTCAGAAGAGCGAGAATGCTCCAATGTGTTACGATGAACATCTGTTGGAGGGTCTCCCATAGTTGGAGATTTGGGATGAGAACCTTCATTCGCTTCTTCGGGTAAATCCTCATCAGTTGGCTTAGTTGCTGTAAAGCTACCCCGGGGTGATATATTCAGTTCGTTGATCTTCAGGCCAGTTATATTTAGTGGATTTGCAGATTTCCGACGTATCATCGCAGGTGATGACGATGAAAGCGAAGAAGAAGAAGAGAAAGAGTCAAGCCGCGATACAGTGGAAGGTTGTCGCGATTTAGACGAATTTTGACGGTCACATCTATCACGGTGAAAGCTCACAGATAAACACATGAGCAGTGGCTCGCTTCCAAGGTCCAAATGATTTTCACGATCAATTTGAATTCGCTTTAAATGATACTCATATATTTTGATAGCAGTATCGATAGATGTGAAATGGATTAAAAATTTGAGCTCATGCTTTTCTTCATTTGTCGATACTCTGAAATCTTCAATTTCGCCGTACTTCGAACAACGGGTGCGAATTTCCTCCTTTGTAGAAGGGATGAGATCAGTGTTTGCAATCTTAAACTTGAGCAACACTGCGCGAGTAGCATTCAAGTCATTAATATAGTTTAAAGTTTTTAGCTTAATGTAATCTTGTTTGCTTAAATTAGTGTGCCCGGAGGCTCCACTCGCAGCATGGACAGGCTCATTCAAGCTGATTTTCAAGTACCTCGAATTCTTTAACTTATCTTGAAGGGCTTTCAAATTGTAAGGATTTTTGCCATACTTGTGATGAAAATTCACAGCAACTGCTGTGCTAACGAAGGAAATGTAGCACGTTTTTACTGTCTCCATATCTTCCATATGAGGGGGCGCTGGGCTCTCAAACATTTTACAGTACTCAATGGGCCCACAAGAGATTTCCGACAAAAGTTCGTTTAGTGTCAATTTGGGATCCAAGTACTTGAGAAGCACGGTCCGGGAAAGGTGAAGCTGGTCCAAGCTTGAATTTGATGACGGATAAGTCAAATACGGTTGTTGAGACTGGGAATGGACCTTGTTGTATGCTGGATATTGATTCGGTACCAATACCGCTGAGTGTCCGCGGGGCACCACCAGATTCTGTGAATGAGCAGGCACAAATGAGGGCCGGCTAAGAACAGGCCCAGGTGTTGACGCTAATAGATTTGCAGGTAGCATCGACTGCGAATAAGCAAGATCTAAAGGGGTGTGGCTTCCTTGGAACATATTGTGGTACACCAACGGATGTTCTTGATGCTGTTGGGATTGAAATTTTGGAGATGAAACTGAAGAAACGAATGGCTGATGCATTCTTGGGGGAACCTGGCAGTTTTGATACTAACAAGGGAGGCCAAGTCAGTGGTCGTCACAAGCAAATAATTGAGAAAAGAAAAAAGAAGCAAACGCAAAGAAAGATGTCAATCTAGAGCCAGTTATCCAATAGCGATCGTCGGCGATTCGTGGAAGAGCGATAGTGGTGCGCTTTAGACGCTAGTCTTTTTTTATTCTCCTCTGTGAAAAAGGTACTCTAGTTCTATCTATCCTTCAAAAGAATTCGAGACTTCCAAAACAATGTCAGGAAATGTCCCGTGAAGGGAGATGTAGTTTAGAGGCTCTTGGCGGTAGGCTGGGTTAAGCAAATAAGCAAAACGCACTCAACCAAAGAAACCAAGAAGTTTAGGTTGTAAATGAAAATGCAAGCCGGGAAATAAAAAGTAGCCCTAAAATCGGAAGATTAAAGAAGACGAAGGGAAAAAGGATGCTGTTTATGTCGCGTCAGGAAGGTTTTTGCGTGGAAGGACCGCATTTTCTGGACGTTATTCCAGGACGGCATGTTTGCCCGATACTAGAGAAATGTGCAGGTCACCAAAAAATTTCGAGTTTGACATTCAAGGATCGAGAGCACTGAACATGCTATTATTAGCGTGCTTCAGCGAGTGAAAGAAACATGCTAGAGGACTTAAATGAGAAGCGCAAAGGTATAGACGTTTTTTTTTTTTTTGCTTTTGCGTGAAGATATTTATATACATCTGCAAGTTTGGACGCATGACGCAGAGAACGTGGCCCTGAAAATTCAGATGGGGCATAGTGCATGAAAATGCTACGCACTCGAGACTGATCATCAGAATGAGGGAAAAGTCCACGAAGAAACCGCGACAACATGTAAACTAAAACTAAATGAGAAGAGGAGGAGAGGTGAAAGCAGAAGCGCAAAAGAAAAGGAGTCGCAGGGATTGTACGAGGGGCGAGGAAGTGAAGGTTCTATGATGAAAACATGCAGGTGCTCAGTCTCATCTTACATTGTTTAAAGGTACGGAGGAGGTTAGTTAAGGTTAACCTAGCTGTGGTCTCTTGAGACATTTTAGTGGTTAAACATGAAAGCGGCTCAAGTGATACAATACTCTTGTATCTGAATAATACGGATCTTAGGTTTCGAAAAGAAATTGTTGTTGGTAATAACAGCAAAATCATTACCGACGAATTGTCGATTCTCCAGTGGATGTCGCGACTTGTGAACATCTCGGGATTAGTCTAGACGCATGCGCTTGCTGCCAATGACAAAATAAGCTCTCCTCTACTATGAATATTAGAGTCCGAGATCTTCGCACGTAGTTGTAAGTCCTTTGGCCAGGGGAGCAGTTTTTTTGTTCTTCATCAAGGCGAAATAACTTCGTAGAGAACAGGTGTTTCGGGTGGGATTGAATTACACATGATTAAGTTGAACAAGTGAACACACTATCCACTCTTTGAAAGTGTCTGCGCGCTTTGGAAATGCTCCATGTACACAAGTGCCTGCGCGCTCCCAAAATAGCTTAAGAAGCTTTCATTGTTGGAAAGCCATTAGAATTGGTGGGTGCCAGTCCCGCCAATAGTGTCATTGACACAGGTTGGTTATTTCTTCTTGACTCTCGTGACAATAAGCTTACGACAGTGAAGTAGTCTTTAGACTACCTAATCAACATTTCGGGGACCTTATGCAGTTTGGATGCATGGAGGACAAAACGGCCTCACTTTGCTTTAAACTGCATAATTCGAATATTTTTTCTCATCTTGGCCCGAACAGTCATTGTTGGCGCATATCTTGGAGCAGGTGCTATTCGTTTCTCTTTATTTTCCTCCAGAGGAAAATATTACAGCATGCCAAGAAGTTCTCAAATGGCTGGCCCTCTTCCCTGAGAGGAGGTGTAGTAGCTAGTGTACTTCTTTAGAAGCTTTTTCCTCGGTGTTTGTCCAAGCTCTCGCAGTGCAAGGTATCACGCCTGCGCGCACCACCCACTTTGTACGGATTTTATGGGCGTGAGGAATCGGCGTTTCCGCCTTCGTCCCCGTTTACGGTACATTTGCGCTAAGAACTCAGTCTCCGCTTAGACATTCCTCTTTCCACTCTCATATTCGTTCCATGTTACAACTGTGCTCCGATGGCCTCAGACTTGTGGCCCAACATGCTACCCATACTTGTAAACTGCCGCCACCAATAATAATCGGGGCGATGAATTGTGCACGAGAGGAAAATATTTGGCGTGGTACGCGCAAGAATGTGGGTTAGGACTTGTATCCGATGAGCCGCACCTCGTACTCCACAAAGTGGCCAAGCCGCAGGAGACTTGATCTAGCTCGGGCGTATGCGTCGCGCCGTGAAACCAAAAGCGCCCAAAAGTCTTGAGCGGCTAGGTTTAAAATGCATCATTTCGCGTGGAGTTTATTGTTCGATTCATACTGTTTCGCACGCGAGCTTTGCAACTTTGCACAGGAGAAGGCTAGAGGGGAATAGATAGGACAGTAGAGAACAGTGACCCAAAGAGGTTTACCTTTTTTCTTTTTATGCTAAGGCTACTTTTTCTTGAGTTCTGTTCCCTACTAGCATCTATGATGTTGGGCTTCCCCATTTACCAAAGCGCGCCTTCTTTATGTTCATACAAGCGCATACCTTTGATTGCGCCCACTGGAAAAAACATTCGACTCCCTAAAGAGACGTGGATATCTTTATTACATCAGTGCTGCTTCTACGTCGTTTCACCTGTACGCTATTTTCCTTCTCTTCTGTTGTGAAGTAGCTTTTATTCCTAGCATTGATCTCTTGGACGCTAATGGGCTTCGTTTGGAACCTTCGAGAGAGTTGAGTCACACACGCTTACGTCCCGCCGCGGCTACCGTCCTGTATACAGGTCATCGCACGGGTAAGTTTTTCGTCCCTATTGCGTTGTTTTTTTGATTCTCCTCCTTCTTCCCCATCGGATTTGATCCATCAATCAATCAATCCTTTATAGTGCAAGATGGCTACTCAAGAAATCCCAACCTTTAAATTGGTCCTCGTTGGTGACGGTGGTACCGGAAAGACCACTTTTGTCAAGAGACACTTGACCGGTGAGTTCGAAAAGAAGTACATTGCTACTTTGGGTGTCGAAGTCCATCCTTTGGGATTCCACACCAACTACGGTGAATTGAAGTTCGACGTGTGGGACACTGCTGGCCAAGAGAAGTTTGGTGGCTTGAGAGATGGTTACTACATTAACGGACAATGTGGTATCATCATGTTCGATGTCACCTCAAGAATTACCTACAAGAACGTTCCTAACTGGCACAGAGACTTGGTTAGAGTTTGTGAAAACATTCCAATTGTCTTGTGTGGTAACAAGGTCGATGTCAAGGAACGTAAGGTCAAGGCTAGAACCATCACTTTCCACAGAAAGAAGAACTTGCAGTACTACGATATTTCTGCAAAGTCCAACTACAACTTCGAGAAGCCTTTCCTTTGGTTGGCCAGAAAGTTGGTTGGTAACCCACAGTTGGAGTTTGTTGCTTCGCCAGCTTTGGCTCCTCCAGAAGTCCAAGTCGATGCCGACTTGATGCAAAAGTACCAACAGGAAATGGAACAGGCTACTGCTTTGCCATTGCCTGATGAAGATGACGCTGACTTGTAATCGCCGCCGTGGCTTTACTACGCAGCTCGTGTATAGTTGAATAGATGATGCACTTGCATTTTTACGTTTGGCTCTGACTCTGCGTACTCCTTGTACTTTCTCCGATGCTTTCTTTCCCTAGTACCTTTATTGCTTCCTATTTCCCTATCTTATATATCATGCGTTGCAAGTGAAACGTGTGTCGTTATCGCCTTGATGTATTCATCCGTGTGTCTGATTGCTGAAGGAGGCGGAGGAGCCAAGTTAGCCAAGTTCGGAGGCGGAGGTAGGCAAATCTCTTTTTCTGCTTCGTCTTTCTGTCTCACAAACGACTTGTCTTTGCTACGAAGTATCTTTCTCGAGAATTTTTCTGGTGATGGTGCTCCTTGGCTGAGGTAGCCCATATCCACTTCATAGGTGAAGTCATTGGTGTCCCAAATTCCAAGCTGTTTGGCCTTTTCCTCATAGTATAAGCAATACTTCCGAATGTGATTTTTTCCCGCCAAGTGCGATTTCCGCACACTCATTTTGTCATGAGTAAGATACGACTTGCAGTAGTCGCAATAGTATTTTGGCATCTTGTAGTACTGATAATCGTTGATCTTTTGAAGCTTCACATAGTAGATGATGGGCAATGTGCAGTACCATCGATGTTAAAATTAAGATCTATGGAGACAGAAACAAAATTACCAAAAACTAATGTAAAATGAATCAAGGATCATTACTGAAGGTCTCAATATTTGAAACTCTTTCGTACTATTGCATACGTGTTGATTTTACTTTAATGACAAGCGCTTTTCTTCTAATTTTGCACTTAATGAGCTTCAAGGAACAAAATTTAATGTTCACGGTGTCAGAATCACGTTCCCACTAACTTAGAGTCTAATTAACAGATGTTTTGATATAAAGACACAAGTTAAAGGCTGAGTGGATAAATGGATGAATCACGTGACACGTTCAACTGCTCGGCTTCGACTGTCCAATAAAAGGGAAGGGCCCACACTTCAGTTGTGGTAACTGCACGCACCCGAGAATCGGTGAAGTTTTAGCACGCAGTTTCTCAGGCAAACTTTCCACTTTACTGTTGTGAAACACCAGATCTTACAAGGATAATGTTCAAGCAATCAATTGTATGTATTCAATTTTGCGATCGACAATTTGGTTCCCTTTGACGAAGGAGATAGAGGCCACTGAATGGTGCACTTTTATTCTCGCTAAATGGAAACGTTTATTATCTTTGATGATAGTCAAATTGTTCCTTTGGGTTCAACACAATGGAATATTATGCACAATATGCTGGGGTAGTAGAAGCAAAGATACCATGTGACTGCGGTGTACAGCTTTAAGACCTTTCCCTTTCCATACCGACCCTATGCTGATATGCATTGTGGATTTTAGAAGCATATTTGTGTTACTCTCTTCTTGAAACCAGAAAATGATCCATAACCCTGTCGAGGAACCTCAATCTTTCCACTTTCTAGTACTAACACATAGCGTGCCTTGTCTTCTAGAAGATTGTTCTCTGTGACCCCAAAGAGAAACAACTTGGTCGCTGACTTGTATGTTCAACAGATCAAGCAGTTCAAGCCAACCCCAGTTGCTGCTGACCAAGCTGAAGGCATCAAGACATTTAAATTGCCATCCAAGCCAGCCATTCCATCTGATGAAGTTTCTGCTGACGCCGTTTCTTCCTATGAAGCTGCTGATGTTGAAACAGAATCTGCACCAGTTTCTGGTAGCGCACCAGTTGAAGAGGATTGGTTTGTCTTTGAGGAAGAAGAAGAGCACCACTAAGCCTCTTGACGACATGAACTCATACAACAATTATCTTTCACGAACAGAAGTCGCGCTTCTGGGATAGGGGCAACAGGCTATGCACAGCGTTATCTTTTGCCGGAGAAAAGCTTTTCTTTATGTATCAAATAAATGAAATATTCACTGCGTGGACGATACAGTAGACATAAGTAGTGTAGCCTATGGACAAAAAGACTGCGCATGTGCGCATAATCGCACAGTAACGAAAACAATACACATAAAAAAGGCAAAACCCGTAATGACAGGAGAACTAAGCATTGACACAATTAAAAATGCGTCGGAGTTGGTCAACACTACTCTCATATCCAAGGGCTACATTACCGAGGATTTGAAGTTTCCTATAATAGATTGGGAGGATCTTATTACGGATCAACCTGAGAAGGAAGCTCTTCAAAAGTTAGTGGTTGCTGATAAAATATACAATAATGACAAAAACATCATCAATATAATTTATTCATTGACACAGTCGATCGACCGCCATCAAGCCCAACAAAAGTCCATAAGCATGGCAATTTTACAAAAGGATACTACCATTGAAGCACTTCAGAAGAAGATTCAGACTCTCGAACAACAAGTGCAGGGATATGAGCAAAAGTACGAGAAGAGCGTTTATCTGGATCATTTGAATATGTCAGAAAAAATAACTCGCCTAACCAAATTGAGCAAGACGCAAGCAAAGGAGTTGGCCAAGCTAAAAAACACTTCGTCTGAATTGCAAACAAAGTACGATATTGAAATGCGCAAGAAAGCGATTGAAATTTCCCTGCTTAAGAATAAATTGCTAGATACTCGAAATTTGTCTAACACAATAACTTATGCCCGACCTTCTCGTTCTACGAAGAGTGCTTCGCCAAATCCAATGGGTCAGGAATTCAACCCAAATGTTGTGTATAACAACAAACCGATAATAGATAACTCTGCTACAAGAATGACATCCGGAAGCGAAGATTCCAGCGCGATAATCAAACAAGAATACGATGGAATTGCAACGCAACTTTCTGAACTCATTGAGAATTTGATGAAGGAGAATAGCAAATTCTCCAATTTTATTAACGAACTCAACGAATACTTTACCAAATTCAACTCCCAATTATCAATACTGAACTACAAGAACTTAAATGCTTCTACCCTTCTGAATCCGTCAGACGAAATCGATCTTAATCGCATATTAAAGGATACATCTACAGAAATTGATCCATTTGAGTTCACATCGCGACCTCTTCTCTCCAATGTTTACAAGAACTACCACTATGTTTCTGGACTAATAGATTTGGCTGCTTCAACACTAGCTGGACATGAACAAGGCACTTCAAAAACCGAGGACAACGACACATTGCAAAAGTTGAAGGAAGAAAATAAAGCGTTGTACAATAATTGGCAGAGCGCCATCAAGGCATTGGATGACTGGAAGAGTTACAAAGGTAACTAGGCTATTATTTAAAACTAGGCTATTATTTAAAGGACATAGGTATCACTAACCGAATCACTGGTAACAATTTTCATGGATGATCTGGTATATAGGTGATCTTTATAGACATGTAAAGAGAACAAATACATGAACTCCTCTCGATAACAATCTCAGCAGTGTGGATCAATGGGTTTAATAGACGTGTATTGAAGGTGTTGGCCGTAAGGCTAATGTCTTCATTAATGATTCAAACTTCTGACATATCAACCGCAAGAACTTTGAATTAGATTGTTGTTTTCTAGACTGACGCTAAGAAACCAATCTTAAAAGCATTTTCGTTAATTGCTTCTCTCCTTCACCAGCGCTCTCATAATATTATATTCAGTTTTTACCCAAAAGAGCGATGTACGCAAATGGGATTTTCCTTCATTGGTTTCCCTTAGCCAATTCGTATTCCTAAGTTGAATTCGCTGTCAACAAATGTAAAAGCAGAATTCGACAAAAATATTTTCGAATTATTGATCAGAGCAATCATCCTCTTGTCTTTTTCCTTTACATCACTCATCGTCTGTTTCCCACCAGTGGATGTGACAATATTAGGAAAATAGCTCCAGCTACGACTGTAGGCAGCGAATTTATCAAGATAATAAGGTCATCAGAAGATTGCATTCGGAGAACGGGAATAAACAGAGTAGTGATGGTTGCAAAAGATAGGTACAATCGGGAAGTTGAGTTTCAACTTAGTCCAAAGCGTAAAGATCAAGAAGAAGTATTACTTGTTCTTACTTAGAAGAAGATCTAATTCTGCATCCAAATCGATCAATTCAGACATAGCCTCTTGTTCTTTCATTTTCTGTGCTTCTCTTTCCTCCTCTATTCGAGAATACTTTTTCTTGGACTTCTTTGCTTTGCTTTGCTTAACCATAGATTTTCGCTTATTCAATATAGCTGTTCGACTGTTCTCTGGATCTTGCAACTCTTCCAATTTCAAGGCCAATATTTCTCGAGCTTTTTTCCTGTTCTGCTCTTGTGATCTAGAATACTGACATGTAACAACTATTCCAGTTGGCTTGTGCGTGAGCTGGACTTTGCTATTGCTCTTGTTGATCTTTTGTCCGCCAGGTCCTCTTCCTCCTTTCAAAAACTCTTCATCGATTTCTTCTTCTTTAATGAGCCAGAGTGGACGTGGAGGCAATTTGTTTTTTTTAGGGATTCCTAGAGCCAAAGAAGACGAACATATCAGTCTGGATAACTCTGCAGATTTTACGAGGGGTAAATTATTTCTGCAAAGACTCTTGAATAACCAATTGATCATTACTAGATTTGAACAAGACTGGACTATTCATTTATATCGCTGGAAGGTACGGATGTACACTGAGGTGGAATTGGATCTATCCTACTACTTGAATCGGCAAGTTGAAAAATTCAGGGTTTGAGATGATGTGTTTCTGCTTCGTATGAATGCTTTCTGCTTCATAGGAAACTTTTCCTGACACGTCTCCATTCTCGATGGCCAGAGAAGCACATTTTTATGGTTCTACAGAACAAAGATGACCCCGACTGGGAACTCAATTTATATAAGAAAGCTATTGATATGAACAACATGCTAGGTTAATATGTGTTTCAGATTCTTTGTCTGATCGTCAGGTGAATCACCTTTTGTTCGAATTGACATCGACCTGCCCTGCACAAAATTATTTTCCTGCTCATTGCACGACGCGTCCACTTATTTTACTCAATTCGGGTTATTAATTGACATGCGAAAAAGTTTAGTCTAATCCTCTTCACATTCTATCTTTATCATGTCTTACGAAAGAGCGGAGGTATTCAGCGCTCAAGTTCTACCAGGCGAAGAACCTCAAGATTCTTCATTCAATGAGATCACTAAGGCGTTTCGGTCATTCATTTTGGAGTTCCGCTTGAACAATCAGTTTATTTACAGAGACCAGTTGCGGGAAAACTTATTAATCAAAAACTTCTATCTTAAAGTTAACTCTGAACATTTGATCGGTTTCAATGAAGAGCTCAACAAAAAACTATCTGATGAGCCAGGTGAAATGGTTCCTTTGTTCGAAAATGCCATCACAGACATAGCGAAAAGAATCGCTTATCTTTCCAACGACGATGTTCCCAGGGATTTTCCCATATGCCAGTTGATCTTGTACTCAAAATCAAGTACCATATCTATTAGAAACTTGGACTCTGAACATATCTCCAAAATTGTTAGAGTCAGTGGAATCATCATCTCGGCCTCAGTTCTTACCTCTAGGGCGACTATGGTCCTGTTGATATGCCGCAATTGTAAACACACCATGAAAATGAAGGTAGCATCCGGATTTGGCTCCTTGAACTTGCCAAGCAAGTGTTTGGCTACCCACAACCATGATGAAGTTCACTCACAACAAAAGTGTCCTCCAGACCCATACGTGGTTGTGCACGACAAATCGACTTTTATTGATCAGCAAGTATTGAAGTTGCAAGAATCACCAGATGCTGTTCCCGTGGGAGAAATGCCTCGTCATATTTTGGTGCAAGTGGACCGCTATCTCACTAACCAAGTCACCCCCGGTACCCGTGTTACATTGATCGGAACCTACCTGATTTATCAAGCCAAACAAAGAACAAGTGCTGCAGTGAACACCGTTGCAATTAGAAACCCCTATCTTAAAGTGTTGGGTATTCAGACAGATGTTGATACTGCCGCCCAAGGGCTCTCTTTCAGCGAGGAGGAGGAAGAAGAATTTTTGAGAATGTCACGGATGCCAAACTTGTACGAAGTGTTTTCAAAATCCATTGCTCCTTCCATTTATGGTAATGATGATATCAAAAAGGCGATTACATGCCTCTTGATGAGTGGATCTAAGAAAATTTTGCCCGACGGAATGAGATTGCGGGGTGATATCAACGTATTGTTACTCGGTGATCCAGGTACAGCCAAATCTCAATTATTAAAATTTGTGGAAAAGGTCTCTCCTATATCGGTATATACTTCCGGTAAAGGTTCATCTGCCGCAGGTTTAACTGCATCTGTTCAGAGGGACACGCAAACCCGAGACTTTTATTTGGAAGGTGGTGCTATGGTCTTAGCAGATGGTGGTGTGGTGTGTATTGATGAGTTTGATAAAATGAGAGATGAAGATCGTGTTGCAATTCATGAGGCAATGGAACAGCAGACCATTTCGATTGCAAAAGCTGGTATTACTACCGTTCTCAACTCTAGAACGTCCGTTCTTGCGGCAGCAAATCCTATTTTTGGTCGTTACGACGACTTGAAGAGTCCGGGCGAGAACATTGACTTTCAAACTACCATTCTTTCACGTTTTGACATGATTTTCATTGTGAAGGACGACCACAACGAGTCTCGAGACAGGCTGATTGCCCAGCATGTTATGAACATCCACACGGGTAACAGTGCTGAGAATGAAGAGCTGGAGGGTGAAATCCCGATTGACACAATGAAGAGATACATTCAATATGCGAAATCAAAGTGTGCTCCTAGATTGAGTCCTGAGGCATCCGAGAAATTGTCATCGCACTTTGTGGCCATTAGAAGAAGATTGCAGGTGAATGAAGCGGACATGAACGAAAGATCGCTGATTCCAATCACTGTTCGTCAACTCGAAGCCATCATTCGTATTACCGAGTCTTTGGCAAAACTTACATTGCTGCCCATTGCCACTGTTGATCATGTGGATGAAGCAATCCGTTTATTTACTGCTTCCACTATGAATGCTGTCGACCAAGGTGTACAAAGTGGATCTTTGATGGCCACAGGAAAGTTTGCTGAGCAAATCAAGCTTGTGGAGCACGAGTTGAGACGGCGTTTGCCAATTGGGTGGTCTACGGCTTACAAGACTCTTCGAAGAGAGATTGTCGATTCAGGCAAAGCTCCGGCTGAAGCCTTAGATAAGGCATTGCACATTATGGAGAGACACGAAGTCATCCGGTTCCGCCATCAAAGACAAAACATTTTGCGTGTTGGCGTTTAAGGTGTCGTGGCTATCGAAATGTGCTTTCTTCTTCTATAGTTTTGTATTATTAATGTGGTGTTTTGGATTGTTTCCATGAATACGTATTTCTCTTTCTCTCGCGCTTGGTAGTGCGCATAATCGTTCAAGTATATTTTCCAGTGCGCTTAGCTATTTCTCCTCTAGTAGACAATGGCAGACTTTCTCAAGTAAGTACATACTTTCCACCATTCAAAGTCTATACTAACTAATAGGCCCAAAAACACTAATCCTAGGGGTATTCCCGAGGCGCCTTTTATAGAGAAGGTCGAAAGCATCATCAAGAACCCAGATGCGGAGTTCGAAAGCACAATGGCTGCTTTTCAGGACAGATTACAGCAATACAAGTACATGGAATTGTCCAAGAAACAGCAGTTAGGCGATTTGAATATCAAAATCCCAGACATTGAAAAAAATTTGGCGGTGATCCGCCTTTTGAAGAAGAAAAAGGAAGCTGAAGGAGAGGAGGACCAAGAGATGGAAGTGAATTATGAGTTGGATAGTACTTTATACACTAAAGCCGTTGTCAATACAGAAAAATTGGATTCTGTCTACTTGTGGTTGGGCGCTGAGGTGATGTTGGAGTATCCACTTGATGATGCCGTGGATCTTTTAAACACTAGGTTAGAGAACAATCGCAAAGAGCTCACCACTGTCGAAGAAGACCTAGAGTTTTTGAGAGAAAACATTACTACCATGGAGGTGAATACTGCCAGATTGTACAACTGGGACGTCGAAAGAAGAAAGCATATGCGAGCAGTGGAAGAAGGCAGCAAGAACTTGAAGATATAGGATGAATTTTGCACGTATAATAAATGAGTAACTATGCACGGAAAATGTCCAAAAATTGCCTTCCGAGTGGCCGCGCTGGAGTAGCCGACCTTTCTTGTGGATTACGCTGATTGATGTCATCTATAGCTTCCTCTGATTCCTCTTCTTCTGGTTGCACACTGACCTCTGGGCTTGCTTCTGACTGTGGCAAATCTTCCACCACTTGTGACACACTCTGGTAGCCACGCACGCGGCGCAATGAACGGAAAAGAGTCAGATGGGAATTTGCGAGGGTTGACAAAGACCCGGAATACAAATGGTGGCACCGACCAGTTTTTAGATCCAGCCAAAAGGTCTTGCGTGTATAGCCTACCAATGATTAGGCCCACAAGGCATGGCAAGAAGGACGCTAGTCCATTGTTCAACATGAGAATGGTGTATATAGCATGCACTTGAAAATGGTCTGTCAACGTCAAAGTGGTTCCAGAGGGAGCATCACCTTCATCTTCAGCTGAATTATCTTCATTTGGCTTGCGTAGAAGGATTTTGAAATGATAGGATGTGGGGATATAGTGGCCATAGCACATGTACAACAGCGAAAGAATACCCATTGGACCAGACGACACAGTATTAAATATAGTATCGAAATATACCACCTCCAACTGCAGTCTCCATACAACCCATTTCATCAAAGCATAAACTGCAATGACTAGTAGCTGACCCACAGTAAGAATGAGGAATATAAGGACCGCGTTATACAAGGCAAATACCGTCACCAAGGAAAGAAATTTTCTAGATCCAAAAAAACGCTCCAACGTTTTGAAATGAAAGAAAAGCAATATGATGAGCATGTAGTCGGACTCGTTTCGAACCGCAAGCTGGAAAGTTGCCACACGCCAATACTGGCTGAACTCCACAAGATATGGGTTAACGGCAAGCACCACGTAGGGCTTCAACAGAAGGATCAGAATCAGTAATGCAGATAATGTGGAAAAAATACATAGAGCTTTCGTCACTGGAGTATTGGTAAAGCCTTTTATGGGCGTGATTTGTGTCATTTGGTGTAATGATATATATGGTGTAGCGCTTTGAAATCTGCACAGAATATACCAGGGCCGATTTATCTGTGCGCATTTACAGGAACCCCAACTTGCCATTCTTAAAGGTTGGGCTTTGAAGGTTCAGTAAATATCATAAAGATGAAAATCACTTCCACGCTAAGATGATTCAAAATTCGTCCTTCTATTTGTAATTCTTTTCCTTTTCAATCGTACACGAATTCTTACAATCAACTCGTACATATTTAAATGTGTTGCGTGAAAAACTGCTTGGAATGTTAACTATACATGCTTAATGACCTCTTCCTTTAATTCTTGTCCAAAGCGCTCAATTGCTTTTTCGTCTTCTCAACCTGCTGTTTCTTCTTCTTCAAGTTCTCAACACGGCTGTTCTTCTTATCTATACCGTATTGCATCTTGTTGTATAACTTCTTCTTCTTGTGAGACATCATGATCGTCTTCAACTCCTTCTCTTCCTCTTCTTCCGACTTTTTTGGTCTTCTTAGCCTTCTTCTTTGGTTGTTCGTCCTTAGCTTCGGAGTATTGGATACCTGCAGCCTCCATCTCCAACTCTTTCTGTTCTCTCAAGGCTTCATCCTCTTCCTCGTCTTCGTCCGGAAGCTCTTCTCCTTCTATTTCAACCTCCTCCTCGCTTCCGGACTCGCCTTCTTCAACAGGCTCAGCCTCTGGGTTATATTCTGCTCTGTCGCCCCATGGAGACAAGTGAGGAGGCAAGGTTTCTCCTGGAGCATATGCACCAACAGGAAGCAATTCGCACTTGTTGATGGAGTCAAAAATCCATTGTGGCTGAACATAAGTACGGCCGGCAATCTTGTTCACGACCTTTGGTCTGTCGACAACTTGATGGGTGATTGATGACAAATCTAATTTAGCGTACGCTTCAGGGTGGTTGATCTTCATTTCATCCAAAGCAATTTCAGAAACAACAACACCACCAGCTGACAAGATGCAAAGTTCCATGATGTCCAAAGGCACCTCACGGCCAACGAAGAAAGTGAACTTGGAAAATAACGTGGACGAAGGAGAGGCAAACTCGGATGGTTGTGCTAACAAGTCACCCGTAGTCTTATTAGCGGAAGCGAACTTGTCCAATTCAACAGATTCCACATTTTCCACCGGCTCACTTTGGTCATCTTCTTTAGCATCGGCAGCAATGGCGTTTTGAATTTCCTGGGCCGACAAAGTTTCTGGTTCAGCCGAGTCCTCTGCATCTTCAACACTTTCTTCCTTCTTCTCTGCTGGGAGCAACGAGCCAATGCCTTGGTCCTTAGACTTCAAAACATACGAGGACAATCCACCAATACCTTTCAATTTTTCAGCATCAATTGGAGGAGGATACACCAAATTAGAGTCGGAATACAACTTGAACAAAACAAAATGCAACAAGGTGGAGTAAAATTCCAAGAAGGTCAACATAATACGGAAATCAACGTCCGATGGAATGTTAGCTGGGAACTTGAATGGAACCAACCATCTCACCTCCTGGCCTTTCACGGATGCCTCGTAATACACACCTTTGATCGAGACAAAGACCTTCTTGATCAATCTTTCTTTGGCGACGTAAGCAAGCCATTGATTAGTCAATTTGGAAGCTTCTTTAGTAACTCTGTGACTGACACTAGTAGTAGCAGGCATATTGGCAAACAAGAAAAGCATATTCAATGGGTCGTCGAGATCACGTAAAGCATCCAAAAAGGTTGGATATCTCTCCTTGACAACATGGTCTAACGTGTACTTAGGTCTCGTTCTCTCCAACTTGTCTGCATCGTTTAATTCTTGTTTCGACAACAACCTTTGCAACTTCTTTTGAAACGTCTTCTGCTCTCTGAACTTAGCCAACACTGGTTCATGTAACAAGTATTGAATGTCTTTTGAATAGTAGAAAGTAGTTGGGGCAGTAGATCCCTTGTTGGCCTTCTTTTTGTTTCTGGGTTCTCTTGGGTAAATTCCTTTGAAAATACAGAGACGACGGAAATCAGCCAAAGAGACCTGCAACTTTCTGATGGCCTGTGATCTGGTAATAAAGTTCTTTGCAGAACCAGTCTTTCCCTTCTTTTTTATTCTTGCCATATTGCTCTTGTAGAACTAAGATGAGATATTGAAAATTTATTTTGGTGCGAAGAGATGAGTTTGGCCTGCAGACGGCTCTCGTATTGGGATGTGATAACAAGCTAATTTGTATACTGGAATTCATTTTATCGTCATACCCTGACGAAATTCTCCATCACAATGACATTTAGAATTGAGTTTATGACTTCTTATTTTGCTATCTTCTTTCGAGCTTTTGTTATTTTGTTTTCTTCTTCAATGTCCTGACTGAAGTTCACAGGATTACATTTGGCTCATACTTCTTTCTTTTTTTAGGAAGAAGTTATCTCTTCTGCATTGATACTTCACGTTTTACACTCTAGATGTTTGGCTACACTTTTGTGCTTGGTGCATTGCAATTTGCGTAGTTGGTACGGTTTATACTTCATGTTATAAGCCGCGCATTAAGCCAAAAAAGAAAGAAGCACCCTACTTGTACTCATATTCTCTAGCCAATAAATACAAAAGGGGCCACATGCTATTAAAGCGATCATTCCAAGTAAAAGACAAAGCACAACTAAGATCATCATGGCTGCTTGTGACTGGCACGTAGAATAGAGAGTCAAAGCAATCAGCGACGCGATAACATAAATCTTGCAAGTCCGTTAATGGGAAGGAATGAAGAGAAACTGAAATAAGTTTGAGTTGACTAGCAATATGCCCAAGCAAATTCAAAATCAGGCTGTATAACCTGCAATGGTTTGTGCTATATTCTTTTAGGCCAAGGATATTCATAATGTGCTTGTCAGACAATTTTACTTTGCTCAGAAGTATAAGTTGTAGCATAAATGTATGTTTCCCTGCGCTAGTATTAAAAGAACAATTAGCCCTTAATCTTTCCAAAAGACAATTTTGCCGTTCTTCGGCCAAATGGCATTTATCTTCGTATGGATCTACGGAGAAGTTGACTGAAGTTTCTTCATTCTGGGCCACTTCGTAACGAAAACCCATGGTAGGTCTTGTCGTTTCGTCGCGCCACTAATGTTTTTGTGCCTCATTTCTTTGGTAATGGCAGGTGGTTATACTCATCATTTAGCAACAGAGAAAGACGTTGATAGTGAAATAGCAAATTGCTTTCACAGACGCATTCTTAATGAAAACTCGTTTGCATTTAGGCGTGCAGTTGATCTTTCCGTCGGGGATTTGCTCCCCGATCTAGACCAACGGCTTAACCAAATACGGAATAAGATGTTAGCCAAGGTATTTCTCGAAGAGAACGGCGTAACCTACAATGAGTACCTAAGTGCTGTAGGTCTTTTGGATCCTTTTTTGCCACAAATGCATGACACGCAGAAGGACCACGGTGCTCCCATCATTCTGCCTTACGACTTCAGCGATTATGGATCCAATTGTGTAGATGGACTGGCAGTTTGGAGTCTGTTACTAGCAGAAATTGATCTCCTCCTGGCTGATGCTATCGCTAATGCGTGGGGTAAAGAACACGCACCTCTAACCTTAGCACCAATTCACCACCAAGTATTCCAAAGAGTTCTCGCTAGCATTCAAATAGGTGATGGAGACCCTCGATTGGCATTTGATAAGATTTTCTCTATGGATAAGGCCACCTCATCTTCACATGATACCCCACGTTTCGGTCCAAAAAATACTTAGTGGGTGCGAAAAAATCTCTGAAAATCCAACAAACAAAAACTCCATTCACCAAACCATCGGGTGTTTCTAACCACAGCACAAATATGTCGTTTCCTGACGTTTTGAAGCGGGGTGATGATTTCCTTTCCGAATACCCTAGAACCTCGGCTTTCTGGAACTATGCGTCCCATGCCACATGTTTGGGGATGATTCTCCCGACCAAATTTCTCATTAATTTATTGTACAAGCCCCAACTTCACGACATTGAAAAACTAGATGCGGCCCTCGCAAAGGCAAGACAGGAGAAGAGATCATTGTTGACAGTTATGAATCATATGTCTGTTGTTGATGATCCGTCTTTCTATGCTCTTCTCCCGATGCGTTTTCACACAGACATCGATACCATTAGATGGGGTTTTGGAGCTCACAACATCTGCTTTTCGTCACCAAAATTATCGTGGTTTTTCAACTTGGGAAAGATTCTAGGCACAAAAAGATTCGGAGAGGGTCCCTTCCAACCTTCTCTTGACGCAGCAATAAGAATCCTCAGTCCCGATGATACTTTCCTTTTGGAATACAGCCCGTGGACACCTGAATGCGAAAAACCGACGATTGTTCAAGAGCTCACCAAATTAGGCTCAGTCCCCGAAGATGTATCTGGCGTTGCAAAGAGTGTCAAACCCGGACCAGAGTCAACATATCTTCTCATGTCCAAATCCCCCTTTATAAGAACGAAGACATCGTGGTTTCATGTTTTCCCAGAAGGATTTGTCTTACAATTGAAGGAGCCAAATAACAACTCTATGAGATATTTCAAGTGGGGTGTTTCTCGTCTCATCTTGGAAAGCACTAGAGCCCCTGTCGTCGTTCCTATTTTTGCTCATGGATTTGAAAAAATTGCACCAGAGCACGCCGAGGATGTAGGGCTTAAGAGATGGTTACCTCAAAATTTGGGCGCTGAAATCGATATCATATTTGGAGATCCAATTTCAGATGAAAAGATAGAGAAATACAGACAAGAGTGGAGAGATTTATGCAAAAAGTATACCGATGAGCAGAATCCCACAGATTTGTCTGAAGAATTGAAAAACGGACCTGCCGCTCAAAAGCTCCGCTCGGCCCTCGCTGGGGAATTACGTGAACGGGTTCTCGATCTAAGACAAAAATTGGGTAAGTTCGCACCCGAAGACCCCAAATTCAAAGACCCTGCGTTTTGGAAAGAGTATACTCTTTCAGAAGGCAAAAGTGACCCCAGCGTGCAGTTTATTGGAAAAAACTGGGCCATTCGTAGATATCAAAAGCATTTGCCCGAATACGAAGAAGGCGAATAAAGCTTTGCAAATGTTTATTCTATAATTGTAAATAAATCGATTTATTCTTTATACATTCTTCCGTAAGCTGGATTCGCACATCGCGAAATCGGCAGTGTAATTCACTTTATCGCTCTCTGACGTTCTACATTCCATGCTAAGGCTCACATTGAACAGTCTAAGACGACTACCGGCAACCCGGAACGGGCTTAGTGGGTATCAATTTCCTTCATTATATCTGTCTATATTACCTAGACGATACAACTGGGTTACACCGAACAAACGATATAAAAGAAGCCGACCGCTGATAGAAATTCTTGAAGGAGAATCACTTACTAAAGACAATATCTCAAGTAACATTCATGACTTAAAGCATTATTTGAAAAGCACAGAGATCCCATCGAATCTACGCCAGAAACTTTTGCAGACCAAATTATTGGCGTTGATAGACCAACTTGATGATTCTAATGTGACCAAAGAAGTGTTGGCGGTTGTAAATAACGTTTTCACAGCGTTAAGGAAGGAAAAGGGAGTAGAGAATGTTTTGTCTTCTGATGTGGCACAGTCCCTTTTCATTAAGACGACTGATGCTGTGAAGAATACTCCAACTTTGCCCGTTCCAGAATTCATGCTTGGCTTAACTCAACTTTTCGTGAAGCCCGAGAATGAATGTCCTTCGCTGGTTCTAGTGAAAGTCATTCAACTTGGGCAGGGGCTCAAGTTTAGCAGCTTTCCAATGGTCTTATCCTATATCACAAAAAACAAGGCCGAGTCTCTCCCATCTGATTTTACTAAGGTAACATTTCTGCATTTTCAAGAGGAACAAGAGTTAGATCTTAATAAATTCGAAGGATTTTTGACAGTGGCATCCTTAGAAGAGACAAACCATGTCCTCATCAATCGAGATTTCTGCGATGCTCTCATCAATTACATTGAATCTCTATTCGCAGATTCGAATCCCGAAACTCACGAATACAAGGATTTAAACAAGAACTTGTATCGAATTCAAGCGGCTGTGAATGACACCATTTCTAAGAGCCTTCCAAACATCGATGCATATATGAAAATGAAGTTGCTAAAACTCAAGTCGGATTTGAATTCCGTTGTTTCTAATGACTCTGATATCCTAAAATGCGAAGAGGTTTTGGAAAGTATTAGTTCTGATGGTTTGACGAAAGTCAAGACAACTTTAGAGGAATCTGAAGACGACACTGTTATAGAAGCTACAACAGAAGCACTTCTACTTGAATTGGCAAAACACAAGTCAAAGTTTATTGAAATGATACAGTTTGTTTGTGATTTTATTTCAAAAGATCAAGGAAAGTTCTCAGAACAACTCAAGTTTAAGGCTCAATTGTTGTGTTTGCTCAATGATCCAGTCGAGTCCGAAGAAGAAATTTATGAGAGAGTTAAAAACCTTTACGTTTCCTACCTTAAGGTATATCCAGGTGCCTCCGAAATGTACACCGATATTGTCCAAATATCCCTTTTCGCCGATGTTGTTCGTCCAGATGGAGAATTTTTAGATCTTTTACGAAAAGACTTTCTGGCAACAGAATATGAGCCCTCTATTTTGTCTTTCAAATATCTCATCGACAAATCTATTCAACAGGGGAAGATAGAATTAGCTTATGATTTGTTTCAACAAAGTTTGAAAGTGACGTCTGTGCATTGGAACCTTCTGGATGATCCGAGAATATTTTTCACTTTGAACAGACTCATTATATCAGTGTGTGAGCAAGGGAACGATATAAATATGACGTTTGATAAATTCCGCTTCATTAGGCAACATTTGGCCTCCCAAGTATCCGTCGAGGCCTTAACATGTTTAGCTTCCAGAATGTTACTGGAGGAATGCGTTGGAGATACTATCGAGTTGCTCAAGCGTGAACTTCCAAATATTGAAAAGCTATCTACTCAGAAGATTCCTCTTTCTCCTTCCTGTTACCAGCCATATTATGATCTTTTTCACTTGTTACACAACTTTGTTTTGACATACGATAATGAGAAAACTTACGAAACAAACTGGGTACTCTATGGCGAGTTACACAAGTACTTTCATATTCCATTCGACACTTATCTACCCACTTTACAGTTTTTTTGCAATGTTGACCGTTTGAACGCCGCCTTGGTTATCTTTCGGCAAATAAAAATGCTCAACGACTTGCATGGATCTCATCATGTGAACCTCCCGCCTCTGAGAGAAATATATATGTATTTACTTCGAACATTTGGCGACAGGTTATATGAAGAGGGTGTTGTCGAGATCCATGAATACCTAAAAATGGACACAGATATCGAGAAACAAGACGTGGATCTACAGAACTGCGTGCTTAATGCCTATTCAAATTTGCAAAATGTCGGAAAAGTGAGAGATCTTTTCCTTGCACTCTCAGCGGACGCAAAAGAAAGCGGAGGTATTAATGAAGATACAATACAAATCATGATAAAGACATATACATACAGCGATATGTTATATGTGAAGAAATTCTGGAATAACTTATCTCAGTTCGGTATTTTCCCGAATTATGGCATATACAAGCAGTATGTGATTGCTCATGTCTACCATGGATTTGTCGAGGAGGCATTTAAATTGATTGAAGAGATCGACGACTACAACATTGAGTTTTCCTCCGACATGATGCTTGCCATGTATAATTTCTGCCTCGATCCAGAAAAGCAACTTCAAGTGGTTGACTGGGCAAAAAAAAACCATAAAGAATTGTGGGATGTCGTTTCAAGCAGTGGTTTGCTTAAGCCTGCTTCTGGGTATGCACCAGACCAAAACTTACTATTAAAGCCACAAGAAGAATAATCTAAACTTTGTACATAATTATATATTTCATTGCAACTTCGTACTATTCACCTTTGTGGCAAATCGAAGCGAATTGATGGATTCGCTCAAGTTGGCTTTTAAAGGCGAAATGTTCACGAACATGAGCGTTTTCGAATCCCCTCCCAAGCTGTGTTTCAAAAGATAAGTGAGCTTTGAGTTTCTGTAGGGGATATGTTGGGCATTATTTTGTGCCAATCCACTTATAACATCTCCAAGACACGAGAGAGATTTATTAATTGATTGGGTTTCTTTCAATCGACTACCTTTGGCTTGCGAGCTTTTTAGCCGCTCAGAACCAGCTAAATCAATAAGGTTAAGAGTGCCCGCACTCACTTTTCCCAGTTTGTGATGAACACCTTTGATTTTGAGCATGAACACCAAATGGGACCTTGAAGATCTCTCATTAGCCATGGTACTTGCCGTCGACCTATTCTTTGTAGCGTTTACGAGGAATCTTAATGCTTCCTCTTCCGAATGCATTTTGGCAGTTGTGACATTTGTCACCGTCGTGTGCTTTGATTCATCATCATGTTTGATTTCACATTTAATGTTGCCATGTGAAGCTGCGAGCAAGTCTCCGATCTGCTCATTGTAGATCTCCACAAATTGACCTTCTACATCATAAACCCAACCTTGTGCTTTTAAGTCATTGATATCCTCAAAGATCTTTTTGAAAGAGAGGGGAATCATTCCATCATCTTTGTGTGCCATTGTCCAAGTTTTTCCAGATCCAGTTTGGCCGTACGCAAATACGCAAACATTGTAACCATCGAGTGATGACTGGATAAGTTGGGAAATTTCGGGAAAAATATCAAGGTTTGACTTTTCCATTCCAAATAGTTTGTCAAACTGAAATTGATAAGCATTCAGCTTTTTGCTGGAAAGATAGAATTGCGTGCTATTCAGTGGCGTTTCAGAATTAGAGACTGTAAGAACCTCTTTACCGTGTTCATTGAGGTTACCTTCAGCAGATAATTGGAAGGATGAAAGCGAGTCGGAACCATCAGCCACGGGTCTTATTCTGCAGAACACACGTATGTTACCCTTGATCTCCTGTACTCTGTTGTGCAACACTCGTCTTTGTTCCTCTAGCAATGGAAAGTGACTTTTCAAGACCGATGCAGACGTCCGATACTCCTCAATCACTTTCAATTTTGAGCCACAAGAGGATCGGAGCTCTTCAACTTTTTGATGCATTGTATGTAGACTCTCTTTCAACTGTTTAATCTCTGTTTCGTTTTGTGCATACTGATTTCTCAATGTAGTTAATTTGAGATTCAACGAATCAACCTCCAGTTGTAAATTGACGATGGAAATGCTTCTAAGATGTTCAAGATCTGCTTCTTTGTTACTTGTCTCCTTTTCTATAATTTCTTTCTCTTGGCTGAGCTCGGTAATAATTTGGTCCATATTAGCCTTTAATTCAAGAAGCTTCTTATGGTGATCTTCTTTGAGTTTTATAAGCTTTCTAGTGGTATCAGTAGAATGTCCCCGAATACTGATGTTTAGGCTGGAAACTTCAGTCTGAAGAAGCAGCTTTTTTTGCAAAGCATCCTGCTTTGCTTTGACTATCGCAGCTTTGATGGTATCGGAAGTATCTTCTTTCAATTTCATTAATCTCTCATCGTGACATACGTTCTGCTCCTTTATTCTTCGTTCATACATCTTCTGTAACGATAGCAAGGAATCGGCCTCGTACTCCTGCAATTTTTCCACGTCATTCAGAGAATGCTCTAGCTCCTGATCTAACTTCACCATATCATCTTCAAGTTTGCAGTTCTCCAACTCTTTGTTCGACATGGATGTTTTGAAAACCATGATGTGCTTGTTTGTCGATGCTAGCGATTCCTGAAGTTCATTAATATCATGTTCAAGACTTTGAATACGTCTGTTGGCGGAAAGGCTGTCAAGCGAACTGCTAGCAAAGCGCGTTCGAAAGTCTTGGCCAGTCATCCGGTATCTCTCGACAATTTTTAGTTTTTTCGATGGCGAAAGGAGATCTCCCAGTTGAGCCTTCCGGATGCGAGAGATATCGTGGCCCACATCCTTCGTCGAAACACTCATTATGATGCGTCAAGGTTTGTGTTTGATTTATGAAACATGTAAACACAGTTGTGGGGTACGGGTTTCTATACAGCATCGCCACTTTCGAATGTGAGATCCTTACACAAGAAAGGATACTCCATTTTAGTCTTAGCGTCACGTCTTTTGTCAGCTTCAAAAATGGAAATCATAAACTGCAACGTGACGTCGCTTTTGCTAACGTCAACGTATGCCGGTGCAGTTTTGTGGCTTATTACTTTTTGGACAGGAAAGGACCGGAAATAGAAATATTCCAGCGGAGGGCCGTCAGGCACTGCTTTAACTCCTATACACGGTCTCCGCTCCAAACTTAGAGCCTTGGGTGTGACAGAACCTGAAATTTCTGCACACAATATGAGTGCATATCTTTAATTTCCTTCCGCGTAATGGCGAGCTGATAAAAATAGGACCTGGTAAACGGTCGCATGGGAGGATATGAGTTATTTCTGTTACCTCCGCTATCTTGTCTTGTACGCAAATATATCATTAGTTGTCTCCGCTGCATTTGGTGTTGTTAAGTCAAATATTCCGTGAGCCGGATTTAATAACTTTGCCATTGCACACTAAACACATTACGTCCTCTGTGCGGTGTTTGATGTGCATTTACGAGTTTCTAAGGCCGCAAGCGCGCTTAAATATATTCAAGCCCATGGACTTCAGGTCAGTATTTGAGGGTCGGCAAAACCAGTCGCAAAATTTTCCCTTGTTCTTTTCTCTTTTCTCCACGACGAATATCTTTATTTTTTCTCTTTGGTAAGAACATCACTGCTTCCTAATTTTCCAAATTATACGGAGCTTGTTCTATTAGATGCAACACGTGGGTCATTCAAGCGCTGTGTCATTTCTCATTAAAGCGTTTCACGAAGCATCGTCAACCACGTCTACGACAACTTCTTTTCATTTTCGTTCTCGTTTCGTTTTCCCTTCTTTTCCTACTTCACAAGAACGGCAATAGTTTTCTTGTTTCTTGTGTGTTCCATTATTCCTCACTCATCTTGCTTGCTGTTTCTCATTGATTAGCCCCATTCCAAACGCAATCTACAATGTCATCCCCACTCTATACAACATCGTCTAAGCTTGCAAAATTTACATACTTCGTTGACGAAATTTTATGCAACAGGATCGGAAACCCCATTGTTTTGTCCTTTGTGGCTGCAGTTTTGGCAATTACGCTTTTTGTGTTACTGGCAATCAAAGCGTCCACACATGATTTGGCATTTTTAAGCATTGACGACTATGTCCAAGAGCTTTGGCATAACTTAGTCAATATTATGTTCATCATCAGATTCCCCTCTCACAGCAGAAACGGGCTTGCACGGAAATCCAATAAAGCGTTCGAGATTCTCCTTTTTCTTGCGCAAAACGCCGGTATTGCTATGTTGATGTTGCCTACAAATTACTCGCTCTTGTACACTGACTGCAGCAAGATTCTTAAGTTTTTCATGCTATCACAGATCATTGCTCCGTATGTTGTTCTCGCGATGACGGTCGTGGAGAAATTATACTCAAAAGAAGAGAGTGAGAAGGCTGGTTCTTTTCGCCCAGATTTGAAGAGAATCTCCATGCTTACGGAGACTAACAACAACTTGTTGCCTGTGTTTATTACCCATTCGTTTGCATTCGTTAATTTCACGTTCCAATTGGCAGACGCTCCAAGAATCGTTTTACTATACAAGTTGGTTTGCTGCTGCTTGAAGTTCACTTTGATCCACCGCTTCATCCTTCATGTTGTGGTTGTTTTCGTTAATGGCGAAAACGTTAAAGATTATGCCGAACTATACCGCCCAGTTCTGCTTGAAAACCAAGAGCGCACGTGGAAATGCTTTTTCCGTGAACATGAGACGGCGATCATGGCAGTTTGCGCCCTGGTTTTGATAGCACAGGACATGGGCATCATTGCCATCTTGAAGTTCTTCGTTTCATAGATTGCAGAAATATACAAAGTGGTTATGTGGAGTTCAAAGCTTCAATACTCGGAAAAAGAATGGTCCCAGACATCACGCAACTTCTGCGGACAAAGCTTCTCGATATTAGTGAGTCCCCAAAGGCGAATGTTGTAAAGTTCATCCATGTCAATAACCTCGCGTGGATATACAGCTGGCGGCCTTTCATCGTCAGTAAAAAAGCTCAAATCATCTGCTAACTGCTTCGTATCTCTTTGTGAATCACTGATTTTGAGTGCAGAAGTTTCTTGAACAAAACACATTTCCTCTACCAAAACATCCTCGAAACCTCTTTTCTTAGGAAGTGTTTGTGCCACTGGAAGATCTTGCCACTTAATACTTTGCAAATTCTTTTCACCGTCTGTCTCCAGGGAACTATTCTCATGATCAGTGTCAGTAATTACACCACGAGAAGTAAAATCCACACTCCAAATATCATATTCTGGACAGCAATGTTCCGAAGACATGTTCCTTTTGGTAACAGAGATGTGAAACGGTGGATACCTCTGCTGGGATAGTTTCTCGCAGGTTTCTATTCGATTTGAATCTGGTAATGTAACATTCTCGCCTTCGCTGTCAATATTTAGTCCCAAGGACAGAGCAATGTTTTGCCAGTATGTCTCTAGACTTGGCGTCTTCCCATCTCGGCCCTTTGAGTATGTGCCGCTCTTTGGTGTTTCAAACATCTTGAGCATGTCGCATGCCCAAATCACTTCCTTAGAAGTTATTGTGGTGGCGCTTGAAGCTTCTTCACGTTTTCCAGAAGCCTTTGCTGCAATGATGGTACCGATAATCTCTCGAACTTTCTGGCGTACGAATTCATCAAGTAACAATAGTACATCGGCGTTTACCAGCCGTGCTTTTGCAATTGATGTACATGGGTAAATGCTGTTTTTCCTGAATATTTGGGAAAGTTGAAGCGCGTTGGCTTGATAAATTAATGTAAGATCGCCTTCTTCCTTGGCTTTCTCGAGGTGTTTCCCAGTTTCCTCCAAGATTCTATTTCGTTTGGCCAACTCTTTTCTATTTTGATGGGCATCAGTTACTGGACCAAGAAGAGAACTTTGGTAGTCTTCATATTCAATCCATTCTTCGCTCAGTTCGTGGGCTATTGGAAGATTAGAGTAGCTAGCTCCACGAAAAGACCTGCTTTCGTATGTATGAGTAACAGAATAAGATGCATCTGACTCAGCTCGAGGATAATCTTCAAACGTCACCTCTACTCGTTTCGTTCGTTTAACGCGAGCAAGCTCTCGTTTTAGTAGGTTATAATACATCATGATTTCTGGTTCGGTCTTTCCAGGAATATAGCGCCGAAATTCTTCGATTCTATGAATTGTAAATCGAGCTAAACACCGAAAGAAAATATCCTTCTCATTCGATGTCCACCACGAGCCAGGTAAACTGGAGATGTCATATTCTTTCATACCTCCCTTATTCTCTGGATCGAGACTTTCCAATTCTGGATCAATTGAATTATCTGGCTTGGAGACGAATTTTTCAGTTCGATGACGCGGGAAATAGAATGCCCGTTGTGTTGTGATTTTGCTCGGTTTTAGACTGCTCTTTTTGCTTCGTTCCAAGTATTCTAGATCAAAGAATTTTTCGGTGTAATGCTTGTACAATTGAATATAGCCTGCGCTAGGTCGAGGTTTTCTCGTTCGTGGGGTTCCTTTTTGCTCGACATTTTCTTCTGTTTTAATATTCAGTATAGAAGTAGATGCAATCGTTGTAGGTGGCAAATTCTGTGATTTGGAACCATTAATTCTAACCTCATCTTCATTGAGAACATTCGCCGAATCAGGTATACTTGCTTGTAGTTCCCTAGAGGAATCTCCGGATAATGCAGACCCCAAAATGACAATCGAGGTTTCCCCACTAGCTGAAGATTGTGGATGGGCTATCAGGGCTACTTCAGCAGTAGGGGGCCCCGAAAGAGTTTTCTCCAGCATTGGTTTGGTAAACAGAAGTTATAGGTACTGCAGATGAGATGTGCATCTCTGATCCAAGTGTCGCCAACAGTTTGTCAAAATTGGTGTATAAACTGGTTTCCTAGAAGTGAAATTAGTTTTGGCAAGTGACATGAGTCTTATTTCTGAATTAAATTAAGTTGAGGAAGTTTTGGTTACTTAGAAAGCATAAACTCAAGAAATTATTAATTGGTCGTCCCAATGAGATAGACACGTAATTTTAATTCTCGAAAGTTGACATGAAAAGACAAAATATTCTTATATTACGTACAAAAATGTCTTAAGAAAGCCACAGACGAAAAGTGTTCAACACTTGTTCACGACTGACATTAAAAGAAAATTCAATTGCGACTTTGAGTAAAAACGGCCAGATAATACAATGAATCCATATGCAAAAGTTGAAAGCAATGAGATGGCTTTCTATATTTTGAGCAAATCTACTCTACATTAGTAAGCCGAAAAATCCAGTCATCGATCGTAATTAGCTCTATAACCACCTACAATGGCTCTCCTAAAGTCCATGGCCTATGTGTATGCTTGCAGTTTTGTTAGTTTACTCCTCCAGAGTAGGTGTTTCTAGCGTAACTTGCAGTAGCTTCTTCAGTAGCAATTGCGACGCCCCATTATCTCCAGGAGACTCGGTATGTACATCTTCTGTTTCGTCTTCATCCACGTCCTCCCACTCGCTTTCGTTCCCGCGAGCAAATTGTTGGAGTATTTGGGGCATGAATGGCTTAGCAACGTCCCCCGTATCCTCATCATAGAAAATGTCCACATATTCCTCTGGCACTAGTCCATTTTCCCCTGTGTCTGGATCCTCAGCCACAAGCCAACCTTGACCATGCCTATAAGAAATCCAAATAACCTGGCCTTCGAAGAGGGCAACCTCGTTGTCATTTTCAGGCTCAAAGTCAAATAGGGCAACGGCCCTTCGGTTTATCTCATCAGAAGAATATATTTGTGTGTCTCCAGAACTGGTTACGTGAGAATGTGTAGAAAACACGTCCAATTCGTCGTCTGAGCTACCTTCGCTTGGATAGTTTCCCGAACGCAACGGGTGTGACTCTGGATATGCGAAATCTTTGATTACTGTGCTGGGGGGAAACTCGCCGGACGGACTCATCGTGATTTCCAGAAACGAATGGGTAAGATGTATGCTAGAAAAATATCCCCACTTCTAGAAGATGATTTGGGTCCTTGGACGTGTGATGGCAAAATAGTTTTGTTGCAGTTTCTCTTGGGTCGAGCAGAGTGGTCTGTGAATGACCAGTATTAGTGGAAAGATCAGTTATTGTTTGAACTAAGAAACTGCATCTTTGGTTCAGGTGCGGCGTTACCCACAGGAACCACATAAAGTTTATGGAATGCCATGCTCAAAGAGGTGAAATCAACTTAGTGACATTCTGCCTTACTATGTATTTCTGTTAAGTTTTCTAGGCCATGGCAGCTTCCAATTTCCGTCTTATGTTACGTCAAACACTTTTGTTCTTTTTTCTCTTCTTGTACTTGCAATTGCATTTTGTCTTAGCGTCTTCCGGATCTCGCACTACCCTCAACTATTTCGAGTGATTTTCATCTCTTCCCATCAGTATGGACCCCTTAGAAGAACAGAAGCAGGAGATCGAAGTGCTCCAGTCCATTTATCCCGATGAATTAGAGCTCGTTTCGCCAACACAGTTTTCCATTAATGTGGCGCTAGAAACTGTCTCAGATACAAAACATACGCTTGTTCTTGGAGTGGAGTATCCGCCAAAGTACCCAGAAGAGGCTCCTAGACTCAATATTAAAGCATTTTCGGAAGCGCCCGAAGAAGAAGAGAATGACAGTGACAGTGACGATGACACAGAAAAGTTTGTTAGTTTGGCCGAGACCATCGAGCTAGAAAAAACTGACTTGGCGCAGTTGTTGGCCAAGCTTCAGGAGGAAGCAGAACTCAATCTCGGGATGCCATCTGTTTTTGCATTGGTGGCACTACTCAAAGATGAGGCAGAAATCTTGTTCCAGCAAAAAGTGGACAGTGCACAGCAAGAGTATGATGAGAAACTTTTAGCACAAGAACGAGAGGAGCAAAAGAAGTTTCACGGTACCAAAGTGACCAAGGAGTCGTACGCTGAATGGCGCAAAAAGTTCCGTGAAGAGATGCAGTTTGAACTCAAGGACAAGAAACGCTACGAAGAAATGCATAACGGAAAAATGACCGGACGCGAAATATTCGAGAAGGGCTTGGCCGGAACGGAAGACGACTTGGCCGAGTTGGCCGACGCCGTGGCCAAGACTGAGTTGTGATTTATAAATACATCTAAGTTAATCGAGAACAGAGACCCACTCCCACACTTTCATAACATCTCCGTGGATCTCAAGCAACTGGTGTCTCACGTTGCTATTGCGATCTACTTTGCGGCTCACCGCTTCCCATAGACGCATTTTCCTTGCCAAATTACTTTCATGGCTGAGAATAAGATCTCGGAGCTGAATTGATCCAATGTAGGGCGGAAGCTCGCTCGTTTCAGCGGCCAATTTCGCCTGGCGCTGGAGTTTGCTTAAAACTTCTTTGTAGACTGTCTCCACTTGCTGTGCGTGATACTGCATTTTTTGATACTTGTAACGGGCAGAAAATGCAGCAGTAGTAGCGATAACTACTGCAAGCAAAAACCGTTTAAAACGAAGAAGTATGCCCGTGGCAGTATTGGACATTTGGCACTTTAGGCTAATGTGCGATAAGGACGTTGATCGAAGAACTTTGTCCTTGGTTTGCGTCGTGCCAACAGTGTTGTTAGTGTCAATTCTGGAGAGATCGTGATGAGCTCGGGATCCAACCTGCCGCTTGTTAGTATGTGTCTTTATAGAAGATGAAAAATTAAATGGAACTTGCCTTACAATTATCTCGGGTTTTGCTTCCAACTCCACCACACAACGAGCCCAAAGTTCCTCAAACTCTTCTTCAGTAATGTATGGTGCTTTAAGACTCAACAATATATCGTGAAGATCTGTTGTCGAAAGACCAGCCTCGAAGTCTCGATCCAGTGTGTTGCCGCAGTTCTTATTAGCGTTTCTTGCTCGCAATAAATCAAGAGCAACATCAATCATGATTTCAATTTTCTCTGCCTTCTTAGTATTGGGAACGCATCTTTTCAGTGTGGGATCGATCATAGGAACGTATGGAAAATACCATGGCGCATACTCCACAAAATCATCATAGCAACCGATATTCAAATTGGAGAAACATCTTGCATGTTGGGGACACTTAACACATTGTGGTCTGAAATTTTTGTCGAGATATGCTCCAAAATTTACCAAGAATTTTGGAGTTTGGGGTGTGCTGGGAATAGTTGGTTTGAATATTTCTTGCCCACAATAGCCCACTAAAAATGTCTGTTCTCTGTACCAATATCCAAATAAGCTGGCTCCTAACACTGCAATCCAGACCAAAAGATATGTGACACTCTTAAAGAAGGACTGAATGCTTATATGTGGTCTCGCCTTCTGTTTTTTAGATGACTTGCGTTTGTGTCTGTTGATTCTAGTACTTGAATCACTTTCGTCATCAAAGTCAGATGCAGTCATAGTGTTTTTATTCACTTCAAGATCAAAATCTTCATCCAGCTCATCTTCATCTTCATTATCAAACTCTGTTTCTGTTTTGGCGTCCATTTCATCTGAGAGTGAACCCTCCAGTGATTGGTCATCTGAAGAAGCATCTGCATTGATTGCTCCTGACTCCACTTCATTAGGCAAATGAAGAACTTCTTGTGAGGAAAGTCGCTTTCCGTGAATTATTATAGGGCGTCTTGGAGTGATGATTCGACGCCCATTTTTCTTTGGTTTGACTCCTCCAATATCCACTCCAAGGAGCTTAGCGAGTTCAACGTCTCTCTCCTCGCTAAAAGCTTTGTCGTTGTTCCTCTTACTTTTGAGTTTGCGCAAAGAAGAGTCAAACTCCTGAGCTGCATCAACGAATGAATTTGTGTTGTCTGCTTTCAGTGAGTCTTGCGTCGCATCAATGCGCTCTGAATCATCAATAGTAATAGAGTGGGAGTTATCTTCGCTTTCTCCAGAACTTTCTGACGAAGCTTCAGGAGAGAAAGGACTCTTCATTTTTTGCTCTTTATTTGACTTGGTCGGCGCACTGCTTCCATCTCCTGGCGTTGCAGATTCATTACTTTCTTCTTCTGCGTTTGAGGTTTCGCGGCTCTCTTCCTCACTCTCTTCGTCAATGTCCTTAGGAGCATTCGTTCTTGTTGCTTTTACACTATCCGTAGACTCTTGAACTTTGGACTCGGCTTTTGTTTCCCTTGTATGTTTTCTCTTCGATTCCTTATTTTTTTCCAATGAAGTTACTTGAGGAGAGAGTTTTGTTCTCTTCCTTGGGGAAAGAATGTCTGATTCCGAATCAGAATCAACCTCAAAGACATTACCTTTTGGTGGAGGCGTTTTATCTGTCTTTCTTGATTTCGCTTTTGACTTTCTTTTCTTCTCATTAGACTTGGTCTCTGGATTCTCTGCTCCTGATGCGTCAATCAATGGTACTTTGATTTCGGATTGTTTTTTCGGATGGAGAATGTGTTTCTCCAACAAATGCACCAATTCTTTCTTTTTTGCGCCGGCTGGAAATGATACATTGTTTTCCCGTAATATAGATCGTAATCTAGACACTTTGAGTGCTGAAAGATCAATATCTGTCGTTAGTATAACTTTTCTTCAGGGTTCAATTCGTCTATTACATACCCTCTTTGAGATAACTCATGGGACTACAAGTAAAGTTTTTGTTTTCGCACCGCAAGACAATAGAGGTTTGCGCGCGCAAATATTGGAAAGGTTTTAATAATGCTACCATATAGGAAAGGATGGCAAGATAGAAATGTAGAAAGAAAATTCCTATTGACTATAAACTTCCTTCTAAGTACGGGTACGACTGCGCTATTGAGCTCAATTTGGCATCTTCCGAGACATCCTTCGAAAGAAGAGTCTTGCCGTGCACAGTGATGATGACAGGCAAGTCTTCAATCAACTTTAACCGTGGGTCTTCATGGAGATAGTTGATGTGTAAGTCCACACGCACAAGACTGCAGGAGTTCCAATCAAGTTGGTTTAGTAAATTCACTATGGTCATGAGTCGAATTGGATTGTGGCTGTCATCATTGTTATGGGCGTGGTATGTTATACTGACACTCCGTAAGAGGGTGCCAAGACGGCATTTCTTTGAGAGATTGTAAAGCGCCAAAAGCTCGTCATCGCAGTCCTGTTGGGATTCACGCACCACCAAGTGAAGCAGAGAATTGTTCAGGAGGGTAAACTTTTCGAGCGCCTCTTGCAGGTCCCTTGTATTTTGAATCACCAAGACTGGTGTCTCTTGTTTGCAGCTATAATCGTCCCTGGAACACGACCTTCTGCGAAAGGGGCGGGCGTTCGTGAGTGGAGGGGCGGATATATTGAAGAACATTTGCTGTCACGGTTCTACCAGTTCCACAATACCCAAAGGGTTTGGAGAAGGAAAGCTCGAAATTCAAAAGTAAAAGGAGCCAAAAATACGCAATGGCAAATCGCTGAGTGCGATAGGTGTGGCGTTCGGGGTTGTTGTTCGTCTGTTTTGAATAAAGGGATGTATTAATAACCGATGTCAGTAGTTCAAAAAGCTAATAGAGACTTTGTTGTTAAGAACGACGAAGCAGGTCATACGCGGCGGTAAATGAAAATTGCAGCCAGATCAAGAGGAGAAAGTAGGAGGTGACCTTTCGAAGCGAAGAAATGGATTACCAAAAAAAAAAAAATACGTACTAGCAAGATAAGGAGCGAAAAAAAGAAACCCGGGGCAAAGCGTGCACTGCCCAAAACGCTTCCGCTTTCCTAAATAGTCATGAGATATATGATGGCAGCACACCATTACCTCTCGCTAGAACGTACGCTTTAGTTAAGAAGACATCGCATTCTTCTTTGCATCACCACTGACACAAATGTGTACGAAGTAGAATAATCAAAGGCATCATCTTGAACCAAAGAAAAAGAATGCGAGCATTTAACTGAATAACTAGTCATAGAAATGTGGTGGTCTCAACAGAAGAGCCACCACATGTGCCATATTTGAAGTTAAAGTAGTGTCTAGACTTTTGAGTAATGAATTAAACGGAAGAGAAGTGTTTATGTTCAAGAACAAGTTTCATGTTACAAAAATCATCAAGCTTACCATTCGCAGCGAATATTGTGCTTTCAATGTCGTTCACACTCAAATTTTACCGAGCGTGAAACAATGTGAGAGGTGGATCAGGAGAAGCGTGCCTCGTTTTCCAAACTCGAAAATTCTGCACCTGTACCGTTCTTCTTCACTCTTATTACGAAGCAGTGCCACTTTGCAAAACGCCGATGGACACCCAAACTTGTCATACGTCAATTATGGCCCGAGATTCAAATCATTTTCCTTAAGGGATTGGAACAAAGAAGAGCTAAACAGAAGGAGTTCGAATACCATGTATAGACGAATCACTATTCGGAATTTTAACAGACGTACATGACTATTGTTGTCCAACCTATTGTTAATTATTCGCCAAGATATATACATGAGAACGAAAGGCTATGCTGGAAAGTAAACTTACGAGAATAAATTCCACCGGGCCTTCCCAAACTCCGAGTTCTGTCAAGATTCGACATTAGGTGCATTCCGCATCCACAAGGTACTTCCTCGGCACCAGTAAAGCGATATTTTTTATGCGATTACGAAATGCGCATATTTCGTTGCGGCTCTGGTTCGAATATGAAAGCGAACATCCCGCGCAATGACTCCTGTAACTCAAAAACCATTTTAGATATAACGTTCCGCCTTGAGCAAATGAGTCTTGCACAATACGGCGGCCGCTACTTTAATGATGTTTGATAACTAAAACTCGTAGCTCAAATATTTTGAGTCTCGTCGTTAATCTCGTTTTGAAACACCGTATGATTTTTTAGTCTATCGCCTGTCGACTGTGAATTCATACCCCGAAATCCGGTACATTACAGCATAAGTCGCATTGAATATTGGGTTACCACAACAACCAATCTACCTTAGCTACATGCAATTACAAATATTTGGGGAACTAGGCCAACTCCGACGACTGTTTCACTCCTCAACGTGAAAATTAGATTATACAGAACTCCGGAAATTTTTACTAGAAAAAATTCTCGTTTTTTTGTTCATCCTCAACAAGGTGCTGAAGGACCTTCTGCAATGTCCCCTGCAATGCTGTACGCGCGCACTCATGCAAATGCGCAATTTGTGCATAATGCTGTAGGAATGGAACTTAAATCATTCGCCGGCTTCTACGAATTGCGGCTACAGCTACCGAATCTTTCACTACATTTAGATCAGCTACGCGACATTTTGGCCACACACCATTACACGTACATTAAAGTCTAGACAGTAGAGTTCAATTCGTTTGAGGTTTCCTTTTTATTTATTGTAACCCTTTGTTACCTATATTTTTTTTGTTACGAACTATAAACTGGTGGAAAGTGTATTTTTCTTTAGATGAAGAAGCATATATTTAATTCATTGCGCAGCTTTTTATTCCTGCACATTTTACCATCTTGCCTCTATCTCAAATTAGATAGAGATATTACCAAAGGCGACTATTAATGCCGCTTCTATTTTCTAGCTTCCATGTAGTCCGTACAATTTCAGATGATGAATCTTGTATGGAGTAAATAATTTCCTGTAAGAAATGAAAGTGAGCATTTCAATCTAGCATACACGCTACATGATGTGTAAATACAGGAGTTACAATTCTTAAGACCATTCGAGAATTATTATCATGCCATAAACTCATAGGCCCTCATGAAATTTGTGGACGGCTATTACTTCGCTTCAAATATGTTTCATGTTCTTATGAGGCACAAAATATCTGCATACCGCGAAAGTAGAGCATCTAAAGCATGCATAATGCAGCAGTGCATTGCATCAATCTTTCAGGTGCAGGGGCGGTTATAAATACTAAAATCTACCACATACTGTAAGCCAAACGGGTTTCAAAAGCCGGGTTAAAACTGTCTGGGTTCATACTATGCATTTTCGATTCACATTTTGTATGTATGTCAACGTAATTTGCATAAGTACTTATGTGAGAAAACGATTATAACCCAAAACGAAATTGCTACTTTATTGAGCAACCGTTATGCTGGGGATCAGTGACACGATAACGGAAGTATCCGAAGAAACAAGGAGTTTAAATGATCAAAATATCGGTTTTCCATTCTTGGCTTTCTTACTCCTCATGCCTCTCCATTTTATCAAGATTTTTTTTCTCCTTCTGCATATCCCTCTTTTCTGTTTCCTGTATGATAAATCCAGCCCACTGAAGGCCTATCGTTATTGGGCAATGTCGTGTGCAAATGACACACAGTGCTCTCTTAAACTTGCGCTGTGGATGACTAGATTGCTTTCTTTTTAGTATTGACTTCGCGGAGTAAATCGGCTTGCATTTAGCAATTAGGAAAACAGCCCATGCGCCAAAAGAAAAGTCGCAATTAAAATGGGTTGCGCATACGTAAAGGAGCAAGTATAGCCTTGTGTATTTGGCAAGAGAAGCATTAATTTCGACAATACCAGAAGCGCGTCGGGCAACTAATAAATTCGGCTAAGAATTTGCCCCCCAAGGCTAGAAGCCATCTCAGTTCGGTAGGAGCTGACTAATGTTGACTCAGGAACAATTGGGGTTGGCTCACTATTGTTGCTTCTTGGTCATAGAAATCTTCGAGGAATTGTCACTAGCGAAATGGTTACATAAGCGATATTTTTCTAACCGTGCTCGCTCACGTATCAAACCTACATCACAGGACCTGAAGATGACAGCGTTAAGACACTATTGTTGATACTGTATGTTTATTGTTTTGAGTCTTTTTATCTTTCAAACATTCTTGAACTGTTGAACTATCGAGAATCTTTATGGTCTACGGGGAAAGGCAAGATGGATCCGATGTAAAGCGGCAAACATGCATGCGGAAAATTTAAGGATTATTTACGCGATGGTGTGGACGCATATTTTGTTGCATTTGCATGCAGCAAGGTGAAGCTCATGCATGCCCTATTGAGTATCGCGCGCGGAAAAATGTGCGATTTGAGATCTCGGTAATCCCCGCCCCTTTGTTTCTCAACTTTTTTTTGGTCTGATCACAACTTCGAGAAGAGCTAAGGCTTGACAATGTCACCTCTCGGGTAGAAAGTGTATAATCTAACATATCTCGGTAAGAGTACTCAAAAGCCAATGTATCTGGCCGTTCGAAGCTTTCTGCAAGTGCTTGCAGCAACGTGCTTATGGACCCAAAATTCTGTATATGTCCTGTCTGATCCCTGCTGGATCTTTTTTTTTTTTTTTTCTTGTCTGGTTTAAGTGATCGTTCATATAAACCCTTCCATCCGCCGTTCTTTCCCCCACGCTTCAAATTTACCTAACCCTTTGCCTGTCGTCACGATTGTAATGCCCCCTCTGACCCGAATAGAATCATTTCCCGCTTAACTTGTCATGCCACAGCTCCCTTCTGTTTCAGAGCTAATGATCGGAGCACAACTCCCACTCCAGCAAGATCGTCCAGCCCCTCGGCCACAGTATACATCTGACGTGAGTCCACGTCATGCCGAGCCCATTTTATTCCAGCCGCGTCATGGTCTGCAAGATCAGACAGCTTCAGGCTTTGCTTCTAACATATCTCCACGATCTGTTGGTCCTCCTACGACGTCACAAGTTCCAAAAGACTATTTCAGTTATCACCACGTGAATCATGATCCGCGAGCGGGTTCGATACTGCTGGTTGAATCTCATCCACATCCAAAGCTCGTTCAAAGTCATAGCGGCCCAACTATTTCAACGTCACATATGGCGCGCAGTGAATCTTCGCCAGGCGGGGACGTACCGCAGTTCCCGCAGGTGACATACATGCCCTTTGCGTCATACAACGCAGCCCCCGTGGTATCGACGCCTTACAATCCATACGCACAAATGGGCGCAGGCCCGGTGCCGCCCTATGCATATGGCATGCTGACTATGGGTCAGAGTTATGTTCCCCCCTACGGCGTGCAGTATTACACGCCCATGATGATGGGACCTGGCCCGGATTCCAGCGTGCCGCGCGCCATGGAGGAGTGCAATAACGCGCTCTTGAAGAAACGACGCATCATCAAGCGCAGGACGCGAACAGGGTGCCTCACATGCCGCAAAAGGCGCATCAAGTGCGACGAGCGCAAACCTCACTGCTTCAATTGCGAGCGCTCTAAAAAGCTTTGTCTCGGATACGAGACACCTAATGCAGGCGCACGCCGCAGCGTGGACGAATCTGGCGAGGAAAAATCGCGCCAGTCATCCATCAACGATCTGGCGTAGGCGCAACTGGCCGCGCGATCTTGCCGTCCGTGCGTGCGTAGCTAATTTTTTCGTATAGAACACAATAAACCTCGGCTCATCATTAGATGTACTGCGCAGTTTGTGCGTCCATTTTTCCTCTCTCTGCAGCACATCACTGTGCGTAGTGGCGAATGCCGCACCATTATTGACATCAACTATAGAGCGTGAGCCTCGCTTCTATGGGCTCGCAACCAAGTACTCACTACTGAAATATCTTCTGGCAAGTCAAGTACCATTTTAGTTACTCTCATAAGCTCTAATGCTAATAAGGTGTTCTCTCCGTGCTCATTAAGTTGCATGTTGTTTTCCGTTTATATCCGAACCCCCCGTTCTTATTTTTTTCGACGAGTCAACTTTAACCGCACATTCTGCATTATGCGTCAAGAAGCGACGCAAGTACTACAGATCTGCTGGTGCGTGCGCATAATGCCCAATTAGGTTTACCACTGGGCGCAATCTGTGCAAAACAGCCTCTAAAAGTATTTTCTGGCACCACCTGCTAAAGTTTTAGCCTGAAACTCGGGTATCGCTTTCTGCAATGCAGCTTAATCGCCCGTTTTATCTCCTGATACATTGAACACACTGCGACGCCCCTAAATCCTTTTCTACTGAACCATGGGGTATCCCTTTTTGGTTGCATGAATTCGCGCAAGATAAACCTCTTTCGGTCATTACCTTACCTTCGATAGATCGTTCTTATCTGTTCGATGATGTAGCCCTTATCTAATGAACCATTTACTAAATTGACTACGGCAGTGAATGTTGCGTGCAGAAATTTATTTCATTGTCACCCTTGTCTTGCAAGCTAAGAGTACGAGTATCTAGAAAACAAGCAATAGAGCAAGAACACGGTTGTGTTGCTCAGCATTTAAAACAAATATGCATTCCAAAAATCTCTCTGTAAAGGGTGAACACATTTCCGTTCATTCCACCAGAATCGCATATTCATGTCTCGATAGTGTGTCGTGTAAATTTGTCCTGTGTCTATGTCTTCTCCACTTTGTATGTTGTGCCTAAGTACTCCCCCATAGCACCATTCAGAATTTTCGATGTTGTGTCTTAGCCTCAGCTTTTATGAAACCTAAGCTCACTCGTCCTAGAAGCATGCAAGCCACTATCCTTCTCATATACTCTCCAACTTATGCTTTTTCCATCTCATGCACAACGTAGTCAAGCATGTATGTCTGCTCAATCAAGTCGTCTAGACGCAGGTAATGCCTCTCGTTATATGGGACAATTGCTGCGACGATCTTGCGGATTTCCGGGTTTTCCATGTCGAGCTTGTCCACAACAACTGCCAACACCTTCTGTGCAATCTCAAACTGCTTAAAGTTGATATTCCAGTCACGGACTCTGCGCAATAAAGCGGCCATCTGTGTCGTGTCAAGCAGTTGGATCGTTTTCTCGAGCGCGAAAGAACCGAGCTTCAGTCCAGCGTCATCGTTGCTGGCAATCAGCGATTTTATCACATTGTAGACCCTCATCAGATGCTCGAGTGTCACAGCGAGTAAAAATGCATTGCTCCAATCATTGCGCTGAATGTAGTTATTTAATGCCTGTTCATGCTCAATTTTCTGACGTTCCTGCTCCTCCCTCTCTTTGACTAACTCGTCAGTGTTGTCCGTCCAGAAGTTCATGCGACCGTCAGCATCTACAGACACCATGGCCAAACCGTCATCCTTTACATCAAGTGCCCAGATCCGGTTTCCGTGGTTGTCTAGCGTAGCACAGCACTCGCTTTCACTGATGTCCCACACCTTGACTAAACTGTCCGCTCCTGATGTGACAATTTGTCTATTGCGGTTCATGAAGCGACAACGTTGCACAGCATTAGTATGGCCTTCCAACGTTTTTGTACACGTGTAATCGGTCAACAGCCAGACCTTAGCTGTCTTGTCACCAGATGCGGTCACCACGAGCTTGTCATATTGGCAGAAACTCACGTCCCATAAACCCCTCTTGTGACCGCGGAGCACACCCACGGTTTCTCCCAGGTCTGTATCCCACACTTTGGCAAGCTTGTCGAACGATGCCGTCGCGAAGAGCTGGTTGTTTGGCGCCACGGCTAATGCATTGATTTCTTTATCGTGAGCTCTCCGAGTGTACTCACTAGAACGAACAGTTCCCTGCTGCACCTTCCACTTTTTCACTGTCAAGTCGGCAGAAGCAGTCAATACAAACCGTGGTTCTCCGGATCCTTTTGGTAAGCCACATGCGGTAACTGCACCAGCATGACCAATAAATACAGCGTATAGTTCAAACAGGCTTGCCTCGTCGTTCCAGCGCCACATTCGTGCACTGTTGTCCTTAGCTCCTGTCAACAACCATCTTCCGTCTTCGGAAGCGTCAACACAATTAAGAAGATCTGTGTGGCCCTCGTGGAGCAGAACTTCAAAAGGAGCAGCTGGATCCACCACGCGCAAAGCCGGAGCGTTTGTTGCGAGAGCAAGGAGAGAGCGGTCAGGTCCACAGTACCGCACATCGGCCACAATGCCATGGTTTCCCGCAATTCGTTTTGTTTCTGGCACAATATGTTCTTCGTCTTCTCCAAAACGGGCCAAGTCGAGCCGCATTAAGGTTTGATCACTCAAGACCATCCAAAGCTGTTCAGAGACGATGGTGTCAATCACCACAAGTTCTTCCAGGGTCTCCAAGGGGGCGCGAGACAGGCCAAGCGGTTTTCCTGAGTCGGCGGCCCAGACACGCAATTGGCAACCAGAGCCGGCTGTGTAAAAGAGAAGATCGCCGTTCTTCTCAAAGAAGCCACACGATTCCACTTGTTGACGTACAGTGAAAGTATTCGTTGGTCTGCGCAAGTTTTCTGTGTTGTAAAGCACCACCACCTCGTCTCTTCCACCCGACATGAAAAAGTCTCCTTCAGGAGAGAATGCAAGTCCTCTTACGGCACCGGAGTGTTCATTGTTGGAGGCCACGCATTTTCGCGTCACCAAGTTCCAGATTTTGCAAGTTCCCATTGTGTCTCCCAGCGCAAGCATCCATTTAGAAGAATGGAGCTCACCGTAGAACTTGAGTGAGCACACTGTTGTCCCATGACCTTTGAGAGAATGCGTGATGTACGCACCCTCGATATCCCATACTGTGACAAGACCATCCGTAGCTCCGAAGGCGAAAAGTGTCGATGTAGCATCCACTGCAGCTATGTACACGGGTGCAGACAATCTTGTCTGTTTGAGACACTGGCCAGTTTGAACATCAAATATCCGAAGCTGCTGACTCTGCGACACCACCGCTAAGCGTGTGCCGTCTGGGGTCATTGCAAGAGCAGTGACGGGTTCCCCGTCACCTTCCAACGTGAAAAGCGTAATGTTGTTAGTCAAGTCTGTAATCACCACGTCCTCATTGCATGGAGTAGCTAGAAGCTCACCATTTTGCGAGAGCGTTGCGGATGTGGCGCCCACATAAAACGGCTCGATTTCCTGCGACTCAAAGGCACAGCGAAGAGGTTCCGACATGATGTAGAAAGACGATGGTGGAGATTCTTCTTTTTTTGTAGCGCGCATATGCCGGGCGATGAGCAGAGATGGGCAGGACAATACAAGGAACTCTTTCTGAACTAAAAGTGGAAAAGAAGTCTACAAACTGATTATCTCTCTACTAGTGGCCCATTGCTTACGTTTAATTTAACTCACGTAAGCATTAAATGGTTTTTGGTGTTCACAACTCACCACTTGTTAATCTTTGCGTACAGTCTGGAAGAAGCGAACTACTCGCACTACTATCATAGGATCTTGTATGTCGTCTCAGCGCTCTTCCACTCTCTTTAGAAATTAGAGATATATGAGCATGTCCATTGTAGTTCGTTACAAACTTGGATTGTTTCACTAAGAAAAGAACTGTTTATTCACATATGCTCGCATCTTCTTACTTTATGTTATGTACAAAGCGGTAAGGTGAGGCTACAGCACCGTAGCTTTAATTGGAACCACCTACGAATATGGCTTTTAAAATATATTTCTTACCCAATGAAACACAATTGGTAGCCCCATTACCTCCATTCGTTGGCGAGCCTACTATAAATCTTCTCTTGTGAGTACGAGCTGACTGGTTTCACTTCAATATACCATGATTTAATAATGTCATACGCGAATCTTGAATAATATATATCCCTTACCTATATTAAACGGGCACTTCTTCGGCAAATTCAAGCCCAAAAGAACGAGCAGTCTCCTTCATGTATGCGTCGATGTAATCCTCTAAACCTTTTCCTGTTGTTCCATAAAATCTACCCAAAATTAACTGCCGGAGTCGGAGGATCCAGAACACAACGTCACTGAAAAGGAGACCAAATCTGATTTGCAAAATTTGTAACCACGTTGCCCTGTGGGTTAAATCTAGCTTTGTACGATGTGACAGCTGAATCGCACTATTTGTAAGCAAGTTGACCCTGTTAACAGGGCTGCCCATGCTCTGATTCAAATTCTGCATCATCCTCATAGTCCTCAGAATGAATAATAGCTCGAGAGGAAACTTCGCCTCATCACCTAACAAGGATCTAATGAGATCAAGTGAGTTTCGACTCTTGGACAAATCCGCATTCTTAGGCGGACGAAGTTGAACAATAGTACTTAAAAGGTCAGTGGACCCAACTCCCCACTCCTGTGCTATTCTTTCTATACTTTTCTGATCAAAACAAAAGAGGTACTTCCACAACTCACAATATTCACTCTGAAACTTAGGAGAAAGCGACACGTAGAGTCCATGGTCCAATAGCACCAATTGCTGCTTGCCCTTGTGAAATCGAGCTAATAAATTTCCCGGGTGAGGATCAGAATGTACAAAGCCGTACTCGAAGATCTGTCTCCCAAACAAATTCAAGTATTGACTCATGAGGGTTGTCAAATTAAATTTCGCATCCACTAACTTATTCTTATCTGCCAAAGAAACACCGTCTATCCACTCAGACACCAAAACCTGTTTCCGTGTATACATATTATATGTAGCAGGGATATGGAAGCACAGGTTGTCTAATACTTTATCCTCCCTCAAAAGCTTCGCAATTCTTTCGGAATGAGCAGCTTCGATGCGGAAGTCTGCTTCCTTGATGATTTGATCTGAGATGTAGCGTGTGAAAAAAGAAAGAGGCAAATCAAAGAGTCGAGAATACACCCATGATATGCCACGATAAACAGCTAGGTCCACTGCCACTTGTTTCGAGATATAGGGATGTTGAACTTTCACCGCAACTAGTGTCTGCTCGTCTTTTAACTTGGCTCTATGCACCTGTGCTATCGAAGCCGAAGCTACGGGATCATGCTCGATATACTCGAAGATTTGCGTCTCGTAATCAGACCCCAAGTTTTTTCGTAGAACACGGTCAACGTCTGACCATAGATCTTGCGGCGCAGCATCGTATAAGCCGCTGAACCTTTTCTGATACGCAACTGGAAACACGGATGCCTGGTTGGCAACGGCCTGGCCTTGTTTTATATAGAGCCCCTTGTTCTTCTCAATCATGGCGAACAACTTCTCTGACGCTATCTCATGAAGGTCATTTATAGAGTCGTACTTGTCAATGTTTCGGGAATACTGATACGCTACCCAAAGTAGCACGTAAACAGCCCGAGCAGAACGTTGAAGAAGTGAAGCGTAGTATAATTCGTCGATAGCATAGATTGAAACCGCTGTTGCGGAGATTATGGCAATGCGGCGAGTGATCGATTTTTGAAAAGGCCGATTAGTTGCCCGAATTCCCGTATGCAAACATCGTGTATGGCAAGAAAACCTATATGAATACCGGCTTCTTGTGAGCAAGAACATGGTAAAAAGGAATAGTCTCTGACTCTACTATCATGGTCCAGTATTACGTATGCGCATCCTGCGTTAAGAAGTTCGGGTTGCGATGGAACATCAGAGAGATTGCTACGTACCCATTGGCTTGTTCTAAAGAGGATAAATCTTCTTGAGTAGTTCTTAAAGAGTAGTCAGGGTTGAAAGCTAACGGCAATATGAATTGCCTATCATTATCATGCGACAATGGATAGTGGATGGTGCATCCGCAAGATTTTGCTGAATTCGCACATTAGTTACCTAAACCATGGAACTCCTAATTTTAAGCAACCTACGGCTCAAAAATCAGAAAGCCCGGCAAACACAAAAAGCTTTCCACTAGAATCGCAGATGAACATAGATATTTTCAATGATCATCATTTGTAGTTTTATAACTCCCTTTTCATTCAGTGTGGCCCACTGAGAACAACGAACCATACCCGGATTAAACCGCGATTTAAACCGGCACACTGTAACCAAAGAAAAAAAAGAACTACTCCACAACCCGAAATGTTCCAATTGGCCTCCCGCTCTGTCCGTGTGGCAGCCCGTTCTTATTCTACTGCTGCTGGCGAGCCTAAAAAGATCGGCGCTTTCAGAGGTGGTCTCACCGGCTTTTTGCTTGGTGTCACCACCACTGGAGTTGCATCCTACTACTACTTGTTGGACGAGTATGTCAAGACGAATAACGTTATTCTCGTGGACTTGTTGAGCTTGAACGAAACTGTGGTCAGCTTGGAAAAGCATGTCAAGGCTTTGGAAGACAAAACCAAGTAATGCTTTGAATCAATGACGTTTATGTACAAGCATGTCTATATAAATTAAATATTCTACACCGCAGTCACAAACCGCTCCACGTAGTCAAGAAGCTTGTCGAAACTGCTCCTTTCTCCATCCAAACCAATGAATCGAGCCTCCAATCTTCTTCCTCCCAACAGACCCCCGTCTACCACGCTCAATTGGACCAATTTGTCCTCACTAGTTTTCAACGTGAGTTCACGCCTGTAACTGACGTTGACGTAATTGTAGCGTACCTTTTGGCCGTTGATAATGAAATCACAGAACGGAGCAATAGAAGTGGATTTGCGTCCACTAAAATCGAGCTCGGAATTTTCTAAAAATTCCCGAAGTCCCGGCTGACTTTCAAGCCTATTGTACTTAGACGTGGTGGACAGCAATAATTCTCCAATATCATGAGCCTCAGCGGTTTGCTCTACATCGTCCAGTAATATTTGCCCAGTAACCTGACAACTCACCTTCATGTCTGCATTGGCTTGCGGACAGCATACATAGCTGTTATTCTCACTTTCGACTGTCACAGCCTGAAGGCTTTCGATATCAGGAATAGATTTGTCATTAAGCTGCATCCAAAGCTCGATTGGTGGATATTTTACCTGTTCGTTCAAATCGCGCTTCAAGTTCTCGTCTGTAAATTCTTCAACAAACGGTGATGGCGTGAATTTGAATTGCAAGCTGTATACATGGGGATCCTCTTCCAACAGAGAGAGTCCTTCATATGGTTCACATCTAGAAAGAACCTCATCAAATACAAGTGGGGCATTTGTGCTGAAACTGTAAGGATAGTCTCTTATGTCTTTCGTCGAGGGACAGAGCAAGGAAGATATTTGATCACTATCTGTTTGAAATAAAACATTACCCAAGGTCACTGTAAATACAGGAGGTTCTAAGCGTTCACTTTCCAAACCAATTAACTGTTTTGTGTAACCAAAGTCTGTGAGCTCATTGAAAATGTCCTTCCTCTGGTCAGCGCTCAACAATGGAATTCCACGATAGGGTTTCTTATCAATACCAATTGTGCTTTCCGTGTTATCCTCAGGCTTCATTAAACCCAAACTTTCCAAAAGCTCGATTGTTTTTTGATTCAAACTTGGGTCTGGCAAAATATCACTCTCTTTAGAATCATCAAGATCATCCAAAACGTTATCAAACTTTGCGAGCAGCTCATCAGAAAATTTCTCAAGTTCATTTTTCAATTCCGTATTGCTTGTATCAATCAGAGTGTCCTTCCTCAACACAAAATGAGGCTTGAATCTGTCTTTCCATGACATTGAATAGTCATTGCTGTATGGGAGCAATGCAGAACAAGAAAGAGAATCCTTCCCAGGTAAATGCAAGTAATTTTTATTGTGCAAATTGTAATCCAAGTGCCACAACAATAGCCTTCGAATCCGCTTCACTTGGTTCGGGTTAAGGGCGGCCAATTCATATTTGTCACCTGACAAATGGTTGAAGTAAACTTCAGTGTTTTTTCCGATCTCTTTGAACGAGAATTCACCGAACTTCTCCAAATACAATTTCTTGACAGCTGTTAGATCTAATTCTTCTTTGTAATAGCCTTCAAGCCGAGACTGCAACACAAATACGAGCATTGTCTAGCTGGTCTTGAGTTCCGGTCATCACAAGTTCAGTCCCTTTTCCGCCCAACTTTGTCAAAACCAAACTCTTGAGAGCCGGCACTCTCGTACGCTTCGTAAAATCGCCCCTTTTTGGGATAAAAGCAAAAACATTTCAAACTTGTTCAAAGTTGAACACTCTCCTCCAAGAGTATTTGGCGCTTTGATTTTTTAAACTTTTCAGGAATTTTAGCTTTCCAAACCTTCCTCAAAATAGTTTCTGCCAACTGCTGCTTAGTACTCCGAACTAGCCCGTAGATTATGGATCTTGACATATTCGACTAACTGAGATTTTTTAAAGGAATTGGATAGCGTGTCAATGAGAGCGCTGGCTTTATAGGCGCTAAGTGAAGCTTCTTTAGGCTTGAAATAATCGATTGCATGAGTAATGTCCGTTGAGCTCACTTTCTTTTCCTTCAGCAGTATCATCGAGTCGAATGATTTTGGGAGAGAGTTTTTTCCGTGCCAGCTTAGAGGGACGTTCAACAAACTTTGATATCACCCTGTCTTTGGTTTCTTCTGGACTCAAAATCAAAATGCGCTTCTTCTGTTTCTTCGAGGGTGGGTGCTGCTTTCAAGACATCAAGTATAGACAGAGGGAGTTTGTTGGAGGCAGCTGCCAGAGAAGAAAGCCTTCGTAGGCTGCTGTTATGCGAGAAACACCAGGTCTGTATCGATCGGCGTAACATCACCGTTCTTGATTAACTATGAAGCAGAAATGTTCAGATGAGCATCAGGAACGTGATTGATCATGTGACATTCTCCACCTATAAACAGCGTACTTGGTAGGAAAGAGCCGAATAGAAACAGGATGAGCTAAGAAGGTTTACATGGAGGAATGACAGTATGCTCAAATGGCTTCTGGCTCTTTTGTAACTTGTGGAGACCATCGTAGGTGTGTTCGCAGTATCCGAGTATACCGAGCGACTAGATAAGTTGATTCTCCGGCTTTCTACATTAATGGTACAAAGGGATGGGATAAAGAAAACATACAAGAAAAAAAGAATAGACAGACAAAAATAATAGCAAAGAAGCAACACCCCTTAACGGTAGTTTATGGTGTACGGAATTGTCGGATACATCTTTGAGGAACTGACAGAAATTCCATGGAAATACACAGACTGCATAATGCACCATGCAATGGCAAAAACGGTCGAAAACAACATCACCACACGTTGAATTCGCCTAGACGGCATAAAACGGTTGTAAGATTGGCTCAACAAGTAGACGATAGCACATCTCATCCTCGCCAGTGCCTTCCGAAAAAAAACATGCCGCACAAAAAATGACTAAACACTTGGAAAGCACGTGACGTAAAAATCTTATCTTTTCGCCCTGCGCTGCTTTTTGGAGCCGTTTCGCTATAGATTTCCAAGTTTTCGGGTGCGAAAGTGGGGCAGTTGCATCGCACTTCGCGGAGGACTACCTATAATTGCAATGTGAGGAACTATAGCGATTGCCTCTAATCATGCTTATATATAGCTATGGTTCGCTCTAAGCAAAGCAAGATAATCAACCTATTTCTTCTTCTCTTTGTAAAGGCCTTTTCGAGTCTAAATATTTCATTTCCATCTCACCCAAATTCGTTTCTTATCAGTCCAATACTAAGTGTTAACTGTCTATGATTCCCAGACCCAATCACGTTCTCCGGCCACTTGCATTGATTTCCAGATCAAGCGCATTGAGGCCGCTTCCACTCGTGAAAGTGGCTAAAAGAGGGTTTCAGAGCTCACCGCTGAAGACTAATTCTGCCACTGTCGTTGGTGAAACTCCAAAGACTTCCCCAGTCAATGCTTTCCCACCAAAATTTGACGCTTCTTACTTGAGAGACTTTTCGTTTAGCGAGCTTTTCTCTTTCCTTGTCATTGGTACTGCAACTTTGAACAAGTCTTTGTTAAAAGCTAGCATCAAATTGTTTCCATATGTGCCTATCCCGGTGATTAAGGCTCTTGTCTACAAAATTTACTGTGGAGGAGAAACAATTACAGACGTCAAGCAAACCGGACAAAAATTGACTGCGCGTGGTATCAACAACATGATGATTTCTTTGACCATCGAGGCTTGCAATGGAAACGACAACATAGACCCACAGTACATTGTTGAGGAAACACAAAAGTCCATTGAAGAGATTTTGATTCCTCACACTCTTTCTGTGATTGAGACACTGGGAAAAGACATCAACTCGATTCCTGCCGGATATGTGGCTTTAAAGCCCACCGGATTTGTTAAGAATGCTGCAGCAGTTTTGAAAAACTACAAGTCTGAAGAATACAAGAAGGATTTTGAAGACTTGGTTTCAAAAGCGTCCCAAATCTGCAAAAGCGTGTTTGAGGCCAACAAAAGATTGGCAGCTCAATATCCAGAGAGAGTATCCCCTTTTGTTGTTAGCGTCATAGATGCCGAAAAGCATGACCTTCAGGAAGGTGTTTACGAGTTGCAAAGAAGATTGTACAAGGCTTTCAACCCTGTTGGTTCTCCAGTTTCTGTGGTTGGTACTTTACAAATGTACTTGTCCGAGTCTTCGAACTTGTTAGCACTTGAGGAAAAAATGGCTAGAGAAAATAATTATAGACTTGGCTTGAAGTTGGTCAGAGGCGCATACATTCATTCCGAGCAGGATCGGTCAACCATTATTCATAAGACAAAAGAAGATACCGATACAAACTACAACAGAGGAATTTCATACTGCATTGACTCGATTTTGTCTAGCGAGTCGAACAAGTCTGTCATCGGCCATTTGGTTGTTGCTTCTCACAATGCAGACTCCTTGAGGTTGGCTTCAGAGAAGACTTACAAAAGCATCAATTCTGTCAACAACGCTAATAAGTCTAACATTTGTTTGGGTCAGTTGATGGGAATGGCGGATGCCATCACATACGACTTGATCAATAATGAAAAGATTGATAACGTCATTAAATATGTACCATGGGGTCCACCATTGGAGACCAAAGAGTACTTGTTGAGAAGATTGGAAGAGAATGGCGATGCCGTAAAGAATGATAATGGTTTGCCTTTAATCAAAGCCGTTGGAGCTGAAATGATGAAAAGGCTTGTTGCTTAAGTAGCGCTACACGTGAGCTACTATTTACGTCTTGAAATGTATAATGATACTGAAAATCTTAAATGTTAACCTGGCAATCCGGTTGCCAAATGTAACAGCTTATAACACACTGAACTAACCACTCCCAACCGATAATTCCAATAGGTTTGCCCATGAGATCCGAGCGCTTCGCTGTATTTTTAGACATTCTCTTGGCGTATTCGTTGCTGCTATTGTCATAGACCAACACATTCTGACCCTCCAGTTCCTTCAAGGCGGTATCAATTGCGCTTACTGTTTTGCAGAACTTCATCGCCTTGGCACCAAATGCGTGGAAAATAAATTCACACATTTCAAGTGTCTTTTGATCTTGTTTCTTATCGAGAATAATAATTGACTCAGCCATGAGTAAGCTGGAATTATTTGATAGCTGCTTGTTCAAATCCTCCCCTCGATAAAGCTTTTCACGAAACTTATAGACATCATTGCTCTTGAGGCCATTAATGTGGAAGGAATGTCCCGCGGGCAATAAATAAACGGACCAGTTATTCAAAACTTTTGGATCTGCGATAGCTTGATCTACAAATGAATCAGCTAAAATGGGCCAGCCCAAAGCCAATGCTTGAAGATATTTTGCACTTCGAGAATAGCCGTCAGAAAGAAGAGCTCCAAACTTTAGGCCCTCAAACCTACTCAGAGTCAAACAAAGATGATTTGTCTCTGATTCTTCTTTAGTCACAAACAGTTTGATCTCATCATCAATAAATATGCCTCCATTCGAGGTGATGAGTTTACAAAGCTCACCTTTCCTCGCGTCATTGACAGAAGTGACAAAGAAAACCATTTGATTGAACAAAGTTGACTTAATAGGAACAACGTTAGATTGAACGGTCATTTTTTGGGATGTGAGCTTGGGTCCCTCACTTTGAACGACAATTCTTTCATCTGATAACAAATCACTTATGCCGACATCTTGATTACTCAACACGTCTTTCACAATGCTATAAGACTCCTGGACGAGATCTATATCTTCACACATAAGCCTATAGCGCAGTTGATGAGAAGCTCTCATCCCCATATCCATAAACAACTGTGATATACCCACAGAAAATTCCTTTCCCTGAGCGTTGCCATGTCTTCCTTTTTTAACGACAATGGCAGTGTCATACCCTCGAACACACTTAAAATTCAATTGTTCGTAAGAATGAACCAAGCCCGTGACTATGAATTCACCAAGTCTCAGATTCAAAAGAACAATGTCACCCACACGAAGATCAAGTAAGTACAAATCCACATTTTTCATTTCAGTCTGAACAAAGTCACAGAATTCCACTTTTGAGACAAGATCAGTCAGACTAAGGACCCGAGCAGGATAGAACTTGAATTGTGAAAGTGCCCAAACAGATTGGGGATTGTGGATGTGCTTGACCAGAAGCACGTTCAGTGATTCTGCTCGTAACTCCTTTGGCTCAATTTGAGATCCTGAATGAAATTGCGATTGCAATGGCGAGCGGGATTGCGATTGTAATTCATCTTGAGAATCATATTGGGATTCAAATCCAGATCTATTTTGTGATTGTGATTGTGATTGTGATTGTGATTGTGATTGCGATTGTGATTGTGATTCGAGAATTTGATTCGAACGACGTCTTCTCGGTACCAGTATCTCAACATGAGATTCCTCGTAATCGGGTAGAGCCTCATAGTTTTCGGATTCAAGCATATCCACGTCGAATTTTACATCATGACTGAAATCCTCTAACTCAGAGGATGATTGACTCCAATCTAATTTTCGAGTCAATGTCGCAGAAATGGAAGCCAGAGCAAGCTGAGAGTCATAGGTCTCCGAATGAGACCCTTTCTTAAGAGATGAAGTAGGCCCAGACAGCCCATTATTCCCGCCAGAGTCACCGAAAGCAAGCGTCTGTGAACTCTTGGTTGCATTGCCTTCCGCTTCTTCAATAAGCTTTTGTCTTTTACGTTTATGAGCATCGACACTATCCTCAATAAGTAATACAGTATCGACATCTGTTTGAGCGTATTCATCATTGCTGATGATGCTCACTTCAGCATTGGTAGCTCTACCATTCTGACTGCTCGAGAAAATAGACTTGCAACCAATATCTATCGTATTAATGGTGTGATCGATGAATTCCTCCTGAGTGTTTACAACCTGAGTCGTTGGTTCTTCCCTAATGCGACCTTCACTTCCTTGGGATAGCACAAGAGTAGTGGTGTCGGCTTCAGGCTCACTTTTCTTTGTCGGGGAAGACCTCATATCCACCCCATTAGTCTCCTCTGGTTGAAGGTTAGATACCTGTGTGATTGGGTGGGTATTGCCCCATTCAATAGTGTGCAGCGCATGATCGCTACTGGGATTAAATAAAACTTGCCCATCTTCGGTCCTTTCCATGGAATTGTCCCGAGTTTTTGAGGTATTAAGAGCATCAAAAGACTTCAATTGTTCCTTTTGAAAAGAAGATAGGTGAGTTGAATTATGTAGATCATTCCTTAAAAGGAAACTTGCACCTTGGCTTTCCTTTGTCCTTGATGGCTGTTGCAGTTCAGAGTAATAGTCCACAGGGGAGATAACCTGGTCAGCCGGGGTCCTTCCTAATTGTGGAATAATTTGAGTGTCATCATGAATAGTTTTGCTTTGAGAGACAAGACCATGTGTATCCTCAGCAATAGATTTATTAGGAGAGAAAATGATCTGGGTGTCGTTCTCCACAACTTTCCTCAGTGGGATGATGACTTGAGTATCCCCTTCAAGTAAGTGGTGTGGATAAATGAGTTGAGTGTCTGCAATGTCTGTACTTGTGTTAGGTCGTAGATCTGGTTTATATTTCTGGAGTAAATGTTTCTCACTATGCCTTGATTCTTTGTCATGTACATCGCCTGGAAGATTAGTTGCAATCATTTTGTTGCTATGTTCGATAATCGTGGGAGTATTCAAAGAAGTCTTAAGTGTTTGAGGTTCGACAGAAACATTCTGTACTTTTTCATGAACAATTTGGGGTTGCTTACTCTTATGGATTGAATGGCCATGCATTAAGGATCCTGTTGCTCTAGATGAGTTAATCAATTGTGTATCTTCATTTGGTCCGATTAACTGCGTATCTTCCGTTTTGTCCAAGGTAGAAGGGTCTTCAGTCGAAGAAGTGAGCCTACTTCGTAAAACCTCATGTGCTTGTGATTTCTCATGGGGTTTGTCATTCGAAGGAGTTAACAGGCGCCTCTTTGCTATGGGAGACACGTCATATGAGTCACTCGAGGATGAAAAGCTGCCATGGCGGAAGACAGGGCTTGTACTCTGGTCAATCTGAGTTGGCTCATTTGGTAAGCTTGGTGAATGGAACAGCCCAAATGTGTCTGGAGAAACTGGCCACTTTTTTCTGTCAGACCACTTGGTATCATCTGCAAATACCAAGCTGTCCTCTTGGGTCAGCGGCATGAATGTAAAGTTAAGGAAAAGTGGAGGTGAAGCGAAATTTGTAGTAGTGGAAACTTTCAGATAATACGATCTTGATAGTGCGAAAGTGAAGATTTGAACGCCATACTGTAATATAAGCTTTGCGGTACCTTGAACATTACATAACCCAAGAAAACTTCAGGCACGAAAACAACGGAACTAAGCAGAGATGAAAGAAAGATTTTTAAAGCTACAAAATATTCTTTAGCGTCAATATTTGGATTGGCCTCTTGCACTAATCATATTAGCCAAATCACTCATCCAAATCGACATGTTATCGACTTGTGAACACTAATGTTGCATACCCTTGAACATAATTTACACCTCTACAATAACACCATAACGACTAATGTCTGGTAACAAATTTTAAAAACATCAATATTAAGCATACATCAAACGTGATATTAAGTTTCTCTATTTCTCCTTGTGTTAATTAGTGGAAGCCAGATTGGCTATTTTGAAGCAAGTTCAAAAGCGCCTGGGGATTATTCTGCATCTGTGGATTTTGGTTCATCATATCGGACACATATTGGTATTGATTGGGGCTGAGTTCCTGGTTTAACTGACCCAGAATATGTGGATTAGAAAATTGCGCTGAGCCGCCAAGTTTTGAAAGAATGCTATCCAAGCTCCTGGGCGGTGCCGAAGATTGGGGAGGCAGCACCGACTTTTTCAATATACTTTTGCCAACAGGAACATAGTCCTTCTTCACGACGAAAAGCGCATACAAGCCTCTATCTAATGGACCAAAGTCCATGTACGGAGGAATATTACCATCGATAGCAAAAACATAGGCATCTTTTACGAAACCGGCGCGGTCTGACAAAACACCAACCTTCTTCTTGGAAAGAAGATATTCGAATAACTTTTCGTAATCAGAATTATCGTTGTTCAGCAAACGCACCAAATAAAAATCTCGAGAAGATGCCACTTGCGACAAGTAGGGGTCAGCACGGGTTCGATCGAGGCGACCCTCGATGAGATATTTCAGCTTTTCAAACATCTCTTTGCAGACACGTATAGCCCGGTTATGTATGCTTACTGTAGTCACGTCCTCAGGCTTCTTATAGTTGGTGCATGAAATAAATTCTGCTTTAGCTTGAAATTCCACGAAGTCAGGAAACACTATAGAGCCCGACCAAAATTGAACAGGCATCATTGGAGGTAGTTTGCGTTCCGGTTCCAGTTTTTGCTCTTCGTGGGATGTTTCTTTCTTACCCTTCAAAATAAAATCTAGTTCATCATCACTGTCGTCGTCCTTTTTCTCACTTTCTTCTCTTGAATCATTAATACCCGGGTCATCCTCGTCCTCATCATCCAACTGGTACAAGTTAGGGCCCTTTGTGTTTGTTGCGATGACGCTTGGGGAAGATTCTTTTTCAAAATTGCGGTGGTCAATGTTCCTTCCCATAATACCAACATTAAAAGCGTCATCAGTATGACTATTAGACGATGTTTCCACGATTTCTTCTCCCTTATGCGTACGACGAATACGCTGCCCTGCGTCTTCCTCCACCGTAATAACAGAGCGACGAATCAGCTCCTGGCGGACTTTTTCGGCGTAATCTTTGAGTTCAGAGTCAATCTCTTCAGGAGGCAACAGTACCAAGTCTGACATCGCTAACGACCCTTGTGCAGCTTTCGCTAGAACAGCAGGTTTCTTCACCAAGGCCATTACGCTTCTACTCTTGTCTATGTATTTCTTGTCTGTGGTGCCTGACCACACGTATATTGCCTCCTCCATTCGCTCGGCCAAATGGTATGCATCTTCGTCCTTGCTAACACCGGCTGCGGTTTGGTTTTTTAGGATGACATTGTACAATGCTTTGCAGACATTGGTCCTAGTCTTATCTTTGGGCGCTTTTTCTTTAGCGACTTCTTTTTCTTCAATTTTCTTCTTGTCACCCTTTTCAACTTTTCGATTCTTCTGGGGAGCACATCGATTGCATGTGTATGACAAGGGGATATTATTTTCGTTTTCATATCCCATACACTGAGCGTGTTGCCATGTGCGGCAACTTTCACACTCAATCATCACTCCTCCCTCGTCAGCTTCTTCATTATAGTTGGCCGATGTCGTGCCACAAGGGTCGCATCGAACTTCACCCTCTTCAGATTTGGCTGCAATATCTTCGTAATCATAATCGTCATCATTGCCCATCACAAGTTTCGGGTCAATGACTTTTCTTCTCTTGACATTGTTCTGTTCTTCGGTCTCTATCTCCGGTACATAGTATAGGTCCAGAAGATCTCTGGCACTATGCTGGCCTTTATTGGCTCTCGAAGAACGGCGTGGTTCGCTCATTACAGTATTAGAGTGAAATAAGTTTTATGATGAAATGTGTGTATGTTTTTAGTAAGTTGGAGTAAGGATGAGATGATGATTTTTTTCCTGTTTCCATTGACTTTGCACCTGCGTCTGTGCACTACAAAACATATTCTTTCTCCAACACTTGAGTGACAACATTTATGATTTCTAGATCGTTTTCCTTGTGTTTTCTTCTGAATTCTTTCACTCTTAGTGAAGAAAATAATACTTACTACATCGCATGTTTCCAAGGTGGTCATGAGAGTTAATACCACAAACAGAATACTGTCATGCATTCGCATTCCTGAAGCGGTTTAAACGTAGACCTTAGAGAAAAATCACGTCCGTACGAGATGAGACCAGAGGTTATGACATCGCCTGTAATTATACATACAGCTCTGGTTTGCAAGTATCTTCTTTCTCGGAATGTTTAATTTATCGTAGTATATGCAATGATGGTTACTCTCATACGAAATCAAAATGCATTTTGTCCTATAAACCCTTAATTAATGCCATAAACTCTCGATCATCACCTAACATTTCCTCGACATCTGCTAGAACGTTTTCACTAAATAAACCAGATTTAGTGGGTCTGAAACCTTCAGAAACCGCGTCCGCGATCGACGCCCTTCTCCTCTTCTGCTTTGAAGGAATGCCGAGCTTCTTGCTTAGACTTCCAGCAACCTTGGCGCGTGCTTGTTTCTTTGCATGCATGGCGTTATCATATTTTGTACCAGCTCGCTGGTTGCCACTACTTTTCGGCGAGCCGAAATTTTGCATCGGCTCGAGAATCACCATCGGTGGGTTCATATGAAGCTTATTACGGAACGCTCCCAAGGGTACATGCTTTTTGTTGTTGTTGAAGTCTCGCCAGATGCGAACATCGTTTTCGTCATCATTATCTAGCTCGCTGATGTTGAGCAATTCGTCCAACTCAATGGCCAGATCTTCCGACTCATCATTGATGCTAAAGTTCTTCCAACCCTTACCTCGAGGGTTCTTGTTATTCTGGTTATTCAATGTCCTTGTTGAGAGACCATCGATAATTCCAAAAGGTTGACTTTCGATAGCGACCCACGTACCTAAGACAGGAGGTCTATAGTCTGCGGTCTTAGAGGAAAGAACCTCTTTCGCAACTTTCGATCCAGATTGATTCTGGTTACTAGCAGGAAGGGATAAATCAACATCCGTAGACTCGCCACTATCATAGCCCGGATCTTCCACACTTTCAGTAGCAGAACGCCCTTCTTCCTCATTCCGCTTCTTTTCCTCCATATCTTTACGAAATATTTCCTCCAACATTAGCTGTTCTTCAACATCAAAAGATTCATTGTCCAATTCCACTTCCGACTCGGCATCTGAGCTGAAAAAGTAATTCCACAAGTAGGAATCGTCCTCCTCTTCGCTGTCGAGTGGTCCTTTTCTTTTGTGTCTTTGCGAGAACTGAGGCTTTTTTGATTTTCGAGATGATGTAACAACTCCATCGTTGGGTTTGAGGTCTTCACTTTTCTTGTCCATAATGGGTTCAGCAAAGTCAACAAAATCGATATAATCATTAACATCGCCATCGTTGAAGTCATTTTCGTTTTCCATTTCATCATCGTCACCAAAGTTGCTGCCATCACTAGAACTGGCATATTGCATGACCTGTTCCTTCTGAGCATTATTATCCTTAAAAGAATCCATCACCCGAGCTGTTTCCATTTGTATTGGATCCTCTTCGTCATCGAACCCATTGGTTTCAAACTCATTTACCAAATACTTTTCTTCTTCACGCAAAAACGGGTCTTCAGTGTCATCATTCATAGAGCTTAAAGATCCTTGCCTAGTTCTTGCTTGCCCATCATCTGGGTCTCCATTTATGAATTCATCAAGGTCATTGTCTGCCTGCAAAGTCGCAAGTAAATCATTGTCATCAAACTCATACTCTTCTTCAGAATTGAATTCATCATCCTTGAATTTGGGTACGTGCATCAAAGGCTCATCGAAGTGGAATTCAGCTTTTTCCCCATCATCGTTCACCACTTCGCCTATATCTTCCTCTTCTGTTTTGGTACCTGCTATATTGAGTGAGCCACGTAAACCATCATTCTCATCATCATTGTCATCATCTTCTTCGATAGCAGAAATTGAATCCTCATGATCAAACTCAAATTTAAAGTTGATATCTTCCGGAAGTGCAACTTCAGACTTACGTCGATAAATGGAACCTCTTCTTTGACCTTTAACGGTAGAGGCAGTCTTAGGATTTTTCAAACCTTTAATGGCACGGAGGTTTTTCATCGATTTAGCCCGTCTCTCTGCTTGTAACTGAACAAAATCCACTTCAGAATCATCCGAAGAAGACATTACGTCTTCACCCGCAGAGCCACCATTGGAGCTCGATTCAGAATCATCATCATCATTATCAGATGAACTATATGCCTTTGTGTTGATCATGGAGTATATTCCACCAAGACCTACAGCACTCTCGTCTTCATTCTCATCGTCTCCATTTCCGTAATCCAAGATGTGCTGCTCATCTCCATCATCTTCTTCATCAAAAACATCATTTTCGTCTTCATCGTCTGAAGATTCTTCTTGTCTCGTGAAAAGTTTCTTTTTCGGAAGCTGCTTTCTTGCTGATTTCATTCCCTTTCTTGCTTTATGAGGTTTGAATTTTCTGCCGAAATTTCCGCCCTTTGAGGTCTCTTCAAAGAACACAGATCCTCTTCTGGAAACTTGAGATTCATCGTTCTCAGACATGGCTGTAAGCGACGATTCGGAATCAGAATCAGAAACATATTTAGACGCATGTGCGCTCTTCTCTTCGTCGGATGCACCAGAAGAAGAGTCGGCTATGCTCCAACGACGCTGTTTTTTAGGCAAGTAATTGTATGCCTTGAAATTCTTTCCGCCATACTTTGGGGTATTGTACAATTTTGGATTCAGTTTCTGGGAGTAGCCAGAAGACTTTTGGGCCGTGGCCCCTTTTCTAGGACTTTTTGCCATTATGTTATGCCAAGAATTCTAGAAAGATATAGGAATTTTCAAAACTGGGACGCAAAAGCTGGCGAGCATAATAGGGGGACAAGAAAGTTTGTAATCGTACTTGTCAAAGCAAAGACTGAGGATCCAGCCAGACACAAGTAATGAAGATGTTTGTGGGAGTACCAGGAAGCAGGCCACGAATTAGATAGGGAGTATTTCCGTAGTATCGACGCTTGCCAAAATTGAATGTTAATCAGATCTGGAGACTTCAGAAATCTGTTACGATCGATTATAAAAGTGTGGAACTAAGCGATGAGGCTCAAATTTGTGTATTACACCATACTTTTCCATGTACAGTCCATACGTATGCTCCTCACTAGTTAGGGGAAAATTGGAGTGTAGGGTAACGGAGCAAGAGAAGCTTCTCCTTTTTAGTCTTATACAGTGAGCAGAGAATCGATTGAAGTTCTGTAAGTGTTTATTTTTTCTCAGCTTGATTTGTATTGCCACCCTCTTAAGTTATATATATGTTTTAAATGCGCCGGATCCAAATGCCGTGGAATGCGAACTTTCATTCCCGTTCCAGTTTCTACCTGCGATAACATTCCAGTGAGCTGCCTAACTTTAATTATTTGGAATACATTGTGAGTTGCGGCTCTTATAGCTATAAATAACAAAACCAACATATTCCGAAATCAAAAAAATCTTGTTTGCGGATTTTCTTTTGCTATCAGATGAAAACACAATAGCGCTCTTGCAGAAAACCGATTCGCGTGGAACGGCGCGCTATCTAGGCACAGTTTTTCTCTGATATTTTCTTTTTTTTTCCTTTTTCCTATCAGCGGTCAACCACCAGAAAACAAAAAGAATAATCATGTTGAACACAAGAAACGTGCGTGTCTTTGTGGCCGCGTGTTTGCTTTTTGTACTTGTGGGCTATATTTCCTTCTCCTCTGGTTCCTTTAGTGAGCCGCTTAGAACGAAGCCTTCAAGCGACTTTGCTGTGAATCATGAAGAAGCTGGAAACACCTTATTAAACACACCACACAAGGGATCAGAAGCACCATACAAGGCATCTGGTGGTAACATGGCTGACAAAATTGCCACTGACGATAAGCCTGCCGCTACAAAAGCTGCTAACCCAGCGAAAGTTGACACGCCATCTGGAAAGCCTACTGAAAAGGCTAAAGAGAACGATAGCGGGAAATCTGAGCAAAGCAGCAACGAAAAATGCGACAAGACCGATTATGTGGTGATGATTGATGCTGGATCCACCGGCTCGCGTGTACATGTGTACGAATTCAACACGTGTCTCTCCCCACCAAAGTTGTTGAGCGAGAAGTTTGAGATGTTGAAACCTGGTTTATCGTCTTTCGACACCGACACGAAAGGAGCTGCTGCTTCTTTGGACCCATTGTTGAAAGTAGCCCTTGAAAAAGTGCCAAAGGACAAGCAAGGATGTACACCAGTTGCTGTTAAGGCCACTGCTGGCTTAAGATTATTGGGAAAGGAAAAGTCTGACGCTATTTTGGCAGAGGTTCGGACACATTTAGAAAATGATTATCCATTTGCGGTCGTTGAGGGTGACGGAATTTCCATTATGGACGGAAAGGACGAAGGTGTATACGCATGGATCACCACCAACTATCTATTGGGAAACATCGGCCTGGAAGAGAAAATCCCTACTGCTGCTGTTTTTGATTTGGGTGGTGGCTCTACCCAAATTGTATTCGAGCCTGATTTCGGTGACTCAGAAGCCATGGCTGAGGGAGAACATAAATACGAGTTTACATTTGGAAATCGTAACTTCCAACTCTACCAATTCAGCCATTTGGGATACGGTTTAATGGAAGGCCGTAACAAGGTCAACGCTTTGGTTCTTAACAGTGCCCTCAAGGAGAAATCTGTCACACCCAAAAAGTACGCATCCAAGAAGGAAACAAAGGATGCCACTGGCGATGTGACTATCATGAACCCATGTTTGGCACCAGAGACTAAGGCGGAAAATGTTGCTGTTCAAGTGGGTGAAGAATTCTATGTTGTGAACTTCAAGGGACCAGCTGAGGCTTCTGGACCCCAGTGCAGATATCTCGCTGAAACAGTATTGAACATGGATGCAAAGTGTACTACTAGCCCATGTTCCTTTAATGGTGTTTACCAACCATCATTGGTCAAGGCTTTCCACCGCGATTCCGATATGTGGGTCTTCTCGTACTTTTATGATCGTACTAACCCATTGGGCTTCCCAAGTTCATTCACTGTGGGTGAGTTGAAGGACTTGACAAGCACAGTCTGCTCTGGTCTGAAGTTATGGAAGGATGTTTTGCTTGGTGATTCCGTGCAAGCATTGGAAGAAGAGCCTCATTGGTGCCTTGACTTGTCCTTCATTACGGCCATGCTTCATACTGGTTACAATATCCCATTGAGTCGTGAATTAAGAACAGCTAAAACTATTGCTAACAATGAATTGGGCTGGTGCCTCGGTGCTTCTTTGCCATTGTTGGACTCAAAGACGAGTGGCTGGAAATGTAAAATCAAGGAAGTGAAAGAAACTAAGGACTTGAAAGAAGCCAAGGACATTAAGGAGGAGAACGAGCCGGCCAAGGCAAGTACAGATGACGAGAAGAAGATTGAAGCCTAAGTAGGTGAATGGAGGTGTACATTAGCTGATAAAACTCATGAAGATGTATCGAAGAAGATCAATATGAGTAATTACAAGAAATCTACATACCACAGTCAGTTCTATTAGGTAAGCATTATTCGCTTTCAATATTAATGAACAAAGTTAGCAAACAATAATATAGATTCGTGGCTAGGAGCCACCTTCATTCATGGTTACATTGATTGTTGGATCTAATGCATAATGAGAAATACTTTAAGATAGTTACCTCACTTCACCATATGGCATGCCTGTGGGATTCCAATAATTTCACTATATCTTTAAATTAGAAGTATAGCCATATAGCACTAATATGGGTCTAATTTAGGGCCATGTAATTCTAATGTGGGCTTACTTGCAAGAGGATGGTATTTCTTCAAGATTGCACTGCGTCCTGGCGTTTTCAAGTAGAGCTAAAGCATGGTATATGCAAATGCTCGTTCCTGAGAGCACAAAGGCCATTGTTACACCGTCTGCGAACGGATCCGATTCGGACATTGGCCCAAGTGACCAATAGGCAACTACATTACTACAATGCTCTACTCAAGTTTCCATGACACGTCCTAAGTCACCCATCTACAGATGATGTCCATTAGAACACAACCTTCATGGAATGTCTATATGAGTCATTGTGCCAACCACTGTTATCGGTTTACAATCATTGAACTCTCTGCAAACATAAGGTCATAACAAGCTCAGAGATAAAAAGACACCATCTTCATAGGTATGTGAAACGATTTTCGTGGATAGCAGTCGTAACCGTTCGTGATCCGAGTGATTCCGTAGGCCATAGAAAAATAATGAACATGGCATATCGCACTATTAGTACCACGAAGCGTTCAGGCGTAATTGTTTTCCTACACCCAAAAAAAACTGACAGCAAATCTCCATACTTACTTTATTTGTTGAAACTTAACAATGATGAACTCGAAAACAAAGGGCAAGAACGTGTTTTCGAACTCCGAAATGTATGTTGGGTTACCATGTGCGGCTTAATTCCGCGCGCTTCGCGATCCCACCAGCTACTCTCTGTCGTCTTTCTCCTGCTTCTCGTACCCCTTTATCTTTTCTTTTACATCTTTTCCATTCTCTTTTCATATTTACTTGAATCAGTTTTTCTGTTTCTTCTGCGGTGTCATCCAATTTATTCGTCATATCGTGGGGTATCTTTTCCAGTGTGTCCAAGTGTCCTAAATGAATTACAATGTTCCTTCGTCTCCCGGGTGTACGCCGCCTTCTTCACCATGCAAATCACAAACAGAGTCGCCAGAGGACCCGCCGCTTCTCCTTAGTGCTGCTGAATTGCGCTCTGTTAGCTCACATGCTCAACTTGCACAAACTGCAAACGGTGTACGTATGCTCACCAAAAACCTTGCCACTGCAACGATCCAGCTCCACGTGCGGGCTATCATGATCGTCACCAAACCTCGAGACAACTCACTTGTGTACTTGACACGTGAAATTGTGGAATGGCTCTTACGGCGGGGCGATATTACAGTCTATGTGGATTCCCACTTAAAAGACCTGCCCCGTTTCGCTTGCTCACATCCTCGCTTGCTCTACTGGACCAATCGGTTAGCTCGACGTAACCCTGAGAAATTTGACCTTGTGCTCACTTTGGGCGGTGACGGTACTGTTCTTCATGTTCTGAAGTTGTTTCAGCGAGTGGTACCACCTGTGATGGCCTTCGCCCTTGGCCTGTTAGGTTTCCTCACAAACTTCCGCTTTGAGCACTTCCGTCGCCGCATGGCTACTGTTCTCGATGCGGGTGTCAAGGCTTACATGCGTATGCGTTTCACATGCCGGGTTCATGCAGCAGATGGGCTGGTGATACGCGAACAACAGGTTTTGAACGAGTTGGTAGTGGATCGCGGCCCTTCCCCATATGTCACGAATCTAGAGTTATATGGCGATGGCCTGCTTCTCACAGTGGCCCAGGCAGATGGGCCTAATCATCGCCACACCGACAGGTTCCACTGCTTATCTGCTTTCAGCAGGTGGACTGCTTGTCCACCCTGCGGTTAGTGCCATTAGCGTCACGCCCGTTTGTCCACACACCCTTCTGTTCCGTCCAATTTTATTGCCAGATACCATGGTGCTCAAAGTGCAAGTTTCTGTGGCCAGTAGAGCTCTGGCTTGGGCCTCCTTCGATGGACGTGTCCGCACAGAGCTACACAAGGGCTGGTATGTGACGGTGCAAGCAAGCCCCTTCCCATTTCCAACAGTACGCTCATCGAAGACGGAGTACTTTGATCTGGTCAGCAGCAATTTGAAATGGAATGTGCGTGAGCAACAGAAACCATTCTCGCAGTACTTGACAGGTTCCAATCGCTCCGAGTTCGAACAGAAACATCCAGGTGATCCCCAGGTGTCTGATAGTAGCTTTGACCTTGACTACAGTGATGATAGCGCGCTGGTTCAGCTGGAAGATGAGCTGACAGCGCCACTTGATACTCGTACCTGTTATGCTCATCCACATGCAACTGTGCTGATCAATGATGATGCACGAAGTGCAGCTGGCCTCTGAGCTAGGATGTTGTTCCGTCTCTCTCACTATTGTCAAATAAAACTGCCGGGATTTCTCAAGTTCCAAGTTAACAAAGTGATTGAGATATTGGTTGTGGCTCACGGACTAGCCAGATCTTCAACTATTTCTATTGCTTCAAGGTCTAATCAGGTCATCAGTCATGAAATAATATTATTATTCACGACAAATTCGTTCTAGACAATAGAGACGCAAATATTAACGATGAGAGCTCTCCTATTTGCAACGTGTATTATCCTTTTCAGGAGCACGTTTGGCATTGTTAGAGAGGATCAATGGATCCTACTGGACGGCCGCCTTAGTTTGAATTCACTTGCAAATTTTGCACCACACTTGATGTTATACACTTATGCACCATATATGATTGCTCAGGCTACTATGATTGATGGCTGAATCAAAAAAGCCAAATTCGTTCACTTACAAACGTACAATTTTATAGACAATAGACTAACTTACATAACTAGTGACCTATCTTCTGCGTAAAGTGTTACAGCTTCTTCAACATAAACAATCTTGGTAAATGCATACAGAAAGGATAAATAAATCTCTTTTCAGCCACTTACAGTAGGCTACCAAGACGGCGGTCACATCCGATTTCTTGAATTGCGAACCCGATGCTAGTTTCCTCTATTTGTGTATGGCATACACTAATTTGATGTAAGCTACTTGATGTCACAAGATCCATGACCAGAACGACTGGTGTAATATAACAGAAAATGCGTGGTTCATGGACATGAAGTAAAAAAATTATAAGAATGTATAGCGTATACAATGCGGTGACGATACTAAATCACCGCCTGGTTCATAATGAATCCAATTCGCTACCTTAGAAATAGAGAATCTCAATTATCTTGGCTCAAAGGCTTGATATGCAAAGGAAACCTCGTTTAAAAAGCTTACATAAGCATCATATGTCCCGATTGCGACCACAAAGGTGTCTCGAGCTTTGCTGTTTGACCTGCATACAAGGTTGATGACTGGGACAAATGCACGTGATGTTTTTTCTCTTCGAACGATTTTCTCTACTCAAAGTCCGCATAGAACTCATTTCTCCATGTTTTTTAAACTCACTTCATGACAACTATCAATGGAAACGGGCTGCACTAAAATTATATCTTATATACTGTGCATTGCTTTCACTCTGCAAAAAGAAGACAGCGAAACTTTGTCACGTGCACCAAAAAGAAACGAAAGTGCCAGGCGCGGGCATCCAAATCTGCAGGCAAAAAAAGAAGAAAAAAAATTCTTTCCTCTTCCTCTTCTTTTTAGATACTTGATCACATTAGTTCGAAAAGACAATATGACTGATTTAGCACAGCAAATGAACAACCTTTCGGTGAACGGCTCAGGCGAAAATGCCTCCTCCGGAAAATCCCAATATGTTCCTCCACACCTCAGAAACAGACAAGGTTCTAGACAACCATCTAGCGGCCGTGATTTTTCTGACTCTGATTCAGGATTTGGTGGCCGCCGTTCAGGCGGATTCAGCAACGGCGGCGGATACAACTCTGGACGTCGTTCCAATGGCTTTGGTGGCGGTAGAGACTTCGGCGGCAGAAGCGGTGGAAGAGGTCCCCGTGTTGGCGAAGGTTCTTGGGTTGATGGCAAACACGTGCCAGCAGCCAAAAACGAGAGAATGGAGATCGAGTTGTTCGGCACACCAGAAGACTCTTCGTTCCAATCCTCCGGTATCAACTTTGACAACTACGACGACATCCCAGTGGAGGCTACTGGAGAGGGTGTCCCAGAGCCCATCACTTCTTTTGAAGCTCCACCATTGGACCCATTGTTGGTTGAAAACATCACTTTGTCCAGATTTACCAAACCTACTCCCGTGCAGAAATACTCCGTGCCTATTGTTTGCAACAAGAGAGATTTGATGGCATGTGCCCAAACAGGTTCCGGTAAAACAGGTGGTTTCTTGTTCCCAGTTTTATCTGAGTGTTTCATGAGCGGTCCTGCTCCTCAACCAGAGCCAACTGGAGCTTTCTCTTTCAACAAGGTTTACCCTACTATTTTGATTATGGCTCCCACCAGAGAATTGGTTTCCCAGATTTTCGAGGAAGCCAAGAAGTACTGTTACAGATCCTGGGTCCGTCCTGCCGTTGCTTACGGTGGTGTTGACATTGGACAACAAATTAGAACTTTGCAAAGAGGATGTGATTTGTTAGTTGCTGCTCCAGGTCGTTTGACTGACTTGTTGGAAAGAGGCCGTGTATCCTTGTGCAACGTCAAATACTTGGTTTTAGATGAAGCCGACAGAATGTTGGATATGGGTTTTGAACCACAGATCAGACACATTGTCCAAGAGTGTGACATGCCAGATGTTCAAGACAGACAAACATTGATGTTCTCTGCCACTTTCCCAAGAAATATCCAAATGTTGGCTAGGGACTTTTTGAAGGATTACGTTTTCTTGTCTGTGGGCAGAGTCGGTTCGACTTCCGCTAACATTACCCAAAAGGTGTTGTTGGTTGAAGATGATGAAAAGAGATCTGTTATCTTGGACTTGTTGAGCGCTGCTGACAATGGTTTGACCATTGTGTTTACCGAAACTAAGAGAATGGCTGACTACTTGGCTGATTTCTTGTACGATCAAGGATTCCCAGCCACTGCTATCCACGGTAACAGAACCCAATACGAAAGAGAGAAGGCTTTGGCTGCATTCAAGAATGGTACTGCTCCAATCTTGGTTGCTACCGCTGTTGCTGCTAGAGGTTTGGATATTCCAAACGTCCTGCATGTCATCAACTACGACTTGCCAAGTGACATTGATGACTATGTGCATAGAATTGGTCGTACCGGTCGTGCTGGTAATACTGGTATTGCCACTTCTTTCTTCAACAGAAACAACAAGAACATCGTGAAGGACATGATTGCCTTGTTGAGTGAAGCCAACCAAGAGATTCCAGACTTCTTAGTCAAGATTAGCAGAGAATCTTCCTTCGGAGGCGCCCGTGGTGGTGCCCGTGGCCGTGGTAGCATGGGTGGAAGACCAGGTGGATCTAGAGACTTTAGAAGACAAGGTGGTGGTGGATATGGTGGATCTTCTGCAAGCTCATGGGGCAGCAGCAACAGCAACAACTGGGGCAGCGATAACAGCAGCTCTAGAGGTGGTTACTCTTCTAACTACGGTAACCAGTCCCAAAGCACTTCCTGGTGGTAGTGTTGAGGACCAGAGCCTGACTTTTTTTTTATTCTAATTTATTGTTGTGTCTTGCATTTGTTACAATAATCGATCTTGCGGAATGCTTGATTGAATGGCACACGCGTCGTTCTTTAAAAAATGCATTCAATTTGTTTTGTTGATGTCTGAATCTATTCAAGGAAAGAAAAAAGGGGAATGAAGTTTGTTTGGTTTGAAAAATGTTTGATTTTTGAACGGTTTTTTCTCCTGTTGTTTTTTTATTATTATTTTTTTCATTTCTTTGAAGATTTTTTCTTATTTTTCTTGTTTCTTTTGAGCATGTTCTACGGAGTTTTATGGTGATGGGAAAATATTACACGAATTACGGTTTTCACGATTGCCTTTATTGATGACTAACTTCACAGAATATGTATTACTACTATTATTTACGAAAGAGATGGGAAATTCACTACAACGCCTTATAAGAAAGAAATTCAAAGATGGAAAAAAGCTATTTTTTTTGGCTGCGTCGGCATATGCTGAATTTGGCCAAAGTTGTTTCTTTCCTGTTGAAAGGTGGATGCCTGGTTATTTTATTTATGGAAAGGATTTAGACATTGGGGTACTATATAGAGAAATTATTTTAATAAAGCGCAATCTTTGATTTGTTTGTAGGTCTACCACGCTTTGATTCGAACGTGAGAATTTGCGCTCGCTACCTAAATTTCAAAGGTGCACCCGTACCTTTTCTTTCAAGCTAACGTTGGACTCGGATCAGATTCCTAGATAATACCCCATTATGGTTGGTCCTCGCAGGAAACTAAGAATTGGGATTATCCTGATCGTGCTTCTATTTCTATTGTATACTTTTGTTTCCACTGTTTCGGTTCCAAGGCATGTTACCAAAACCGAGTTATCCACAAACAAACTCAAGCTAGCTCGAGAACTTGAGAAGAACAGCAACTGGAAGAAAACGGGGCTAAATTTTCACACCAACAAGGCCGCAAATCTCCCGGCTCTTTCGACTTTAAGGCAGCAACTCAGTTTCCAATTCCCCTATGAGCCTTCTAAAGGATTTCAGAAGAATATCTGGCAAACTTGGAAAGTAGGATTGAACGATGAGACTTTCCCAACTACATATCGGGGATACCAAGAAACTTGGGAGGCATTGAATCTGGGATATAAGCATTATGTGATTCCTGATGATGAATGTGATACTATGGTGAAGCAGTTGTTTGCATCAGTTCCGGATGTCGCTCAGGCATGGTCGCTCATGCCCAAGAATATTCTAAAAGCTGATTTTTTTCGCTACTTAATTTTATATGCTCGTGGAGGTGTCTATTCCGATATCGATACAAAGTGTCTCAAACCTATAGACACTTGGGTCTCCAAAAATCAAACGATATATGGTATCGACAACCATGCAGGGCTCGTGGTTGGAATTGAAGCAGATCCAGATCGTCCAGATTGGGCCGAGTGGTATGCCCGGCGAATCCAATTTTGTCAATGGACAATCCAGGCAAAAAAGGGACACCCTATGTTACGCGAGTTGATAGCGAAAATCACCGAGTTGACTTTGCAAAGATGGAAAAATGGTGAGTTGAAGAAAATCAAGGGTAAGGATTCTGGCGGTGATATCATGAATTGGACAGGACCTGGTATCTGGACAGATATGGTCTTTGAATATATGAACAATATTCTTCAGCCACAAGAAAACTTCGAGCGCAAGAAGTACGATGAGATAGTCACCTGGAAGCTTTTCACGGGCATGGAGATGCCAATGGCTATTGAAGATGTGTTGATATTGCCTATAACTTCATTTTCTCCTGATGTGAATCAAATGGGTGCTCAGAGCTCATCGCATGAGCTAGCGTATGCAAAACATTTGTTCCTGGGCAGCTGGAAGGATAATGGTCCATCGGAGTAAACGTCTACATATCTTTCTCCATTGGAGTGTACTTTCAAGCATTATAGATTTGTAAGGATGGTTTTCAGTCGAGCTTAATTATGCGTGTAGTGGTCTCATTCCTATGAACTCGTCTAAAAGAGCTTTCATTTACAAAGAGATCAACGCCTTATCAAACACCGAATTCTTTTCGCATTCATAGTTCGACTAGTTCTTTTTTGGCATGCAATTTGTTCCCCTCGACCGCGCAATTTGTATGTGATGTACATGCAACTTTAAAGTGTGTGTCATTCTCTCTGAAAAATATTAGACCCCTTGATATTTCTTTCCCGCAAGTCTAGACCAGCGTTAGGATTATTATCTATTGGCTTTGTCGTCTCTTTTCCGATCGCCACCTCCCAATGTGCACCTTTGTCGCACAATGATTAGTGACACATCGTGGGGCTGATTGCATTGCCGGTATACAATGTTTAATATATCCATTGTAGTCCACGCAAACACGAATCTACAAGTAGTTGATTGTTCTAAACAGTGGCTCGTATTCTTTCTCGTTTATATGTGGTCTCATCCAGGAGCAATCCCCACATTTCCTGCATTTTTCAAAGATATAGCGTTGCTCCGTTGTTTGCAGGACTATCTGATTTTGCACCTGGTCTGATCACCTCTTTCCGTGTTAGGAGCAATCATTTGGTAACGCAACAATATCTCGCCATTTGCGCTCCTGCGATTTATCTACTTGGCCTCTTGCCTTAGTTTGAAGAAAAGCTAAAGTTCTCAACTATGATCAAGGTGGCGGTTATCGTTATTGATGTCCAGGAAGATTTTCTCCCTCCAAACGGAACGTTAGCAGTTCCCGATGGTCGCGATGTGATCTCTCCCATCTGCAACATCCTTAATGCTGGAAGATACCCGTGGCTGGCTGTGGCGATAACCCAGGATTGGCATCCCGAAACCCATTGCCTGTTTGCATCAAATCATAATGTCGAACCGTATTCAGAACTTGAGTTCAAACATCCTCTCGGAGAGAAAAACGGCACAACATGTGAAGTGAAGACACAAACGCAGACAGTTTGGCCAATCCACTGCGTACAAGGTCTGCCGGGGGCACAAGTGGAGAAACAAGTATGGGAACATTTTGAGCGCATCCGCAAACATCTTCCCTCTGCAGTTGTGAAGAAAGGCTACTTGGAGGACAGAGAGTACTATCTGTGTTTCTGTGACTGCTGGAAATTGCATAGAACAGAGATGACAGAATTCCTTCAAGAAAATCAAATCACCGATGTTGTGTTCGTGGGTCTTGCTTACGACTACTGTGTACTCCACTCGGCCACAGACTGTCTGGAATCTGGCTTCAACACATATGTGATCAAAGACTGCTGCCGCAGCGTTTTCCCAGACCGCATTGCCCAAACAGAAAAGCAATATAGCGATGCGGGTGTTCGGCTTTTTGATGACGCTGATAGTCTTCTTAAACATTTCGAGGAGTGTAGTAGAAGACATGCGGGTTAGATCCTAATTGCAAGTTTAAGTGAGCCATTTGTTTCCTCGATCTATCCCATTTATGTACATACCAACATACGATGCTGTTGAAAATTATACATTGCCTATACGTTTCTATCCAATGCTGTAGTTGATTTGCGAGCTTCCGTCCCATCTATTCAAAGCTGGAGCAGAGCTAGCAAGTCACGCTTCTTCTTCTCTACCAACCACCTTTCTACATCTCTGCTCGAAGGCCACATTATTTGCTTTTTCCCGATGCCAGCATCCAAAACCGCCTCGCCCAAAGCGGCGTTTACTTCTTCCATTAGCAGACGCTCATCTGTGTTGATGGGCAGATGTAGGTTCTCACTTCCATAGTATTCAATCAGTAGCAGTATTCTGTCCTTAGCCAGAGAGCCCGAATTTGCTTCTCCATTTGAACGCATTTGTTTCACCTCTGCTAAGTCTTTTGCCCGTCCAAAATATCGCACGCCGTTCCTGCTGACTCCACCATTTCCTTGACCATATGTGATGTAGTCGTTTCCTCCTAACTTTTTGATGTGATGCTCCCACGCTCTCTTTTCACGATGAAGTTTGTTGAGTGACTCGTTAATTTCACGGATTTCCAGCTCAGGTATGCTGGGGTCGTTGATTTTGGTAAGTTTGACTGATATCTCAGTTACAATAGTTTGTCTCCATCGCTCAGCCTGCGGAAGCGACTGAACTGACTGAACGTAACGTGGTCTTTGAGATGGATCAGATTCCAAAGCTCCAGCATCTTTGCTTTTCTGCGCTTGATACCTGCTCAAAGTCGAATTGGAAACTTCTTTTCGAGCCATGATACATGTGATGAGACAACTCGCACTACGCATCTTGCATCATTATACAGATTTCATCATAAAGGAACCGCACGACTTATAGTCTACCATTTACAATTCTCCTATACTCTCTTTTCTTTTATAGATGCCCATATATATCTTACATGCCACGGAACTGGTTTTTTGATGCGCTTCTACGGCCTGCAAACCGTTGCTTGGTTCTACCATGTTTTTCCAGCAGATCTTCGTCGTCGTCCAAGCGGAAACGGATCTTCTTCTCTTGTCTCTTTGGTTGGAAAGTAACCTCCATCTCTCCTTTTCCATGGCTTCTGGTTCTCGAGTTTTGACGATGCTCATTCTTCTCCTTTTCAATACGGTTGAGTTTGCGAACTTGTTTTTCGAAAGTTTCGTTACGTCTTGCCTCAGACTCATTTTCTGTTACAGCTCTCATCTCATTCATAAACCTGTTGGCTTCTTCATCGCGCTTCTTCTTCGCTCTCAATCTTTCCAACTCTTTTTGCACCTTTTGTTTGCGTTTCTCATCTAGTTCACCTTCCAGCTCGCTCTCAGACTCGGATTCAGATTCCTCATCTGGCTTGTTATCTCCATTCATGCGCTCTTCATCAGATTCCTCAGCAGCAGTTAAGGCACGAGGCTTATCTGTAACCGTAATATCCTTAGTAGCACGGACTGGATTGAGTTGCTTGTACTCGTGAGATTGTTCGTCCACAGCGAAATCAGGGTTCTCGAACAATTCCTTGAAACGGTCATCATTGACAAGGTCATCGTTTCCAGGCTTTTCTTGCAATTTCTCAGCCAACTCCTTGTTGACCTTGATTTTGGTATTTGTAACAGCGCCGGTGGATCTGATCCGAGACTCTCTTTCTTTTTCGATTTTCTTCCTGATTTCTCTCTCACGCTGATCTTTGAAAGAGTTAGGATTGGCAATCAAGTTCACCTTATCGTACAATTCTGTATTAATAAAGTAACCATGCATGTAAGAACGCAAAACATTCGAGCCAATCAAGTGTGTCAAGTTCAACTTGGCCACCTCATCTCTGGTGATGAATCTGTAGTTAGAGTAAACGCTATCTGACGGCTTCTCTTCCATTTCCTCCGTAATGTTATCCAAGAAAGAACACCATTTTGGAGCTGGGCCCAAGTCTGGAATATAGTATGCATGCATTGGAATACCCTCATTTGCCATAAAGAACATTCCACTTTCCTTTACGTATGCCACATCGTTGATATCAACACTTGGTTCCATGGAAGTATATGGTTTACCATCATATCTGCTCCACAATTTGGCAATTCTTTTATCAGAAGTTAAAATTTTGTCCGCATCGCTGCTGTTCTCATCAATCCAAATGACCTTTTTTACCTCAAAACCGTATCCTTGATCCTTCACCACTGATGGGGTTGATGTTCTCAAGTCATAAATAAGAGACTTTCCGCTAGACGTACCACATGCAAAGTTCAAGCCATCATTTCTAAATGCAGTTGCAGTCACCTGACATGGTTCTCCAAGTTGCTCAGAAACAAAAAGCTTCGCTGCCCTTTGTCTACTTCTTGGGTCCCAAAATTCGACAGTGCCATCTTCCAAACCAGCAGAAATTAAACCATGCACAGGATTAATATCGACAGCATTAACGCCTTCAGTTGTATCCAAAACATAGGGGTTAAGGAAGCGCCCTTGTTCTAAGTTTAATCTGTACAATTCATTTCCGGAAGCACCGATTAGCAAGTCGCAGTTAGTTTCATTAAACACAAGACTTCTTCCAAATTTTGGGATTCTGCTTTTGTAGTGGATCCCACACTTAGTGTGAAACTCGATCGTTCTGTCATTCTGTAAGTGAACAGACTTGGTCCAATCGCTAGACAAGATTTGGAAATCCACATTCTCACTATCAGTATGTCTATCAAACTTGAGTGACAAGTTAGAGAAATCATACACATGTATTTGTGGCTTGTAAGTTCCAGTAGCCATAGCAAACTGACCATCTGGAGAGACTCTGATTTTATTAGAGGCTTCACTGAATTCGAAGTCCTGAATTAACTCGACTCTGTTCATGTAGTCTGCATCATGTTTCAATTCTTTTCTTCTCTTTCTAGCTATCCAGTCTGGTAGAGATCTGGACACATTAGATCCAGCAACTTGATATACAGAAACGTTACCCGCGGATGTAGATTTCAAAACCATTATCAAGAGGTGCTGTAATCCAGTTCAGATTTTCCCGTGAGATGATCATCACCAAACGGTAAGAGGAAGCGCGAAAAAAAAAAAAATAAGCACGTGATCAATATATATACACTACCTTTATGATATACTACTTCCCAAACTTATCAACATGTACACTTTGTTGTCTTGATGAATTTAATGAATTTGGAAAATAAGCCGGCCCAGACGATTTCGTGTTTCCTGTTCCGATTTGTAGGTTTCCCTTTAAGGCGTGCTTTTTCTCGTAAACTGCGCTTATTTCTCTTTCATTCACAGATACAATCTGACTTTCTGGATATTCAAAATTTAAACCCTGTACCATATTAGGGTATTCACGCACACCATCATTAAATGTCTGAAAGAACTGGCTAGCGCCACTATCGAACATTTTTTTGCCCATTTTCAGATCAACTTCTATCACCAACTTTTCAAACAATTTTTCAAAAATAACAACTAAATGGATGTCAGCGTAGCAGGCATCGTTGGTGAAATTGAACAAAGTGATCCAAATCAATGACTTATTGTCAACGGCTGACAATAATATTTTTATCAAAGAGATGGCTAATGAGTACTTGACTTCTCTATCTTGGGCACCAAAATTCAACTTGAAGCTGGAAATCAATGCAGCTACTAAAGACCCAAGCAAATGCTCCACTTTGCAAACAATAATCTTCTCAAGAATAGCCTTCGACAGAGAGTCTGATTTCAAGGCTTCTAATTCATGACCCAAGTTTTTTTCGATGGTGATTAAGGAAAGAAGTAACCCGTCATTCACATCTTTTAATTCCTCTATCTCCTCTATAGGTGTAGTCAACTTTTCACCAAATTCAGCAAAAAAATAATTTGGTTTCGGAAACGGAGGGTAATCCCAATGAGTGAAAAGCCCCTCAAAGTATTTTAAGACAGAATTGCCATCCTTGCTACTGTATAACAAGTTGCGTGAAAGCGTAAATGCAAAATCAGTCAATACTGATACTAACGAACTTGTTTGAGAGTGAGTATTGAAATTTGAGTAGAGCTCTCTCCTTGATGTATACCCAAATGCGATCTCATGCATGGCTATAAAACAACATGCACGTAATATTGGGCATATCAGTAATCTGAATTTTGGACCTTGATTCAAGATATCGATTACCAACTGGAAAGGGGAGTTGATTGCTATTTGAAAAGCTTTCTTTTGAGGAGACGTAAAACTGCGTCCAAAGATTCCAGCTCCTGGCAAAGTGAACACTGCTTCACCAATGATTGTAATCGAGGGAGTCAGGAGAACCACGTCCAAAAGCATCTTAGCGTGCATTGCTGCACTATCTTGCAGTTTCCCACTTGAGGTATCTCTAATGATCTCAGATACCCTCTCATCGTGAAATAACAATAATGTAGTTAGCTGTCTATTAGCGTTTCCTGAGCAAATGATATGCAACAAATCCTTTAACCCCTTATCCAACGCCTCTTCCGTCTTGTGCAAAGTTTCGAAAATATTGAGAATCCTGACTGCCACATGAAGCACATCGCAAACTAACCATGCATCTGCCGCCGTTTGGTGATCTATAGTTATAAGGGTTGTCCATAACAGTGCATTCTGGTTATCCTGGTTGGATACCGCAGGCCACCAATCGGGGACAGAAAACCCACACGGACCGTGTAAAATCAGATAAAGATGTGTAGTGAGTTCAGGGAGAAAGTAGTGTATTGCAACCAACTTGCAGAAAGCTTCTCGCAATGGTTGCAGTTGAGGGCATAATGTAACCAACCTTGCAACAGGCTCCAAAATATCCCTTGTAATAGGCTGCACTCCAGTAGACAAGAGCCTGGCCACTAATTGGCCTAAAGTTGCAGCTTCCGAGGATACCGATAATAAGTCTGGTTTCCCATTAGCACTTACTATTTTTTGAACGAGCTCTGACAATTGCTTATGGGCATAAGTTAGTGCTGAAGTGGATATATCCATTTGATGCCGCTGGAATAGGATGATCAATAAAAAATGCTCAATGAGGCAAGAGGGAATACTTTGTGTAAGTTATGTTGGCCGTAAGTAAGGTACTTCTAGCCCAGTTAAGGTATAATGAAAGGCAAAAGAAATATAAAAAGAAAAAGGGTCGTGAAGAGAGATTATAAACTATTTGCAGATAGCTAATTTTATACCATTTGGGAGCCGTCGCGTCAGTGTTTCAGAGCTGTAATTTATTTCGCAGCCACAATAATATGCAAACAACCAAATGTGATAGTTGCAAGAGAAATCGTTTTTGGCAAAGTATTCTGGAAATTGTGTCACTTCTTTTGGAGGAGGAAGTATACTTGTCTCGCCTAATCACAACAGATAAGGAGACAATCATTTTTCTTTGTCTTAGGTCAGAAGTCTATGCACGCAGAATGCTTATCTATGCAGCTTTCAGAGAAGGGGAGTGCGGGATTACTGTAAGATTGACACATTCCAGACCCTTTTCATGCAAGACGCCTGCTATAGTCTTTAACTTTTTTGCAGATATATTCTTTGTTAATATCTTTACCCTCGGCAAGGTTCATATCGAGTAGCAATTCGGAGAGCAAGTAAATTTTCCCCCATATTGTACTATGGTGGTGATAAAGTTCGTTCATTTGTCATGCAAACGTATGCATTCTCGTAGTTTGGTTCGGTTTACTTGCGTTGGGGGAGATCAATCTACACATCAATGCAGTAGAAGACATTTCGACACAAGATAAATCTCCATTAAAATCCGAAGTTCTGCTTCAACGTTACTATTCCTGTTGGTTCCACGTTATCCATACAGCTCTCTGTTCAGTCTCTTTGATTAGTTCTTGACTATCATATCATGCCCAACCAACTTACTTTAGCCACAACCATCCCTCCAATAATGGACTTGAATGAGATTACACGAGAATACGAAAGATATAAAAGAGAGCTAGCGGAGAAACGGTTAAAGCAGATTCGAGAAGAATCCGCAAGTCCTGTTGCACTGGGACCAAAAACTACTTTTCATGCCTACGACTTTGTTGCTGTTCCAAAAACTTCAAAGTGAAATGAGGAAGTATCTAGGTTATTTATATGTCACTTGACTATGCAAAATACACGCACGTTTCGATAGACCAATTAAAGTTGACTGCCTAACTCCTTGAGTTGTTTCATGACCGCAGACTTTGCAGTTCCGCCAACAGCGTCTCTTCTTTCGACGCTCACTTCGAAGTTGAAGACTTCCTTCACATCCTCGCCAAATCTCGAGTCGATTTCTTGCAACTTCTCAAAAGGCAACTGGTCAATACCAGACAACTTGAGCTCTTCTGCAGCTCTGACACACTCGCCGGAGATATGGTGGGTCTCTCTGAATGGCACACCCTTTCTGACCAAGTAGTCAGCTAAGTCGGTGGCCAACATGTCCATAGTCAACGCACCTTCCATTTTCTCCTTTCTAATGGACAAAGTAGAAATCACGCCCGTGGCAATCAAGATGGAATGTTCTACAGTAGTCAAAGCGTCGAAAAGCGGTTCCTTGTCCTCCTGCATGTCCTTGTTGTAGGTCGACGGAATTGACTTCAAAGACATCATAAAGCCAGCCAAAGAGCCGAAAACACGACCCGATTTGCCTCTCAAAAGCTCGAGAGAGTCTGGGTTCTTCTTTTGAGGCATCAAAGAAGACCCAGTCGAGTAAGCATCTGCCAACTGAACAAAACCAAACTCTGCTGTAGAGTAAATAATCAAGTCTTCCGAGAATCTTGAGATGTGGTTCATGAATAACGAAGACCAAAACAATGTTTCAACAACATAATCACGGTCAGAAACAGCAGTCAAGGAGTTTCCAATGACACCTTCGAATCCCAACTTTTGAGCCAAGAAGTCACGGTCAATTCCATATGGATGACCAGCCAAAGCGCCTGCTCCCAAAGGAGATTGGTTCACCCTTTCCAACACTTGTTTTAATCTCTTGTAATCCTCGGTAAAGTATGTGGCATATGAAGATAACCAGTGTGCCCATCTGATAGGCTGTGCCCGTTGCAAATGGGTATATCCTGGCATCAAGACATCGATTTCTGACTCGGCTCTTTTCAAGATGCTTTCAATGAAAGTTTTTAAGTACAGAAGTAACTCGGTCAATGTTTCCCGAACAAAAATTCTCAAGTCTGTAGCACATTGATCGTTTCTAGAACGGCCAGTGTGAACTTTTCCGGCAATATGAGTTCCAATGATTTCACCTAATCTTCTTTCGTTGGCTGTGTGGATATCCTCATCGCCAGGCTTCTCCACAAAAGTTTTTTCTTGCCATTCCTTTCTAATGATCTCCAAGCCTCTGTGGATCTCAGATAATTCGTGGTCGTTGATCAATCCAAGTTTATTCAATCCTTCAGTGTAAACCTTTGTACCTGTCAAGTCAGCATCGTACATTTTCTGATCATACGGAAGCGAAGCATTATAAAGATCCATCAACGGGTCGGTTGCACCGGTAAAGCGGCCACCCCATAATCTTTGTTCGGCTGGTTTAGACATTTCTGTTATCTTGGGAAAAAGAAAGAAAGGAAACTGGATATAATTGATTCGACGATTTAACATCGCGGCTAGCACTCAATTGCCCAATCGGGAAGGCTCATATATTAGTCACCTTTCCATACCGGAACTTAAACATACATTAGACACACCACGAATACAAATTTGTACCCGTCATGTGGACGATTTCCATCTATTTAAGCGCAGTTTAGAGTGAAGCGAAGATTTCTGCATTCCAACACTTTCGGCTCAAGATATCGTTTTTTTGTATTTTCTTTCGTCCTGTCCTATTGACGTGATCTAATCGTTTCGCACAGGTTTCGCAGTTCGCTTTCTCATATGCCTATACTATTTGGTTTCTCTTTTATAGCCGCTTCCAAAAATACTGGTTCTAACTTATGATCCGATGTATTTGTATAATCTGTGCAGCATAATACAAAAATAAAAGCGGGTGGCATCGTTTTTGCTCACTTAAATCTATCAGGTTATAGAAGTACATACATTAGCTGACCTATCCAACCATGGTCCCTTGAAAATAGCATTCTCATAAGTACCAGAGCAAATTTAAGGTCTGCATCTACCGCTGAAACGAGGGTACAAGGAGCATTCTCTGACAGTGTATCTGTTGCACAACCAAGCCAAGATTCTTTCCGTACCCAAACCGTATCCACCGTGTGGGCAAGTACCGTACTTTCTTTGGTCAACAAACCAGTAGTAAGCGTCCAAGTCGAGACCCTCCCTCTTGATGGCCGCAACCAACTCGTCATAATCATCAATTCTCATGGAACCACCGGTGACCTCACCCACGTTTGGCATCAATACGTCAACAGATTCGGTGACTCTTGGGTCGTCGGCACATTTCTTCATGTAGAAAGATTTGATTTCCACTGGGAAACGAGTCAACAAAATAGGAACGTTCAAAGTGTCGGTCATCTTACGTTCAGCAGCTTCAGCAATGTCATCACCGAATTTGAATGCAGAGCCTTCTTCGTTTGGAATGCCATGCTCGTTTAACCAGTCCAAAGCTTCAACATAAGTCATTCTCTTGAATGGCATTTGTGGGACTTGGAAATCTGGGTTCAATTTCTTGATCAATGGGCCAGCGACTGGGTCCTCCAAAACATACTTCATGACAGTGGTGAAAAGCTTTTCCAAGTGGTTCAACAAGTCATCAAAAGACAAAAATGCCAACTCACTTTCGATGTGGGTGTACTCGGACAAGTGTCTTCTGGTGTGAGACTTTTCAGCACGGAAGGACTCTTGAACACAGTAAACATCACCCAAAGCAGGCAAACAAGTCTCCAAGTACAATTGGGAAGATTGTGTCAAGTAGGCTTCCTCACCATAGTAGTCCAACTTAAACAATGTCGAACCACCTTCAACTTGTGTCTGCACCATGCATGGAGGAGTTACCTCTGTTAATCCTTCTTCTTGGAAGAATCTTCTCATGGAGGTCAACAAAGCAGCTCTAACTTTGAAGACAGAGGACAAAGTTTCACCTCTCATGGTCAAATGACGTTGATCCAACAACAATGCAGGGTCCGCGTTTTCTTGGACCTTGTTGGTGAAGGCTTCATCACCAGAAGGAGCCAAGCCGATGACCTCATAGTAGTCAGCCTTCAACTCAACACCACCTGGAGCTGTCTTACCTTCAGGCAATTTTTCGATAACACCTTTAATGAGTACAGTGGACTCCAAGGTCAATTCCTGGGTGATTCTGGCCTTGGCCAAGTCTCCAGACAACACAGTTTGAAGGAAGCCGGTACCGTCCCTCAAGGTGATGAATGCAACACCTTTCTGCAATCTCAAACGGTGAACCCAACCTTGAACAGTGACACGCGAGTTGATGTTTTCTTGAAGAGATCTCAACTTGATGCGTTTGGCTTCAGGCAACGATTTATCTTCGACGATCTTGATCAAGTCCAATTCGGCCATCTTCTTTGAAGCTTCTTCCTGCTTCTTCTTTTGTTCTTCAGCCAACTTGAGCTGCTTCTCTTGTTTCTTCTTTAATCCATCAGCACCCTTCTTGGCCTTCTTTAAAGCCGAGGCTGAGATCTCTACATATTCGAAATCCTCAGAATCTTCCTTTTGCTTGTAGACGAGAACCTTGGCATCCGGCTTAACAAACAAAGCAAACGCTGGTGTTTGGAATGGTTGCTGCTCGGTTCCTGCTGTTTCAGCACTGTCAGAACCAGACTTTTCGTTGACGTAAACCAGAGACATTGGTGTAAAGTAGTTGGGACTTTTTTCTTCAAGACTGAATTATCCGCGCATTGAAAAAAAATCATGGTCGTCAGTCATAATTAGAATTTCTTGAGTAATCGCTGAAATGATAAATGCATGATGTGAATGTCAAGTTCTGTTTGCTTTGCATGTTCGTAGGTTGCACTTTCGGTATATTGTAGAATTTTTCTGGCCGACGCTCTATTTTGTTAATTATTTTATGAATTGACATCTATCTAACAAAATGCGAATCGTAAAATAGCGTTATAGAAGGAAACGACAGGTAAAAACAAAAAATACACTCAAAATCCTACATGGCTTTATAGCCGTACTTAATAGCTTCTCCTAAGGAAACACCTAATTTTGAGGTAAGCCTGCGTGGATTTGAAATCATCTTCCGGAATGCCCTCAAGCTACGTAAATTCTCCACAAACAACCACATCTAATACATAAAAGAATGAGCCAGTAGTTATTTCAATAAAGCAGGATGATTCATATCGACCTACATATTTTCAATATAGCATTGCGTCAAATATCAGTATAATGCCACGCTATCAATATGGATCGTAGTCTGTGTGCGCGATCCAAACCAAAATTTTCACAGTAACATTCCCATCCTTCCTCCAGCTACCAAATGGCACTCGAACAAACATTAGCCGCCCTTTCTTTGGCTACAGTGACTTCTGAAAATGCTCTTGCCACCAAGACCTTGATTTTCAAGCCCAAAACTGCAAAGTCGGCGACTCCAGTTCCAGTGGTCGTTTTCGCATTGCACTCTACTGCTACCCCCTCTGGCATAATTGCCAAAGCAGCAGGTGTGAAAGAACCAAGATTGGCCAAGGATGACTTGATCCAAGAATTTTTCGCCACAACCTCGAAGGAGGTTTCCATCGCCAACGTAAACAAAGATTTGGCTGGTAAAATCAAAATTGTTTTGGATTCCGCCATTAACTCTGCCGACAGCGAAACTCTTGTAGAGTTGGCCACAGAGCTGTCAAAAGTAGCTCTTCCAGCAAAGACCATTGTCAGCTTCTTAGAATCTACCGGAGTTGAAATTATCCCTGTTGATTTTGAAGCCGAAGCTGCTGCTCCTACCCCAGCGCCAGCACCAAAGGACAATACCAAGAAAGCTCTGTTGAAGAAGGAGAAAGAGGCAGCTAAATTGGAGGATGCCAAGTTGATCGGAATTACTGTTGACAAGGCCAAGGACTTTTCCTCGTGGTACTCTCAAGTCGTTGTAAAGGGTGAGATGTTGGACTACTATGATGTTTCCGGTTGTTACATCTTGAGACCAAACTCGTACTTTGTGTGGGAAGAGATTCAAAACTGGTTCAATGGCCACATCAAGAAGATGGGCGTCAAGAACTCTTACTTCCCTATGTTTGTGTCTTCTAGAGTCTTGGAAAAGGAGAAAGACCATGTCGAAGGATTTGCACCAGAGGTCGCTTGGGTTACTCGTGCAGGCTCATCTGAGTTAGATGAACACATTGCTATCAGACCCACGTCGGAAACTGTTATGTACCCTTACTACGCTAAGTGGATCAGATCGCACCGTGACTTGCCTTTGAGATTGAACCAGTGGAACTCTGTGGTAAGATGGGAGTTCAAGCACCCACAACCTTTCTTGAGAACAAGAGAGTTCTTGTGGCAAGAGGGCCACACCGCTCACTTGACCAAAGAAGGTGCCGCCACCGAAGTGGAGCAGATTTTGGATCTCTACAGGGGCGTGTACGAAGAGTTGTTGGCTGTTCCTGTTGTTAAGGGTAGAAAGACCGCCAATGAAAAATTTGCTGGTGCTGATTACACCACCACATGTGAAGGTTTCATTGCAGCTACCGGAAGAGGTATTCAGGGTGCCACTTCCCATCACTTGGGCACCAACTTCTCCAAGATGTTTAACATCTCCGTGGAAAACCCTGAAGGTCCAGAAAAGGAACGTGTGTTCGCTTTCCAAAACTCCTGGGGTTTGTCCACTAGAGTTATTGGTGTTATGATTATGACTCATTCCGACAACAAGGGTTTGGTATTGCCTCCTCGTGTGGCCCAAAACCAAGTCGTGGTCGTGCCTGTAGGCTTGACTTCGAAATCTACACCTGAACAAAGAGATGCTGTCAATGGTGGTGCCAAAAAAGTGGAGGATGCATTGGCTGATGCCGGCTTGAGAGTGGTTGGTGACTACAGAAACAACTACTCCCCAGGATGGAAATTTGCTGACTGGGAATTGAAGGGTGTACCATTGCGTGTTGAGTTTGGACCAAAGGATTTGGCTGCAGGCCAGGTTACCGCTGTTAGACGTGACAATGGTGAGAAATACGTTGTCAAGTTGGGTGACTTGAGCACGAGAATCCCTGAACTTTTGGAACTTACCCAAAGAGAAATGTTGGAAAGAGCACGCAAGGCTTTTGACGAACACCGTGTCTTGGTTGAAGACTGGAAGGACTTTGTGCCAACTTTGAACGCTAAGAATGTCATTGTTGCCCCTTGGTGTGGTGTGCCAGAGTGTGAAGACGACATCAAAGATGCATCTGCCAAGAAGGATGATGGTGAAGAAGAGGAGGAAGATGAGCGTGCTCCATCTATGGGTGCAAAGTCATTGTGCATTCCAGATGAACAGCCTCAATTAAAAGAGAACCAGAAGTGTGTCAGATGTGACAAGAAGGCCGTCACCTTCTGCATGTTCGGCAGATCCTACTGATTCGGTGAGCACAGGTATATAGAATCTAATTAACACGATGATATGGGCTATTTGTACTGGTCCCAAAATGTCAGTTCCGACAAAGCGGCCACAGAATCTTCTGCAACAATAGTTTTGCCTAGCGAGTTCAATTCAAGATGATAGATATGAGTCAAGCCCAATTCTTGAACATATTCCCAGACACGATGATAATTGAGTGCAACTTGCTTGTATGCATGTGAATCGTCCGACAAGCAGAATTTCCCACCGAATTTAACAATCGCACGAGCTAAATCTTTGCGTGGATAAGGAGTCAGCCATCCTTTTCGTATCGCAGACGAATTAAGTTCGAATAAACCACCGTATGATACAACAAGTTTAATGTTTCTGACTATTAATTCCCAAACGTCCGGCCAGTCCCTTTCCACATCAATTTCAGAGAGCAATCTTCCAGTTTGATCAATTTCATCCTCTTGAAAGAGCCGGATCAAGTCAAAGTGACCGATCACGTCTGGCTTTAGAGCCCTTATCACTTCGTATTGAAGATTAAAGTAGTCCTTATAAAGGGCTCTTGTAGTTCCACCCGAAGCTGTCCGAGCCATGTCCCATTGTTCCCTATCAAAATCAATCGGAATCCCATGAACATAATGAACAGATCCTATACACATATCGGTTTGTTTCTTGAACATAGAGGCAAGTTCTATGTGGGCAAGGTCTATACCTTCTACCTCGAACCCCACCAAAATTTGAATTTGGCCTGCCAAATTTTCTCTTGCTTGTATTCTTCGTGCGTGAGTGAGGTAGTTTTCGAAGTTCGCCTTCAAATTGGCCACAGTGTAACCCTTCTCTAATTCTTCAGGGTAAAGGTACTGGTCTGTGAGTCTAGGCATGTGTTCGGTAAGACAAAAATGGGTCAATTGCTTGGCTTTCGCCGTACCCACCATTTCTTCTAGGCTCCCTACCGCATGAGAAACATAATCCCCACTATGAGAGTGGTGGGAATGCATTCGTCACAAGAGTAGTTATAAGCTTTATCCTCTATGTTAAACTTGAATTAGAGGTGCAGGATTTCAGATTATGGGCCAAAGCAGAAACTAAACGGTGCTTCGAATTTTATCTCAGATCTTGTAAGAACAATAAAATAAGCTCCCAAATGTTCTTTAATAATCAAGGACGAGTCTCAGAATTGGAGTTTGTATTTTGAGGCAAATTATAGCGCAGACATGTTCAGCGCCTGAACAATGCGTAATTGGGAGAATAATTTCCGTGGAAAAATATGAACACACAGCCATATATCAGTGCTCCTCCTTAAAAATGTCGTAGAACACAAGTGACGCGAAGCTTAGCCATTTTTTTTATCATAGAATTGTATCTAATAAAAGTGATCGGTTTACTGTTCCTCAACTATATGTCCTATTCCATATCGCGCATTCGACCTTTCACCTACTATGCATATACTCTCGGGGAAGGCTGTCTTTCAGGTGCCCAAAGCTCTTGCTTGGAGCTGGCCGAGCAGATGTCTTTCTGGTATTTCAAGGACCATTCAAGAGGTTTTTGATAACCCGCCAGAAACAAACAGCACCATCACAACTCATGGCCACATCAAGTCTATTCGAACTTTCAAGAATATCGGATTCATAGACATAACCGACGGTACCATCTTTCAGACTCTCAACGTTGTTCTTTCGAACCCCGAGGATGTCTTTGCTCTGGGAAAATACAAAGTAGGTCAGAGTGTCTCCATTTCAGGACTGTGGGTTCAGTCGAAAGGAAATCAAAAGTACGAGCTACAATATGACCACCATAACCCTCACCATTCTATCAAGTTGATTGGAGTTGTCTCAGATGATTATCCTATTCAGAAGAAAGTACAGTCATTATCTTATTTGAGAAGCGTGCCTCATCTTCGCCATCGGACAGCCACATTGGCTTCCATCTTGCGATTCAGATCCCGCGTTGAGCAACACGCTATGAATTTCTTTGCTAAAAATGGATTCACGAAAGTGGCACCACCACTCATCACGTCCTCTGATTGTGAGGGTGCAGGCGAAATGTTCTCGATCGAACCATTCACCAAAGCAGACTCGAAGGAGAAGTTTTTTGGCCAAGATGCTTTTTTGACCGTTTCCACACAATTGCATCTTGAAGTGTTGGCTCCCTCATTAAACCGAGTTTGGACTCTCACTCCATGTTTTAGGGCTGAGCAGTCCAATACTAATAGACACCTCAGTGAGTTTTGGATGTTAGAAGCAGAAGTTTGTTACGTGGAGAACATATCGCAATTGACCGATTTAGTTGAAGATTCTATTAGGCTGATTGCAAAGGACTTAAAAACAGATCCGCCATTACAGGCTGGAGGCTTGAATGACTTGACGAAAGCAAGATACTCGGAATCTGAGCAGCTATTAGTCCAACAACGATGCGACTCTTTGTTAGGAGAAAATCGTTGGCCAAGTATTACTTACACAGAAGCCATTGATATTATTAATTCTGTCAAGAACAAGGGACGCCTGAAAAATAGAATGACCTGGGGAGATTCTATTCTGACAGAACAGGAAAAATGGCTAGCTGGAACACATTTTCAATCGCCTGTATTTGTCACAGATTATCCAAGGGAACAGAAGCCTTTCTATATGCCTCTTTCCAAATATGGCTTGGATAAGGAACGTCCAACTGTGGCCTGTTTCGACTTGATAGTTCCTGAATTCGGTGAACTCGTAGGAGGCTCATTGAGAGAACACCGCCACGATGAGTTACACCAAGAAATCATTAGACGAGGTATGAATGCCGAATCAATGCAATGGTATCTTTCTCTTCGCCAAAATGGAACGGTGCCGCACGGAGGCTTTGGCATGGGCTTCGAAAGACTTATTGCATACCTTGCAGCCATAGAGAACATCAAAGATATATCTGCATTTCCTAGAGCACCGCAGATATGTCCTTGCTAATTACTTGTACATAAAAATACATCGATTCCTTCTTAGTAACGAAAATAAATTTGCACAAATCATTTTTCTTGATGATTCCAGATAATCTAGTAACCCCACCAAATCGAGTCGTGCGCTTTCCGCGATATGAAAAAAGTTTTATAGTGAGAGCAACGGTAAAAAAACCAAGCCCAGAAGACTACAATAAAACATAGACACAATGGATCAGTTGAATGTTAAAGAACAACAAGAGTTTCAACAAATTGTTGAGCAAAAACAAATGAAGGACTTCATGAGATTGTACTCCAACTTGGTCTCTAGATGTTTTGAAGATTGCGTGAACGACTTCACTTCTGCAAACTTGACCTCCAAGGAGTCTTCATGTATCTCAAAGTGCTCCGAGAAGTTCTTGAAGCACAGTGAAAGAGTTGGTCAAAGATTCCAGGAACAAAAGTATGTATTATCCTCCTCACTTACACCTACAAGAAAGTTGAACTAACCATTTTAGCGCTTTATTGATGCAAAACATGCAAAGAAAGTAAATTCAATACTGCTGTTTTGATTTCGGATTTCAATGGGACCTGTTGATGCCCTCATGATTCACATTTCTTATCTATTGGCGCTGTCCTGTCTTTGCAACGCCACCAGTTGTTGTACATATCGCGCACCTTGTTGCAATGAAAACTTTATTAGTATCTATTATTGTAGGCCTCGGGAAGTCATTAGATGCTTTTACGATACCCATTATATCTTTTAAATGGAAGACTAATGGGCTGGTAAAGCAGTAGGTGATGTATGCAGGTCGTATACGTCGTTTTCTGTGCCTCTTGCTTGAAGATGCGTAACACCAATGTCTTCTGATCCCACAGCCAATATCCTCACCATATTGGTAGCACAAGAGATAAACGATGCTCTTCGAAATAGCCCCGTTGATAGCCATGACTTCGTACTTGGGGTATCCGCCTTCTTGGTGCAAGTGAATCTACGCATAAAAGCATACAAAAATCTCTTCGGGCTTCCGGTAATAAATACAACAGAAGAGATGGACGAACCTCTCCTCAAAAAAATTGTTCAAGAAAGCGATCTTGGCAGCTTTATTTCGTTTGGGAACGAGACAATGACTGTTGAGGTTGTGCCACACAAGTTTCAATCGCTTATAACCGGTGTTTTAGTTGACTCTTCTATTCGTTACACCAAAGTTTTGGTAAGACAAGTGGAAGGTCTCTCTCAGAAATATCATGATCTAATGCTGGGAACAGTGCCAGCAGTAGAAAGCATAAAAGAAGGTGAAGATGACGTGATGTTCGATGCCCATTCCAACACAGAAGATGCTAAGGAACAGGTGCAAGTAGCAACGTCTGATGTTAGTGAAACAATGCAAAAGCTGTTTGAAGAGCCGGATCTCTTGAAAACCCCGAGTATTGTTGATGTTGACGATGCCAGTGAAGTACCTGGTGCAGCTATTTTGAAAAACGAATCAGAATTTGAGAGTTCAAAAAGCCTACCTGAAGTGCAAGTGCCAGAAGTTCAAGAGTCAGCCTCACAAGTGCAGACTGAGGCTACTGAGGCTCGTAAAACTGTTGAAACTGATGGATCAACTACAGAGAAGTCTGAAGAAGGTGAAAAGCCCGAAGAGGTGAAAGAAAAGATAGAGTTCGCCGAAAATACCACCCCAGAAAGAACTGATGTTGAAAAGAAAGAGGAAATCCCTGCAGTAATAAATTCCAAAGCAGCTCTGAGTGACAAAGAACAACGTGCTACCCCAGAAGGTGAAGAGAATGCTACTCATAATGTAATCGAACAAGAGCTTTCCCGAAAGAGATCGCGTTCACCCCTGGTTCTTGCCCATAAACATAAGAGATTTCAAAATATCGCTATCAATTTAGTCAAGAGCATTGAAGAACATCGGTTCTCTTCGCCATTTTTAACGCCAGTGGCGGCCGATGATTATAATGATGTTGTTTATGAACCAAAAGACTTGAAAAGTATTCTTCGTGCAGTGAAACAGAAAGAGGAGCCTGCACCATATGGCACAGTAAAAGAATTGGAAAGAGAAATCATTTTGATGTTTGCTAATTGTGTCATGTACAATAAGTCGTCAACGCCTCTAGTGAAAATGGCTGCTGAGATGAAAAACGAAGTACGTAATACCTTCAAGATGTTCGAGGAAGCTGAGTCCGAGATATCTTGAACCTTACTCACATACTCATTAAAACATCATATATTAAAAAGTGTACATTTACACGCTGTTTCTCTTAAAAATGCCCTTGAAGAAATTGGCTATTGGGTCTTTATCATAGTTGTTCACAACAACTGTGTCGTCAAGCAATTCCTTTTGGACGTGAACTCCTTGTGATGGGTCGTGGGCTTCATCCAATGACTGGACAGCTTCCAAGCGGTGGTCCCTCAAGAAGAAGGCGAAGACTATTAAAAGAACACACAAACAAAGGCCAACAATACACAATTTTCTTTGGATCTCGGCATAACTCAAAACCACTGCAATTCTGGCATCAGTACCCCACACGTTGGTGATGATGAAAGTGTAAGGATCACTGTATGCGGTAGTGGCCAAAGCCGTGTCGACACCAAGCTTTCTCATGTTTTTCACCATGGCTTTGTACATGAGTTGGTTCCAAATGACTCCAGAAACAGAAGTACCCATGGCAGAGCCAACATTGTATGCTGCCAAGTAAAGCGAAAGAACAACGGCCATGTACTCATGGTTTGTACAAGTTTGGATGGAAACCTGAGTGGTGTAGGTGAAGAAACCAGCACCAAAACCCATCAAACATAAGCCTCCAATAACACCATTGAGGTATTTTTGTGAATTTACACCATCGTTGTCTCCTCTGAAGTGGTAGAGGATACCCATCGCAACCATCCAAGTGGTACAACCGAAAATAATAAAAGGTTTTGTTCTCTTGACACGAACAATCACAAGACCCAACAATGGACCGGTAATGACTGAAACAAACGAATACAAGGAAGTGATACGAGTAGCTGCTTTGATAGATGCTCTCATTCCAACAATCAAAACCGTGTACATGAAGTCATTTGGCATATACCAAATGAAATTCACCAAGCAGGCAATAATAAGTGCAGACCATACACCACGATCTTTCAAAAGGGGATAAGGAACAATAGGGTACTTAGCCACCTTGTATTCCCAGTAGACGAAGAATGGGATCAAAACGAAACCAATGACGAGAGGGGCAATTGTTGAGCCTCTTTGCCATTTAGTGTGAACACCACCAGCAATGGTGAAAGGAACAAGAATAAAACCGAAAACACAAATAATGAAAAGAATGCCAATCAAATCAATTCTCCAAAAGAGATCAATAAAGAAATGCTTGGCTCCTTTATAAGCTTCTTTCTCCTCTTGTCTAATGGCAGCCCATTCAGGAGTACGGCCTGCCTTGAATCTCATATAAATAAAACAGGCAAGAAGAGGTACACTAGCCAAGGGGAAGATAAAAGCCCAGATTCCGATAGAGTAACTCCAAGAGTGGTGTGCCAACAATTCGGAACTGGCATTACCACTGATCCACGTATTGATGATGAATGGGAGAGCTGGGACAAAAGAGGCAAACAATCTCCAGTTCATGGTAGACATATCGGACAAGGAAACTTCCAAAATCAACTGAACACCGGAGTAACCCAACTGGTACAATACAGCGCCTCCAGCGAAACGCTGAACATCAAAAGCCTGCGACTCAATCACTGTTCCAACAGCGTAAAAAATTATGGACACAATGAAAAGTTCTAAACGACCAAAAATATCCGACAAACGAGCATATGCGGGCTGAGAAGCAGCAGCCATGACTGATCTGATAACATTGACAGTGGTGAAGAGAGAATGGTTGGAGTAGGAAGATGTGGCGTATGTCTGGAAGGTGGACCGAAGTGTTCCATCCAAAGCATAACAATACGAACAACAAAAGGCACAGAAATAGAAAATTGCTTTGGGAATGAATCCGCTCATTTGGTCTGCCATAATCTCTGCCTTTCTAATACCAAACGACTTGGCAGTAGAGTGTGCTGCCAAATTGGTGTAGTTTGGAGCAGGAGCAACATTATCTTCACTGTAGCTCTTGTCTTCCGAGTTGTATTGGTCACTGGCATCGGAGCCGTGTACTCTCTTTTCATCAGGCACACTCATGAAGCGAATATTCCTCTAGCCCCTACGAAAATTGCATCTTGGCTACTTTTATAAGTGATGAAAAAGATAAAGAGCAGCGCATATGCAACATAGATGCTTTTTTTTTCCATTTTTCTTAGCTCCTCATGTACGCCACTTAGTCATAGTATTCGGCACATGGTGCAACTTTTAAGCGAAGATGCATGGGTTACAAATCAGAAAAATCAGTAGCTCAAAGAGCAATGAAGGCGAAAAAATGAACAAAAAAAAAAAAAAAGAATCAGGAACGGGAGACATGAATCATAATACGTCGTAGCAACACTCGCGTAGCAAGCCATTAAATAGATCAAAAGATTGGAAGATGGTAATAAAAAAGGGAATCAATCTGAGTGACCAAAAGAGTTGCACTATAATAAGATTCATAAGAGGTCCGACTTCGGACCAGCCTTGCAGCAATTATGTCAAGACGCGTATTTTTCTTGTCGCAAGAGGTACGGAATTGTCCGTTGACACCCTTTCGTCTAGCTGTTGAAATTTTCTGGGCTTGAAAGTGATCTGCATTGCTCAAAACCCTTGCGTCTTCAAAAGGGGAGTTACGGATATTTCTTTTGGCCAAGAATACTCGTTGACTAAAGAGGGTATCTTTTAAAAGTTAAATTTTTCAATGTGCAGGAAGACTCCAAAACGCCGTTGGAAACTTGCAGAGGCATTGCATTGGTAAGAAATTACTTGCATATGTAAAACGGGTTCGGGTCTCAACCAATGAAAGAGAACTCGTTCCTATTTTTCTTGAAAAAAATAATGAAACGACCATGCATGAGACCCTGAGTGGCGCTTAGCTTCCCTTACGTCAACGCAAAGTTCAACTGAGCGAGCACTAGCTTCACTCCTAATTGGATCAACATGCACTTGCAAGATCGAACGAAGCTTCTATAACCCTTGAATGCATACGCTCATCTACAGTATTGCTTGCACAATGAACCAAAATCAAGTACTTAAAAAGAGGCGAAAAATGGCGCAAAGCGGAATTATGCCTAATTGGGAACCCCATCGGAATCTATACGATGGGTTCAGAACCGTTAACATATCGAAAAAAAAAAAATCACAAGTGGCCAGCAGCTTCCAACTCCGCCTCGACGTCTTTCACACTTTTGATCAAGGTGTTTGCGATAAACGCCACATCCTCATCTGTGGTGATAAATGAAGGTGCAACTGTAACATGGTCGCCTTTCTTTCCATCAATAGTGCCTCCACAGCCAAGTGAGGTCATTCCATTCTCGAGACATTTGGCGCCAATCTTTGGCCCAATTCCCAATTCTGGGGCAAATGGCTCTTTTGTTTCTTTGTTCTTGACCAATTCGATCGACCAGAAGCCACCCATTCCCCGTACGTTTCCCACGGTCTTTGTTTCTTCAGCCAACTGACCAAGTAACTTACCAAGTTTTTCTCCTTGGTCGTATGAGTTTTGTCTTAAGTTCAAACGGTCAATCTTTTTCTGCACTGCCAAGGCTACCTGGCAGTTGAAGGCATGTTGGTGGTAAGTTTGTCCTCCTGAGATGTAATTGGAACCTTCAACAAACGCCTTTTGCACTTTAGGCGACACCAAGAGTCCAGCTATGGTGACGTAACCACTACCCAAGGTTTTCCCAATGGATTGCAAGTCTGGTCCTTTAAAGTCAGGGTAACTTTCCCAGCAGTGCAAGCCACCTGTAGCAGAAGAACGGCCAGTGCCACACATGACCTCGTCCAACCACATCAAGATGTCGTACTTGTCACAGATTTTGCGTACACCCAGCAAATAACCTGGAATGGCTGGCGAAGTTCCGAAGGTGGAGCCTGTGAGTGTCTCAAACATAATGGCGCACACCTTCTCTGGGCCAACTTCGATCACTGTGTCTTCCAACTCTTGCAACAATCTGGCACAGTACTCTTCAGTAGATTCGCCGTCCTTTTGGTTTCTGTACGGATAAACTTGGGAAACCTTGGGTACCTGCTTCGCTGGCAAGGTGATGGCACGAAATGGGTCTTTTCTCACCGACTCGCTCAAGGAAAGGCATCCCAAGGTGTAACCGTGGTATGACTGTTTCCTCGAGATGAAAACGCACCGCTCAGGCTGGCCTTTCTCCAAGTAATACTGACGACAGGTTTTCATGCCGTTTTCGTTTGACTCGGAGCCCGAGCAAGTGAAAAGAGCTTGGGCGAATGCTCCTGGTGGAGATTTGTCAATGATGAATTGGGCCAATTCTTCTGCGTGGTAGTTGGTCAAAGCTGCGCAGAAACTGTAACTGGACGACTTTGCAGCCTTGCCCATGACCTCAATGATTTCCTCATCACCATGTCCCAAGGCAACAACTGCTGCTCCTCCCATAGCATCGAAAACGACTCTTCTTTTGCCAGTGGTCGCATCTTCCAATGTGAGATAGTTTCCCTTCCCTTCCACGACCATGGGAAGGTGTTCACTGACTTTGGACGAGAAGAGTAAAGAAGATTTGACGGTCATCTGTTCACTTGGTTGTCTGTTTACTTCTTGATTGTTAGTTTGCTTGATTGCCAATTCCTGGACCCTTGCACTTTTGTTTGTGATTTATAGAGAGACTACAAGCGCATATGCAAGAGGTTGGGGAATTGTGTATCCGAAATTATAGGAGGGAAGGCGCGGCTATCTCCTGGTAAAACTAGAAAAAGAACCTTAAAAACGACTGATAACATTTGTGCCGGCTCTTTTCGACTAGTTAAATGCAAAAGTGCGCGCTTGATTCCGTATGCGGACAAAGTGACAAAGTTCATGCAAGAGGTGTTGCATATAGTCTATTTGCTCCGCATTGTGCGTGGAATGCCGCCTTTACTGTGGGTTCTTAGATAACAAGCGGAACTTGCAACAGAATAGGAATAAACTTGAAGAAACTGTAATCTGAGAGCAGTTAACAAACCTTACGGAAACGTATGAAGTACGGGTTTTATTCTATTTACGCTTTTCCCCAAGGTGGAGAGGGAAGCGACACGTAGTTCTCGTCATACAACCTGTCGTTGACATTTGGGTTATGCAATTTTAAGCTCGATGCATCAATGAATGATTCATCCAACTCGGCAATGTTACGTGCCCCAAGCAACCGCATATTGTTGATCATTTCCATTTTGAGAATTTGGATCGCCCGAACTACGCCTGCTTCCCCATAGCCTGCCATAGCATACAAAAAGGGCCGGCCCATTCCTACACCTTTCGCACCCAAACAGATGGCCTTGATGATATCTGAACCACGGCGAATTCCGCCATCAACGTAAATCTCAATATCTTTTTCCAACCCGTTCTCTTTAAGCATTTGTTTTGCTTCAGCTAAAACTTCCAAAGGTGGTCGTGAGAAGTCCAACTGGCGGCCTCCGTGGTTAGACAAAATTACCGCCTTGATTCCATTCTGAGCTGCAAGAACAACATCTTCACCTCTTTGTATTCCTTTGAGCCCCACAGGCAAGTTAGTTTTCTGAACTAACTTCCGAACATGGTCCCAAGTAAATGTTTTACAGTATTCAGCACCACTATTGTTCGCCATTTCGTTCAATGTTTCACCTAAATCTTCATCTAGAGCTCGGACCTTGGAATCTTTCTCTCTGTTGCCTAAGGCGGTGACGTCCACATTGAAGAAGATTCCCTTGATGTTTTTCCTGCTTTCAAACCGATTGATATATTCATCCATATTTTCCAATTCCTCGTCAGTATAAAAGTGAAGTTGTGCCCACTGCTCTTGATCAGCAGGTACTCCATCGAAGAACTCGTCAAAATCAATGGAATTCTGTTTAGGAACCATTTGAACAATTTTCTCCTTATATGCTGCTCTTTGTAAGTTCCATTCAGCGTCTGGATGAGCCAAACAAGATCCGGCAAACCCAGAAATATAAAGAGGTAATTCTGCATCAATTCCTAGCATTTTTGTACTAGTCGACACCTGTTGCACATTCTGTAATGCTTTTGGCTTGAAGAAAACCCTCAGATATGCGTACCGGTTTTCTCTGAGTGAAAACTCGTCCGACGAACCCGTTGCATAGTATGTAAAGGTGGTTTGGGGAAGAACTTTCTTGGCCACAAATTCAAAGTCCAGCAAATTGAAAATATGCGCCAAAGATGGCTTGTCTCCCAATGCCACATCGAGTTTTTGTTCCTTCTTAGCCTTATTCAAGAACTCCCCCTCTCCTAATGGGCCAAGATATGTAACATGTTCTTTCATTCTGTTAAGAACCAGCTCAGTGTGAATAGATCTAAATGCTGAGGATGCGTCGCTTCCTGCAAAACGCAAAATCCTTGCTGCTCCACCAGGGTGTTGTGCCAAAAATTTGCTAACATCATAAACATGGCCGTCTATGGCAATCCAGCAGTCATCCATAGTATTATGTTTCATAACCTCTGAAACAGGAAACACGGATGCAAATGTGGCATCGGAACGCACGATAGAAGAATTGACTGACCAAAATGAGACGCCCGCTCCCAAGATAACCAGGCCACAGGCCAAATAAGCCCATCTTGGAATTGAGAACTGATTAGCGCTATTTCTGGCCGAAGTGTGAAGTTGGCGTGCGATTTGGCGAGTGAATTGGCGTCTTCCAATCATTAAAAGATTGCAATGTTGAAAAATGGAGAGGGGCAAGTAAGAAGCTTAGTTACTAACTATTTTATATGAGGTAAAACGGTTTCTCTAGCGAATCGGAGAAAGGTGAAGAAGCTCCACCAATATGAGATGCAGTATTACTCTTCGCCAATTTCCCAAATTGTGAGATAGGCGCTTATCGCTATTTTGGGTCTGCAGGTACCACCGGTACATGATATCCGCGGTTTCTCAAAGCATTTGCACGTCACTGAAACGGGAGTATATCAGTACCTGACTCTATTGTGGTCATAACCAAGCTATGAAAGACAAGGCTCTCTGCTGTTCTGCTCTGACTGGCCGCAAAAATGCCTAAATTTTGCACAAATATTGAAGTTCTTCAAACTTACAAGTTTCTTTTAGCAATTTGCGAAGGGCACCTCTCAACTATGCGCACTTCCTTCTCCCCTATAGGAAATGGCGTGTGTCCTCTATTTTACCGCCATACATTATTTCGTGATATGCCAAACCTCATTGATAGCGGGATGCCCCCATCTTCCTGCACCACGAGATAATCTCTTGATAAGAACTCTCGGCGTTTTACGATTCTTTCTTATCGCAAGAAGTTATAAGGATGTCTCTCGAAGCGGTTTCTTCAACTTTTCAGTTTTTCTCTAATCACTCATCATGTCAAAAAAGGTTGATGCACATGTCTCTGTTGAGGCGATGGACGAGCTGAAGATTGGAACGGATTCGGCCTCCATCGTCAGCCATTTTTCGGAGAAAAATACAGAAATCAAAAGAGGTTTGAAATCTAGACACATTCAGTTGATTGGTTTAGGTGGTGCCATTGGTACAGGTCTTTTCGTTGGTTCTGGTGGAGCATTGTCCACTTGTGGCCCTGGTGGAATTTTGATTGGGTACGTTTCACTTTCATTTTTCGTGTGGTTAGTAATGAATCAGTTGGCAGAGATCGCCACATTGATTCCTCTTGCTGGAGAGTCTACCTTGTATGCAATGTCTAGAAAATATGTGAGCAGGTCGTTCTCTTTCACTTGTGGATGGAATATATTCTATGCCCAGGCCATGATTCCCCCATCAGAAATCACGGCTTGTGCATTTGTCATCAAATACTGGAGTGATGCTAATCCTGCCATTTGGATTACTATTTTCCTTGTGGTGACTATTTTCCTCAATGTTTTGCCTGTTAGTTATTTTGGTGAGTCGGAGTTTTACGTTGCAATTATCAAGATTTTATGTATCACTGGTTTGATCATCTTGGGAATTGTCATTTTCTTCGGCGGAGGCCCAAACCAGCATGGTGTTTTGGGTTTCAAGTACTGGAATCATCCAGGTGCTTTTACCGAACACTTGGTTGGTGGAAACACAGGTAAATTTTTGGCTTGCTGGACAGGTATTATTAAAGCAGGATTTTCTTTCATCTTGACTCCAGAATTGATTGTGTCATGTACTTCTGAGGCCCAGTATCCTAGAAGAAACCTACCAATTGTGTGCAAAAGATTTGTGTACCGTTTGGCTGTCTTTTACATCTTGGGATCTTTGGTCATTGGTGTGGTTGTTGCTTACAACGACCCTAGATTGATGGGTGCCATCAACTCTGGCCAATCTTCTGCTGCTGCTTCTCCTTTTGTGATTGGTATGACCAATGTTGGTATCCACACCTTGCCTCATATTGTCAATGCTTGCATTCTCACTTCGGCATATTCAGCTGGAACTTCCTTGCTTTACGGAGCCTCTAGAAGTTTACATTCTATGGCTTTGCAAGGAGATGCTCCTAAGATTTTTTCTGTCACCACTCTGCGTGGTGTTCCTCTCTATGCTGTTGGTGTGAGTTCATTGTTTCTTTTCTTGGCTTATCTCAACTGCTCAAAGTCTGCTACTACTGTTTTTAACTGGTTTACCAACATTGCCACAATTGCTGGTTTCATTTCGTGGTCTTTTGTTGGCATAACTTACATTTTCTATCGGAAAGTCATCGACTTCCACAAGTTGAACGATAGGGTCCCATTCAGACCCCCAATGCAAAGAGTTGGTGCATACATGTCCGTTACGTTCTTTTCACTCTTATCCCTTACAAATGGCTATGCTGTTTTCATTAAGGGCAATTGGAACACTTCGGATTTCTTCACTGCCTACATCACATTGATCATTATCTTTGTGCTTTATGTTGGAAATATTCTTTGGAGACGTGAATGGAAACAATTGAGTATTCCAGTTGAGCAAATCCATATTGAGGACCTTATTTCCATTGCAGAAGAGGACGAAATAAATCATGCACAGACATTTGATGAGAAGTATAACCTGAGAAAAGGTGTTTGGTGGAAGGTTTTCTATGCTATTTTATAACTTAAAGATGTTTACTTGTTTTTAAACTTTAATGTAGATCTACATCTGGATACTAGCTGTCTTACTTTCAATTACGAGTCTGGATTTATGTAGGGTATATAATACATCATGATTCGGTATTACAACTTTCCATCCGGAACGGGTCTAATTTCTGGCACTGATATTGCGCCCTTCGCCTCTTTTGTTCTCATCTGGATCACCTTCAATAAGTTATAAATAAGTGTCAATGTTGGAGCCTCCACGCCGTTTTTCTGAGCGATCTTCACCGGGTTACCAGAAATGACTTCTAATTCAATGTAATTACCCTTTCTTAAATCCACCAACATTGAGGGCGCATAGTACACGCCGTCGTCTGAGTGGATCATGAAATCAATGATACTTTCATCTAATTCAACTCCGTCGGATTTGGCAATGGCCAAGACTTCCTTCATTGCGCTTCTGACCAAAGAATCCACACCACCGAAAAGTTGCAACCGACCCACATCAACATTTGTCAATGTACAAATTGAATTGAGAGTGGCATTGTAAACTAACTTTCTCCATCTAGTGTACTTAACATCTTCGTCGTAGACGCATTCGTTCTTGCCATTATGGTACAACAGAACAAATTGAAGTGCAGCCTGTTTCTGTTTTTCTATTGGGATATTCGGGTTCTCAAAATATCCCACTTTCAAGAAATCGTGGCCAACATGATCAATGACACCATCGTAATTGGTGGATGAAATCATAGAAACACCGCTCAAGACTATATTGTTGGGATATTTTGTGAGAAACAGCTCCTCAATGCCAATTCCATTTTGCATAAGCAAGATGACAGTTTTTCCCTCGCTGATAGTAGGTTCAACAAGCTCCTCTGTCTTGGTAATGTCAGGTGTGTTTTTCGTGGATATCACGACGTAGTCAAATGGACCATGAGCTTTTGCCTCGTCGATAGATTTCACAACATTAGAAGGTTTGTAAGCTTCAATTGTTCCATAATCAACAGAAGTAATTTTGTATCCGTTTTTAGTCACTTGATCGTAGTCGGATCTGATGATTGTCGTTACGCTGGTGTCTTCCGCTAAATCTAAAGCGTAAGCGGCAATAGATCCAACACCTCCAGAACCGAAAACGAGAATATTGTGCATTTCAAAGGTTTCGCTTCCCAATAATTATAAGAAAATGAAATTAAAGGTAATAAATAAAGAGATTCGCCTGTGCTGAACAATATTCAATTGGTGGTGTTGAAGAAGCAGGAATCTTATCAAAGGCGCACAATTCCGCGGCTTGGCCCAAAAGGGTAGTTGGCGCCCCCATAGTCTGTGTCCAATGTGCGCGTGTTTCTCATTGTGGATCCACCTTCATTTATCAGTTGGGAAATTGGCGCTTTTCTGTCCGTCTTGGTCAGTGGTAAATAATGTTCAGCACAATTAGCATAGACACATTTCAGACCTTGGAGCTGAAAAAAGTGCCCGTGTCAGTGCAACTCCCACTGTCTAGGAAAAGCCGGTTTTGTGGGGTAAAATCGAGGTCCGTTAATGGATGTTTGACATGCCGAAGAAGAAAGTACGTCCATCATATTTCTTCATTGAATACACTCCTAACGCAACAGGAAACGCTGTGATGAGAAGTATCCAAAATGTCGCAACTGCGAAAGTCGAGGTGACACATGCACATGGTCGGACAAGAAGAGGGATCACAATGTTCTCTCCATGACTAGAGTGCCTCAGGTTACGAAGGATCACCTGGTAAATGACGATGTAACTTTACAGGAATCTTCAATCGAGCATATTCTATCCAGTTTAGATGAAGACATGTTTGTCAATGATTCTAGCCGGACAACATTGCAATTGCTTTCTCAAAACGCTTCTAGTCTTAGAAGAGTTGATCTTAGTGCACGATTTGCACTTCCGTTCAATGGAGTGGCTGAGCTTGATGCTGAAGGTGCACTATTCTTGCAATGTTACCGGGAAAAGTACTGCAGTTTTGTTTCGATTGCGCCGGAGAAGCTGAATTATTTTCTAAAGACCTTTTTCAGTCTTGCCATGCAAAAGCAATCTATTCTCTATGCATTGACCGCATGGGGAGGGTTTTTTTCGGAACTCATCAAGCCTGAGCGCAACTTTTCCAAGCCGTGGTTTTACATGCAAAAAGCAGCCAAGCTGATATGTGAAGAAATAGGCAGTAATTTAGAGCCGTCCAACAAAGAAGAGTTCTTCACACTTTTCGCTTTCTACCTTATATTTATTGGCATTGAAGTGTGCACGGGAGATGTCAAGGTATGGATCGAGTTCCACCGCCGGTGTTTCCGGCTAATCAATTCCGTCGGAGGACTACTGTGTGTTGCTGAGCAATTTGGTCACAGCAATAACATAAAGTGGTTGATCTCAGACTTTCAATTTCATGATGTGCTATCTTCAAACGCGCTTACAGGAGGGACTCATTTCAGTATTGCTGAGTATGAGGAGATTCTCCACGATGACAATGAGTACGGTATAGACCCTCTTCAAGGCACCATCACGCCCATATACAATATTTTGGGAGAAATTGCCAACGCCAAAGTGGAACTACTGAAAATGCTGGACCGCATTAATGAGCTCGAAGACAGCGGACAAGAAGCATACGTCGAGAGGGCGCAGTATTATGAAGAACTGGAGAGAGTATGGGCAGAACTCAATGCCAAAATTGACCAGTGTAGTCCATGGCCATCACATATGCGAATGTTGGCACATGATCAAAATCAGCTCAGTCTCCACATGGCACTTTTTGAACTCTACACATATGTGTGTCGAATCCAGTTGGGTACGTCTATTCTACGGCTTGCTCCTTCTTCCATTGCCCAACAGCGACTTTTACTAAAAGCATTAGTACTTGTGGATTTACTTCTCGATACGCCACTCAATGTGTCACTCTCGCTCCTGCTTTTAGTATGCGGTGTCACGTGCTGGCGGACATACGACCGCGCCCGCATGAGGTTCAGATTTGAACACCAGCAGAACCCAGTACGAAATAGGCAACTCGAGAAGGATTCAAGAGGTTGTCGAAGGTGTTTGGTTAGAAAACCCAAACGGCGATGTTTGCATAGACTGGGCTGAGTTTGCTAACCGCAATGGCTGGTCACTTTACACTGGATGATAAGGGTGTATGTAGGACATGCATGAGCATCCTTGACGTTTCTCGTGGAGAGCCGCATGGCGCGGCGGAATTAGGAAATATCAGCATGGTTTTAGTTTGACATTGGCATATGAGAACGTGAAAACCGGTACGAATAGCTCTTTGAGGGGAAAAAAATGAGCTACAAGAGCCTTGGTGAAATGAATAGGTTCATTCTGTAAGGGTGAGCCAAGAACGGCTAGTGCACACTAAACGTCATGCTTCTTGTCGTTTAATCAGAACCGGGCTTCTGGTATACAGTTCGTAATACGCACCTCTCCGCATGAAAAAGCCAAACATAAAAGAGCCGTGACGGCTACTTTTTGGTGCCTCCACTCAAATTTCAAAATGTCAGAAGGAATTGCCCCCTCTATTAGTAAAGAAGAAGATGCTTATATCAAACCTGAAATGATCCTCAAGGATTTCGCCAAGACTTATCCAACTCCACCCACCAACGGTTATCAAAACTTTCTTACTACTGTGGGTAAATGCTTTGGATGCTGTGGTATGTTTTGCTTTTTGTGTGAGAATCCGTACAAAACTGTCAACCAGGGTGAAGTTGGTTTGGTGCAAACGTTTGGTGCTTTGTCCAGAACTGTGGAGCCAGGCACTTCCTATGTCAACACTTTCACAGAGAAATTGACTCGTGTCAATATCAAAATCAACACTAGAGAGTTGCCTCCACAATCGTGTTTCACTAGAGACAACTTGACTGTGCAGATCACCTCGGTTGTGTACTACAATATTATTGATCCACAAAAAGCCATCTTTTCCATTTCAGACATCCATAGTGCCATCACCGAAAGAACGCAAAACACTATGCGGGATGTTGTGGGAAGCTGTACGTTACAAGACGTGGTGGAAAAGAGAGAAGAGATTGCCGAGTCAATCGCCAAAATCATTTCGAAGACTGCCTTTGCATGGGGTGTACAAATCGAGTCCATATTGATCAAAGACTTGACCTTACCTCCAAGTGTTCAAGACTCATTCGCCAAGGCTGCTGAAGCGAAGAGAATCGGTGAGGCTAAAATCATCAATGCCAAGGCAGAGGTAGAGAGTGCCAAGCAAATGAGAAAAGCCTCGGACATATTGAGTTCACCTGCCGCTTTACAGATTCGTTACCTTGAGGCGCTTCAAGCCATGAGTAGAAACCCGGGAACGCGCGTCATCTTCATGCCTAGCGCAGACGGAATCGAGAGAATCGTCCACCTGCAAGGTAGCCACCAACATTCTGCGCCAATTCCAGAGGAGGCAACTCCAAATAATACTGGTCGGCAAATTGTGGACACAGTGCTGATCCAAGAGGCATTGCTGTAAGGAAAATTGATTTTGAGCCAGTTTCACCATAATCGTTTCATAATGTTTCATAGTCTATTCATACGTTTGAAGTAACGCTCGCGTGCGCTTTGTAGTTGCTCTTGCAGAATCTTGGACGCAAACTGTTCCGCCTGTTTGACTGTACTCATATCTTTACCAGCTGCATGCTTTTCCACAATTGGCTTCAGTTCCACACTTTCGGGCTCCACTAACACCGCACTTGTTCCGGGTCAGATATGCATCGCTTTCAAACACCACTAGCCCCTCTTTCTGCTGACGAGCTCGCTGCATCGCCTTGTGCTCCTTGTCGCGAATCTGTTTCTGCTCAAGCAAAGCCAGTAAGTACTTGGGGCGAGAGTTGTCTGCGGCGTTCCCTACTTGTACATTATGGTCATCTGTGCCGTTGGCATTTTCATCCTTCTTGCTCGTGCTATGCCCGACAGTCTCAAAGCTCTCGTCTTGTTGACGTGTGTTAATCACTGAATTGTGTTCACTCTCTTCGCTCTCTTGAGCCACTTTCTGGGCCTTTCGCGCCATGACACTTTCAAACAGCTCGTCATCGGAGTCCGAGTCGAGCGCAAGCCGCTTTTTTGCTGCGCCTGCTTGCCTCGCTCTTTTCAACATGTCGTGCGCTAGAGATTCTTCTAGTACATTCAGCCGAGTCACTATTTCGCGCGGCCCGCTTGTCGTTTCTGGCGCGCCTTCTATCCAGGGCCGTTCCTATTCCACATTCTGTCTCTTTCCTCCAACTTTCCGGCATTCCTCCCTTCACAGCAGACGCCAATTATCAGCGCTCGATAGACCACCTTTTCTCTTCACGATCATCGCTATCCAGTCCCTCATTCGTCCAATCAGCTGGCCCTTGCTTTGGCTATAACACGAACCTGATCCTGCACGCACTATTTCCGGTGCACCCTTGTTCAACAAGCTTCCTCCACAACATATCCTTCTGTACCTGGCTCCTGTTGCCTTTGCACTTTCTGGCACTGGTCCGCTTCCGTCACACAGTTCTGCTTTTACCCTCTTTTTTGTTTTTTGTTTTTTTTGCGTTCCACCTCAACTCATTTTTTGTCATCGGCACCCCGCTACTCGTCTCTTTTCCAGTATGGACACCCAGCTTGATTGGTTAAGCTCTGTGCGCCCGCAAGCCCAATCTGGCCCGCAGGCGGGTCTAGCGCCGCCGCCAGTGTCGTTCGGCTCGGCTTCTAACACAGACTTGCAGAAAGTTCCGGATTCGTACCATTATCTGTTTCCGAATGCGCTGGCAGACAACATCAGCCGATCCAATGGCAACATTGACAGCAATGCTGACGGAGAAAGCGTGCCGCTTTCGCTTACAGCTCAAGATCTAACCCTTGAAGAATCAAAAACATACATGCGGTGGTACCTGGATATTTTGGCCCGCACCAACCTGCGAACTATCACTATGAACGACGTGTACCATTTCTTGAGCAACTTTCGCTTGCCTGCGGAAACGAAGGAAAAAATCAACCGAATTTTTAGCAAAATCTTGGCGCTGATCAATATCGGCGAGTTTTTCGCCTTGCTCCGTGTAGTGTCGCATACACTCGAAGGCAAAGAGCCGACCCGTCTGCTTATTCAACAGAAGGCACCTGTCCCCGTTCCGCCGTCTATATTGTCTAAGAAACGGCAAAACGATGAACCCGATGAACCTAAGCAGTCTGAAGAACCTACGCAGCCAACACAACCACTCGATTTGGACCTGTTTACCCAGTTTATGCTCACGGGAGAAAGACCCGATGAACTGAACAAAAAACGCCTGAAGAAAATGAAGAGCGTCAAGTTTTCGGATCAGCTTGTCTCTGATGTTCACGATGTCCATGACGAGCCCATGTCTGACTCTTTGGACTACCTGCTTCCGATGGACCAGCTCTTGGAACGCCTCAGCACATCAAACAAAAGCTCCAACGGCAATACCAATACCAATACCGCCAACAATTACAGCAATAATCCCAACAACAACAGCAACAATAACAGCAACAATAACAATAACCCCCTTCGTGGCGTGGCTTCGCCCGACCCAGAAGAGAGACAGATTCTCATGGATATGGCTTCAGAAATCAATCACTTCCGCAACCTTCATTCTGTCGATACCATGCTGGTGGGAGGAGTTCCTGCCAATATTCATCTTCATGGCTCTTTTAGTCTGCCACGGCCGCTGCTGCCGCTTCAACCAAACATGACTGGCCCGGCCCAGATAGCACAAATGGGTCGTCTCTCGCCTCTTCGGCCGAATATGACTGGGCCAGCAGACATGGCCCGCTTATTTGCGCCACCTCCCGACAATAGAGATATTATAACAACAGGGGAAACCTCGGAAACGCTTCGAAATACAGATGCTAATGCTCGCATAGGAATCCCAGAAAGGCAAGAGAAACCTCGCCCACCTGTGCCTAATCGCCGGGCACGCTCATTCTCACTGCCTAACCCGATCCCTCTGAACACAAGCACGCCAGATCCACCACCTCGCGCGTTTGCTGATGTTGTTGGCCTCAACCCAACTCTTGCCATTGGTCGTTCTGCTTCAGTGTCACCAGCACCACCGCTTCCTCCAAAAGTCCTGATTCGGGCACCACCACCCCCACCCTCTCGTCGTCGTGGTAGCTCGTTGGCGTCACCACCTCCTCAAGCTCCTAGTATAGACCTGGTGATGCGTGCTCCAGTATATGAACACAGCGATGCTAGTTCAAGCACGTCTAACATCTTAGATGACCTTAAAGCACTTCAAGAAGAAGTAGACAAAATACGCGATATGACTGGCGGATTTTAAGAGCATGCTTTACGAACATTGAATATGGCACTGAAGAGCACGAAAGGCAATGGTTCCATTTATATAACAGACTATTCTCTCATGGCTTACTTTGGGGCTAATACGTATATATATTTTGTGGAGAACGAGTCAAGCCACCCTCTGAAATTGCATATTTTTCTTTTGATTATGGAATAAAAATGAATCAGGTCACAAAGTTATCAGTACATATTCGTTAAGTCTCCATTCTCCTAGTGATCTTATCGAAATCGGTTGAAGGCAAATTAGCCTGGAAATTCAACGACTCATCACAATATATTTTATTCTGATTTGTGATTGAATATTTTTCATCTATCGCAAGTTCTTCATCAGCTTATTTTCTCGGCTACAAAAATCTCCTCTGATGTACTTGACAACTAAGAGGTTTTAAAGCATTCAAATAGCTAGTGAATTGATCCTCAGATAGAGATATTACTGGTTCGTGTTCATAATGAAGGTATGGCGCTTGATTACAGATTAGTTATCTTTGGTAATTTTCGATTCTGATAAAATTATTCAGACGTCCGGAAATGTACTTTACAAACCGATGGCCTACCGCACTAGTCTCAAATTCAACATAGCCATTTCCCTTTGCATGCTCGTCGTTTTGATCTCATTTAGCAACACCAAGCATATCTCTAGTTAAATTTCGCATTCGGCTCTTCGCTCTATTATCTACATGTCTTTTCTCTATGAAAACATATAGTCAGTCTATACGTCACTCGAGTTCACTGGCTTTCTTCATACGCGCAATTTTCACCAAAGGAGCCAAAGTTGACACATCGTCGCTTTCAAGAATGAACTTGTCCTGAAGTAATTGGTCAGCAGTACCACGCTTGTTGAAGTCCACTTGTAGACACCACGCCAAAAATTTCTTTATATCATAGCTCAACGCCTCTGGCTCCTTCAAACGTGGTGTGCCGTTCGTCGCTATTAAGTATAGCGCACGTAACGGGGTCTCGTTCAAGTAAGGCGGCTCACCTTCAATCATTTCTATGACCATTATACCCAATGACCAAATATCCACTTTGGGTCCATATTCTTTGCGTGATACCACTTCTGGCGCCATCCAGTATGGTGTACCCACCATGGTGGTACGCTTCAAGTTGAGCTCATTGATCTGAGCGCAGAAGCCAAAGTCTGTCATCTTGATGTTGCCATCAACATTGAGTAAAATGTTATCAGACTTAATATCACGGTGGATAACACCTTTGCTATGCAAAAACAGAAGTCCTTTGAGTGTCTCCCGGCAGACTGCACCTATCTGGCCTTCAGTCATGACGCTATGTGTAACGATTTCCGTCAACGAGCCACCTTCCATATACTCCATAATGACCCACAACTCGCCTTTTAGAAGATATGAATCAATGTAATTAACAATGTTAGGGTGCTTGCTGCCCTTCATTACCAAGATCTCATTAATGATGAGCTCCTTTTTCGGTTGCTGCTCGAGGTTCATTTGCTTGATGGCTACAACCTTCTGTGATGCGTCTGTCGAGCGCGCAATGTAGACACCACCAGAAGCTCCCTGTCCGATCTTCTTCAAATCCGTGTAGTAGTCATTTGGATCACCCTCGGAACAGATGGCCTGTAGTTTCACCACAATCTGTTGGTTCTTGCGCTTCTTTTCTTCGCGTTTCTTTTGGGCCAAAAGAGCTGCCTTCTTTGCGTCCCGCACGGGCTGTTGATTGTTGTGTGCTCTAGGCTGAACTGGTTCCTCTTCACTCTTTGGTTCAGGTTCCTCTTCAACTTGTGATGGGCTCAATTTTGTAGTCGATGGAACTGGAGGAGGTGGCGGTTGACGATGCGTTTTAAAGTCCGATGAAGACTTTTGAAAATCCGAGTCGTGAAATTTAGCGGTTGAGGATACGGGAGCCGTAGTGGGACCTTTTTGCTCTGATTGGGTCTGTGCAGCAAGTGAGTAGCTGTGTGACTTTGACTTGGGGATATTTTGATTCGGTGTTGGCGGCCGTGCCAGTTTCATTTTTGATTGTGTCGTATGATAGACATGCTCCGTCTTTGGGGTGGTGATACCCAGTTTTATTGATTTAGACGAGAAGGATCTGCGGCCCATAAGCGAGTTCTTCTTGCCCAGTTGTGGAGTACTCACCTCTGTCTGCGTCGCTGATGATGGCGTGGAAGGTGGTTTAGGCGCAGGGCGGCTTGGAATGAATTGGCCGCTTTCACCGGCAGGTATAGTCAGACTGGGGCTCCGCAACTTATGGGGTGCCAGCAGGTGAGGAGACTGGTAAGGCTGCGGCGGCGTGGCCATGGCATCAAACATGCCAGAGCTCTCGATTGGTGTCGATGGGGGTGAGGAGTTGGACAAGGATGAAGAAGAACCATCAGTCTTGGAAGGTCCGAATTCCGCCTGTTTAAATTTCTTGAACGCATTCTCGTCTGTATTCTCATTGGTGTCTTGGTAGAATGCAACAATGTCCATGACTGCTTGTGGATGTTGTTGTTGCTCAATTTTAGAGATTCCACTAGCGCTCAACAAACGTTCCCATTCAATTGGCAACCCTGTGTACGATCCATTGTGGTCCACTCCCACGTGTGCAACATGTTTGGCGTTAAATGGTGTTGAAATTTTCATACTAAGCTCCGGTGAGCCTGCTGAGCTGGAGGACCCTGAGTAGTTGTTACGCGATTTTCCAAACATTGAAGTGAACACACCCTTCATCCGGTTCCCACTCTTGCGTTTTTTGGTGCTACCGTTGGCTTTGCCAGGAGAAACGCCCATACTAAGTCCAGGGGAAGAAACACCGGGGCTAGTAGTTCCAAAGATGCTCGAGTGTTGTGTCAGTGGTGTGGTAGTAGGGGGTTGTTGGAAAGTCAGCACTGGGTTTGCGTAAGGCGACGTGGTGTTCACAGCAGTGCTCTTCAATTGGCGTGGTCCGGTCTGCGCCTGCGCCTCCGGTGCTGGTGGGGGCGGCGGATTGCGGATGACCGTCAGAGTAGAAAAGGAGCGAGTATTACCCAAGTTATGGATGTTGAGCCCTCCGATTGCCTCCAGAAGTGGCCCTTCTTCTTGCGTGTCGTTGTCATCATTGTCATTGTCATCTACCGAGTCATGTACAGTGGGAATCTTGCCCAAAGGTGTGCCGTCATTAAGATTGGGATGTTTGCTGGACGACAGTGACGAAAAGCTCTGACGCAGCCCCGCGTGGTCTTGTAAAAGACGCTCCATATCAACATTAGCAGCCAAGTTACTCGTAGGCTTGCCAGGGTCGAGTTGTGGCTTGTAATGCGAAAGATCGGGAGAGTGGAGATACGGGCTATTGGAGATTTTGAAGCTGCTGGATCCCAGGGCATATTTTGTAGGCGCCTCAAATGAGCCAGGTAGCATTTCTGGAGAAGGCAGTGCTGTATACTGTCCAAGCGGGACTTCTGAGTTGTTCGAGCTGGGTGGATCGCTTATTTTACTTTCACTGCTGCGGAACGCCGACGCTGAATCTTCAATGCTTGGGCCTAGAGTGTGAGCAATGGTGACATTCGTTTTTGGTGTCTCGTCTGTGGGTGTACTGCTTGCAACATCATCATTGACTGCAACATCTATGTTGGTGGCGGTGTCGGCAATTCCAGTGTCTAGTTTAGCGTCATGTTCAATTAACTCAGCGCCAGAGTGGCTCTCTGACTCCACATTGATGTTTGTGGCTGGGTCAAAGACTTCGTTCAGTTCATGTTTATCGAGGTTTGGACTAGGTACCCCAACATGGTCCTCTTCTTTTGACCACACAAGTTCCTCGCGTTCATGGGCATGAGGAACAATCACGGGGCTTCCAAGGCCTGCCTCAGCGTCAGGTGGCGTTGAGGTTGCGCGTTTCTCTTGTTTCAACTTGTCAGCCAAATTGTCGTACAGATCGTTGTTGGACTCGGATTTCAAGCCCATGAAATCGTACGTGCCGGGCATTCGCGGCAACGACGAAGGCGTGTCGTCAAAATCGTCTGTATTGTCTGCTGAATTGCCCGTCTCGGGTGACTTGTATTCCGCATGTGTTCGAGCGCGCGGTTCTTCGCTTAGGGACTTGGAAAGAGCCTCTGCAGACATGGAAATTTCATCCAAAGACGCGGGGGCCTTTGGCTCAGGTGATACTTCGGCCGACCCTGCGGTAGACATTAGGTTGTGATAGAATAGGCAGCTGCGCTAGGAGAATGGGGCTTCTAGTTAACGCGCACCGTGGGAAATAATAATCGGTTGTTGTTCAAGAAACAGCTTTGGAAACAGTCTCTTGTTCAGTGAATACACCAGTACTAGCAAGAACGGAACGAGTGGGGTAGGTAAAAGGAAGGAAAACGTGCTTTCTGGAGGCTTGGTGCTGGTGCTTTGTTATCTTGAGGCGAGAACAATTTTCGTGGGATTGTTTTTTGGCCGGGCTGTTATGTGCAGAGGGAAAAGTGTTCAAATGATGCGGAAATATCTTGAGGCCCATGAGGCGCACCCCTTGCGGTAGAATTTTTTGACTATGGCTCGATATGCTTTTCGGGTATGCCTACGCATCAACAATACCCCATGACCGTATGCTAATACTTGCCGGTTGACTGTCTTCTTTCTTTTCTTTTTCTCTCTCCCATGTGTCACGCCTTTTCTTCACCTTTTAACTCTGATTATAATTTTCTTTTCCGTGTCTGTGACGTCTTGTATTAACCTACTCGGTAACAAAGCGGTATTGCTTGTTGTTGGTCCATCATGTGTCATTTCTACAAAAGCGCACCGCCGTGTTGTTCGCATACTTCCTTTTCGTTTTCATTTACCTGGTTGCTTCGCTGTCATGATTACTTCTCTGTGTTCTGACGTTTGCCTTCTGCTTAGTTGTGCAAAAATCAGTACTACAGTTGTCATTTCATGCTTTTATCTTCTATTGCCTCGATATTCTCTTTCCTCAATTTTATCGTCTATGTCCTCCTATCGCGCGTGGCAAGCCTTCGTATTTTTGTCCGTTTCTGGTCTGGCATTTTCGTCCTCACTCACCTCAACCATACAACAGGTGCCAATTTGCGTACTGCACATACTGCCATCCAACCAAATGCGACTGAAAATTCGCCTGTGTTTGGTCCAAACTCTCATTTCCCAAGACAGTATATTCCTTTAGAGCCTCAGTATGTTCGTCTCGGAGCTTTCCGATCAGATTTACGCTCTTGGCCCCGCCTAGAATTGGGCCCTACTTCGTCTCGGGGACTTGTTTCGGCACCCGTACACCCCGGGGCCTCCACTACTTGATCTTTTTGGGCAATCACAAGCAAGACCGCATACTAACAAACACTCTGCAGCATAAACGAAATGTCTGAACAATTGAAAGAAGTTCCTTCCACTTCCCAAAACTTGTTGAACGATAAGGTATGTCTCACTTACGTTGATGTTATTGCATTCGTGAAAACTAACTTTCTTTAGTGGGACCTCGTCTTGTCCAACACTTTGATCAAAACCGGCTTGGGTTTTGGCGGTGGCGTCTTGGCATCTATCTTGTTCTTCAAGAGAAGAAGCTTCCCTGTCTGGGTTGGTGTCGGCTTTGGTTTGGGCAGAGGTTACTCTGAAGGCGACGCTATCTTCAGATCCGACCATGGTGTTAGAACTTACAAGGCCTAAGTCTATATATAGCTGCATGATCAATAAAAATATAGTACGTTAATTATGTTGTATGAATGTCTCTTATGGCTGATTATCTGTTCTGTTTTTCTTTTTCCCAAAATAGTACAGCAATATGTAGAAACTCACCCATGTATCAGTCATTATCTATTGTTATACTTATTCTTACAATAGTAGTACCACTTACAAGTCAGGCCAGACAGACTGGTGGGGTTATTATTGACGCTGTTTTAATCCCCAAAGTACTCAAATTTGTTACGAAGGTCGATTTGAACGGCTGACCAGGTCCTACGTCGACGCTGAATTGGCCTCCTTAGCATATTACAGCCGTATTAATAATATAGTCCGTAGTCGCTAATATTTTTGACATCAAGTTGGAGCTCCCTATCAGTATAGGTTAAATTTTGCTCTTCCCTATCTCTCCACTGAATTAAATGAAATACGTAATGTTCTTTCATTGTTTACTTGCAACGTTGATCCCGTTGCCCTTGACTTACCCCTTTGATGTTATTCGTTAATGTATTCGATTATACTGTTTAAAAGAGTATATCATGGGAAACAATGGAGGCGGTGAGTTGGTTTACGTCATTCAACTCTTTGGCGGTTTTTACGCCTTGCTTTTAATTCTTTGACTAACATATAAGCTAGTAGAATGTAACAGTCGAGCCACTTCTAGTCTATTCTCAATTTGCGATCTCCATTTCTAGCCTCATTACCATTTGCGATCTTTGTCTAATTCGCACATGGATGAAAATGAGACATACAGAGGCTATGGGTCTTGTTCACCTCGATTGAATAATAAAATTAGATGAGCAGACATTTTTGTAGCACATGTAAAACCAGAACTCTCAATGCTCTGATGGTTTGTCCCTTTGCAGTTTCATGTCCTTGGGATATCAAACAGTGTCAGTCATACAACTGATACCCGCGACACTTTTGAAACATTCATTTTGCAGCCATTTGCTATATAAAAGGCCGTTTTCTAGCCATTTTATTCTTCGCCTTGCACAATTTTCCAAATGTATTCATACTCAAAATATGGGACGCGTTCTTTTAATTCAGCAAGCAATACACATAACGAGACTTCAAGAGTCCAAAAGAGTCTGTCCTCTAACGATAGTTCAACATCAGCCAACAAAAAACAAAGATCATCTGAAAACGATTACTCCAATCACTACGTTCACTCTCGGACAATTTCAACTCGCTACATTAGAAATGCCCAAAATCCTATGGAAGGATATCCAAAGTTGCAAAGGTTGAAAGAGCTCAAAGCAAAACAAGTCAGCAACCATGCAACAACGCCATTTGGAGTTAGAATCGAAGCAAACCAGATGGTACCAACCTTGAATAAATGGGTGAATGATTACGGTTTGCAGTTTGATGTCATCATGATCGGTGCTTTAGTGGAAAACCAATTTTTGTTGCCGCTCTTGAATCTGCTTCCCCTCTATAAGTTATGCGCCAAGCCAGGTTTCTTGTTTATATGGTCCACATCGGCCAACATTAAGCAGTTGACGGGTTTACTCAATGGAGATAGATGGAACAAGAAATTCAGAAGGTCCGAAGAATTAGTATTTGTACCTATCGAGGAGAATAGTCCCTTGTTTCCAAGTGGAGTGAACGATGGTTTCCATCCTGACCACGGCAAAAATGGAAATGGGCAATCGTTGATGCGCCGTAATCAATGGCATTGCTGGATGTGCATCACCGGAACCGTAAGAAGATCTACCGATAGTGAACTTATCCACTGCAATGTGGACACCGATTTACAAATCGAATCTCCGGCGTCTTCGCCTACGGTGTACAGTAATGCTGTACCTGAATCAATTTACAAAGTGGCTGAGAATTTTTCCAACTCCAACAGAAGGCTTCACATCGTGCCCTGTAGAACGGGCTACAAATTACCAGTGAAGTTGAGGAAAGGCTGGGTGATTATGCTGCCTGATGTTTTGGTAAACAACTTTGATCCTATTGAATACGAAACCCAGTTGCACAGCAAGTCTTACATGAAGTACAAAAATTCGGCCAATGGACAGCAGAAGCAACCACAATACTTAGTGCCGCAGACGTCCGAAATCGACTCGTTAAGGCCAAAAAGTCCTAACTAGGGTTAAATTGGCCTAATGTCGTGTAAAAATAAACGCCCATGCTGGTCTATGTGTTAGAAAGAAAGTTTGCAAAAAGAAAACTATGGTCATCGAAGTATCAGGAAAAAAGTTGGATTAGGAATTTTATCAGCAACGCCAAAGGCTCAGAGTGAGCTGAGTTAGGTTTTCATCATAAACTTCACAAGACCTCGGAATTTTACATACCAATTGTTACTTCACATTCACAAAGTAATGATTAATTCCAAGACCCACAATTGTAATGTGGTGAAAGGAAGAAGAAAAAAACGCTCTCACCTTCGCGTTTTTGAGCCTCATCTCCCTGCGGGTAACCATAAAAAAGCGCGCTAAAGGTCCATCGAGGTCTTCCCGGACTCTTACGGGTAACTTGGATTGTTGCGCGCCTCAGAATACCTAATTTCGCACTTATCATCCATTTGACCGAGGCATAGATATGGCTCGCTGGACCTTTATCGGAAACGCATTCGGATACATTGATTTGGAGGCCGGTGATTGGTTTGAAATCTGTCCCGGTATTTTCCATTTTCAACAATACTACGATTGAGTCATCAAAAATAAATCATCCATTAGTGTTCGCAAACGGAACCAATTAATTGGCACCTGAGCTTTCTTCTCAAGCCCATAGTCGAATACTTCGAGCAGTCTTGCAACAGACTAACAGTGGAGTAGCACGGTGTTGCATATAAGTTCAACAGTTGCCGAATGAGGGATCACGTTTAGATCTATCTGCAGTCATGAGCGGGGCAGTCAAATCAGATTCCAAGGATTTCTCATAATGAGAAATGGCAAAGAGAAGAATTTAGTAGAGCACGGAAATTCTTCATTTCTTGGTCGAGGCACCATTGCTGGCAGAGTAATTCTCTCACTCTAGATAGTAAAAAGCTCTAACTTCCAATCGAAGCCTTGTGTAAGGAGTGCATGTAGGTGAGACGTCTCGCTTCTTCACCTCCACACTTCCCCGGAGTTTCACTGGATTACTATATATAAGCACGGATTCTCGCGTATAATTTGCCTTTTTCTGAAATTTCTTGTATTTTTTTTCTTCTTAGCGCCCCTGTTTCTACGATCGGCTAGTCAATCATGTCGCAAAAAATCACTGTTAAGAATCCCATCGTTGAGATGGATGGAGATGAGATGACCAGAATTATCTGGCAATTCATCAAAGACAAGCTCATTTTGCCATACTTGGACATTGATTTGAAATACTATGACCTTGGAATCCAGTACAGAGATGAGACAGATGACCAAGTCACAATTGATGCTGCAAATGCTGTTTTGAAGTATGGTGTTGGTGTCAAATGCGCCACCATTACTCCAGACGAAGCCAGAGTGGCTGAATTTGGTTTGAAGAAGATGTGGTTGTCACCAAATGGTACTTTGCGTAACATTTTGGGCGGAACAGTCTTCAGAGAGCCAATTGTTATTGACAACATTCCAAGAATTGTTCCCACTTGGGAGAAGCCCATCATTATTGGTAGACATGCTTTTGGAGACCAGTATAAGGCTACTGATGTTGTGATCCCCAAAGCTGGAAACTTGTCTTTGGTTTTTAAGCCACTGGATGGCTCCCCTGAACAAGTTATCCCAGTTTACGACTACAAGGGTGCAGGTGTTGCCTTGTCCATGTATAACACCGATGAGTCCATCACTGATTTTGCTGAGTCTTCCTTCAGAATGGCATTGGAGCGTAAGATGAACTTGTTCTCCACTACCAAGAACACCATCTTGAAGAAGTACGATGGCAGATTCAAGGACATTTTTGAAGGTTTGTACGAGAAGAAGTACAAGAAGGATTTTGAGGCTGCTGGCATTTGGTTCGAGCACAGATTGATCGACGACATGGTGGCACAAATGTTGAAGTCCAAAGGCGGTTACATTATTGCTATGAAGAACTACGATGGTGATGTGCAATCAGACATTGTCGCTCAAGGTTTCGGATCCTTGGGTCTCATGACGTCTGTTCTTGTTACCCCAGACGGAAAAGCATTCGAGGCTGAAGCAGCTCATGGAACTGTCACAAGACATTACAGACAACATCAACAAGGTAAGGAAACCTCTACCAACTCTATTGCTTCTATCTTTGCGTGGACCAGAGGCTTAATCCAAAGAGGTAACTTGGATGGCACCCCTGAAGTGGTCAAGTTTGGAGAGGACTTGGAGAAAGCTGTCATTGACACTGTGGCCATTGACAACAAGATGACAAAGGATTTGGCTTTGACTCAAGGTAAAACTGACAGAAGCTCTTATGTCACCACTGAAGAGTTTATTGACGCTGTGCAGGAGAGATTGAACAAGAACTTGGGTCGCTAGGCAAAAAAAAAGATTATTCAGCAACATAAGAATCAGTGATTTTTATCCTCTTCTATGAAGTAAGTAGTGAATCCTAGTGCAACAATCGAAAGTAGTCTCAAACATGTAATATGATAGGTTTTAGCTGATCGCATTCGAATGACTTCGCTAAGCTAATGGCACTTGCACCAAAGTGATGTACGGGTCTTTCTTATTTTCTCAATACTAGAAACACGGCACGGATTGTACATTCTATCAGTCCAATGAATGTGGGATCTATTTTAAATGGCGACTCGCCTCCAGATGCCGATACAGAATCGGGCTCTGCGATGCCCAAGTTGAATCATAGACACTCCATCAATGACTTGCTTAATGGTCCCGCATCAAATGCCTCGCGGAATTCAGAACAGAAAACGGCCGAAACTGAGAAAACGGATGACCATGATGAATCGGAAATCCATATTTCTGAGAGCGAGTTCCCTACAAAGTCAGATGAGGAAGAGGAATCCGAAGAAGACTCTACACAAGGAGAAATTCTGAGGGTTGTCGTTGAAGAGAAACCGTCTACCCAAGAGCGGCCTGCGCATATTGTTGGCTCCGAGTTGGAAAAGATCAACCAGCTCAAACATAGCCAAAAGAAAGGAGGAAAGCCTCGCCGCTATACGCAACCTCCAATCTGGTCTCAAGAATGGTTTCCTCCATCCCAGAATAACAGAGAGAATGGTCATTTCCCTCCAGAACCTAGCCCTTCGGTTCCTACCGGTGGCCTTTCGCTGAAACCCGTCTTTGACAGAAGCCACATGTACACCCAGGACTTGGAATGTCTGGTAACTGGTGTAATCCCTCCTCAATCTATTGTACGTACTATAGCTGAGTGGATCTATGCAAATTTCGTGGAAATCCCACTTGAAAACAGAAAGTTTTTGGAATTGGAGCTCAAGTTCGGTACCATTGTGGACAAAAAGGCTGGTTACCGTCTTGATATTGGTGTGTCATCTGACTGTATCTACACTAATGCGTCGAACATTCGTTTCGAAATGGCGGTCCACGAGACTGGATGGAAGGAAATGAAAGCATTCTTGGACGAGTTGGAGAAGAAGTACCAGGAAGAAAACAGAAAAAATCCTAGCAAACCCAGAAGAAAGTTTTCAACTTTGGAGACAGATTTCACTGATCTTATTTTTCAAATCAATGAACGGAATGAGAGACCAAAGAGAATCAGAATCTCTAAGGATAATACGTTAAATCCTCCACGGTACACAGCGATTGAGAAAAAGAGAATATCCGATCTCTATATCCATTGCCCCTCGTCGATGTACGACTTCCGCATATCCTTATCTCTTGAATTTCCCGTCGCAGAGGAGAAGATAGAGCCTACACTCAAGAAGAAGCCAGAAAATACGCGTATAAAGAAACGAACATCATTGACGCATTCTCCCACCGTCACGCAATTTGATTTCACGTCGGTACTGACTCCAAAAACAATGAAGAATAAGGCAGGCAAGACCGTGGTGGAACATGAGACTAATTTCGAGTTGGAGCTTGAGATTGATCCTACAGAAATCTTTAGGGGTTTTGACAAGGTTAGGGATGGCTCAGATAGCATTCGGTTTGAAGAATTGGTCGAGGTTTTCTTGAATAATGCAAGATGCCTCAATAACCGAGTGACGAAATTGGCGTCTAAATAAGCATGGGGCATATATGAGGAAGATGAGGTAATGGAAAATGAAAAGATATGAAGATCAGCGAAATCAATATTAGCGCTGACGGATGAAGTAGCTACTGTAGTAAAAACGATTATGAGCTTTGTATGGCACAGCTAATTGAACTAGTGTTACGGTAGTGCGACATAGAGGATCCACGTTTTTTTTTTCAGGCAATTGTTGACGCGACTTTGGTCCTGCAGTCGCTGGACAGCATATCTTTTTGGTCTTTACATCTTCAAAAGGCCATTTCCAAGTGCCCATGTCGTTTCAAACGTACTCTGTGGCTCTTTTGGTCACAGCGTTCTTGGCTGTTTATGGCGCTGTCCTCTTTTTCAGCCACCATCCTCGTCCACCGACTGAATCAGAACTGAAATACATGACCAACGATGGTAAGGGCCAGGTCCATAATTTGCCGCCTAGAGCGCTGCCGCTGGACAAAATCGAGAAGGGAAAGACGCTTCTCAGTGTTGTTGTACCGTGTTATAATGAAACATCACGTTTGGGGAAGATGCTAGACGAGGCGGTTGAGTATTTGGAGAAAAATCTTAAGGACGAATACGAGATTGTTATTGTTGACGATGGCAGTAGCGATGGCACAGCAGACTTTGCGTTGGAAAAGGCTACTATGTTGAATCTTTCGCCACATGTGTTGAAGGTCGTCAGATTATCGCAGAATAGAGGTAAAGGCGGTGCTGTCAGGCACGGTATATTGCATGGCAAAGGAAAATATCTCTTGTTTGCAGACGCCGACGGTGCCACTAAGTTTGGTGACTCGGGACGTTTGTTGGAATTTTTACAGTCCCAACCAGAGGGAAAGCCGGCCATTGCTATTGGCCTGCGAGCTCATATGGTGAACACTGATGCTGTGGTGAAACGGTCTCTTGTGAGGAACTTCTTGATGTATGGACTTCATACTTTGGTTTTCATTTTTGGTATTCGCCAGATCCAAGACACCCAGTGCGGTTTCAAGATGTTCAACCGTGAATCGGCACAAATCATTTTTCCCCACATGCATACTGAACGTTGGATTTTCGACGTTGAAGTGCTTCTTCTCGGTGGAATGCAAGGTGTTGAAATGAAAGAAATCCCCGTGAATTGGCAAGAAATTGATGGCTCTAAAGTCGATTTAGCCAGAGACTCTATACAAATGGCGATTGATTTGGTTGTTACCAGAATGGCATACTTGATGGGGGTGTATGGGCTTGATGAAAGCGGGCACAAATCAGCATAGGATTTATAGACCATTCCCTGATTTTGCGCAAAGTACCTTTCACAGCTTTTCATTACGAGTGGTGTTGATTAATACCGACCTGGTAGCGATTCAACTTGTTTCAAATAATACTACACATAATCATGCAGCTATGATTAATGTATTCAGAAGAAGAATTACTCTGCCGAAAATCAATACTAATGATGAACTACGAAGTAAACGCCGATCGTCGGAAACTCATGCGTCTCGTCACCGGTCATCGGCCTCTTGCATGAATTCAAATTTACACTTTGGCCCCTCTTTTCCCCCATATGGCTAACTGGATTGCAAAAATATTCGACAGAGGACAACACCCATGTTGAATACGCACACTTCATGTTCGTCGACCATATATATTACTAATGGATAACCAAAAATGAAGTTCGTAGTCGCAGTAGTGAGACAAGCTACATGTAGCCGACGACAGTTATTTCGGCTTCAAGCAAGCGATTTGGAAGAAAAAAAAATGCAGATGGTAAAACATATTGGGTTGTGTCTTATAATCATAAAGTCTATGTGCGGAAAGATACCTTGAAGAATAAAAAATGCCTATCCAATTTGATGTTCAATATCACCATAATTGCACAGCACGTACGAATGCACGTTTTAGGTGAAAGTTCGGACCGACAGTATCTATCAAACGCCGAGACAGTGGAGTAATACTGTTAATAATCTACACAACTAGCATACGGAAGCAGGTAATCACGAACATCGGGAAAAAGATACTCCGTAGAGAGAATATATGACTAAATTATACGACCGCTCATGCTAGTCTATCGTTTAATAGCCTAGTTGTCAGGCTTATCTCTAACAATGCACATCTTCTTTTCCATTTCTACCAGCACCTGCTCGCGCGGAATATCCGGGCCCACCAATCGTTGTTCGCATTTTCGGACTTCCGCCACTTAGCAAAACAATCACGCCAACACAAGTAGTAGAGACCGTGACAGTCAAATTTGTCAGCATAAACGAGGTGTAAACTCCGTCGCGTCACACTTTTTGCTGCAAAAACAATGATAACCGGTGGGCCGGTGTCCTCGGAGCATTCGTGTCCGGTCCTACGATCGCCGGGCGTCCTGCATGTGTTGCTGGATATATTACCCAAGCAAAAAAAAGCGTCTTCTCTTTCCCACAACCATGTTGAGAGCTAACATCAGACAGTTTGTCAGATTCAATTCGTCTAAAGCAGGCCACTACGATGCCGTAGTTATTGGCGGTGGACCAGGTGGCTATGTGCACGCCATCAAGATGGCTCAACTCAATTACAAAACCGCCTGTATCGAGTCCCGTGGTTCTCTTGGAGGAACCTGTCTTAATGTCGGATGTATTCCTTCCAAGGCTTTGTTGAACAACTCGCACTTGTACCACCAAATCAAGCATGACTCTGCTAACCGTGGTATCGAAATTGCCGGCGATGTTTCTGTCAATGTCACCAAGTTGCAAGAAGCCAAGGACAAGGCCGTTAAAGGTTTGACCCTGGGTATCGAAATGCTTTTCAAGAAGTACGGTGTCACGTATTTGAAGGGTCATGGCTCGTTTGTGGATGACCACACTTTGGCTGTCAAGCCTATTGACGGTTCTGAAGAATACAAGGTGACTGCAGACAACATCACCATTGCCACTGGTTCCGAAGCTACTCCATTCCCAGGTATTGAGGTGGATGAAGAGAGAATCGTCACTTCTACCGGTGCATTGGCCCTCAAGGAAGTGCCAAAGAAGTTGGCCATCATTGGTGGTGGTATCATTGGTTTGGAAATGGCCTCTGTGTGGTCTCGTTTGGGCTCTGAGGTCACTGTCATTGAGTTCCAGAACGCCATTGGTGCTGGTATGGACGGTGAGGTTGCCAAGTCCACACAGAAGTTGTTGGCCAAGCAAGGCTTGAAGTTCATGTTGGGCACTAAGGTCACCAAGGGTGTCCGTGAGGGTGACGTGGTCAAGATTGGCGTTGAAAACGTCAAGTCCGGCAAGACTGAAGAACTTGATGCCGACGTTTTGTTGGTGGCCATTGGTAGAAGACCATACACCAAGGGCTTGAACCACGAAGCCATTGGCTTGGAACAGGACGAGAAGGGACGTTTGGTGATTGACTCCCAATACAGAACTGCTAAACCACATATTCGTGTTATTGGTGACGTCACTTTTGGCGCCATGTTGGCTCACAAGGCCGAGGAGGAAGGTATTGCTGCTGCTGAGTTCATTAAGGAGGGCCATGGTCACGTTAACTACGGCAACATTCCATCTGTGATGTACACACACCCAGAAGTTGCTTGGGTCGGTTCCACCGAGGAGCAATTGAAGGAGAAGGGCATTCTGTACAAGGTTGGTAAATTCCCATTTATTGCCAACTCTCGTGCCAAGACAAACTTGGACACTGACGGTTTTGTTAAGTTCCTTGCGGACGCTGAGACTCACCGTGTCTTGGGATGTCACATCATTGGTCCTAACGCTGGTGAGATGATCGCCGAGGCTGGCTTGGCTTTGGAATACGGTGCTTCCACCGAGGACATTGCCAGCGTGTGCCATGCTCACCCAACGTTGGCTGAGGCATTCAAGGAAGCTGCTTTGGGCACTTTCGGCAAGACCATCAACTTCTAAGTACATAGACGTGTTGGTGCTACACGTAGACATGTTTGCAGCCTCGTTGTATTGGATGGGTTACGTGCTTCTCTCTAAACGTTTGAGTAGCTGATTATGTTCAAGTATAGTGCTCAAATTGTTTGCAAAATGAAAAAATACATGTGTAGTGCCTAGGGATATTGAAGCGTTATTTTGAGTAGATTCGGATTTTCTGAATGTGTTCTTATGAATTCTCGACATGATGCTGTTATGTGAAATAAACTATTATCGTTATCACTTTCAGCTAGCTTCAATGGTATGGTTATTCGGGGTAATCATATTTGTGACTCGGGGATAATTGTCTTCTTGCCATGCCAAGCGACTTTCTCCCCGATATTCGCAAGTTCATTACCTGAGAAGAGTCGGCACCTTTATAGAAAACTTTAGTCCCATTCAGTTAAAAAAAGCGAAGGTTCGTACCTAATATAGTGTTAAAATTAGAAATGGGTACCTTTTCGCTTAGAGGCTAAACCAGACCGCCGTATTATCAAATATTTTACTTCGGTACTATAATCTTTGCTGATCCTCTGCACCGTTGTCAATTGCGGAAGTAGTGGCATTTGTATCTAAGTAATAAACGGGCCGAAAGATTTAGAAACTGTGTCGCACAGAGATCTAAGTACGTTCGCATTATTCTTTACACTTCAGTAGTGAAGATGAATCCGTATCTTCGAACGTGGACATGCGATAAGATGCAAAATGAGGCATTTCTTCCGGATAAACGAACTTTTGATTATCCTTCATCAAGATCTCCTACGGTTTGAATCCACAAAACTTCTTACGTGATCGCATCAGTTTACAGGTGAAGGAAGACTCCACAGAACTACGTAGAAACAAAGAGCTGGACGCATCTATTAAAACGGCCTTATTTAGGTACACAGAATATTGAACATTGAAACATTTATATTATATTTTTGCCTGGACGGTTATCGAGTGGCAATGATGTAGACCGCATGAATGATACCTGGAATGTAACCCAAAATGGTCAAAATGATATTAAGGAAAAAGGCACCACTGCATCCAACCTCAAGGAAAACACCCAACGGAGGAAGAATAATGGCGAAAATGATTTTGATGATGTCTGCGCAAACCATGGTGAAAGTATATGTCCTCTCACGTATTTGAGGGAATTGGGGCTATCTTATATACGTTCATCTCGCGCACCATGATTGCTACTTTGCTCAGCCGCATTTCATTCAAGTGCGCCTTATTGTTCACCTAAAATAGCAACGGTTTCCGCCTCTATTGGTGACGCGTTATTACTGTACATTCTTTGTGACCCTACTGACTAGAAGCAGCACTGCCTTGTTACAAACCTCGTAATATGTATTTTCACAAAGCAACTGACCACACCTTCTCTTCAAACTTGAGCAACACTGAATACAAGTCAGTCACCAATTTGTGCTTCTATGACTGCATGTACGCCCAGGTGCACATTCTATTACATATTCTCTTGAGGAAGGAATTTTAAGCCCCGAACCAAGAATTGGGCTTTCCTTCATGCAACAGTTTATGTATCCTCGAGATAACAATTATCAAATGACTGTTACATGAAGAAGGGATTTGAAACGGGAGACCCATACTGAAATTTACCCGTACTACTCAAACTCCGCGGACGGCCAGCGTAAATTTCCGCACCATGAAAATCTTTCCGTTACTCACACTTTCAGTGGTACTGATTTCCCATCGGAACAATAGGCCTCCACCAATCCGCCAAAAATGTCAGAGTTGTCCTTAAAATTATTGCAGGCCGTGGATAAGCATAATGGTATCTCCAACACTTTAGAGTTGGATGAATTCAAGTCCATAGACGCCAACGCCTTACATGCTTCGTTGACCTCTTTGTGGGCCAAGGACATGGTTACTTTCAGCAAAATCGAAAACGATTTGTGGGTTTTGACGAAAGAAGCCGAAGACTTTTTGGTTTCTGGCTCACATGAAATCAGATTGTTGGATGAGGTACTTAAATCCATGGAAGGCTTGAGTCTTTCTGATGTGAATGCCAAGTTGGGCCAAGTGGGCAAATTGGGCCAAGGTAAAGCTTTCAAAAATGGTTGGATTGCTAAAGACGGTGACAAGTTGGTGGCTAAAGTCAAGGAGTTGCCAAAGGACAACGTTGTTGAGCAATTGAAAACTATCGAGGCTACAGGTAACTTGTCTGACAAGAAAGAATTGGCTGAGTTGAAGAAGAGAAAGTTGATCAGCATGACAAAGATCATTGGATACAAGGTTGAAAAGGCAGCTAAGTTCGCCTTGACCATCACAAATTACGAGACGGATATCACTTCTGAGATGATCACTTCTGGCTCTTGGAAGGATGCTCAATTCAAGTCATACAATTTCAACTCTGAAGGTGTGTACCCTCAGTCTGGTGCTTTGCATCCATTAATGAAAGTCAGAGAAGAATTTAGACAGATTTTCTTTTCCATGGGTTTCACGGAAATGCCTTCTAATCAGTACGTGGAATCTGGTTTCTGGAACTTCGACACCTTGTTTGTCCCCCAACAGCATCCGGCCAGAGATTTGCAAGACACTTTTTACTTGAAGGACCCAGCCGTAGCTAAAAAACCTCAAGATGAAAAGTACTTGGAGGACATTAAGGCCGTTCACCAAGATGGAAAGTTTGGTTCGATTGGTTACAGATACCCATGGAAAGAAGACGAGTCCCTTCGGATGGTTTTGAGAACCCATACAACAGCTATTTCTTCGGCTATGTTGAAGGAGTTGGCTAAGGACCCAAAGCCTACCAGATTGTTCTCTATTGATCGTGTTTTCCGTAACGAGGCTGTTGATGCTACTCATTTGGCTGAGTTTCATCAAGTCGAAGGTGTCCTTGCCGGTTATGACATCACCTTGGGTGATTTGATTGGCTTTATGGAAGATTTCTTCTCCAAGATGGGTGTCGACGGTTTGAGATTCAAGGCCGCGTACAACCCATACACTGAACCATCGATGGAGATTTTCGCCTTCCACAAAGGCTTGGGTAAATGGGTTGAGATTGGTAACTCAGGTATGTTCAGACCAGAGATGTTGGAACCAATGGGCTTGCCAAAGAACTTGCGTGTGTTGGGCTGGGGTCTTTCGTTGGAGAGACCTACCATGATCAAGTATGGTGTTTCGAACATCAGAGAATTGTTGGGCCACAAGGTTTCCTTAGACTTCATAGAAACAAACCCAGCTGCCAGATTGGATGACGATTTGGTTGGTTAGTGCTAATGTATCGGGATCTGAATGTATGGAACAATTGAATAGCGTAGGTTAAAGGTGTTAGGAGAGACAATACAGTTTTTGATTGTTTCCCTTGCTTTACTCTTCTTATAATCTTATGCTTCAAGCTTTTGTACTTTTTATTCTCTCTGTTTTTTTTTAAGCACACCGTATTTTTGATATTTTTATAATCTAGTCTAATGCAAAGTTTGTTCGGAACCACACGTAGTAAGCTTAAATTCAAACTGATCGGGGGATTTAGTATCGCATGAGCGTAATGACAAATTTTTCTCGTTTTTTATAATTTTATCATGGCCAAAGGAGTTTTATCTATTGTATCCAATTCTCCACGCACTGATGCCTACAAGTCTCGGTGTTCCATACTGTCCTACATCGTCCATTTTCTTGCGCGATTACGCTAAACCATAAAATACCATCTTCTCATGTCTCAGGAAGCATCTGCGCCGGGCGCTGAAACTCCGAAAAAGCCTGGTGCTGGCTCGGCACAAAAAAAGGTTCCGAAAAAACACGATGAGGAGTTCTTGTGCAAATGGGTGGGGTGTACCGAGAATAGATTTCGATCTTTAGCTTCTTTGGTCAACCATGTTACCAACAACCACTTGGTCCAAGTGGCACATCTCACTCCTTCGACACCCATACGCTATAGCTGTCAATGGGAGGGCTGCTCACGATTTGATGTGGAACAACCTTCGCGTTTCGCTCTCATTTCCCATTGCCGGACGCATACTGGTGAGAAACCCTACTTTTGCCCTATTCCTGAATGTGAGAAACATTTCACAAGATCAGATGCTTTGGCTAAACATGTCAAAGGAGTACATGACTTGCATCAGCACCGTGACGCAATTGGACTTATGCGATATCGTGCTGACAAGGGTAAATCTGAGTTACCTTCTGACATGGACTTGGACGCGATGACCGATGAAGGATATGCTGAAACTTTGAATAGAGACTACGAGCTTCGCATGCCATGGTGGTCTTCGAAACGTTTTGCGGACGCACTTCAGAATACCAATCCGTCTCTTTCTCTGCTCTACAACCAGCCTCTCGATATGCGACAATATGATGTTGCCAACTCAAGATACAAAAAAATCATTGCCAATCCAGAGGAAGAGCTCCTTGGGAGTGGTTCTTCAGAATTGTATGAGCAAGCAAAAGAGGCCCTTACGGAATATCCTGAAACTGCAAATATTCCTTTAGGAAATAGCCTAAATGAATTACGCGGGGCCTACGAAAAATTGCAAGCAATCTATTCCACCGCATGCCGGGTCAACAAAACAGTGAAGAAGAACCTTCTGCTGGCGATGGAGGAGAAGCGCAGGTTATGGGTAACAAGCCAGATTCTATTAGATGCGAATATTGAGGTCAGTCTTCCAGGAGAGCACGATTCAGTTGCACGTGATGGTTTGGATGAAGACTTATTGCTGGAGGGTTTTAATAAGTAATGCATGTTTTTATGTACATTCGTAGTTATATGTCCTTGTGTGTGGTTTCACCAAGTACCTCAACTGGTCTGACCAGTACTGCACCCGTGCACCATTAGGTTACTTTTCTAACAAGAGCGCAGCGCATCGCATCCTCAACCTTTAGACGTCATGGCTAGTAAAAAAGGAAAGGTCGCTGCTTCTAATGACGTTAGTCTAGATCAGCTTTTCCAGCAGCTAGCACAAGAAACTAAGCACTTGTCTAAACCAGAGGAAAATAGCTTGTCCAATATTGAGAAGGAAATTGAGAGTTTGCCTAAGATAGAAAGTGAATTGGAAACCCAAATGCAAGAAGCTATCAAGTCAAAAAGTGAGGATGTTGTTAAGCTTAATGATCCAATAACGCATATCAGAAAAACTGTCGTAGACAAAGACGCAGACTCCGGCTCCAAGTGGTTCAACATGAAGAAACCCGAAATGACGGCTGAGATCAAAAGGGACTTGATGGTTTTGAAGAATAGAAGTGTTTTGGACCCAAAAAGACATTACAAGAAAGAGAAGTGGCAGATCCCCAAATTTTTCCAAACAGGGACAATCGTTGAAGGCAACACGGAGTTTTACTCTGCTCGTATGGCCAAGAGAAACAGAGGTAGAACTTTGGCCGAAGAGATTTTGAATGACGACATTGCCTCCGATTATTTCAAGAGAAAGTACAGCGAGATCCAAAAGCAAAAGCGCAGTGGAGGAAAGGCACACTACAAGAAGATCAAGGAGAAGAGAAGAGGTTTTTAAAGAGGATTTATTAGGGATACTAGCATTATTAACAATCTATCAGCGTAACGTATTTGTAAGCCACAAAAGGTGCACATGAGTACAATATGAGAAGAAGGTGATGTTTGAGACAACGAACAGAGGTTAGATGAAAAGCATATTAGAGATAGATATCACTATTCCTCTAAGCCTGCTCTTTCAAAGACATTCAGACGAACCTCGTCCCAAAGTGCTTTCTTCTCTTCCTTGGTCAACTTTCTCTTCTCTCCTTTAGCCAGTCCTAGCCTCAACTCTTTCTTAATGGCTTCATTCTTGAGCTTATACTCATATGCAGTGGTTGCTGCGGCAGCTAAGTTCACCAAGTAGTTTCGTAATGCAATCTCTTTGTAATGGAAAGTGAGAAGAGTCTGGTCTGCTGGAGTTATTGGTGGTGAAGGAAGCTGCCGTTTAGGCTGATTAATTTGAAGGAGTCGTGACTGCTTGACTGATATTTCTGCCACAGATTTCTTGAAGTTGGCATCCAAATCATGTTCCTGATACAAATTCGATGAATAGAGCGCGTAAATGAACTCCTTATCTGTGATATAAGGCTGCAACAACACAATTTGGCATTTTTGAGCCAAGTCTCCAACAAGCTGAGGAAGCGCTTGGTTGGAGTATGAAAGGTCGGGTGAGGAAGAAACCATGGGCAAACTCACGAGCATAAGCTTTCCGCGAGTAACGTTAAGGTTCCAATCTACTAATGATTCTGGAACGTTTTGGTAATTAAGATCACTTCCCAACAGAATTTTGTATTCCGCATCATCATCAACGTTGTCAACGCCCAGGTAGGGGAAGGAAGGTTTTTCTTGCATATTCTTGCGCTGAAGATACTCTTCCTTGGCGTAAGATTCATGCAAAGCTATGTCATTAATAAGCTGCTCGACTGTCGTCGTAGTTTGCTCGCTATCTTCGGGAATAGTGGCAGTAGAGGATGAATATATGGAAGGAGCAGAGCGAACGGAGCGCTTGCTCCAAGAAAACACACTCAGCGCCAGCGACCTGTGCAGTTTTTGTGAATGATGATATTGCTTAAATTGAGACGGCGCCGACCTTATAGATGGAGCTGGATTCAGAGTTTGCAGAACGGGTAGCTGCTGATAAATGGCATTTCTGGCGGAATCTCGAAAGTGGGTTGGAGGCAGCAGAATACTCTGGCCGTTATTCCGGCCAATAGGTAATCCGAACATGATGTGAGTTTACTGAGACTGCGGTCTTCTAGTAGTGGAGGAAAAATATATAAATGAATGGTAATCAGGAAGAATAAGAAGAAGGATTATTTTATTTTTTTTACCGAGATGTTTTCCGTGTGGGGAGACTGCGGAGAGCACAGATTCCTTACATTTTCGCGCAGGTCAGATATTTTACAAATTTTCATTTTTTTTGTCTAAAATTCCTTTCTTTTCGTTTGCCCTCAAGTGTCCGGGGTTTTTCACCAGCAAATTCACGGACATTCACCCTGAAACCTCGAGTGGAAAACTGGGATCTTTCCTGGGAGAATAGTCCGAGTATTGTAGAATTTGCGTAGTGGCTTTTGTCCGTGCGTCGGAAAATTACGGTGCTTGAAAACGTCTTTCTCTTGTTCATGCTTTTAGTTTTTTTGTCCCTATACATAAAATTGTTCCGGGCGGGAAAACCAGTAACTAGCGCAAAGTAGCCTGATCCATCACTCCACATTCCTTTTACGAGGTTTATGCACAGAAGCGATGCCCTGTGCCTCGCCTTCTGAAGTGGTGGGGTTCCTCTATGTTTCAGCAAGTGATAGTCATGCCAACGGCTAATGGTGTCATTATTGTGTCGGTTTTTTCTTGTAAGCGTCGCATTTTCTCCCTTTGGACCTGTATGTGTATATTTTTTTTCTGATGGTCGCGCAAAAGCGACAAGAAAGGTGTGTGCATAATACTACTCTTCGAAAGCCCTAAAACCACCATGGCCAGGTCAGAGATTGAAGAGTTCATATCTGAAGATTTAGGTTTCCGATTGGTGGGGAACGGGGATGGAATTTCTTTATTTGATTCTGCAGTGGATTTCAGCGGCCCAGTGACTTCTCTGTATCCTTTGCTGTTGCTAGCTATCGGCCATTGTGGACATGTCTATGCTGCTTCCAACACGCATGAAGTGGCTTTGGGCAATTTGAGTGATCTTAATGGCGATTCTGCGATTCTGAACTTGGTCAGATGTGAACTTCCAGGAACGTCTGCATTGAAGTTCAATAGCTCTGACTCCGTCTTGTATGCCATTGCACAAGGAAAAGTGTTTACAGCAACAATTTCTCCTCAAGGAAACAATCCTTCACTTTCATTTACACAGATTCCCCTTGAATTGTCGACGATCGTATTGCTTGATCCCTCTCCGACTGACTCTGAGCTTCTTCTTCTTTTAAGTAACGAACGAAAACTCTCTATTCTCGCGGGGAATCAGGAAACAGCCACGGTTGAAGGGATCAAAGCAATGGCTTGGACTAAAGACGGCTCCCAGGTTATTGGTGCCAGTGAAACAAGCCTTGCTTTCTACACCACCACTGGTCAGGCTGTTTCTTCCCATGAAGTCCCAGAAGGCGGGAAGCTTTTCTCTGTTTCTTCCATTGACAACACTCATTGGCTTGTGGTGGGCTTGCCAGACACAGAAGGCGGTGATCTCATATACACATTGGTGCTGGAGGAAAATGGTACGCTCACTTTCCATAATGTTCCTGTAGCGCCCGCATTTGGTGATGTTGAGCGTCAGCCAGAAGTTTACTCAACTAGTATTACCAATTGGGTGGAAGGGCAGTCTTTGCTCTTCGCCACTTCCGCGTTGAGCACCGAAATTTCCACAATCGAAGTGAGCCCAGAGAAAAGATTAGTATCACAGTTGAACGATACAGACCGTGCCGAATTGCCCATGGATGATGATTCCGGTGACGATACTCTACCAGTCGGTTTTGCACTTGACTTATTCACAACAGAAATCACTGTGAAGCAACCGTGTAATGCCGTTGATGAAGCAAAAGGAGTGTTGCCTCGTTTGATGTGCTTGAACAATTTGGGTAACTTGATTATGTGGTATGTCTTCGACAACTCAGCGCTCAAGAACAATACTCTCAGCCTTCAAAGAGCAATTGAAGCTCAAAATCAACGTGGACTAGAAGCTACAAAGGCAGATGAAGGTGCGAAAGCAAATTCCTTTGGTTCTACAGCATTTGGTTCCTCTAGTTACAATGCATCCACCAATTCTGCATCTGCTGCTAATGAAAATATAAGTGCATCCAAACCTGAACCGACACAGGCTTTTGGAACAACGGGTTTTAGTAATGCAAGTAAACCTGTCGCAGGTTCTTCTGGTTTCGGTTCTTCTGGTTTTGGGTCTTCTGGTTTTGGAACTTCTGGTTTTGGTTCTTCTGGTTTTGGGTCATCTGCTGCCGGTTCGTCAGCTGCTGGGCCATCGGGCTTTGGCACATCGGGCTTTGGATCTTCTGGTTTCGGGACTTCTGGCTTTGGCTCCTCCAGCTTCGGAATCTCTACCTTTGGGCAAGCTACAACCTCAATCAAGTCAGACGACAAGAGCAAATTTGGCTCTTCCGGTTTTGGTTCTTCCGGTTTTGGTTCAAAAAACGAAAGTCCTTTCGCCCAATTGACTTCGGAGAAGCCAAAGGAGAATGTTTTTGGCTCTTCCTCTAAATCAAATGCAATCCCTTTTGGATCTTCCTCTTTTGAGCCTACCAGCGACTCGCTGAACTCGAAGAGCTTATTCAGCTCAGCTGTCGAAAAACCGAAAGAAAATCCATTTGGATCAGCGTCTTTGGGCTCCTCGTCTTTTGGCTCAGCCCAGTCTACTCAGGATAAGTCGAAAGGTCCTTTTGCATCTTCTAATCTTGCATCTTCCAAGCCCACTCCGGATAAGCCGGCTGCAAGTCCATTTGGATCTTCTGGTTTCGGTATGACCTCCAGTAAACCCACTCTGGACCAATCTCCTTTTGCCTCATTAACTATAGACTCAAGCAAAACCGAATCCGAAAAGCCCGAGAACAACGCATTCGGCACATCCACATTCTCGTCTTCGAGCACTGTCGCAAACAAACAGAGTGCATTTGGAGCTATTGGTTTTGGACAAAAAGCAACGTCGATTGATGACGAAAACAGAAACAAAAAGGAAACCCCGCTGTTTATCTCATCGACTTCAGATGGTCCTCTGGGATTCTCATCACATGCAACTGCTCCAAGAAACCAGGAAACATCAGGCAGTGCCATTTTTGGTCAATCTAGTTTTGGCCAGCAGATGAACAAGAGTCCGTTTGGACAGTCAAGTTTTGGTAAAGTGGCAGGATCCGCTGCTGGAAGCACTCTTCCAAGTCCTTTCGGCTCCGTTGCTGCTACTGAATCACCCTTTGCGTCCCTTTCTTCGAAGAAATCGCCTTTTGGGTCGCTTAATGACGAAGGTCTGAAATCCATTTTTGGTTCTTCAAGCACTCAGTCTCAAAAAACGTTGTCAAGTGGACTCAATGCTTCAATTGACAAGCTGGGATCTCAGGAGCAGATGCAGAAAGCTTCAGACTTGACAAAACGTCCGCAGACAACAGATTCGGAGTCTGCCACGTCATCAAAGATCGGTTCAACTACTCAGAATGAAGTAAGCAGTGAGCTTGGCATCCTGTCCCCGGAAAAATCATTATTTGCGGACACTTCTTTACGTGGTTCGCCTGAGGAATATACCTCAGAGGAATCATCTCTGGATGAGATATCTGAAAATTCTGAATCTCCTCTGCTGGATGAAAAGCCTTCTCCTGTCCTCCAACAATCTAGCGGTTCTCTTTTTGAAATGACATCCTTAAAGGACTCTTTGAAGGAAGATGCATTAACAAAAGCGAACGAACCAACATCTAATACAGACACCGCATTTTCTGATGGAAACGAGAAGGAGACCTCTTTTAGAAGTGCTGCAATTAAGAAGACTAACTCCCAGCACTTTACAGGATCCTTAAAAAATACCGAAGGTTCCAGTTCGGAGTATGGTTCGGGGGCTTCTTCAACAAGTCACGCTAAAGAAAGAAAAGAAAATACCGAAAATGATGGGGTCGTTAAAACAGATGTTAAAACAGATGTTACAACTGATTACGAAGATAGTGAAACTCTGAAGAGGACTGAATCTGCTGTGAAGATCCCTAGTCTACTGTTCGACGGTTTGCAGAAATTCTCTGGGTTCGTTACCGATCCGGTTTTGCCACAACATGAAGTTTCAAAGAAAATCGGAGAGCTTGTACATTTCACCGAAGGTTTGATGAAAGTCTTGCTGATGAATTCGGCAGACATGAACAAATTAATCAATGACTGCCTGTTTTACAAAGTATCTTTGGAAAAGGAAGACATTAAGTCCCCGCTATCATGGACCTTGGGACAGATTCTGCACTTAAATGATCTTGTTTCTGAAGATTCTGAACTTTTTGAGGAAAATGTCATCAAAATGCGGGAACTATATAAAAGCCTGTCGCGCCTATTAGATGATCTCGATGAGATTTATGCCGAGAAAGTGAAATTTGAAAAGACATTGAATGAGATTTTGCTTTTCAAGCGTTCTATTGAGTCCTCGGAATTGCGTGAACGCCCACTTGATCTTCGTGGTGATATAATGCGTGCGAAATTAAGAAAAAACTTCAGCCACGTACAGAGACTTCAAGACGAAGCATTGCATAAATTGGTGTCGTTGAAGTTGAATAGCTGCCTAGATACTGGATTGATTTCAAAGCTTGAAAGAATTGCCTTCGAGATCAACTCTAAGGTTAAGCAGTACCTGGTTGAAATTCATAATTTGGAGGAGAAGCAATCGCGTTCTATGAACGAACGTCTACTTTTGGGAAGAGAAAATGATGTGCCCGCTCCTATATCTGAACCAGTCGAAAACTCTGAGAGTTGTTTCACAAATTTCAAAAGTCAAAAATGGGGGATTGTCTCAAGATTTGCGTCTGTTCAAGACCGGAGTATATAAACCAATGCTTCTTTATGCATTATGCAGGATTTTGTAAACATTAATGCAATACACGAGCTCGCTAGCATAACATCTTCTGACAGAACTGAGTCTTCGATGGTATCATGTCTGAGCACATAGGTACACGTGTTTCTGTTCCAGGTACAACCCAAGGATATGGAATCTTACGCTACATTGGTGGCATTGAAGGAAAATCTGGCGTTTTTGCTGGCCTCGAGTTGCAGGGTCCCATCGCTGCTTCGAGAGGCAAAAACAATGGCTCTGTCGACGGCATTCAATACTTTGAAGTATCACAACCAATGTCTGGCTTATTTTTGCCTTGGGAAAGGCTTCGAAATGCCAACCCCAAGCTTTTAAGGGCAGATAGACCCCAAACTCGACCATCAAGTGTGTCAAGTCGAAGTGAAATGCTATACACTCCTTCTCCCCCTACCCGGAAAACCAGCTCAAGACTTTCATATTTGAACTATAGAGATAGCGGAAGCAGAGGCTCTGATGCTACAGGGCGTGAAAGTCCGTTTAGTGGGCCCCAACAAATTCATGTAACAAAGCGCAAATCAGCGATAAACGAGAATAACAAAAGTCCTGCGCTGTCGACGCTGTCTCTGTTAGTTGGCTCCAGGACGAGTCTGGGCGACCTATTTCAAAAATGTGCCCAGCCACAAGCTGAACTCCATGCTGTTCTCCGAGAGTTGGACGAATGTAAATCAGCAATGCAGAAAAAGAATAAAGAACTTCAAGAGAAGACTCGGATTCTTGAAGAGCTTCAAACTACCATTGCTGAGGTAGATCCAGTTATGGAGGCTTATGAAAGGTCTGTGCAAGAAAAAGACCAAAAGCTTCAGAGACAAAGGAAGGAATATGATGGAGCGAGAGAAGAATGGAGACAAAGTTTAGATTTGATGTTGAGCGCGCAGCAAGAAGCGGAAACTTTCTATGAGCAGCAGATTGAGGATTTGAAAGAGGAGATTGGGCGCTTATCTCGGGCAAACACACGGGTCAACTCCACCAACGGTGAACAACTTTCGTTAGAACTTCAGAGTCTTCGAGAAGAAAATCAGCAACTCAAGCAAGAAATTAATAAGAAAGGTGAGTCTAATGGGTTAGATGGGTACAAAAAAGAATACGTGGAACTGCTCGAGAAAAAGGTTGAGAGGCTCCTGCAAGATATTTCATCATTGGAGTTCGTGATAGAGGATACAAAGAAAAAATCAAAGGAAAAGGACGCGATCATTTTGCAACTCAATTATAAATTGGAAGAAGAAAACCATGAAGTTGACACATTGCTGACCAAGATAGAAAGTTTGACTGTCAAAGATTTAGAACAGAAGGAAGGAGATCATCAATCTCAAATAGCGAAGTTGCAAGGTGTCATCACTCAATACGAATCCAAAATAATGGAATTGAAGGAGACGGTGGAGCGTAAGGAAAAGGAATACTACGAACTACAAAAAAGGTACGTATCTCAGGAAAAGGTGATACAAGATATGGAGAACCTACAAGCAGAGCAAAACTCGTTGATTCAGCATCTACAATCTGCTTCAGCTAAAGACAGCGATAATGACATAGAAAGAAATGCTTTACTGAAGCAAATTGAAAACTTAAAGGCAGAGCTTTCGTCAGCGAACGAAAGAACAGTCGCATATGAAACGAAGGAGAGGGAACTTGTTAACAAGCTACAAGAGTATGAGGCCAAGGTAAAGGAACAGGAAACGAAGGTGAAGAAATATGAACAGGAAGAAATAGATTTGCGCTCTCAAATACAAGCGGCTAAAGAGACTCAGCCGAACGACGCAACCGCAATGGAAAAGCAAATCGAGGATTTGAAGCATGAACTCCAAATGCGTCCGTCTTTTGACGAGCTCAATGAACTCCATGCTTCGTTGGAAGAAGTTGACAGGCTCCACACAAACGAGTTGTATTTGAAGGATAAAGAACTTTCCTCCTTGCGCGAGGGATTTCAAAAAATCATGGAGGAAAACAAAAATCTTCAAGATAAGTTGAAAACCGCGACGAGCTTAGCAGCACTTCCGTCTACCCCAACAGTATATGGCTCGAAACTGTCGAATGGACCATCGCCCGGTTCAGGTAGCCTTCCTGACCCAGAGTCGTGGGCCAAAACAGACTCGCTCCCCGTTTATGAGCCTGTGGTTAAGAGTGATCCTAGTGAAGGAAGAGAAGACTGGTGTGGTCTCTGCGAGAGGGAAGGACATAATAGTTTGGATTGTCCCTACGAAAACGACATTTTTTAGTCGGATTAGCCCTATGTACAAAAGTAGAGAATGTGATGATACCCATGCAAACTGCCGGATGTAATGCGTGACTGATTTGTGGTTTCTCGAGCTGTGGCCTCACTTTCGGTTGACCTTACTGAGTGGCTGTACCATTCTTTTGATGAGCGCCTGTCTCACTAATTCTGGATGTGTGTTCGTTGCTGTAGCTTGGTAAGTTAGCATATTATCATGCATTGCAAGCGAAGCAAGTGTGTCCCGGTGAATATTAGAAAGAAACTCATCCCGTGTCGTATCGGCGTTGCCCAACCCAATGTATTTGCCTTTGAGGTGGAGGTACTGGTGCGTTTCTCGTACTTTGTCAGCCATTAGGAAGAAAGATGGAGTCAAGTGTTTCTGAAAATATCAAGAGTGTATACACGCCTCGCATCACCATCGGCCCGGTCAAAGTGGAAGAGACAAGTAGCCTTTCCACCTAACCTGAAGCGTAAAGAGTATGATAAACTCATTAGCATGACAGATGACAGAGAAGGGCCCCTTTTCCTTGCTGGTGAGAAATGGCACACATTCATACTTTGTTGTCGCTAGAATGCGACATAGTATAGACCAATAGTGCATTAGGCGTTAATCTCTCGGAAATGTAATTATCTTCGCCAAGTTGCGATTTAGCTGCAGGAAGAGGTACCGCCTCTCTCAGCGGCCGTTTGTTCGTGTGGGTAAAAGTGGAGAGTTTGGGGCGCGGCAGCACCACAAAAGAGGAGAGCGCGTCAACAGTTGGAAGAAAAGGTGAAGAAAATAAATAGACTATTCTCCTCAAAACCGGTGATTGCGGGGATCCAAGGAGACATAATGAAATGCCGTTCAGTCACGCCTGTATAGCATCATGTAACACCTGCACATATCCACTCGCTATCAGAGATGTAGTGCACAAGTCTGTTGGGGATAGAATATATATTGACTAACCTCGCATAAAAGCCGATTTGCCCTCTGTCTAAAATTCCCCATCGCAAATCAAGGGTTTCATTTTCACTTTTCTTTTTCTTGTTTCTTCTACTTGAAGATTTTCTGTGCCACTGCTGACTCCCGCGGGATATCGTGCAATCGCTCCTGATAACCGTTGTGAATTGCTTTTTTTTCGTTCCATTTCCTCGCTCTTGTCAAGTGTCCAACCGCCCCTCTTCACACCCAATCACGAATCTCTTACTTTTTCATTTGCCGCGCACACTTTCGACTACCACTGTTTCTTCTTTGCCCAATGGTCCCAAAACCAAACAATGACGTGTCTATTGCCGATCTTATTGGAGATTTAGATGACTCTTCGCTCAAAATCTTCTCCATGTATAGACACAAGAGCTACTTGCCCCACAAAGAGAGAGTATCCAACATCGCATGGCGCATCCACAACAAGAAGCTTTTTGGCCCTAAGGGACGTGTCTCCAAGCTGGTTGGAAAACCCCTTTCCGAGACTAAAAGTACTTCGCAGCCAATAAAATCCGACTCCAATGTCGACGATTTTGACTACGTTGCCCATATACGTCGCATCTCTAGAGAAGAGTACGGCCAGGATCCTGTTTCTCTCTCTGTGTCTTCTTTGCATCTGCTGCGTCCTCTGATTCTGTTTAGAAAGTCCTCTGAAAAGTCGTCTGACATCCATCGACTCCGATCCAATCCCACAAACGCTACTTCCATGGCTACCTCTTTTCTGACACCTTCCAACTTCAATGTGTCTCACCGAGGCTCTGCTCCAATGACAACGTCTTCAAGCCCAGTATCTGCTGCTCGATCCCAAAATCGGACGTCGTCGTCCTCCTCGTCAGTTCCAACGAATGCTGGCAATTCTTTCCTCTCCTCATACATCAATCTGTTAGAGTCTACACTCAAACAGGATTACCAGATGTCACATTCGTCGTCATCGAGTCATTCAGGTAATGCGTCAACGTCGGCGGCTCTGGTCCATGTAAAACTGGATGTGTCTTCAAAGCAAACTCTACTGTGCACGAACTGCCACACAGTCACAACTCCACTCTGGAGGAAAACTAACGAGGGAAATGTCTTGTGCAACGCATGTGGTCTTTTCTACAAGCTCCATGGAATCTTGCGCCCACTAAATGCGCTTTCGACAATGAGTCAAAAACGGCCTACCCCTCGCTCTCGTGCACCGAATTCTACTTCGCTGGTTTTCCAAAGCCCCCAAAGCATAATTAGTAACAGCCAAACAGCAGGTACGAAAAGGAGCCTTGACAATGTCATTTCGAATAATAATGTCGAGTTGTTTTCCAAAATCAACGACACCCCTGCTCCTCACGGTGAAAGCCACGATTCGCATCCTTATTCTACTAGCGTGCCAACTCCTGGCTCGGGAAAAAATGGGTTTTATTCGATGGGAACCTTCAATGAATACCTGCTGGAATCACCTCTTCAGGTTACGAATACGGCGTCCTTTGGTGTGGATAACCGTACGTCAACTGCCCAGGATGCGGACGATATTGACAAACTCTTAAACAAGAACATATTTCAACTGGAGTCCTTCGTCATTGGTAGCGAAGACCCTCATATGGGCCACGACTTTGGTGACTCTGTATTCAATTTCAATGGTTTAGAAGCCACAGATGAAATTTTGATTGACGAACCAGGTCATAATAATAGGAATAATTGGAACTGGTTGGATTTTGGACCTGCAACTGCGGGAGGACATTAGGAATCTACAAGGATATGCGGCACTGACTCAATTTATTTTATTTTTTTTAATTCTCGATATTTATCGAAAACTTTTTAACATTTTTTTAATGGCTTTGACTAGTTTGAAGCGGTCGGGAGATTATTATACTTAATAGAAGTGACAATATATGCTTTTGAGCACCAATTATTGCGTGTGTAGATAAATAAAATTTCCGTTGATACAAATGATTTTCATTGCAGAGGAAGGTTTTGATTCAACTATGTCCAATTGATATAATAAGTAAAGACATGCATGTAGACATTGCTCGTGCCTGTAGCCTTTTGGTTCCTATTTTTTTCGCCGCTACTACCACAGTTGCGAAAGGGAGGACCAGCAACATCATGTCGGAGATAGTTGCATTAAAGATTTGGCACTGTTCACCTGTGATATACCTTAGAATTCTTGATACTTTAATCTGTACCTAAAAGTTTATCAGAAATGTTTATTCGTATATTTTTTGTTGTAACGATCAGTGAATACTTTTGACTAGTTTTCCATTTCGCACGAAACAATTGCTAATTGTCGTCTATGCTTGGGAACACAACTTGAGCGCAGAATGTTTAACAAAAAAATCGAAAAAAAGACACACAAGACTCCAGCTACTATTATCGCAGGTCCTCGGAAAAGTTCTTCTGGCAACACAATAGCAGCAACAGTCTAGCCGCATATGAGTCGCACCGGTTGTTAGCCCAGATGCAAATGCCTTAGGAACCCCTTTTCATCGGTGGCAGTTTGGCATTATACCATTGCAAATGACGACATAACACATATCACGTCTGGAAAATGGAATTGAGAATTGCTTTATTTTCAGAGTCTGCAAAAGAACCTGATATGAAATACTAGTGAACGCAATTTTCAGTTGCGGAATTTCAGGTATTTGACCTGAAAGTTATTACTTACGTCAATTTTCGCTCGAAGGTTTACGGATCTAATAGATAAGCATTTCGACAATATATGTGAGACGTGTAACAAAGAGATTTCATTGGCTAATAGGAAGCAAACAAACGTTTTCGAGTAGAAGCTAGGTGATCACAAGGCATTATAATAGCTAAGTTACACCTGTACTTAGCGGAGGTGAGACCTATTGCAGCGTCTAAAATTAGCCTCATACTTGTTCACCACACGACCTATTCTGCGGCTCCAGTACCATGTGCCTGTCATTTAAGGTGGCTTGGTATAGCGAGATACTCGACTTCCCTGCACACCATACCTGTACTTGAGGTTATATGTATGGAAAAAGTTTCTGTTCCATAGCCAATTTCATGCACACTTGAGTACAAGCAGTGCTTGTTAACTGATACACTAGGATGGGACTCAATTGCACAATCTGCATGTTTCGATTAAGATTCAATAAACTCAACAACGGGCCCGCAAAATGCAACCATCTCGTAGTTTTTGTGAAGGGGTACTTCACTTTCTTCGTTCTTCCAGGGTATACTTGCTCATAAAAAAGTTTCAAACCCCCGCCGAAGGTTTTTAGCGCAGGCACTATAATCCTTGTTCATGGCGAGTGTGCACATCCGTCATACCCCTACTCAATACAGTCTATTTTATGGAGCACTACTACCGGTGAAGGTTAATTTCTAAGACCCCTTTGTAATATAATATGAAGCACTCGTATTGGGCTCATACTCCTCGACGAAGCTTTCGCGCAAAGTGCATTAAAGCGCATTAGCGGATAAGAAACATAAGTGGGAGGTGATCCGAAGGGGCCGGCAGTGGCTTCTCTCTCGTAATGCAAAACACGCAACGCCTTATATTACTGCCGCACAGAGAGCCAGGGGAGAGGTTCTGACCGCAGGTCGGCTATTCGAGAACATAGTATTGCGCACAGCGGTGCTTTTTTGTTTATTTCGATGCTGTATCGGGCAGAAATGCGCCTGCGCAGTGCCATGCATCATTGATTTGTAACTTTTTTTTTTTTTTTTTTGGTACTTCTGTTCGACAGAAATCCAGCCCGGAACAGATAGAGAATTCTCCTTTCTTAGGCCACACATCCTCAACAACCATAAAGTACTTCTACATAGCCCTAACAGCTAATTATCGTCAGCATTCCGCTCGGATCATGGTAAACGAAGTCAATGGGCCTTCTCACTAAGTTTAAATCCGACGACAAGCGCAAGGGCTTTTCCTTGAAACCGCTGTCTTCCAAACTTAACAAGGAACTTAAAAGAAACCATACTTCTGAATCTTCAGTCACTGAAGCATCCGAATTTCTGCTGACGGCCTCCGCCTCGTCTTACTCGTCTCAAGATTCACATCGGAAAGAACCGCCAAAGCAATTTGCCTCCACTTCCAGACCTGACCCACACGTCTCGCCTCTGACGAGCCACATTGCTTACCCGGCACCACAGAAGGCTCCACTTGCAGTAAACAGGCGAAGTCATCCGTCGTACCGGCAAAGTTCAATTTCTCTGTCGTCTATCGCTTCAAACAATTACGCAGGCGGGATTAAGCCTCCGTACCTTGACGCTACACAAAACTCTCAACGGAGAATTCTGCAGAAGTCCATGCTGATGAATGTTTTAACCAAGAATCATCGGGCAAGCATGTCCATCCCTCATTCTGTCTCCACAACGCAGCTCTCCGATACTTCCACCATGGAAACGAGTTCCGAATATGAGAGCGAGCTGGATGCGGCCCACAAACACCCTTATTATGAGCAATGGAAACAATATTACGCAGCATTAGCGTCGTACAAGACGCCTCAAAACGAAAGAGACCCTGAAGCATATTACCGAACTATGAACGCCGTTTCACCCCAAATTTCTCCAGATTTGGGTGAAAGAAATCACTCCTACTTCAACACTGCGAGCCCTCGTTATTACAATAGCAACTTTGAACATGCATTCGAAGACACACATAATAGTAAGTTCTTAATGAAGTCCCGCCAATCAACAATCAGAAGTACAAGGTCGTTTTCCGTTCCTCTGATAGCACCTAGGATACAGCCTTCTGCTATCAGTAACAGATCCGTGTCTGTTAATGTCGAATCAGAGGACTCTCCTTCACCAAAGGAAGAAGAGGAAGATTTTACTGGAGCCAAGCCAAGTGTGTTGGGCTCATCAAATAAAGTAAATACGGCACTGTTGGCCCATGGGTTACTGAAGTTGACAATGGAAGAACAACCGACGGCAGACATTTCGGACTACGAGGCTTTTTTCTTCAATGAGAGTGGAGAACTTGAGGAGCAATTAGTGGAAGAACAAAATGGAAGCTCATCAGCTAGCCCAAAGGAAGATGCCAGAAACAGCATAGAAGAAAACTCACCAGCTACACCAGACCCGCAACAACAGCCTTTTGGCCATACACATGCGATATTAAGCCCAGAGTTGACTGGTCCTGAATTGGAGAGGGCGTCATTGCCCCAAAAATTATCGCAACCACCCTCGCTTCCTGCTTCGTATGGGTCTGTTTCGCGGACATCTTCCAGAGACTCTGCCAGCTCTTTCAACTCACTTCAGAGTGAAAAGAAATTCAAGGTGGGCAACTCTCGCCGAATCGTTGACCATGAAACTGATAGTGTCAAACGGGCATCTCGTTTTGTCCCTCCAATGCCGGGTCCACCACCTCCGCAACTAAGGAACTCATACTTCCAAAGCCCTGATGCCAGCCCTATGCGCAATAGCGTCGCCTCGTTCCCAATACAGAACGCCGCTTACTTGCAACAAATCCAGCAACAAATCCAGCAGCTCCAACAAATGCAGCAGATGCACATGCCTGGTTTCACCAATGGTCGTATGCCATTCAGTTCGAGCCCATCCCCACCACCACCAAAGTCAACAGATGACACTATTAACAATGCCATCGAAGAATTCGTCTATTTGAGAAATATCATCGCAGCAGGCAACAAAAGCTTTGAATTCCGCTTGAAGTGGGTCAAAATGTTATTGGAGGCTTGTAACTACAAGCTTTTTGCGTATATAAATATCAGAGGAAAAAGCATTCCTTCCGACCAGATTGCAACCAACAAACAATTCTTCATCAAGTCGTTTTTAACTCATCTCCAGAAACTTCTTAAGGAACTCGAGGGACTGTCGGATCCATCTGATTTAAAGATTTTCGCTGAGGCGTGTTATCTCTATGGATGCCTTCTTAAGCATGAATATGTTCCTAAGTACGAACAGGACTTTGGAATTGTTAGGGATGATGAGGAGGCTGAACGGTACTTGCTCAAGTGCTTGGATATGTATCCTGGTTTCTTCAAGGCTCATTTCCAGTTGGGTGACTTGTACGAGCAACAAAATACCGAAGAAAAGTTTGAAATGGCTCTAGCTCACTACAAAGAGTCTGCGCGAATGGGATTCAACAGGGCAATTTATCAAGTGGCCATGCTTCTCTTGACTGTTCCAAGCATTCGTCTGACCAAGTTTTTGAAGTACTTGCGCAACTTGTCGGATATCAACATGAACTCAAAGGACATTGTTCTCAGTGGATTTGACAGAAATGAACTAGAGGAAGTGGTTGGATTGGCGCTGTTCCAGTTGGGTAAAATATACGAGGGAATTTACCCAGGTGATTTGAATCCTGAAGACGAATTCATTGCTGAGTGCCTTGAGATCGCTCCCGTGAACTATGTTAAAAGTTTAACATACTATAATCGGGCTGCTAAGCTCCATTGTCTCCAAGCCCAAGTTAAGTTGGGCTACATATACGAAAATGGGGAATTGAACAGACGGAAAAACGCGAACAAGTCAATCCAATGGTTTATCAAAGCATCAACCTCTCCTCTCAAGTTCAAACGGCATCCAGAAGCTCTTTTAGGAGTAAGCAGGTGGTTTATGAGGGGCTCCAATGAGGAGAGCAAACATATTCCACACCCTGACCCCCAGAGAGCGGTCATTTGGTGTGAAAGGGCGTGTAAGGAGTTCAATTATCCAGAGGCTTTTTACGTAATGGGCACATATGCTGAGATGGGGCTCGTTGAAGGAACCCCAAAAGAATGGTTTGACAATGCTTACAGCTTGGGTTTTATCCCTCCAGACCAAATTGCATGAGTGAAAGCTGAAATTTCATTTTTTACTAAAATTGCATTTTTACTAATATATTATTGATGTAAACACCTTGAACCTGTAGCAAGATATCCAACGGGAACTAGTATATTTTGAGAGCTGAAGATGCGACTTTTGGGCATTCCAAATGGATCACCACTGGTGTGCTCGCGCTCAAAAATTTTCGGCGTGCCAACGCTTTTTCGTTTTCTCCTTTCTTCTTCAAGGTCCATTTGCTGAGTATCATGTCCTTAGATACCCAATTCTACTGTATGTGAAACGTTTAATGTCTTCGTTGTGCTGAGGAATTCTAGCACGTCCCACGAAAGGCTTCTGCACCATCGAGGAAAGTAACTTCGAGTTGCCCGTATCTCGCGTCCACCCACTAACTTTTTTAGGTCGTCAACCGAGGTCAGTTGACTTGATACAAAATTATCAAGAGGTCACCTCTTTCCCAAAGCCTACTCTAGAAGTCCGTTGCGCTATTTACAGTCCTAATGGTCAGTATTTTGCGTACACGCAGCCCAAGCACGTAACTTTGGTGCTCACTAAAGATGAAGCATCAAACGACGAAGTGGTCGCCACCATAGAAGTTCAAGACACTTTCGATTTGCATTTCTCTCCAAATGGACGTTATTTGGCCATGTGGACCAAACCAATCTTGTTAAACAAGGAGAGTGGAGTGTGGTCGGACAATATCATAATTTACGATGTGGAGAAAAAAGAAGTTGCAACCCAGTGGTCCAATAAGCATCAAGGTGGATGGAAACCTCAGTTCACACAAGATGGCAAGTTTATGGCCAAAAACTTTAACAACAAAGAGATCCACTTCTACGATACAACCACCAACATGGACATCAAAAAGCCATCCTACAAATTCCGTTTACAGGATAGCAGCGCCACGTTCCAGAACTTCCAGTTGAGTCCTGGTTTGAACCCTGCCGTGGCAGTATTTATCCCCGAGAAGAGTGGTAAACCTGCGCAGGTTTTGATCTACAATATTCCCAGCTTCAACCAACCTATCTGCACGAAATCATTCTTCAAGGCAGAGAAGTGTCAGTTGAAATGGAACGCTTTAGGTACGGCGTTATTGGCTTTGGCTTCTACTGACCACGATACAAGCAACAAGTCTTACTACGGAGAAACTAACTTGTACTTGTTGGGCATTGCCGGTCTGTATGAACGTATTGACTTGAAGCGCGAAGGTCCTATTCATGATATTACGTGGTCACCTTCGGCTAGGGAGTTTGCTGTCAGTTATGGATACATGCCATCGGAAACCACCTTCTTCGACGCTCGTGGAAATGCCATCCACTCTTTGCCCACTGCACCAAGAAATACCATTTTGTACTCACCACATGGCCGTTTCGTCTTGGTGGCCGGCTTTGGTAATTTGCAAGGTACAGTGGATGTGTACGACCGCCAGGATAAATTCAGCAAGGTTTGTACGTTTGAGGCATCTAACACATCCGTTTGTGAATGGTCACCATGTGGCCGCTTTATCTTAACTGCAACCACATCTCCTAGATTGCGCGTTGACAATGGCTTGAAGATCTGGCATGCGAGCGGTAAGTTGGTGTACTGCAAGGATTATGCTGAGTTGTTTAGCATTCTGTGGAAGCCACAGCCGATCGAAAAGTTCCCTCCTTTAAGGCAATTGGAAGCTTGCCCGGAACCACAGCAATCGGCAAAGGACTTCCTCGCCAAGAAGGCTGCTTTGGGTGGTAATGGTGGTGTGAAAAAGGCGGGAGCTTACCGTCCTCCACATGCTAGAAACTCTGGTGCTGCATCTACTGCCACATCTTTGTATCAGAAAGAGTTGCAAGGAGGCAGCAGCCCGGCACCATCAGGCACTTTCGTGCCGGGTGCCGGAGCTCGCCGTGTGGTTCCTGGTGCCGCGCCAGCGCCAGCACCTAAAGAGTCAAAGACTGCGGCAAAGAACAGAAAGAAGCGTGAGGCTAAAAAGGCTGCTAGTGGAACTCCAGAGGTGGAAGCACCAAAAGAAACACCGAAGGAAGGTGTAGCCGGTGTTATTGGTGGCGTGGTATCTTTGGAAGAGAAGAAAATCAGGCTGTTGTTGAAGAAGCTCCGAGCCATCGAAACATTGAAGATGAAACAGGCACAGGGCGAGCCATTGGAGGACACGCAGGTGAGCAAGATCAACAAGGAGGACGACATCCGCAAGGAGTTGAGCGAATTGGGATGGGCAGAGTAACTTTGTTGTGAAGCTTCACCAAGAGCGCTTTAAGCATTGTATAATGGCTGTATAATGTGTACGATGCATGTACGTCGCAGACTATCGGATGCATCATATATCTGTATGCTTTAGAGCTAGTCTATGTAGAAGCTCTGCCTGGTACGATCAAGAAGCTCTCGAATTTTGATTTCTTAGAAACTGCTTCACGTTTAAGCTACAGTCTGCTTCTGTCACATTCAGCGACATAGATTTCGGAGTATAGTAATTTTATCGTTCAAGTTTCAGGGTTTACGTGTTTTGTGATACATATCAAGTGTCATATCAATTTAGGAAACTCTCGCAAGCAAAGCGACTAAACACGGCAAACAGTCCGATCCGCGAAATCCGCAGCAGCAAAGTTTTTACACTCCCCAACAAGTAAGAAAGGGATTTCATTATCATTGTTGGTCCGCTCTGTATGATGCCTAGCAACCGCCATTTTAGAATCTCGAGAAAACTCAAACTAAGCGCATCTTACACCTACAACAACTATATTGACAGGTGCATCTGTCTATTAATATACTGGACAGCCCGCAGAAAGTTGCCCCATCTGCCCTCTTGTCAATCTTGTTTAACTTCATCTGTATCTACATACGATCTCGAGTATATTGTCTGATGCCTGCACAACACACAATCCGGCATATATCGTCGGCATTGTGTGAAGCTTCTATGTGTCCTACAAGAAAGTTACCATAGAGTCTCACAATGAACATTCTAGCACGTACATCGATATTACCTACACGTATGAGGGTAGGTTGCGCTTGTTTGAGTAAGAGGTCTGCTACCAAATTCAAAGAATGTAACATATAAGCTGTAGTTTACAGCCCGCCTTACACACGGGCATGGCCCGTTTTCCCCGATATTGCACAAACACGGAAATCCCACCCATCTTGGCTAGACCTACAATTTCTCGCACAGGAGTCGGATCGGCGCGAGCACTAAAGTAAAATACGCGCCCAAAGAAAACACTAAGCCATTCTCTTCTCCACAGGGCGCGCGCACTTGAGGTCGTGCAAAGCTCGTGTTTACTGCGCAGATTGATTCGCAGGTTTTCTGGATCTCGATCTTCTTCTTCCCTTCTTTTCTCGTCGCTGTACAGTTATCGAAAGGTATGTTAATCCTTCTTGCTAGCATGGCTCAAACGCCTTTGCAAACATGAATCTCGCTCAGATATCCTCGTTCTCGAATTACTCTTGTGCCTCGTCGCATCGCGTCGAAATATCTCTTCTTGCCCCTTGGTGGATCTACAAGCCAAGGGTGAAACAGGGAATATGTTTATGCTTGTTTTCTTCTATCTAGTCAGATAGATCATGGCTCTTTAGCCTACCGGTCCACATCCGGCTTCTTCCGCAGACAGAATGGTTATTTCACCTCCTGCTGAACCATTGGCAGTTTTGTTTCATAGTCTTTCCTACTCCCCTACTACTATAAAGTCAGTCCCAACCCGATCTACAATAGACACCACAATACGGCGTCTCATTTTACAAGGCATCACACACCCCTTATTGAACAAATGAAATGGGGGATCAACAAGATTTAGGTATCGTTCCTGGATCAATTTCTTTTTTTCCGTTAGTGTGCAGGTCCATTAGTGGGCGCAGCAAGCGCAGCAAGCGTATCATAAGATGTTGAGGGCGGGAACGAAGACTTGAAAGACATATGATTCGTCTTTTTTTTATACCTTTCTTCCGTTTACAGGAAGAATTAATCTCCGTTGATAAGCTGTTTTGTGTTGATGGGTTGTGGGTTGCTTTGTCGTGAGACAGGAAGATTATGTAAGGGCATGAACTACATCCTGCATCGGAGAAGTTATTCGGGCACTTTCCTACCTTAATTTGGCAAAGGAAAAAAAAATAGTCAGCGATGCAGGGACTCGGCTCATTTCTCTCATATTCTGCCAGAACTGGTGATGTGCAAGAATTTGAGCACTATCCAGGTTCTAGCAGTAGCCTATCTGCAGTGAACACATTTTGTTCTGCCTTGTTAAGGAGAACTTTTTTTAGTTTCTAGGGAACGCCGCGAAACTCAAATTCTCCATTCATTTTGATCTGCTACTGCCTATAATTTTCTGTGGTACATTTTGTCACTCTTCTCTTCCCCGACACATTTTTTTTCTATCGTTTTCTTTTTCTACCTTGATTCGAACTTCGTGGTTGATATCTTTTTGAGACTCCTTTAGTCCTTAGTTTACTAACTTTTTTGTGAAGATGTCTTACGATAACAATCACAACTACTACGATCCGAACCAACAGCATGGCGCTGCTGAAGGTGAGGGCTATTATCAGCAGGGTCCGTACGATGAGATGGGTCAAGCTCAAAACTTTCAACAGGGTGGCGAGTACTATGACCCAAATCAGCAGTACCTGCAACAGCCATATGACATGGAGGGATACCAAAACTACGGTCAACAAGGTGCAGCTGGTTACAACGCCGACCCAGAAGCTTTTTCTGACTTCAGCTATGGTGGCCAGAACCCAGGTACATCTGGCTATGACCAGTATGGCACTCAATATACTCCCTCTCAGATGAGTTATGGTGGCGCTAGATCTTCCGGTGCCTCCACTCCCATCTATGGGGCAAATCCTAACTATGATCCCACTCAGTTTCAGTTGTCATCTAACTTGCCTTACCCAGCATGGTCTGCCGATCCTCAAGCGCCTATTAAGATTGAGCACATCGAGGACATTTTCATTGACTTGACCAATAAATTTGGTTTCCAAAGAGATTCGATGAGAAACATGTTTGACTACTTCATGACTTTGTTGGACTCCAGAGCCTCCCGTATGTCTCCTGCACAAGCTTTATTGTCTTTGCATGCTGACTACATTGGTGGTGAAAACGCAAACTACAGAAAGTGGTTTTTTGCTTCCCAACAAGATTTGGACAACTCTCTTGGTTTTGCCAACATGAACTTAGGAAAAATTGGTAAGAAGGCCAGAAAGGCTTCAAAGAAGTCCAAGAAGGCTAGAAAAGCTGCTGAGGAACATGGCGAGGATTTGGATGCATTGGCCAATGACTTGGAAGGCGACTATTCTTTAGATGCTGCCGAAATTAAATGGAAGGCTCAGATGAACGTTTTGACTCCGGAGGAAAGAGTTAGAGACATCGCTCTTTACTTATTGTTGTGGGGAGAGGCCAACCAAGTGCGTTTCACTCCTGAATGTCTTTGCTACATTTATAAGACTGCTATGGACTACTTGTTGTCTCCACAATGTCAACAAAGACAGGAACCAGTCCCAGAGGGTGACTATTTGAACAGAACAATCACACCTATCTACAGATTCTTGAGATCTCAAGTATACGAAATTTACGAGGGAAGATTTGTCAAGCGTGAAAAGGACCACAATGAGATTATTGGTTACGATGATGTTAATCAATTGTTCTGGTACCCAGAGGGTATTTCTAGAATTATGCTCGCTGACGGTACTCGTTTGATTGACATTCCTCAAGAAGAGAGATATTTGAGATTGGGCGAAGTCGAATGGCAAAACGTTTTCTTCAAAACTTACAAGGAAATCAGAACCTGGTTGCACTTCGTTACCAACTTTAACAGAATTTGGGTTATTCACGTTGTGATGTACTGGTTCTACACCGCATACAACGCACCAACGTTGTACACTAAACATTATATTCAAACTGTGAACAATCAGCCAACAGCTTCCTCTAGATGGGCAGCTCCAGCTATTGGCGGAATCATCGCTTCATTCATTCAAATCTGCGCTACTTTATTTGAATGGATGTTCGTTCCAAGAGAATGGGCCGGTGCTCAGCATTTGACTCGTCGTTTGATGTTTTTGATTTTGATTTTCTTCCTCAACCTTGCTCCAGTGGTTTACACTTTCTATTGGGCTGGTTTGCAGGCGATCTCGAAGTCTGCCCACGTCATTTCTATTGTTGGTTTCTTCATTGCTGTAGCAACTATGGTTTTCTTCGCTATTATGCCTTTGGGTGGTTTGTTTACCCCTTACTTGGCAAAGAGATCTAGAAGATACATGGCTTCTCAAACTTTTACTGCTAACTTCTACAAGTTGAAAGGATTGGATATGTGGATGTCTTACCTTCTTTGGGTTACTGTGTTCGGTGCCAAGTTTGCTGAATCTTATTTCTTTTTGACTTTGTCCTTGAGAGATCCTATCAGAAACTTGTCCACCATGACCATGAGATGTAACGGTGATCACTGGTTTGGTAACAAATTGTGTAAGCATCAAGCAAGAATTGTTTTGGGATTGATGATTATGGTTGACTTGTTGTTGTTCTTCTTGGATACTTACATGTGGTACATTGTGTGTAACTGTGTTTTCTCCATTGGACGTTCGTTCTACTTGGGTATTTCCATTTTGACCCCTTGGAGAAACATTTTTACCAGATTACCGAAGAGAATTTACTCCAAGATTTTGGCCACTACCGAAATGGAAATTAAGTACAAACCAAAGGTTTTAATCTCCCAAGTCTGGAATGCCATTGTTATCTCTATGTACAGAGAACATTTGTTAGCCATCGACCATGTTCGGAAAAGTTGTTATACCATCAAGTTCCTTCTGAAATCGTAAGGTAAGAGGACATTGAGAGCTGAAACCTTCTTTGTCTCTCAGGATGATAACAACTTTGAGACGGAGTTCTTCCCAAGAGATTCCGAAGCCGAAAGACGTATCAGTTTCTTTGCTCAGTCTTTGGCTACCCCAATCTTGGAACCATTGCCAGTTGACAACATGCCTACATTTACCGTGTTTACTCCTCATTACTCCGAAAAGGTATTGTTATCCTTGAGAGAGATCATCAGGGAAGACGATCAATTTTCTAGAGTGACTTTATTGGAATACTTGAAACAGTTGCACCCAGTTGAATGGGAATGTTTCGTCAAGGACACAAAGATTTTGGCTGAGGAGACCGCTGCTTTTGAGAACGGTGACGAAGATGAAAAGGACGAAAATGGATTGAAAGCTAAAATCGATGATTTACCTTTCTACTGCATTTGGTTTCAAGTCTGCCGCTCCTGAGTACACGTTGAGAACTAGAATTTGGGCATCTTTTGAGATCCCAAACATTGTACCGTACTGTTTTCTGGATTCATGAACTATGGCAAGAGCTATCAAGTTGTTGATATCGTGTGGAAAAACCCTGAGTTGGGTTCAATACTTTTGTTGGAGACCCAGAAGGGTTTGGAAAATGGCATTTGATAAATATGGCTAGAAGAAAAATCAAATTTGTTGGTTTCTCTGCTAAGAATGGGCCACGTTTAGGGAATACTATATTGGAGAATGTGGATATCTTGGTTAAGAGCTTAACCCTGACTTGCTGAATGCTTGACTTTGGTATAAAAATCACTATTGAACTTAGATAAAAATACCCATGGGTCTTACTCGCTTGTGATTGTTGT